CACACACACACACACACACACACACACACACACACACACATATATGTATATAATATATATATATTATATTATTATATTATTACGGGTACGGTTATATTATTATATTACACGCGCGCGCAGTTCGATTCTTCCGTCTAAGCGCGTCGTACCTACGCCGCCGCAGAGCACCGACGGAGAACCGTCGCGACCACAACTACACAACTACTACGCTATACGCGCTCGCCCGACACACGACACCCGACCGCCGTCGTCCCCCGGTGCAGTGTAACATTATCATCGTATAATTAAATATTAATGGTAGTATACAGTATCTGAACGCTCGATAATAGTATTGTATAAACGTATTTTAATACTGTAGCACTGCTGCTGTTAATAATAATTATAATATTATCGTTTTTTTTATCGCGTTGATTAGCGCAGGCACCTGTATTATATTCAACAGGCGCGAAAGAGAAGAAAAAAAAAAAAGTGCGATTTACCCCGCGGTCGATTAAAGTACTCCGGTATTGCCTGCATCAATAGCATTACTCCGGAAATGTACAACAGTTACACAACCGTACAATAAATTCATACTAATATCCGGAAATTCGATCGATCGTGCCCTACACGCGCGCACGTGCGCCCGCCGCCGCCGAGACCGCGCTCGAATTGTGTCCGTCTCGCGATCTCTTCCCGCGCGTTTTTGCTCCGACCGCGGATTTCCGTAATAACCGCGCGCCGCTCCGCCCCATTCCGGAGCCTGTAAACGCTCATTTACGCATCCGGAACACGCCGCAGTTTTCTCGACAATCGTCAGGTATGTCCGAAACAACAACCGACAGTAGTTATTGCATATAGGGCTGCAGGGGCAGACAATAGGCGGCCCGCGAAGAGGAAATAACTGGACCGCTAAACTTGTTCAACGCTGTGTTTTTGTTTTCATTATTGATTGTCTCTGCGTATAGATCCAGAATATCCAAACGTTTAAGTATATTTAATGATGTATTCGGTATATTTGGTGTATTTGTATGTATTATTAAAAAATAAAGGGACCAAAAATATACGGCCCTCGAAAATTGCTTTTCAAATTATCCGACACCCCTTAGAAACCAATTGCCGCGACCCCTAATTATAGTTGGATTCATGTGACATTATTATCTTAGTATAATATTTCTATATGCTTGACATATTCTCTAAACATATATCGTTCAAATAACATTAAACAATTTTAATTAGAGTAATATGTTTTCATATGAATAATAATATATTCTCCTCGGAGTTTGCGTGTTTTACGGCTAAAAATATGGTTTTCGATGACTGGGTTTTCGTTCGAAAAAGGAAAATGTCTTGCAGACCGTGACGAACTACGTTTTTCTATATTTTCGATTCAAAATGTGAACAATACCTACGTCTTTAAAAGAAAAGTCGGCTTTTAATTTTTTTCTTAATCCGGGTTTTTGTATCATTTATTGAAATCAAACGAAAATTCAGAATTCAATGAGGACTGTAGAATTATATTGTCTATCAATTAAAATAAAAGGAACGTAGGAAAATATTATGTTGAGAATGAGTCTTTCCTATTCCGTAATCGGTTGTACCCCTCCAACAAAATAAGTATCAGAATATAAATCAATGCAAAGTCTTATCATTAAGGTCATTCATCTTATTTTTCAAAATTCGAAAATCCAACACAAGGTCTCCAACGTCAAAATATGCACTTATAATAATAAATGCATATATTATAATATAAAAATCATTTTTTTTTTTTTTTTAACGAGAAGGTATAATGGATCGTTAATCTTGTTATTATTTCATCCGTGTTATCAAAAGGCCGACCATCAATTAACAAAAATAATTTGATTTTCGATCTAAAAATAATAAAAAAAAAACCCGTGTCAATCATGCTTAACAAGGACCCGTTTATCTTCTTCCAAACGATGAAATACATCATATTAAATATTTAATATGCTTACATTTTGTTTAAATTTATTTTTTCATGTGTATATACTATAGATAGAAGATTTACCTACGTGAATATAATAATTGTATCGTCAATTATACGTAACAAAACCTTATAAATCGATTTTAATAAATTTTACAAAACTATGACAAGACATCTGTTGTTAAAAAAATTATAAGAATAATTCAAAATTGACCTAACTAGATCAAAAATACCGCAAGAAAGTTATTACAAAGTTTTTGAATAAAAAAAGATTTTAGGTAGAAACGTGTTTTTCAGACGCAAAAAAAAAAAAAATTACGAGATTTTATTGAGTAGGTTACGCTAGGTTAGATTTATCTATTTGTTCAAAATTTTACTTATATTATTATAACCTATTAAGAAATTTCAAGATGATAATAGTGAAAATTTCGTAGCCCAATCAAACATATTATTCAGCGATTAAAACGACGATACTATTTTGTTAGAAAAAGAAAATTGATAGTTGTATTATATAGGATATACAGGTTTGTATTTACGATTTTATTATGTTAGAATAAAAATACTTTTTTTAAAATATAAATATACGTACCCGTCTATCTTTGATATTATATTCGTATGCATAATGAAGCTCATTTTAAACAAATTTACGGGTATAATGTAAAAATGGCGAAATCAAGTACGTAATCAGGATTAGTTTTCGGGAAGGGGGTTTGAAATATTCTTTATACATGAATTTGTAGATGTCTTTTTAATATTTTCAATATATACCTATTTTGAATATTTCGGGGGAGGGTAGCTAAACCCCTAACTCCTCACTGTATACGGGCTTGAGCAAAATCATAATATATTCGTACATCTATTAGTATGGACAATATAGGTAATAGCTATGAATTGACCAGTGGGCAGTTCATTCCAAAGGTTGGCCCGTGTGCAAAATAACAAAAGGACCTACTTTAACTTTTAATTCTACATAATATATAATATTGCAAATATAGGTACATTTATTCACATTTTAAATAAGTATTTTTATTCTATGATAAAACTGTGCTATGCAAATCCGTATACGCGATTTATTTAATTAAAAAAAAAAAAAAAAATTAAAATCATATATAAAACAAAAGTTAACCGAATTTAATAAGTACCTAATAATAAATAATTGACGGTGAAATTTAATCGAGAACCGTAAAGTGTATAATGAAAAATCTATTAACTTTGTTATAGTTTTTTGTACATTATTGAGTAATTTATAGTATTAGAGTAGTGTTAGAGTTACAAATTGTATGTATTCAATTTTTTTTTTCTCGTTAAACGTCAGGTAATAATGAGCCTTTCATCTTGACCTAGAGCCCGTGATATTTGCACACAGTAACACAACCGGGATTTTTTTGAAAGGGGGGTTTCTCATGTCTACATTAAAAAAAACACGTCTTTTAACACGTTTATATTACTTAAACTCAGATTTAGGGAGGTGTCCAGACAACCCCTGGTTCCTTCACTGTTTGCACACATGTATGACACGCCGCTGCTGTTATTGGCGTATTCATGGATGGTCTCGTTTGGCGTGTCTGTGCGAATATCGATCGGACGGTGAAAGTCACTGCTTCTGTTATTCTATCGTGTATACAGTTTTCGATTCCAACGGATAGGTGTTATTTATCAATACATAACAAACTAAATAGAACAATAGTGTTGTGTCCTCCGGACGATATCCAAAAGTAGGTACGGAGGTTTAAATCGGTACCTATATTATACCGACCATTATCGAGAGTCGAGACCCATAATGGAAACACGACCGATATATTATTATAGAAACGAGACCGCGTAAATCCGTTTTGATTTTTCGGTTTATAATTGGTGTGTCGGGCGCGTTACATATTATTATTATTATTATCATCTATTTTGTATTGTGAACGATCAATGACGATGATGATGATGATGATAATGATAAATAATATTATTCGTTTCTGGTTTCAGACATTATGCGCTCGGGGCGACCGGCATACGCGTGGTACAGCTGCGGCGGACGCGCGGCGGTTTGAACGCATCGCCCCCGAAAAAGATAATGCCGACACGCCGATTGCCGTCATGAACTTTCATTCGATCGCCGAGCTATTGCCATGGATGTTGCTGCTACTTTCCACGACCGGTTTCTCATCTCCCGTCCCCAATAAAAAGGTAAGAGTAACTATTTGCCATACTGTGTAGTGAGTCTTTCCCAAATGATATCACGGATCGCGTGTAGGTACCGAAAACCGCACACTGTAGTTTATCGTATAATGGGTATGACTCTGTATCGATGATGACGTAAACGCTGTACGCTTTGATACCAGGGATTAAGAAATTAATTTTTGGGTGCTATTTTTTTTTTCTTTATATAATTTTGTCTTTTTGTAATGATTAGATTGGGTTTACATAAGTTTATAGAACCCCACTTATAAACATAAATCATAAACCTTCTTCCAGTACCAGCCTACCTACCCACCTGTGAAATCACAAAGCTACAATAGGTAAATTAACGAAACGTGTATAAATCAAAGACCTATATGATAAGGACCCACCGGGAAATTCCCGGTACCCCGGCGGGCCAGTGCGTGTCTGTATTACTATAATATACTCGTAATTTGCCTAGTATACCGTAAAGGGGAAGGAATTTTCAACATTTAATTTGCTTGTATTGAAAACTATACAAAATTGACTTGATCCCATTCAATACCGTGTGTTGTAACTAAATATTATTAGATGCTAACATTATTGTTCATATTTTAGATTTGGAGTGTAGCGAAGGATCTATTGGTTTTACTATATATGTTTTTTTTTTCTGTCTGTGAATAACTTTTGTACAAGAAACCTTGTTTCAAAGTATCAAATGTAGCATCTTTTCCGAAAGGAAATTTTCTGTCGTTAGTGTATTAAGGAAGTAATTTATTAAATTTTCTAAGGGATTTTCTATATAATTGGGAAAACCCCGAACGAAAATTATAGGCAAAACAGTAAATATTTACGGTACACCCACAGGCGCTACTAGACCACCATCTTTGAAGGCGTTAAAATTATAGACACATCAAAGACCTCATGGGGTCTGTGATGTGAATTGAGTCATCATTTCAACAATTTCCTTTACACGACACCTATAATAAGCAACTATACATTTTATTTACAATTTTTTGTATAAAAATGTATCTTAACTTTTTAACTTTATTTGTATACATTGTCATCTATAAGTAATTTGTATAATTGTTGCCTATGCTTATTAATTATGAAATACACGAATAAATATTTAGTCATTACTATTAAAAACATATTGGGTATTTTTGAAAGTGCTAATTTTAAATTTGGGGGGGGTGATAAAGACTCTTTAGTATCCCCCATAATTGCGCCTATGGGCACACCACGGCGTTGCCGATTTTATTATTTTAAATTTGTATATAAGATGTTTTCTATCAGAAATATTGCGCCAATCAAAAAATAACAAGAGATCGATTTTATTCCTTTTAATATATAGCCGCTGATAGAGAAATTCTTTTTTTAATATCTACCTAAAGTAGTTTTTATAAGAAAAATCAAAAAAAGACGAAAAAGACGATTTGTTTCAAATTACGGCACAACGGTTTCATTATATAAAATTGCTACGGGTTATATTTTCTTTTATTTAAATATTGCTTCAATAGAAAAATGTCAAGAAAAATCGTTTTTTGATTTTTTTTTTGTAGTTGTTTTAATAATTGAGCAAAACCGAAAAATACGTAGAAAGAACGGGAAAATTTACGAAACTAATTCTTTTATTATTATGAATTTTGTTTTTTTAATGTAATTTAGTTAAAAATATTGGTAGAATTAAAATGTTGACAGAAAACTTACATTTATATATTGAATATAATATATATATATATTATATTTTTTTATTTCTCAACGTGGTAACATTTTCAGAACATTTGAGTCGTTTTTGAGCTATTTATAGAAATTTTAATTTTGCGAGGGTTTAACGTAATTTTTATTAGGTAGGTACTAGGTACTCTTTAAATTGTTAGATTAAACAATAATGCTTGAAAATTTGACAAGATGTTAATTATAAGCTTTACTTAGTGGTCGAAAAAGAATTGAGTGTAATTTGGTATTTTTATTTTTTTTAAAAGAGTTTTAAAATAAAATGTTGACGAAAATCGTAAATACTACGGTCTTTCAAAACATATTGTCTAACTGAACTTCGTAAGTCGGACTAAGTAAGAACTTTGTAAGTCTCGTTGACCCTTTTCTTTTTTTATTTTTGTCAATTCGAATATTGATTATTAGGGAAACCGGAACATGCATTATAATGTATAGAAAATAGGGATGGACATAAAATCCGAATTATCTAGCTAGTGCTAGATCCAAATTCTAGAAATAACGATAACTAAAAAAATGAGTCGGATAATCCGAATATGCCCATCACTAATAGAAACAGTACTATTATATATATATTATTATACTAAATATGATTGCGGCTCGATATTTGTTTTCTGATTTCATATAATAACGATCGTTATTATATTATTACAACCCTCGGTTAAATATTTATAGAGTAGATTAATTATATTATTATTATTATCATCCGCATTTCGTATCTTCGTACACGCACACTTGACCGTATAGTTCGTATAGACGGCACGGCGCGGCGGCATATTGAATGGTAATTTGAAAGAAAAAAAAACCGTATATATATTATTACCCTCGAGGATCTTAGGCGGCACATTGTCTGCCACGTTTTGGAATAGTTTTTATGAGGTCGAGCGCACACATTGGATGGGCGTGTCTCGAACACCTTTTCATTTACAAGCCCGCGGGTAGAGAAAGAAAAAAAAAACATGTATCGGGTATATAATAAGAAATAAAATCGGTGCCGGCGAGTCTGGGGTTGACTCTGTGATGCAGTATACAATACGATCGACACACCTGCTGCTGCAGGCCCGCAAATAAGTGTTATCGTTGATGTACGGGAAATCTGCATTAAGTATATTGTATTTATTTATGTGTGTTGAATTTTACGAGTTATCGATGATCTTCAAAAAATATATATAATTATTTGTGTTAATCAGTAACTATTAAAATTATTTAATATTTTGTCGATCTAGCCCAGTGTTTCTCAACGTTTTTTTTATTCTACATTTCTCTAGTAGATTTTAAAAATTCTCTTAAAAATCAATTCCAAAATATCGTATACTCTATGAACCACTTATTGGAGAATAAAACAACAGAGATGCTACACAATTTCTTAGTAAACTGATTTCCTGATTCATATACTACGTACTTGTCTAGTAATCATAGTTTCTTCTTTTTGATAAAATGGCTTTACAATATTTCTGCATGATAACTAACTACAGAACATTATTATAAGATGCGCTATACTTTATCATAAAAACAAAATATCTTTGTTCAATGGGATTTCGAGCTATAATCAATTAACATCAGTTCTCTGGTTCGATGTCTATATACTTTTATATAAGTGGCGAATTTTACTAACATTTTTCTGGGAGGGGTCCTGAAAAATCATATGTATTTCAAAGAAATCTATTAATTAGATTGAATATTATAATTAGAAGCCTCTTTTTATACAATATTTTATTGAAATTATATCAGTTTCTGGGATGATCCAGACCCTTTGGATCAACCCTCGCCCCGCGTAAATTCGCTACTGTTTATACATACATTTTGTTTCAAAATTTTAGGAGCATAACCATAATAATTACTTGTTTATAGTTATGTATAGATTATGTTGATGATCGTTATGATTCAATGGTCGATGACTATAACATAAAATTAAAGCGATGGTTCGAGACTTATTGCGTTTAAAACCAACAGTAAAAGAAAAACATTTAAAAAAACATACTTACCTAACCACACCTTTGCCATAATCAGAACTCCATTTCGTCTATATTTATTATGTAGGGTCTATGTTGCTATTGATATAAATAATCTAACGGGATAAAAAAAAATTACATATTATGACGAAATTTTAAAATTTGGCTGTTAAATGTTTTCGCTAAGCTAGCGGAGGGCTTAACGATACATTGTGATGTGTCATCACAGTGTGCCCTTAGTATAATATATACAATAAAAAACCAGCAGATAATCTTAGTATGTAACGAACAAATCCGTTTCAAAACGGTTTTGCGGTTTTCAATTGAATCCGTTGGACATATATTTATACCTACATTTATTGGACGTCACCACTATTGCCATTAACCTCTTTTATAGACTTTATTATATAGACTTGGTATAGACACATAAGCCATCGCATATAATATTTTCTACATAATAATATGTTAGTGACGAAATGCAGTGGCCAATGAAATTACTATAGGAACCTTTGAAAATCTGCGCGTTCGTAATGTAGTGTCACAAACTGTAACCTTGAAAAAAATCTAACTATACGCGAACACACTCATGCACATTTACACGAGTATATAAAATGATAATATATTATGTGTAGAAGCGTTTATAATATTATTGCGCTCAGAAAGATTATCAAAAACGGCCCGAGTTGAAAAAAAAATACGTAATAAATCTTTTACGGTGCGTCGAATTCGAATAGTATAATATGTATTTATATTATATTGTACAATATAATATTATACACATATATGTAAGTGGACCCGAATAAATCACCACTAGAAGGAATAAACATCCGTTACGACAGTTTTTTTTTTTTTTTTAGTGCATTTTCTTCAATTGAGAATAATATAAAATAACGACTGGTTTGTTGTATAGGTATACGTATATAATATATTATGTGTATTGTGTATGCAAATTATCAATTGGTCAAATAAACTGGGTAAAAAAACTTGGCATTGTAAAATAGAAGTTAGTAAATAACAAAAAAAATTCTTATTATTGATAGAAAAGTTCAACATTTCTTTGAATATGTCTTTTTTTAGATTCTGAGTGAAACGAGAATATTTATTGATTTGACTATGGTGATTTTTTTTTTTTACCTGTGAATAACTTTTCTATCACAATTATTTTTTCAATAAATAATGACACGAGACCTTTTTTGTTGCATTTTGGATCAAATTGGTGCACCAAGGAAGTCACTGTTTGATTTTACAAGTGGTTTCATTAATAATTGGAAAAGCAGAGGAAGATAATAAAAAGGAGATAATTTGAGAACCAAAATAGCTTATTAAGAAATGAAAATATTAAAAAAGTCATTCGTAATATCTATAATAAACACATTTCTTTATAAAATGTATCAATAGGTTAAGATTTCTTATTATTATTATTTTATAATCGATATTACCTATATCGGTGTATCGGACAGGTGTAGTAAAACCAATACATTCTTCGCTTCTTTCAAAATTTAAAAAAGAAACACAACATAAACTTTTATACACATCAATATGTATGAGTATATAAAGTATTTAATAAATATATATTTCCAAATTTATGTCAGTGGAATCAGTAACGTTGCTGTGGCGGGAGGGGAGTTGTATCCCTCCCACATTAGCTTCAAAATACAACAACTATGGGTATGTATTTAGTAATTAAATATTGAAATACACGTATTTCAGTTAAGTTACAAGGAAAAGCTTTATTTATTAAATACAAATTGACATTTTTTTAATTCGACTCTTGAATTCCAAACATAGCCACAATAGAAAAAACAATTCTACGATTTATTCGTGACTATTATTTGCTACAACCTGTCCTATTCAAATTCCCGGGCATGCTACTGAATGGAATGTGTTAATGTTCGCCATTTATACTGATTTACACCTATATTAATAATTTTATATTGCACCGGGTACTGCACTTTAATTATAAACACTTTATAGTGACAGAAATATCAAAGCGAGTAATCTAAAAATATAATGTTTATAAGGAGACGTGAGTTTATAATATACTGCATCGGCAACCGTTTTAATCGGTGAAATCGAGTCGTCTGCAGTGGTGCTATTATGCATCATGACAGCAACACACCATAATCAAGTGCCTGTCCGTGTAACATATTATGTATTTATATGTAAATACAAAACAAACCTATAATAGGGTATTTAGTATTTTTACTGTATAGAAGTACAATTACCTATACATAAATATATAGTTACCACTATTACCAGCGTTAGACAAGTACATGTATACATGTAATATATTATTCGTGGTGGTTATCCAATTAATATCGTTTAGAGGGAGACCGGTTATTGTCGTAAAATTATATTCCTATATACCTTTATAGAGTTATTAATAAAACACCTATCCGTTCGCGTTATGTGTCTATAAGAAAATAAAAATTACCGTGCTAAAACGGGTTTATTTTTTCACAGTTTGCAGATCGCGTGAATCTAATCATATTATTGCTACACCGTAAATGTAAGTAGTAAGTCGTGTGAATACAATATGTACGTGAGCTATATAATTTGAACTTGTTATTGTACACTATTTGAATTACCAGGAATTTCCTAGGCTCAATCCTTGAAAATTCAAAAACAGAAATCAATAAAAGAAATTTAATTTAATACATCTCCCAGTTTCCATCCTGATACCTATCACTGCAGTTAATCTCTGTAGTCCGGTAGTTTATATTTTAAATAGAACACCTCCTTATTGTATTTAACAACCAAATTGGATAATAATAACACTATCGTCATCCGTGTCACCAAAGAAATCCTCTAAATTAAAAAAAATCATGTGTCAGCCAACTCTCTAGTATTCAATTTCGAGGTAAAAAGTAAACAGCGATTTTATTTTTGTTTCTAAATGTCAAGAGTGCAGGGTTGCATCAAAATAGGAATAAAACACTGATTTTCATTATAGTGGACTGACAGACAGGCAAACAAACAAAATTTGAATTTATACATAAGATAAAATTTAGTTCGGAATAAAAACTTCGAAATAACGTTATGAATTTAATAAAGTAAGAATTATTGTATATGTATTTGCAATTTTCAAAAAACAAATTAAAATTACAAGCCTCATATTATGATTGTTATTATTTTACATTAGGATTACACTTACGAACAGTGACATTCTTGAAATCCGCGTGTATTTCACATCAGTGTTCCGTTAAAATTCTTTTAAAAGCCCTTTTATGCAAGGCACCGTTTCATTATAACAACCGGTTTTCATAAGGCTCTGCAATTTGTAGTCTATACAGAAACGGTTTTCATAATATTAATGTTCACAAAAATAATAATAAAAACTTGTACGTGCACTTACGTTGTACATTTTCTAATTATTAATCTACGACGAATAATGGAATTTAAAATATTTTTCACCGATAGGTATCTATGAAAAAAAAATTGTCATTTAATTATTCTGTATAATATATAGTACCTAACCGATTAAAAGATTTTATTAAAAATGTATTACTTATAATTCATAACTTTTTAGATCTAATAATGTATATTACTTAATTACCAACCTTAATATTATGATTTTTACATTACATGATTATTTTGTCAGTGCTCGAATCGGAAAAATAAAATAAAACTATATGAGATTTTAAAACAATAGCTTTCACCATGGGATTGATTAAATGACATTTTTTTTCTTTAATTTAATGCAGCAATTTTAACTATACGAACGGAAATAAGAAAATACGATAAAAAATAACTGCAAAATATTTTAGTGTTTCGGCGTGATTCCGACCGTCGACCCCTATAACGTTTACTTTAAGCTAATGCCTAACCTTTTGACCTACCTATCCATAATAAAATTAAAAATTTAACAAACACGGCAACGCCAATTGTGACTAAATACGGTATTTCGGTATTTGGTTACAAATGGCATTTTTAATTATTATCGTGATAGCCCTGAAATGTAATATAATTATTTATAACTTTATAATTATATAAGCATATGACATACAATTGATTTAAAAAGCAAAATGTAATACGATATTATTGATTTATGATTTTAGATAAAAAAAAGTCTTAAATAATATAATAGTATAATTTTACACTGTTTTTATAAAGTTGAGTTATTTAATTATTATAAAGCTTAGCGACATTGTTGATTTCGATATTAACCTAAAAACACAAACCTTCCCGGGAATTTCCTGTTTAGTTTTCAATTAATGCATATTCCTGTTTGGAATACATAATTTCGACTATCTTGACTATTCTAGGGTTAGTATTGACATTTTTATATCATTTATTGTACTTTTTTTTATGTATTTTATTGGTCCTTTTTCCAATCACCCTTTTCATTGTTTTTCTTCCCTTCCCATATAAATTTAATGATACAATATGATTTTTATTATATTAAAGTGTAATAAATATACATATACTTAAACTGATTAGAATAATATTATCATTATTCGTACAAAGAAATGTGTAATAAATTTGAATAAAGTACTAAAGAAAAATTAATTTATGCAATCAAATCGTTTAAACAATCAAATAAAAACTATTGTTCTTAATAAATATTATATAATTTTTTTTTTACTTTTACCTATGATAAAATATCTACTAAAATATTTCATTAGATTCGGCTGATTAATTAAAAATTACAGTGTATCGACGGAAACAGAGTCTTTCAGACGTTTTTCGTCAAGCAATGGTTTATCATTGCTCACAGATATAAATGAAAAAACCTTGTGTATCCTACCTTCCGAACTTCTCATCTACAACAGTGACCGCTGCCATTCCCAGTATCAGGTCTTTTTTTTTTGTTTTAATTCTTACAGTCTTATGTTTCCTATTCGACGAACACTGCGGATAGATAGATATATGCCTACCTGTTGTAAAACTCCCGATTCGTCCCCGAAAAAAATCTCTAGAACAACGTCTGACGTAGGCAACCAGTTTTTTTGTTTTCTTAAGTGCGTAATATACGACTGTAATATATATCGTCGATCGGTGTGTATAGGTCGGTATTATACTTACTACAATAATTTCCGCGTATATCCTCGACGTCTATACGTGCGACTGTTGATGCGGCGTGGCGCCACAGCTACCTGAGCTACCTATATTTATGTACAATAGAATAATAGCCGAAATGCATTTCGGAAGCGACTTTTTTTTTTCTCCGTCTCGTCGATAATCAAACTCGTTTGCCGTACCTACCTATCATAATAATGTATTATAATAATAATATTACAACGTTTCAGAATATTATTACCTGTGCAGTGTAAAAACGGCGGGTCGACTGGTTTTTTTTTTTTTTTTCAAAACGACGACGTTTTCGCGTGGCGAGCAGCATTGAAATATACGATTGTTTTTCTGGTTTTTTATTTTTTACTTATTATTTTTGCCACCTCTGCCGCAACAGTATAATATATAGACAGTGGCATTCGTAATTATCATTATAATATTATTATCATTATTATATTATGATACGAGCGGAAAAATAAAAACACGCGACAAACCGGGAATATAAATAACGTCGATACCTACCTATAGTATAATAATATGTGATATTATAAAATGCGACGAAATTATAATATTATGTGCACGCCGTGCGCATATGTCGCTTGCACGGCTGTAAGAAAAGAAAAAAAAACACTTACGTATATAATATCAATTAGGATTTACATACCGGCTATAAAATATTTAAATGCTCGTTTATACATATATATATATAATTTTAAATAATACAATACAATGACTATATCATGTGTACGACTGTCCGCAGGAGTTTGATTGCAAAGGTCGGGTGGAACGGTGTGAGAGGAAAAAGGCGGCCGCCAGGAGGCCGGTGTGCGGCACCGACAACATTAGCTACTCGAACAGGTGCGCCTTACTGCAAGAGCGGTGCTTTAACAACTCGTTGTTGCGCGTCAAGCACAGGGGACGATGCAAAGGTAAGACGTGAAAAGTCCTAACGGGAAGTGCGATCGCCACTCCTCAGATGTTTTAAAACTGCTCAAAGTATCATTTCTATACACATATATTTTATTCATATAGTATATGAACATAATACTTCGTATATTATTGATATGCCAGCTGTATTTCAATTAAACTGTGTACGATGACGTATTACGCATTTAGAGCAGTTATCTGTATAAACCAAAAATATCGAAATATACCCATTTAGGCCAACAAAAAAAAAAAAAAAAAAATCGTTTTGGACACAACCCGTTTATGCCAAAGTATAAAAGGTTTCTTTTTTTCCGACCGCCCATTTACGCCAAATTTACCTGCGTATATTACACGATTACATTATGATTAAGTATATCACACGAAAATCATTTTTACGTTACCTTTATTGGTAAATTTTGCGTAAATGGGCGGACGGTCGGAAAAAAGTACCTTTTTATGGTGCAAATGGGTGATTCTCATACCCCTAAAATATGCTTTAAAATATATCAGATTAAATAATGATGGAAATCATGTGGAAATTGTCTTAAAAATGTATGAATCATTATGCTTCAGATAAAAATCAATTGCAAAATCTTGACTGCGAGTCATTGCATATTTACGACGTATTTAAGAGATTTTTACGAACGAGGTAAAAAACATCCCCCCCCAGTTATATGGGTACACACATGACCATACTTGAACATGTACTTTATTTTCTTCACCTCAACATTGCTTCTTATTCTCTCTAAACATTTCTACTCAAAATCATATTAACGCCTTTCAAATTTTGTCGATTGGGGACAATCGCCCGTTTGCCTAAAAGTATCACTGGCAATTGCAATTAACTCATTTTCTAATTTTCAATGACAACAGTCATGCGTAAAATAACTAGGTACATATCAATCACCACAGCGACAATTCGTTTCATCGTGAAATTCATACAAATAATTGTTTTATTTGCTTTTATTACATAATTTTACTAATCTACGAATATGATTTTGCAGCTGTGTGTCAATATTTTTGGAAATTAAAAAAAATAAGAGTATACTTCACGGGGTTGGGTACTTACCTTACTTCATGCAGATACAATAAAATACAAGGTGATTCATGTAAGTGGGTACACTCATTTCTCGGAAGTATTGATTTTTTGATCAGTGTTGATCAATTGACGAGATATTCAACTTTTAAGTTTGGGTTAGAAGGGAGTAGTGGAGTGTCATCTGTGTGACAGTACGGCGCGCGACGTATTATTAATGCACCACTACTCTCCTCCAACCTATAATTAAAAGTGGAATATCTCGTCAACGGCTTGACAAAACTCAAACATTTCAACACTTAAATGTATTTTAACTAATACTTCATCTGCTTATGGAATTTTTAATATAGGTTGCCATTTGAAAATCAAAAGTAGGTAGTGTTTTTACCCCCAAAAGTAATGGTGACAAAAAATAACATAAATATAAAAATGTAGAACAGCTTGTTTCTTAAATTGTATAGAATACGAATTTCGGAAAAAGTTAATACTTTCAGAGTTAATGAGTGTACCCACTTAAATGATTCACCTGGTACTAGTATATTATTAATATATTATATTTGCGATTGCCGCTGTTCGTTTTTTATCGTTTACACAACTCTTTCTCCAAGACCACTGTAGTTCTTCGCGTGAATAATAATATAACCTATAAATAAAAATATTGTCAATAAGTACATTATATTATCAGAAGTTTCCAAAATTTTTATGGTACGACCCAGAATAATATCAATGACCCTTTTTTTTTTTGGTTTATTTTTCATTTCTGGATGGTTCATGAAGTTTGTTCAGTCACATACTCTCATTCGCAAGTATAGATCCAATTTTCTGGTAGAAAATTTGTTCATAGGAAAAAAAAAGCCGTAATATATTTTAACTTATAGCAAAATTTCGTACATTTTTCCGTTTTATTGGGAAAAATTGGGAAAATCGAAAAAAATGATTTCCCTAAAGTACCAACCGTCAGATTTTCTTTTAGAAAAAGTGGCATCATTATAAATCGGAACAAAATAGCTGGTAGACAAAATTGTTCACAGGTAAAATAATAACGTAATATTTTTTTTTAAAATTAATACCTACCTTTCGTACATTTTCCCGGTTTTTGTCAATTTTTTTCCTGTTTTTACAATATATTGAGAAAATTCTTGGAAAAATTAAATAATGACCTTTCTAAAGTACTTCTCCAGTGTAATTTCCTTTCAGAAAAAGTGTTACAAAGTGCTTGTAAATCGTAGCAAGATTTCTAGTAAAAAAGTTGTTCGTGGATAGAAAAAAAAATAAACATCATTGTAAAACTAATACCTTTCTCGTCCACTAGAATTTAAAAATGTATTATTTTAAAATATAACGCGACCCACTAAAAATATCATCGCGACCCACACTTTGGGAACCTCTGTATTATATTATTGTGATTATACTAAGCTAGATATGATATGTATTTAACTGTGACAACGCATCGATTGGTTTATTAAACGAAATAATGTAAACTATAACTTTTTTATTATTCCTATTGAACTATTGGATTGTTATCTTAAAATTGACTTATATACTTACCTATTCATTTCATAGTTTTTACGTAGATGCTCATTTTAAAATCTAATATTAATGATATAATTATACCTGTTCATTGGAGAATAGATAAAAGCTAAGAAAGAATAAAAGCTACAGGAAAATATTTTATGTTTAAGTCAAACATAAAATTAAAATTTTTTGGGGTATTCGAAATACATTTAAATTGAATATAAAATAAAATTACATTATTTTATGAAGTTAAATAGGAATTATTCGATTTTTGATTAAAATTCATATTGAGTAATAGAATCTTTAAGATTTTACACACTCAGGTAACTAAACTATATAAGCACCTATTTAATGATTTTACAGAAAAACAGCCCTGTTGGGTGGATCAGACGATTAAAACGGACGATCCATCAACAACACCAGACTCGTATATGCCCAGGTGCAAAGCTGATGGTACTTACTTCCGGATCCAATGTCATAAAAAAGAAAGATATTGTTGGTGTGTAACACCCGCGGGGAAATTGGTGCCCAACACAATGGTTAAAGGAGAAAAACCAATATGTGATAATGTCAGAGGTTCGTTTGAAATTTGTATTAGTTGATATCATATATTTTCTGTTAAGTATCTACTCGTCTCATATTTTATCACATACGTACCAATTATAGCATCGTATTTTAATAGGAAAAGGGCAAAGACCTCCGGGAAAAGGAAATAATACCAGACGAGGTAAGCAATTTAATTATTGTGCTATATAATTTAACATAAATTTTAAAAATCTAAAACTGTTTGTATAAATTACAAACATATATCAGTTATATACTATTTTTTCAGAATGCAATAAAAATGATAAAACAACATTCGTAAGCAATTTAATGAGAATATTCAGAACGGAGTACCATCGGGACCAGCATGCACTAAGTGGTAAATTGTAATATTATTTTTACCTATACGGTATACATATTATTATTATACATAGCAACTTGTAGGTAGGCAGCACATTTATTATCAAAGCATTGTCATTTTTCCTAATGTACTTATTAAACATTTAATGTCGACCTATTATTATATAATATTTATGCGATTTATGCCGGGTCCACGCCTGCGCAAACATGCGTGCGTGTTCATTGTACTTAATTCAAATCCCAATTTCGACTTCAGATTGACCATACAGCACATGCTCAATTCGTTCGTTTGCATTTAGGTACGTAAACGTCGGGGCGTGCAAGTGTACGATGCATCATCGCATAGCTATCTGTCAAAAGTAGGTCCTTCAAAAGGTTTAAAAGGAATTATATGTGTTCAACGTATAAAATGTACGTCACACAGTATCTACTGATGGGTTAATTTGAGTGTACACTCGAGGCTCGAGCATAAAATGTTCAAAATAGATGACAACCAATAACGGGTTTTCAACATTTTTCTGGTAGAGAGAGGGGTTCTGGAAAATAATATGTATTTCAAATTGTCAAAATTATTATTTTGAACAGACACCTGTTTTTGGACAACAATTTATTGGAATTTTATGTATAGGGCGGGCGTCTAGACCCCCTGGGTCTCTCCATAAATCTGCCACTGGATAGGTAGGACCCGAATATGCTCAGCACCCGGCTAAATAATAATAACTAATTACGCAATACTTTATTTACAGTCGGGTAATTATTAATATAGAAAGTGTACCTATTATACCTACTAATATAAAAACATAAGTAACTAATACAAATTCAAATGTTAGAGAGTGACCGTTCATTGTTGGACCTAATTATGTTAGACACACGAGTCGTTGAATGGAAATTCAGTTCCTTGGACATTGACAAAAACGGCAATTTAACCAGAGTAGAATATAGAGATCTGAAAAGAATAGTTCGCAAAGAGGTCAGACCCAAGCGGTGCTCCAGAAAGTTTATTCGTTTGTGCGACACGGATCGCAACAACGAAATGTCAAAAACCGAATGGATGGATTGTTTTTCAATAGATGGTAATAGCCATTGACATATCTACCTATTATATAACAAAATATTCTTATTAATACTACCCTACTTTAAATACAAATAGTTTATTTGGGTAAATTTTACAACTGAAACGTTATAGGTAAAAGAACTTCGACCACGTCATCAACAACCACGACCACAACAACCACCACCACTACAACCACCACCACTACAGTAATGACGCCGATAGAGGACTACGATGACGGTGGAATTGGACTCGATGAAGCCAACCCCGATAACAGTAAACACAATCACAGTTTATTTTCATTAAAACTACAACAGTCCACATTAATATAAATATCATATATCATTCTCTACTTATGAAAGTTTTCTTTAGCTCTGAGTTTGGTGAGCCATTGTTGCCATGGCTCCAGTTTTACCTTATTACAAATTGTTTATGTTCATGGTGTTAAATCTATTATCGTCGAAGCAACTTCTGGTGTTCCACAAGGCGGTCATTTCTGTCCTCTACTTTTACATTATTTATTAAAACGATTATTATCAACAGTCGTTTTCTTTTTTTTTGCTAATGATCTTAAATTGTTTTTAAAAATTAATTCTCTTAGTGACTGACATTCATTGCAAAATTATACTTATTTTTTAATGTCTTGGGCAAATGTTCATGGATTGGAACTGAATTTATCTAAATGTCACACAATATCTTTTTACAGATCCCGTGAAAGATTTGATTATCACCACTTTATCAATGCTAAACCTTTATTACGAATTCTTAATAAAGTATTTGACTTAAATATTGAGCATCCTACTCATGGTTATTATCCAATTTTACACAAGTTTGGTTTATGATCCTTAGCTGATAGGAAGCGAGTTGCTAATCTTAATTTTCTCAACCAGCTAATAGATTAATTTTAAAGTCCCTTCCAAGTGGAAGGTTTTTAAACCCATTTTTAAAACCCATTTAAACCATTTTTTAAACCCAAGTGCAAAACCAATTATGTTGAGAACCATCTTTAGAATGATGCGTATAGCATAATAGTGATCGGTTAGATTTTGAATTTTTGTTATAGGTGTATTTATTTGTTGTTTTTATATTTTACATGTTATTGTTAATTCTGTAATTAGGCTCAGCCCATATTTTTTAAAATTAAAAAATAAAAATATTATATATTATACCGAAAACTTACCTTAATAATTATAGTTCTACAAACAAGCGTGGCTACACTTAGTGGTACCATCCCAGGTTTAATGGCCGAAAGTGATCAAGAAGAAGAAGCTGAAGGTATTTATTTTTCATGTTAATATAATACTGTCATATCTATTTGCATTACAAATATACTGGCTATACTTTAGGCAGAATTTAGGTATGGGTACGTGCATGCATTTTTAAATTTTTATTACGCTTGAAGACATACAGTACAGAAATAAGATACTTATACTAGTTTAACAAAAAGCATACATAGATAAGTAGTGGAATACACACAAAATTAAAAGAGACTGTACTGCAATATTGCACTATATAGTGTCTAAAATATATATAGCTATAGGAAAGTCCAGTATCGTAACCAAAAGTGGGAAGGCATTAAGGGCACGCCTCTTCACTCCCGAAATCTTTTTTTTCCCGTAATTTTATAGTGCAGTTTACAAAAAGTCGTTATATTAACAACATTTGTTATTAGTAGTATTATAAAATATATTGTTATTTATATAATTATTATGTATAAGCAATAGGTAAGGAGGAATCATTAATTGCAGAAATTTATATTTTGTGTAAAAATGGGACTAGTCCATCGTTATAGAAATATCAACAGCTAAATATCTCAATAAATTACTATGACATCGTAGTTTTTGTATGAATCACTTTATAGGGTTTTTTTGAGATCTTATCATTATCAGCAGTTTTTTATCCTATTATTTATTAATATTATTTTGAGCCGATCTATTTCTGAGTTTGTGTTATAAAAAAGTATTATTCAATCTTTTTGATTTTAAAATACTCGTGAATTATGAAAAAACAAAATATTTTGCAAATCAAGCAACTCAAGAAGTAGCTTTACACCCAAAAGATTCCCATAATGAATTAAAAAATTAATGATTTGAAACATCTGAAGCCCTGCATTTCGAATAATTCTGTTTTCAGATTTTAGGGAACAATTTACGAGTGGCAAACTTGTTAGCAACTAAAATAATACATTTTAATATTAGATAAATAACTAAATAATTACATTTCTAAATGGCTAAAAAAAAATATTTTTTATTACTATCTCTGTGGTATAAATGCATTTAAAATGGTTTACATTTTATTTTAAAATTTAAGTGTTGTCGATAAATGAATAAATCATGTCGTTTTAAAATCTCATACATTATGATACATCCACTATCTGCTTTTAATATGTGCACCAATCCACTGGTATAGAACGACCTCTAATTTTGTGGTTTGGTTGTATTCAATCTGTAGCCAGTAGGTACCACTTATTATAAATATGTATAATTTATTTTCCAGTTAACGATTGTTTAAAGGACAGACAAGAAGCATTGGATGATTCATCGAGTTCATCCCATAAGTACATTCCCGAATGCACATCTGATGGCAGATATAAACGCGTTCAGTGCTATAAATCAGTTGGTATGTTTATAGATACACAATAACCATAAACAAGCATTTTATGTATACATAATTTTTTTTTTTGAACACTCAGGATACTGTTGGTGCACACAAGAAGACACTGGAAAACCAATTCCAGGAACTTCAGTGAAGGACTCAAATCCCAAATGTGATGCCATTCCACCACTTTCACGCCCGATGAAAGGATGTCCTGAGAATATAAAACAAATTTTTCTAAAAGATCTCATGGATTACTTAAGACAAAAACACAGGTTTATTGTGCATAATTAATGTTTTACTTTGTGTTACTGAATGATAGTAATATTGTTTAATATGAATTTATATTACAGTAAAATCAATAACAACACATCATTTTCAAGCAATTATGAATCAATAATATCTGACATTTTTCATTCTCTGGATACGAATCATAATAAGGTAAATAAATTTAATTATTCTGAGTGTTTCACGGGCCATATGTATAAGGTGATCCATTTAACACTTATTATCTAGGAAAGTATTACTTTTTTGAAATATGTTATACAGAACATGTAAGAAACAAACAACTCTACAAAAACTAAAAAAAATTTCTACATCAAAATATATCTTAAATTATATACAATATATTTATAGAATTTTTAATATAGGTTTTCAATATAAAATCAAAAGTAGGCAGTGGTTTTACCCTTAAAACTAAAGGTAATAAAAAATAAAAAATTTAAAATTACAGAACTGCTTGTTTCTTAAATGTTCTATAAAACATATTCCGAAAAAAGTTAATATTTACCGAGATGATGAGTCTACGCACTTAAATAGATTACCTTGTAATAAAGTTATATTATACTATACACAAAGCATTCAAAAATATAGATTTTGGAACGGAGAGAATGGAAGAAGTTTCGAGAAGAAATGTCAGCTAATAGTAAACTGAAGCAATGTGGGAAAAAATTACCTAGACATTGTGATGTAAACCATGATACAAAAATTGGCTTTACAGAATGGCTAAACTGTTTGAATATTAACCATATTCAACCTCAAACACAATCTCATGGTGATTTTCTAGTTAACAATAATTCAATAGTTCTTTTTTTTAAATCTGTTTTTCTTTTCTTTTTTTTTTCAGAAAATAATACGACTGTAATTGCAAAAAGAAGAGGTCCTAATCCACTTGAATCATATCTTAAAGGTGATGACTAAACAGAACTGGAATTCTACAAATTTGGAATAAATAAAAACAAATGAAATTCAGCGAAATTAATTTATTAAAACTGTTTGTATTATATTTTTAACAGCTTTATTAAACTATTACTATTATATATATATACTTTTTTCTGAAAATACTATATTGTTTCAGTTTAATATTTAAAATTTATATATTATATATTTTTGATTTTTATGAAATGAATTTTTAATAAAATAAAATTTGTATTATAAATAGTGTACACTGAAAATTCAAAACTATTTAAATTCATTTTTTATGCTTAAATAATAATATTAAAAGAATATAATATGAATGTTAAAAATAATAAAATAAGTAGTAATAACATGGCATATTTAAATTGTTTAATTATTCATTTTTATAATATTTATAATAAAATATAAGGCCCATTTGAGTCATAAATCTAAACATTATATCACAGATTATACAAAATCATATTATTATGAGTTGTATTAAACAATTGTTAGCTTTGGCTTAGGATTTTATTACATAAGTACCTTTGTATTGGGTTAAGACTCGTTGATTAAAATATAACTATCACACTTAGCTTACATATGTTACAAACAAAAGAAAAAAAAAAGTATAAAAATTAAACACATTACAATTATTTGTTCCATAAACAGACTTAAATAATAAATGAGCTATACGTTCCTGTTAGTTGGGATTCTGTTGATGTTGATTTAACCAGAAATAATCTATGTATTATAATATAATATATTATATTACATTCTATTTAATAATTTATCAATGTATAACTAATGAGCGGATGATATTTTCTTCCAGTCGTTGTCTGTAAAAATAAATGTTCACACAAGAAATAAATTAACAATATCAAAATAAATAAGTTTCAAATAATAAAAATAAATATAATTTAATAAATAAAAAATAAAATAAAAATGAACAGTTTTAAAAAGTTATAGTAGGTAGACGAAACTGTTTGTAATAATAGTGATCTTGGACAAATTAAAAACTGGGTATTTAAACTGTACCATAAGTATATAAAATGGCGTTTCATAAGCAAATAATATAATACAAGTAGAGATATTGAATCTTTAATATCTACATAAAACATTATAGTTTATGATTGAATACATCACAATTATCTATAACTGTAACAGATTATATGTATGGACGTATTTTTAACTTATTTGGTTAGCACTATTATAAGTAATTATTTGGAATTTTTAAAAAATATGTGCACCTAATGAAAAATCATCCAGATATTTCTCTAATGAATAATATTTTGGGAAATAAAATTATTATGTTTAACTACAAAGAACCAATTTAGTATTTACTCATCACTTTAAAGTTGGCGTGTAATTAATCAAAAAACATGGCAAATTTATCAAACAGACACTATTGATTCATGGATTTTTAATCAATATTTAATTCTAAGTTTATGTTCTAAATTGCACTATTATTATTTCATTTTTAAAATTAGTATTAAAAATAATCAAATTTTATGAACTTATAAATATTATTGCTATTTATTTGTTTATCATGCAATGCACAACAACAGTTTAGCAGCATAATACATAATTTTAACACTAAAATTAAGAGTGAATTATTGGAATTTTCCCTAAGGGCTGAACAGTAGACTGCTAGATTATTATGTAATTTGATAAAATAAATATAAATAATACATTGTGTTTTTTTTAACAGGGTTGACTCTGGTTTTATAGCGTTTGCTAATTATAATAAGATACAGTCAAAAATAGCAGAATGAACTTTAAATTTGTTTTATGCACCAAGAATTTCAAATATAAAATTATATATTGCTATTTTCTACGTATTAGAAGTATTTTAGATTTTTGTTGCTATTTTTTGCTAATATGCAAAATATAATAGTTTTGTATTTTTCATAAATAGCAAAAAAAAAAATTGTCATTTATGTTAATCCACTAGAAAAATACCTAAATTTTTGTTTCATGTTATAATCTATTTTTAAGTAACTCTGCTTATTAGCCATCGAGCAGTATATTTTTATGACTTCTTATCTGGAGTATTTATATACCTATTTAGAAAAATTAAAAATTAAGATTTTTTAGGTCATATTCAAACGCATATTTCAGTTATTTTCAGTGCAATAAAATCTAAGCCATGGTTATAAATAACGTGGTTTTAGTGTTTTAATAAAGGTGATATTATGGGTTGAACAATAAATTCATAATAGTTCATAGGGAATTAATGCTTTTATAAAATGTATTATTGTATTAGAATAATTTAATAGGTATTAAATTTACAAACATAAATTACTTTAAAATCATCTATTGAGAAATTATCATAAAGAGGAATTTTTGTGTTAAGCTTCTGGCATAGTTAAAACTAGATGACGAAGTACTTAAAACTCCCTGTTTTAAATTTGCATTCCAAATGTTTTCATATGTTTAAACTTTTTGATACTTGTTGATAATCCTACAAAATATCTTAAAGATCTGTAGGATATATTGTTGAAACTCAATTAATTAATTTGGTTGATTAATAGGGGAAAGCCCCCAACATTTTACTGGCATGCATAGGCTAAAAATAATTGATAATCTACCCCTGCCTATATAAATTGTATACATTTTAAATATAAATATTTTAAAAACATAAAAAAAAAACTATTAATTTTTTGTGTTAGCTTACCATATAATTGGTTGATGAACATAGTGGTGTATGTTTTAATTGTTTGGTTTGTTGGTTATCATGGAGTTTTTGAGGATCAGAAAAATGTTTAATGTTTAAAAACAATTATTTACATTATCCCACAATATATACATGCCACCATACAAATAATTAAAGAAAATTACCAAATTATACATATAAATGAAATATCAGTTATATTGTGCAAAAAAAAAAACCATTAATACCAACTTCAACCACGAATAAACATTTTATAAATAAATAATTAATTTGAATTAATTTAAAGGATTTAAAGTATAACAGAAAATAACATTAAACTCTAAATATGGTGGGATCATAAATTATTTTATGATTCAAGACATTTTTAATATAGAATACATTTTATTGAACTGCATACAATATATAGGTACAAAGAAAAATACTTTAAAATGCACAATAAAAATTTTGAATTTAAAGTTTAGCATTTATTATGAATACAACCAATTTAGTAAGTATGTTATGTTTTAATGAATTTAATAAAAATAAATACAGTAATTATTTTATTATTATTAAAAATAATTAGTAGTTATTTTAAAACTGATTAGTTATATTAGGTAAGATGACTAAATTTGATTATCTACATATATTAACGTGTTAGCCATTAATAAATAATGATGTATTATTGTTTTTAATTTTTTAAGAATAATCTTATCTAAGTTATATTGTTTATAACTTAGCACATAATTAATTAACTGTCTAAAATATAAGTAGCACCGTAGTGGTACAATCATATTATATTTAACATAACTGACCAAAAATGGTGTGATACATTAGGTTAAAGTATTATTGTTAAGTTGAAAAGGTAATACTATAAATATTATATTAATTATTATTAATAAATATATTTTTGTATAGTTTTATTAGAACTGAATTTTATTTTAGAATTTAAATCATAATTTTAAATTTAAAACTGTTAATATTAACATTAACTTTATTATTGTTTAATTTGTGGTTAATGATTATAGTTAGCTCAAATATTAAAGAGTTTAGGAAATGTAAAGTAATAGAATACTATTAACACATACACAGGAAATAATTTTGTAAGAATATGATTTGTGCGGTGAATGCTGGCCAAACAATTGAAATCAGAGCCAAACTCTGTAATTTTATAAATGATGTGTGATCAAAAACTTTTTAACATTGAATTAAAAAAGCATCTTGCTATGCTTGTAAAATATCAACAAGCATTTTATACATGCAATATTAAATTATAATTACCGTTGGTATTGATTGTTTCACCTCTAGCTAAATTATCTTCTATTTCTAATTCTTGAGCTTGTAAGCCTAATTCACGTTCTTCTCTTCTCAGTCGATTCACTTCACTCATCAGTTCACAATAAGCATGCAAAAGAGATGGTTCATCTTCGTTCTCTTCATCTCCTAGAAAATTTCAAATTAATTTATAATATACAACAAATTCTTTAAAATGGATACACATTATAAACAGGTAATTTTTTTTTCCCAGTAACTGGTTACCGTGATTACTTTTGGGGCTAATAACCGCTCTTTGGTTTTCAAGTTTCAATTTTGAAAAGCGAACTTCGTGAGCCTACAAGACCACTTTACTAACTGCCCAAAACTGGGATGTTAAACCGTTTAAATTCAAAAAAAAAATTAGAGTGAGAAGTTCAGTACCTGGTAGAGTAATTACCTGGCAAAAGAGACTCATGTTCGATTCCCAATCGGGCCGCCTAAATTTTTAGCAGTATTTTCAGGAGAACGGCCGGGTCAACCTGGTTCCTCTTTTTAGGAAACAGTTGAGTAAATATTGTAACCTTCCATTTTTAGTTAGTAAAAAGATTTACTGATATTCAGTCACTACTTACTAGTTGGACTGATCACGAGTGAATCGTGTGATGAACAATGAATAATAATTTTTAATGTAATCAAATATGTGACATGTATATTTTTTTTATGCTATTTATAGAGTTTATACTAGTTGACAATTGAAGTTAAAACAAAGGTTGAGGTTAGAACAAACTTTTCAAACACTTTTACAAACTAATATTGACTGATTATGAAAGTTGTGAGCTAAGAGAAAGGTGATTTGCTGAACTTACTAGCCTCTAAAACTTGATTAGCCTTTGATGATTGACTGAGTTAAATGCTTTTGCGAAATCTAAGTATATGGCATCAACCTACAAACATTACATTACTCAAAAGATTGGAAAACATAATTACAAAAAACTAAATATTCTCATTGGATTTTAAGTTAAATTGTTTTGTTTTTTATTAAATAATTATGGAATTAAGCTTTATTTTAAACTATTTTCAATTGTTCACCTTAAATATCTAAAATGAGCATCAGGTTTGAACTTTTAAATAGCAACATCCCTTTTTTTCAGGTTTTTTTTTTAAATCAGATTCAAATAGAGAATATTTGTCTCGACATTTTGATACACACATCATTGGGAGACTATATAATTCCGAAAGTTGTATTACCGACCGTATAATTCCGGAATTAAAGTGTAATTGTAGACCATAAAAATATAGAAAAGAATAAATAACCGAACGTAATGGCACCGACGGTTTTTTTTTTCCGGAAAAAAAAATAAACGTAAACCGTATTTTTAACGACCGTAGAGGTCCGAAATGTAAATCCACCGACCGTATTCAGGTAGACAAAAATAATATGCGAACCGTAAAGTCTCAGAAAGTATAATTCCGGAATTTAAAAATTTGAACACCGTATTTTCACCGAATGTAAAAATCCAGAAATTCACAGACTGTATAGTTCCAGACGGCATTTCGCCGAAGAAAAAAATACGCAGACTGTATTATTCCCGAATTTGATAATTTTCATATCGTATTTTTACCAACCTTAAAAATCCGGTGTTATCAGTGTTGATTTTGTGATTTTTATTAACCATAATACGGTCGGAGTATTAACATTCCGGACCACTGCGGTCCATAAAAATACGGTTTACGTATTTTATTTTTGGGAAATAACGGTCTGCGGCATTACAGTTGTTTATTATACGTTCTGCGTATTTATTTTTTCTTTCGAAATACGGTCTGGTATTATACGATTTGTGAATTTCCCGATTTTTTACGGGCGGTAAAAATACGGTATGAAAATTATCAAATTCGGGAATTATACAGTCTGAAACAATACGGTTCACAGAAAAAAATTTCCGTAATAATACGGTCTTATAATACTATCAGGTCTACATAATTACTTTTCCGCCGAAATACAGTCTGGAACTAAGCGGTTTGTGAAATTCCGGGTTTCTACAGTCTGTAAAAATACGGTCTGTGTATTTACAAACTAGAACCTTACTCTATGCACCATTATTTTTCGGGTTTCTACATGCGTCCATAACATCAATATCTGATTTAACATTTATGAGTAATAACAGTTTTATGTTTAGACCAGCAGAGTGGAAAGAAGTAATAAATTGCACATTTATTGTTAAATGATTAGTTGATGACTATGAAAAAATATAATTGTAATAGTGTTAAGATAATCTTATCATGACTACATCTAAACATTCTGAATACTAGTAGCGCACACGGGGGGGGGGGGGTTAGTGNCCCCCCCCCCCGAAATTTCTTCTTAGGCCATATTTCTACATAGGGTTCTACAAAATTCTCTTTTCTAGGAAATAATTACAAATACACACCCCAATACTAAATACATAACCACTCAAATAGCCTTAACATAACATGGGAGTAAATTAATTTAAAATAAAAATTGTGAGTAAAAAAAAAATGTAAACATGAATAGTCACAGTGTTCATAGTATATTACCTTCTCCTCTAAGCTTTTTCTCCACTTCAACACCTTCAGCTTCTAAAATTTTAAGTTTGACATCTAATTCCTCCAATTTTCTTTGAATTTCTTGTGCCATACGCAACCTTTAATTATTAAAACGATAGTAATTATGAATATTTATTTAGTATATAATTTTTTTTTTTTTATAAGACGAAATGATTATCATATATACATATATTAATACATGCATATATTACCTTTTGCGCTGAGATTGTCGAGCAATTTTAATTTCAGACTTAGACATTTTACTATCTGCACTTTGAATACTATAGTCATCATCAATTTTATATTTTTGTGACCCATCAGTATGAACTGTTTCTATAAGAAGACAATTAATTTAAACTTATACTCCCCTGTTATGAAAGAATATTGTAATTAAAAATAATAGAAAATGAGGCAATACCCACTTATGTGTAATAAACTAGTTATAAACATTTTTTAAACTATGGTTATCTCTCTTAATATGGTAATATACGTATTAGGTACACAATTAAATTTATTTAGAAGTAAAATTTTAAATACCTGAAGATTGTAGATTATCAATATTATAAGAAGACGGTAATGGGGGTATAGGTGGGGCTAATGAATCTATTAATCGACGTCTGATTTCTGATTCACTATTTGATTTATACTGTACAGGTTTATCTCCCACGGCTGGAATTAATTTTTTATCCTAGAAAATAAAAATTGTTTTAATATATAGGTTAACAAGAGTTTGAATTTAATAAATACCTACATCATAATACTCATAAAAATTAATATTTTAATAGTGTTAAATTCAAAAATAATTTAATTTAAGCCCAAATCTAATGATAGGTAAGTGTCATACATTATTTTTGTATTATGTAATAAAATATGTATAAAGCATACTGTATATTTTAATAGATATCTGTTTAAGTTTATAATTTTCAATTTTGTTTTTTGTAGTTATTCATCTAAAAATGTCCTTAAAAACTTAAAATGTTGACAGAATACTTATATTTGCTATTTTTAGAAATGTTAAAATTGTAAAAACATTTCAGCAATTTTTTAGCTATTTATAGACATTTTAATTTTGTGAGTTTTTTTTAAGTTTTTTAAGGTAGGTACTCCGTGGATAAAATTGTAAGACTAAACAGAAATGCTTGAAAATTTAACAGGTTCATTATAAGTCATACTTGTGGTAAAAAAAAAAAATAATAAAAAATAGTGTAATGTAGTGATTTTTTTTATAAGAGTTTTAATATAAAATTATAAAGAAAATCATAAATATTATATCCTTAAAAACATTTATAAACAAACTTTGCTCAAAATCGTTATTCGTTTGAAATGGCTCATCATTGCTTACAGATATAAATTAAATAACTTTATGTATCCTAACTTACCGACTTCCTATCTATAACAGTGGCACACCTATCATCAGTATCAGCTCTTTTTTAAATTTTACTTGCTTATGAAATTCTAATTAAAATATTCAACTCAATTTTTAAATGTCTTACCATAATTGTATTTGAGTTTCAGTGAATATATTATTTTTATAAGAGTAACAACATAATATAATCAATTTATATTCATTAAATTAATTTTTTATTCATCATGTTAATATATTAAAATTAATGTACCATATTATTTTAAGTATAAAACATTTGAAACTAATATGTATACAAATCTAATAATCTACTATCTATATTGCATTTTATAACTACTTTTTGTAAATAATTCTGCAGAATATGTAATAAATTTTAAAAAAAATAATAAACTACTCTAGGAAAACATACATAATCTCCAATGAATGTCGCAATAGTATCTGCAGACTGAAATTTAAAAGGTCAAATTAGTTATCAGAAATTAAATAGTTATTGGTTATTATAGACCAAAGTAAAAAAATTACTTTTTGCATTATATTTAAAATATGTATATATGTTTTTATCATTATTTATACTTTAAAATAAGATAACAAAAAAACAATTGTATTGACAATTTACAAATTAAATTTATGATGTATTTAAGATTCAGACCAGAGTATAGAAGAATGAATTACTAATATATGTATTTTTTTTTATGATATTTGTGGTAGTATTTATGCCTAAGTATGGTGCATTTGAAGAAGGATTGTTTTTTTAAAACTCCCAGTACTTTTTTTTAAAATATAGGGAAAAACAAACAAAAAATTAAAATAATTATGAATATTTTATGTAATTGTTTTGTACAAAGTCTATGACAAACAGAAATTTAAAAGTTTAATTCCATATAATGAGGGTCAACAATGTTTTGATGATAGATATTCAAATTTCAATATCTATAAATATTCTAATAATGTAATAAATATTGAAAAACATACTAAAATTTTAAACTTTTTTTTTCTTCTGCGTTCTCTTTGGTACAAAAAGAAAAAAAACTAACATATGTCACTAACATCCAGTTAACCAAAAGATCTAATCAGAATTGGTTTTTGTTTGTCATGATTACAATTGCTTCCAATATATAAATTAAATTACCCTATATTTTACCTTTCAAACTTTTCACTAACAATAGGTAGGTACAACAAGTGAAAATATTGTGATTTAAATTACTTTATTTAGATATTTAATAAAAAATATTGCTGATATAATACAATAATTTATTGCGCATTTATTTATTATTGTTACATATGTATGTAATACTGGGTGTCCAACAATATTTTCTGGATGTTAATTTAGTTAGTATTTTCTATTTAATTTGTTCAATCAAATATGCTTTCAAGGAAATACATTTTTAAAGAAAAATTTTATTTATATTGTCATTTCTTATTCACTAGAAAAAAATAAACTTTATTTGTTAACTTTTTGAAATTTTCTAAATATTTTAATTCAATATAAATACATATCCATTGAAAAGTTTTTAATAATAACCATTTTAATTTTTAGAGAAGAGGCATGACAAATTAGTATTTATTTATACTTATTACTAATATTTTAAAAATATAATTATACTCTGTTCAGAATAAGAACACAATTGAAAACATATAAAAGTCCCTGCACGAGTCGTGTATAGTTTAGATTAGTAGCGGTTTAGTAGTGGGAGTTCCACCAGATTCAAAAAAGTTTGAATTATCCGTCTTGCATGCGCAAACTAGGGTTTTCTTATTCTAAATAGAGTATAGAATAAAAACCAACAACCAATAGTTTTAAGTTTTAACATTAAAAATAGTTACCTGAGATTTTTCTTTAGTTTTGCTGCTTATTAGAAACTTAAACCTAGATGGAGATATTTGATGACTAGAAGGAGAACAAATTTTATTAGGTGATGGTGTTTTCTTTTGAAAAATTGCAGCCATAACAGTTTGAGTAATACTACGTTTTCTTTCTGATCGTTCATTCTTTATTTGCACGTGTGTTTTTGATGTATCGCACTAAAAATGATTTAAAAAACAAAAATAATATGAACAATATAACTATCTAATTTTAACATTTTTCTTTGCTTACTAAATCAATATTAAGATCAAATTCATCTATTGATTGGCAACTTTTACTTTTTGTCAATAATGAAAGTCCATCACATTCACTTTTGACTGCTCTTCTTCGTTCTAATTTTTCCTTAAGTTGTCGAATTTTATCTTCTGGACTCATACCTAATTCAGAGTCGCTCTTCAATCTAGCTCTAGCCCTAGCACTTTCACGTATTTCTTCAGTTGATTTTAAAACTTCAGCAATACTGGAAGTTGGAGGTTTTTCATCAAATAGTGCTCTCCTAATATCTGGCAATGAAAATGCTTCAGAACAAGAAATCATATTAGAAGAATTGATTTTTCGTTCACTGAGAGGACTTTTTAAAGTAATAAGAAGTGAAGAGGGGCGAACTTTTATATCTGAATTACATTGCAAAATTGGAATTGGTTTTTTAAATTCAAATTGTTCAGGATTAGATTCTGGAGAAAAAGGAGAACTCCTATTACGACGTTGTTTTCTTTCATTAGGCGATTTACTAGTAATTTTGCTCATAACCATATCATGAATTAGATTTTTTTCTTTCATTCTTTCTTGGGTAATTTGCTGGAGTTTATAAACTGTAGAATTTTGTTCTTTTTTTTCTTTTGTATCATTTATATCCAGTTTTTCTCCCTTACTAGTTTTTTTCATTTTACGTACATCAATAGAATCTCTTATATTATTAAATGGTGTTATTTTTTCTTGTAGACGTTTCACATATTCATAGTAAGTTTTATTTGTGCCGACGTCAGCAATTGGAGTTAAAATATCATCATCAGCACTAATTGAATCATTTTTAAGATCCATTACTGTAACTAAATCACTAGTCGTTGTAGTATCATTATCATCCTTATCAGCTGGGATATTATAAATATTATTCAAAGTCTCGACAACAGGCGTTTTGAGCTCATCGTCCATCTGAGGGTTACTTACAAATTCTACATAACCAGTATTGTGTAACAAAGTTTGATTTAAAGCAGCAACATGTTCATTTGTATCATTATCACTTATGGTATCCATAAACTCAATATTTTCACTATCTATTTTTCCACATATATGACCATATTCATCAAAATCTTCATTAGGTTTTTTTTTTGGAGAATTTCGAGATTTGTGTTTTGATTTAGGCCTCTGGTGTTTTCTATAAGTTAAATTTTTAATTGGTACTGGTGCAAAATCTTCCCAAGCTTCAGATACTCCGACATCATCATCTCTTGCCCAATCAGAAAGCTCAGTTTCAGTTTGTCCCCCGATTGTATAATCTTCATCATTATTATAATCAGATCCAAGGTCTGCATTAGCAGATTCTCGATTAACTATCTCACTATTGTTCATTTTTGAAATACCATTTATAAATAAATCAGCAGTAGTTGACACATGTTTTAATATTTCACCATTTCTAACATTTTTATCTTTCATTGGACTTGGAACTGTAATAATTTTATTAAATCCATTGTCTGAGAATTTTTGTACAGATTCAGAATCTATTGATTGTTCTTTTTGTTGGTCTAAATCATTCATAAGTTCCCCCCGAGAGTTATGAATTTCCAATTTCGGTAAATTATGATTTTCAATAGGAGTATCATTTTCATCAGACAAAATATCAGGAATTTCTAAATCATTTTCAGTGTCTATTGAAGTATCTGTTGATAAAGAATCAGATTCAAGTTTATTTTCACTTTGGGAATGATGAAATTCAGGTACAATTATAGATGTTTCATGTGCTGGACTACGTGGACGTGATTCATTATCGTTTTCTTCATTTTGAGTAGTACTACTCGGCTCTATCATTTTATGATTAGTTTCGTTGTTTTCATTACAATTATTTGTTTTTTCAGAATGTTTGAAACAAATATGTTGGAATTCTTTAGTTTCAGATAACTCTTTTGATTTTTTCTCATTTTTATTAACAATAGGCGTTGTATTTTGTAAGGCTTGTATAGTAGGACTGGGTACAGGCGTAAGGTTCAATTTTTTTTGATACTCAGATATTTGATCAACAAAGCTTTTAAATTTTGTATCTAATGTCACAGAAGAGCCAGACTTTTTTACAGTAATTCCATTATCATTACCAGCTAACAAGTACAACTTTTTCAACTCTAGTGAACGTTTTGTAGCAATACCTTCTGTAGACTGGGTTCGATTAAGTTCATAGCCAGGCTTGGAAAATGGAATGAAGTTTGGTCGATTTTGAGCTCGATTTACAATTTCAGCTATTTTAGGATTTTCAGGTACCAAGGGATCAACTTTAGTTTCTTCTATGTTACGTTTTGATTGAATGCTTTCACTAACAATTATATTTGGAATATTGTGTTTTGTTGGTGTTTTATCATCTCTCTCAAATTCAGAATCTGTAGATATTTCAGTAGCAGCATTATTATCTGAACTTGTTGAATAATAATCAGTAGCAATCTACAAAAAATAAAATAAATACATATATATATGTATACATCTTCCACTCAAATTTCTCATAAAACAGTTATTTTTTTCAATGACATGTTCAAACTTATTGGAGTCATATATTTGAGAATATTAGATTGTCCTTATTTTTTGAATTAAAGCAACTATAAACTTTTGATTTTTAAATAGCGACCTACATTAAAATATGAATAGATGAGATTTCAACACCAAAATGTATTTAAACTAAAACTTCTTATACTAATGAATTTTTGAATATAAGTTGCTTTTGATAATCAAAAGTAGATAATGGTTTCAATCTCAAAAATAAGGGTAAACAAATAAGGACAATGTAGCATTTTATAATATATGATTCCAAAAGTATTATATGAGTTGTTTTTGAAAAAATAAATATTTCATCGAAAATTCAAATTGTATGTTACTGGCAACAGTAACATAATATATAAAAGACCATACACACACACACATATAATACAGGTGTCTGACAATTATCTGACACTTGAAATAACTTTTATTCTATTCGATTTTTTAATAATGATTATGTTTTAAATAATCAGTATGCCTCTGCAATAGTTATTAAATTTTTCTTTTTTATTTAATGGGAGAACTTTAATAAACCATAATAATGTTCAAATTTTCAAAAACTTGAAATTTGTTTAGAAAATAATACCTCGAAACAAGTTTCAACCACCAATTTTCTAAAAATCTATTTTATAAAATTTTTATTTTGAAATTTTTTATTGAAATGTTTAATTTTAAGCTTCCCCCACAAAAAAAAATAAATAAATAATAATAATACATTAACTGTAGCGCAAATGTATACTGATTATTTCGAAAATAAATTTAAAATATTAAATAGAATAAATGTTATTTCAACTAGCAGATCATTTTGGGACACCTATACAGGAAATTCAAAATGTATGTTTCAGCATTTAATCACATAATATTCAAAATAGAGAAAAATGTATAATCCAAAAGTTTTTTTGATTTATAAACATTTAAAATTATTTGTACATTTTTTTTTTACAGTATTTTAATGTTTTTTTACAAACATAATATGAAGATAAATTTTTTTTTTACAGTTTAGCCACTAAATCACATTAATTTATTTAAAACTCTATGCTTGAGAGCAATTTAAAGTTTTTAGAAATTACATTTTGACAGCACAACAAGAAATAGCTGATGACACCACTCATTAAACAATGCACCACAATGTGCTGCTTCCGTGAACCAGTTAAACTGTATTATGTATTAGTTTTAACTTTGAATCGTTCTCAATCATAGATTTTTGAATAAATGAATTCTATTCAATCAGTTAAATTTATTAAAAAAAATATTTTCACGCTATTTTATAAAAAAAAATATGGGTTTCTTGAATGTAAATTTCAAAAGTTGACTTTTAAAAGACTGTAAAAAAAATATTTACAAATCAAAAATCTGTCAACCTTTATATGATTAAATATTTATATGATAAAATTAGGTAACATATATTTTGAATCATATGGTACACATAGGTAAATTTAAATTGTTTCCAATGAGGATAAATGAGTATATCTAGAAAGCTTGAAAACCCTTAATTTTTAATAATCATACTATATGATATTATTATTTAATGATTTGAGCATGACTAAATATTATTTTAGACACTTTGATGTTATTTTGCCAGGGATTGAAGATTATAAACATACAGAAAAAAAAAACACTTAACAATTGTAGAAATATACAGCAAATTAATCTTTTTTTTTTAGTTAAATTAATCCTTGGACATTATTTATTATCATCTAAAAATTTCACTATAAGTTTAATTAGTGCATCAAACCTTCTAGACATATGGGATTTGCATAAACACATTTTCTGCATTATAAAAACAAACAAAATATATTATATTGGTTATTATTAAATACTCTCATAACTAAATTGAAGTTCATATACATCTAATAATAAAATTACAAGTATATATTATACCAAAATTGAATGGCAAACTAAAGAATGAAATTATATTGAAGAGTTAAATTTGACAACTTATTTTTAATAATATTAAATACGAATAATGGAAATTTAAGAACAGAGGGGTGTTTAGCATTTGGAAAAAAAATGGGAAATCAGAATATAACCAGCAATAAATATAAAACCACTAAATATATTTTCAGGTAGCACAATACTTGACACCTACTCTTTAAAACAATACATCTGTTATCACAGATATTACAATAAAATAATATCAGTTTGTGAAATATATTAATTTGTTTATTCACAATTAATGAATTAAATAATAGAAAGTTTAAAGAACCAAATTAATTATAGGGTTTTTTGTCAGTGATTGGGACATATTTATGAGCAACAAATTTGATACTAAGTATAATTTGTATCTTACATAATGATAGTAAATAGGCATGGGGGTGATTGGTACAATGACATTGTATTGAACATTGACACCCAATTCAATAAAAAAAGAAATACTTATATATAATAAAATTCTTGAAATTCGACCTATTTAGCCAAATACAAAGGTTTACCTTTCTTAAACCTTAACAACTAAAAATTTAACCATTCAATCAGAAATATTACGAATCCAACAGCCAAATATAATGCCTCAAAAAAAAGCTATTTACAATTATGAATATATTTTTTTTGTTAAATTTATATTTTAATTTGAATAATTTAATTTAACAATATTATAATAACTAAAATGATTTATAAAAAAATTAATTGTATAAAAATTGTTAATAACCACTATATGAATATGAATTCGAAATATTTCTGATAACAAATATTAGTTATTTTTTCAATGGTAACAAAAAATATGCAAATACTAGAATTTATAAATTACCAATAACAAATATTGTGCCTATATTTGGACTATTTTTTGACAATTAATCTTTTTAGTTACTTATGTAGCAGCCCTGAAATTTATGCCTCAATTTTTCTTCTAAAAATTAAATATTTAAAAAATTTGAAAATTGCACCAATAAAAAATAATGATTTAAATATTTTAAACAGGGTTTGAATCTAAAAGTTATCCATTACTGTAATAGATTTTCAATTCAATTAGTCAATATAATGTCATTCTCAATGTTTCGTAAAAACATATGATATCTTGCATACATTTAACCATTTCATATATTAATCACATAATAAAATATCTTTCTGTTTGTAAATTAAACAAAACACATATAAAAACAAGCCTTTCTCCTTAATAGGTACTAAGAATTTAAACAGCCAATTAAAATGAATCTGCACATGTTTAAATACATATATCTTCTGTTGTTATAAAGTTACAAAAAATATATCAAATGTTTGTTAGTTTATCTTCAAATTCAATTTTAAGTACTAAATAGATTATTATTAGTTAAATTCACAAAAATATTAAGCATTGAAATACACATATTATTAAATAACAAGTTAACAATTCAAATATCGAAACACATAGTAATCACAAAAACACAATTCCCAATATTGTTTACCTGATTTGTGTATCCCAAATGACACTTGAGAGAGAAAGGCTTATTATGTATATCTGTGAACATATGTTCTGAAACTACGTTTCTAACTTAAATTATATTATTTTGTTTAATATTTATTTATTAATTTATATATAATCATATAAATATAGGTGAATATGAATATTTAATATTTATTTTAGAAGTATTGAAATTTACATAACAATACATTCTTTTTTAGGTTGTTTATTTTCATATTTTTTAATAGCCTTTTCAACTGTTGGTGTATATTTTGGATAAGGTTCAGTAGTCACTACATTTAATTTAATTGGCTTACAAGGACTTTTATTTGCAATAATTTTTTCTGATAAATTAAAATCATTTAACATAATATCACTGTTAACATTCATATTTGAATTATTTTCAAACCTTTTTGAATTATTTTGTACAGAATCCAAAGAACATTCATTATTTTCTATTTCATAAACTATATTTGAATGTTCATTATTTAAAATAATTTCATTTTCAATTAAATTATTATTATCACCTACAATTTTTTGGTTAATAGATTTTTTACTATCTGTTTTCAATAATTCTAAACTTGATTTAGTAATATCTTCCATTTTATGTACACATTCATCATTTAAATTACTTTCATTTTTATTCTTGACATCAATATCACTTGATGGTGGACCATCATATCTATATATCAAAGAGGTATGAACAGTATTTTCTACACCAATATTTGCACTTGTAAGATTATTATTTTCGGGGTTACACTTTATGGTAGATTCATCTAATAAATTAATATCATTTGGAATTGCTTTGATATGATTGTTCAGAAAATTATGAGGTTCTTCAAAACTAAATGTATTTGTATTACCATTGGTTTTGTTCATTTTTGGACTGTCCTCATTTCTTAAACACTTATTATGTTTATTTATACAAATTAAAGATTCATTATTTTCTATAAAATCTGGAGTAAAAAATATCACCTCAGTATCAGATCCACTATCTGTAGTAGCAGTTGACAAATGAGGAATATGTAAACAAACTTCTTGTTTCCTTATTTCTCGTGCTTTTATTTCTTCTTCACCTTCAGTTGCCGTATCACTCTCGTCATCTATAAGAAAATGCATATTAAAATAGAAAGGTATAATATAAATATTATGTGGACACTTTATAATACTAAGTTCATCTCAGCATATATCACTGTTGTATTGCTAATACAATTTGATTCAAACATTTTTAAAAACAATTCTAAGCATAGGATAATATAAAATTCTCAACATTTTAGTAAAATTCCATTATATATAATAATGTACAGAGCAACTAAGAATCCAGCTAAAAAACTTGTCAAACATAAAATTATATCAACAATTTTTGCACATAATTTTAGATTCTGAACAATTTAAATAATGATGTTTATTTTTTTTTTTCTGTAGACAACTTTTCTACTAACAATTTTGCTCCAATTTTCAAGTATACCACTTTTTCTAAAAGGAAATCTGACTAGGATGGTTTAAGGAAGTCATTTTTTTGTTTTTCCCAGCTGTTTTCAATAATAATAAATGGGAAAAACAAAAAAAATTGTGCAAAATATATTGTTTTGTTTTAATTCAGTTAAAAATATGTGTGAACTTGTAGTTTGAACAAAAAACACTTACTTGTATTTGTCTTTTATAGACGTGGTAAAATTTTCAAAAGATTGTAGACATTTATGAGTTATTTATAGACATTTTATTTTACAGGGTATATATTATTATACATATGTAATTATGTTACCATAATATGACATTATATATTATTGACGAAACAACACTATTAACTGAACTTTGCTCAGAATTGTTTTTTATTAGCAATAATTAATGGTTGCATACGGATATACATTAAATTTCCCCTCTACTTTCCCAACTTCTTACCTACAACAGAGCTCACTCATTGTTCGAAATATGTTTATCTTTTTATCCTTAATTCTAATTTTTTACTTAAAATTTAATTACATTATTATCTTTATGTTCAAGAAAAAAAATAAAACAGAAAATTAAAAATTTTGAACTATATAACTAATGCACAATGTATTTGAATAAAAATTATATTTATTTTCCATGGATAAGGTGAACCTCTAACCTCCCACCCCAGATATTCTTGCCCTTGTTTATAATTGTTTGCAATACAAAATAAATAACCTCTACTTTGAAAGTTAAACAACACTAATATAAATACTATTAGTATTATTTGTTTAAAATATTAAAGCTCATTATGAATTATTAATATAATATGAAAAAAAAATAAATTAATAGATTCCTTTGCTGAAAATTTGAAAATAAATACAAATAATTAGTAGTATTACCCCCACTATCAAATTCTTTATAACTGAAACGGTCCTGTGATTCATCAGACTCATTTTGGGAACTTAAACCATCTTCTTCCACGTTAATAATAGATAAATTATCATTATTTATATTAATTGGTAGTAATTTTTGTTCTTGATTATCAGCATTTAATTCTGGATTTGGATTTTCGTCACTTTCACTATCACTAAATCAAAATGAATACAGATTTGAAATGATACATTTTTTTTAAAAATTAATATGTAATAATATAATAACCTAAATTCTGACAATTCATCAGAAGAGAGCATTTCATTAGCTGAAGCACCAAAATTGCGATCAGTCCATTCATCTTCATCCATTTCACTAAGAGCTAAATCTTCTTCCAACTCTAAATTTTCAAACTCTACTCGTTCTGGTGTTTCACCTCGATCTAATGACTCCATTGAGACCTTAGTCTATTAAATTAAATAATACATAAAAAATGATATTAACTTATAAATGTATAACTATTATACTTTTTCAGGTGTTTTATTTAAAACAATAGGTTTAATTAGATCCGGTTCAGTCTTTTGTTCAAGTTTTCGACGAGCTCTCATTTGTTGTGTACCAGGCATTCCAAAGTGTTGAGAACAGTAAAAACGATTGTCATATTTACCTTCCCGATCATACATATAACTACCTAGTCTTAGAGTTGTAAGACAATATTCACAACGGAAACAACCACGATGAAAAAATCTTCCTTCAGCACTTAATCGCTCCATTAAGTAAACACGATTCTTGCAAAAATGGCATATTTCACTTCCACCTTGTGGAATTATTACGGTATTTTTAGCACCCTAAGAGAATAGTATTTAATTAAACAGCATACCATCAGTAAAATCCATCTTATACTGTACCAAACAAAAGAAAAATATCTATACTCACAGATCTCTGAAGAAGAGGTTGTTCAGGTTGTTTATTTATTGTAGCTAAATGAGCAGCCATTGCTGAAACTTTATTAGCACCACGTTGACCTTGATCTAAAATATTTCCATCTTTAATTTTTCTATTTAGTTTATTTAAATTATCATCAATTGCATGGTATTTTTTGTCATCGTTTTCATTATCATAATATCCTTTTACATGAAGTTTCTTTTTGATTGCACTAACCTAAAGTATCAATTAGATGATGATAAGTAATGTATAAAGAAAATAAATACACATAATGAAAATAAATAATATTTTTGTAATACTTTATCATCAAATTGAGGTCGGCTCCATTTAGGTACTTTTTCAGTTCCATTTTTAATGTGTTTACATTGAGATTTACTTTCTTCAATCTTTCGTTCAATCTCTTTTACATTCCAATCACTTTTGTCAATCTTGCCTACAAAAAAAAAAAAAATCAGTACAATATACGAACTATAACAAAATTTGTATACATACCAATAGCCCTCAAAAGATCCTTAGGTTTTTTATCAGGTGCTGGACCACCTTTAAGTTTTGCTTCAATTTCTTTAGCTCGCACTGAAATATCTTCTTCCATTTTATATCGAGGAGAACTATCTAAATGTAAACGAGTATCTCGTGGCTAAATAAATAAAATTAAATTAAATATATGAAATATATTCAAAACATTGTAGTATTGGAATGTTACTAATACAACTGTTATATTTCTGTAAGACATTTAATCATTACTAATTACATAATCCTTTTACAATAATTTATAATTAAAACAAATTTTTTGTTTTAAAAAATAATAAATAGTTTTTTTAAGTTAAAGATTTCTCAATAGATTATTAATATTAATTTAAGTAGTTCATCAAGAAGTTATCAATTAATATTTGAATTAACCTTATTTTATATTATATTGTCAAATTACGTGCACATGTATAATATAAAATAATTAAATATTTAATCTTAACACAAGAGGCATTTTCAAAATTTAAAACTATATTAAAAAATGATTTAATGAGAATTATTTTTGAAATTTTAATTTGATGTTTATTAATATACTTATTATATAATATATAACATTGATACAGTTATTGTTTAAAAGTGTACACACATTTTCTAGTTTCTAAGTTATTACATGTTTGAATAGTTCAAAATCCACCTTTCATTATTAATACACAAAACATATTAGTTTTTAATTATTAACTTTAACCATTGAGTTTTAAAAAATACACACACATAAAAACAAAAAATTAATTTAAATTAGATAACTATTATAGAACGGTTATTATTAATAATACCTATTAATCATACAGATTATAATATAAATAGGAGTGAAAACAAAAAATGTATTATTATAATTATTATTTCCTATAGTAACAAAAATGTATCAATATTTTAAAATTAATCTTTTTTTTGTTTGATTAAAAAAAGAAGTAGATTAGATTAGGTTAATAAAAATATACACACTAACACACTGTAACCACAATTTTAACACAGTCTTACACTTGGAAATAATTTTTTCTCCAATTCCCTAGCACGTTCTTTGAACTCTTCATGATTACTTTCTAAAAATTCATCATCTTCAGGTTCTCTTATATAAATTTGTTGCATTCGAACATGCAGTCGTTTTTTTATTTGAGCCTTATTATTAGCAAAAGTATAATTAAACTATTTATTATAATTCAATATATATATTTTTTTCATATTGCCTATTCTTTTTTTTTTTAAATAATAATATACTAAAGATTATTTACCAGTGATCCATTATTTACATTTGTGCGCCGTTTTCTATTACGCCTTTGCATAGAAGATGTACTTTTATCAATATTAGATGTATTGTTAACACTTGTTCGTTTTCGTGATTGTGAAATAGGTTTTACCAATGCAGTAACTTTTGAATAAGGAGCAAAATTATTATTTTTAGCAACATGCATTCTAAAACGATTTTCAATTGGTGTTGGTCCATGGTCACTGTCTTCCTAAAGTTTTAAAATTAATTATTTTAGCAAATTGATTGTGTAATAATTTAAATACCAATTTTGGATGTTTTATATGTGGAATTTCTCGTCTGAAAGTATCATATACTTGTGACAAATAAGATAACATAGCCAAAATATCAGGTATATCACATTGCTCCATTTCAATTCCAGACATTATCTAAAATAAGAATAAATTAAAATAAAAGAAGCAACATGAGTGATATAAAATCTTACTGGAGGAATTCCAAATTCATGTTCTAAAATATCAAAAGCTAACTGATTATTTTTTGCCACGTCTGATGGTGAAAGAGAAAAGAAATCAACTAGATCTGGACGATATTTATGAATAATCGCACACAATGCCAATCCGTTTTTAAATGATTTTGCTAAATCTTCAACAGATATTGAATCATAGGGTTCGACTTGTGTTTTCAACCAAGTATGTAAAGTTTCTTGATGTACTTGACTTTCTAAAATAAACATTATAAAAATTAATTTGTTTTATCTACAATTTTTAAATACTTTAAAATACTATTATTCACAAGTAGATACATAGACAAAAACTAATAAGAATGCACACTTTGTTATTGTTAGACAACACATGATTAGGTAATGGATATTTTATATTATTCACCCTTTATTGCAGGATCAAGTGCAGCCAAATGGACTGTTTCAAATATTAAAATAAAAACTTTAATTTAAAAAAAATAATTCAAAACAATAAAAACAAAAATTACCTTTCCGTCTTCGTTTTTTAGGTACATCTTGAACTGGAGTAATTGCTTGACGGGGAGCTTTAAGAAGTTTGTCTACAACAGTTTTGTCATCACAATTAAATAAATGTACAACTTGCACAGGTAAAACAGCATGTGTATTTAAATTTGGATATCTTGTATGGGGGTCGACAGTGTAGCTCGCTATGTTTTTTTGTAAATTTTCTGGTGTGGTTTGACCAAGAATATGATAAACAGACTCTCGTTCAGCTAAAACATCTAATGGGTTCGATTCTGGGGAACCCCATTGTCGAATAGTCCAACAAGCATCCATTGAACTTAAAAAACCACGAGCACAACCAGAACCAGTTGGCCAAAATGGCTAAAACCAAATTATATTCCAAGATACAAATTATAAGCAATTTTATTAACAAATTATACTTCTTATACCTCTAATAAGCTATCTCCTACTAATGTAATCAGAAGTTTATGACCATTTCTTTGGATCACATGACTAGCATTTTCAGCAGCATACATAGATGTAAAATCAAACATTGCTACATCTGGTTGGCCGTAATGATTGACAGCAAACTCAAGTTGAGGCAATGAGTAATTTGTTGAAAAATTAGCAGCTTCTTTAGCATATTCTGTTAATGCTTCTTTATTAATATTTTCTAATGCCAACAATTTAGCAACATCCGCGTAATCCTGTAAATTTAAATTATATCAATGAAATCTTTAATTTTATGAATTGATTAAACAATATTATAATCCATTTAACTTAAAATAAAATGTATTTTATAATAGGATACAATTTAATATTTTTAATGAGCTGTACATGTTTGTAATACATACATTTAAAATAACACCTTTATCAATCAAACTATGCTTTTTGGCAGTCATTACAAAATAATGGGTTTCATCTTTATAGTAAACAATATTTTCTAAATCAATTCCAGTATCTCGATAAAGATCTTTAAAAAACTTTTGATTGAATATAAAAGCAACTCCTGATATTTCTTCAACCCTTGCTTCTGCTTCTGTATGTTTATTTATAAAGTTTGCAGTAATTGCAATTGCCAACCTACCACGAAACTCTTTTCTTTTAAAACCTAAATAATTTACAATAATATGTAAAAAATACATTGTATTCATGAAATAAGAGTATTTTGATCATTAAATACCTTCCAATGTATTTCGTTTACCATCAGCTCCAATAAGTACATCAAATTCATACTGAGAAACTGGATGGTTTTCTGGGCTGAAGTTAGCTCTCCAACCAATTTCTAAAATATTGAAAATTATATTATTTACTAATAATTAACACAAGTACAGGATTTTTAGAGTATTTAGAGTATTAAATATTTATTTCTAATTATGGTTACATAAAATAATACTTTAAATAAAATTTAATACTTATTGTCTGATATTATTACAAATATACCTATGATTGAATATACCTATATTGGCACAAATTCGTTAAGTATGGTGCGTAAAAGTTTATGGTTGTTTTGTATAAAGTTCATTGATTTGAGAAAAAAAGTCCTTTAAGAAAAATTTATATCACAATAGTAGTCCCAAACAATAATAGTATTTGAGATATCAATAGCTCGAAATCGACATCTTCAAAAATTTGATTGATTTATTTATTTGAATTAATCTAAAATGTGATCAAAAATAGACATTTTTTTTATTATTATTATTTGTAGTAATTGATATTTTAAAAACAGTTTTTTTTTTATTGAAATCAGAGTAAATCTATCTGGCTTAGTTTTAGAGTAACAAAAGTTCAAATCCACTATATTTTGCTGAGCTCACTCTGTACAATTTTAATCGAAAATAACACTTGATTTGTTGTAAAAAACCACGTTGAATGAAATATAATGCATCATTAATGCCATTAATATAAATTGGCGAAATATAGTTTTGAGTTTTAGAGATTTTGTCAATTTCGAGATATCCATTTTTTTTAGAGGCATTTTTTCTCAAATCAATGAGCTTTATTTAAAACTACCATAAACTTCTTTTGGCACCACGTAGTCTTGCCAGTATATTAATAGTATAATATTTCAGGATGATCCTTAGTTACATAAGCAATTTGTTTTTTTATTGATTCCCAGAGTTTGTTTAATATATACACAAATATTGTAAGTTAAAAAACCTTTTATCTAATTGGTACCTTGAGAAGATCATTTTTTTGTAGAAAATGAGAAAAACCAAAAAAAAAAAAAGGTATGAGAAAACCAGCAAATATTTATGACACGTCACAAATATTATAGATTTTATTGTTTTTAATTTTTGCAAAACTGTTTTCTACCAGAAATTACTCCAATAGAAAAACAACAAAAGACTTTTTTTGTTACATTTTTAATGTAGTTTGTGATAAGAAAATTTATTTTTTTGATTTTCCAAGTAGTTTTTATAACAACATTATACATTTAATAATGTAGGTTTTTTTTTTTGAATTTTAATATAAAATTTTGACAAAAACTTAAACATTACAATTGTCTTTCAAAACATGTATAACATCAAACTTCGCTCCAAATGCGTTTTCGTTAGCAATGGTTTATCATTTCTTGCAGACATAAATTAAATAACTTTATATATCCTATCTTCCCAATTTCCCACCCACAAAAATGGCACACCCATCCCTAGAATCAAAAATGTTTTAATTTTTTTATTGCAATTTAGTAAATTGCGATAAAGTTTAATTGTTGGGTCAAATAACTATTAAACATTATAACATGTCCCAATTAGAGATACTCCACATTAAATTAATAAATTATAATGTTTATATTATGAATAAAGAAACACAGTAAAAAAAAAATAAAAAAAAAAAACGAACATAATTTGCACAATAGATGGGCCACTGTTGAAGATGAAAAGTTTGGAAGGATAGATATAGAAAGGAATGTATACCTGAATGCCTTAAATAATCATTGCTAATGAAAAACGATTCTGAGCAGAGTTCTGTTATACATGTTTCAAAAGGCCGTAATATTTATGATTTTCATCAAAATTTGATATTGAAATCTTAGAAACAAAAAAAATTTAAGTACACTCAATTTTGTTTTAGTGACCACCATTTCTGGAAGTAATTTTATAAAAAAAAAAAATTAAAAAATAAACATCATTGTAAAACTAATGTATCCTTCACACCACTCAGAATCGAAAAGAAATAAAATTTAAAGAAAATTTGAAAAATTTGTTCAATAAAGAGAATCTAAAGGCACTGGAAATGAATATGTGTCCTCCAAAAATAACCGCTATAATAAAAACACAAGGAAAAAAATTATGACAATAAAATTGGCATCAACAAATATTGTCCACATATTTGTTAAATACGGTTCAATGCCCTAAAAGCTAATTTTGCTTGCTGTCAGAATTTTGAATTATTACATGATAATTACAAATGTAGAAAATAAACAAAACATTATCAGAAGTTACATTAAACAACTTTTTCAATCACCTAAGACTTTAGAATTAATTGGATTCCTATTTTTTTTATCAGGCAATTTATTACCCTTCTTTACTTTTCCGGTCTAAACTTTAAACTGTTATAACTCATAAACAGTAAATCTGATATTAGTGTTACGCATGTCAAAATGTATAGAAAAATATTCTCTATTCAAATCTGTGTTCAAAAGGGAGGGAAGGTTCCTATTTGAAAATCAAAAGTATGTACTTATTTAAGGTATATAGAGAAGGGGTGAAAAATTAAAAATGATTTTAAAATAAAGCCATAATGATTAGAAAAAAACAGAAATAAAATTCACTAAAAATCCTCAGAGATAATTGCTGGTTTATTATAAAAAAAATCACTTTATATATACATAATTTATTTAATACTAGATTAATAATCATAAGCGTAACATTAAATAAAACATACTTTCATCATTTTCAGGTGGTGGAGAAATAGAATCAAAACTTACACCTTCATGAATTTCTACACCCAAAATTAATGAAACTTTCAGTAAAATGCATTGAAGCTGTCTTATACCTATAAACAAATAATAGTAATATGTATTTAAATATCACATTTATTTAAAACCAATTTTTTAAATCTTACTTATATGATCAATGGCTCCAGCACAAAATTTCCCAAAAAATTTTTTAGCACCAAGACCTTTTAAATCCTGAATAACAAAAGGCCAAAGATGTAGTACATTGTTTCTTGAAAGGCGATCTCGTTTTTCAATTACAACTACTTTAGCACCTAATAGCTGAGCTTCAATGGCAGCACGTAATCCACAAGGTCCAGAACCAATTATTAAAACCTAAACAATTTTGTTGACTTAGTGTAAACTAAACAAATAGCTATGCAAAAGATTTGAAGAAACTTACCCTAGTGTTCATACAAGCTTTACCCCGATTATAACATTTGTGACTTGCCTTTTTATCAAACTTATTCCATAAAGCTTTTGCTTTCCATGAACATAACATAGCCTATAAAAATCCAAAAGCAGTTATAACAAAAATGTATTAATACTCTTAACTTAACATTTTGACAGTATAGTTATGAATAAAATAACACTAATAGATATACAAATAATAAATAATATAATAATTAAGTAAAAACAAAATTATTAAAATGTTTAATAATCGTAAATAAATATATAAATAAAAAAATTATATATAAAAATAAATAAATGAATAAATATGTTGCCTGAAGTATTATGATAAGTGTACGACCTGTTTCAAGTATATCACAGTCTAAATGTAAAACGTGACTCTAGGCCATGCATTTATTACAATAAATAATATTATGCATTGTGGTATAAGTATGTTTTTTTTAATTCTGAGCATAGTGAGAAATGTATACTATGATGAACATTAGAGAGGTAATTTTTTGATTTTCCTAATAGATTTAACAATAATTTGAAAAACCCGGAAAAATATACAAAATAAAAACTTTATTTTAAATTAATGGCATTAACAAATCTATGACATGAACATAATATAATGATTCATATCGAATTTATCCATTTTATCACTAATATATAATTGGACAGTTGAAAATTAAAATTTCAAATTTGAATAATATTAAAATATGACTAGCTGTGTCTGACGTGGTTATACCAGAAATTCTAAAAGTGTATGTGACAGCATAACATTTCACAAGTAATTATTATAAATAACTAGAGGTACCCATCTCTATTTATGAACAAATTTATTTTATTTTGTTGATACCATTAGATGATACACTTCAATGTCATGTATTAGAATATTTAAAATTTAAGTGGAATGTATTATAAAGTATTCTAAGACTCCATCTTTAATATTATCAACAAAAAATATTTTAAATTTGAATTTTGTATACAATAATATTTATAAATATTGTACTGAAAATAATACAATAATATTATTTTAAAATTAGATACACTGCAGGGAGGCATCTTCCGGCTTTAATTGCTGAATGTCGCCCCCATCTTACTCACAACTTAAGCGTACGCAAAATTTTTTCACGGGATGTGTCATAAAAAACCAAGCCATTATTCCTTAAGTGTTCCTTAATTATTCCTTATATCTCCCCCTCCTCCTAAACAAAGAAGATAGTAAACAACTGAACATAAAATATCAATTTATTAAAAATTATATTATTTGCCTACATATTAAACTACCTTTCACAAAAACATTTTTATACATCCTAAAATATTTATAATGATAAATTAGAACATCTAGAACATCGTTAAAAATTTTAAATAAAAACTTAACTCCATCACAATATTACGTTAAGCTTTGAACCCAAGGCAGTGATCACTGATCAGTAATAATATGGTGGTTACCAGTCGATTTATTGGTTACTCTATGGTAATTATTCATACCAAATAGATTAGCATTTGATTAAATGAAACCCAGAATGAGTCAATTTTGGTTTCAACCCAAGGGCACGGGGTGTGCAATGGCACACCAGCTGACACACAATGTACGCAAGCCCATGACTCACGATTAAAGAGTATATCTTTAATTGTAATCTTACTCTATGAGTAGGGTACATAAATAATAATATAATATAGTGCTTTATCTACAGAAAGGTTTTGATAAAGTGATAAAAGGAAAGAAGGCATAATCCTTAGATAATATAGTATATGATCTAAGGTATAATCCATGAACGAATAGATTATTCGATAGTTCATATAAATAATCGAATATTATTCGATAGAACAGAATATTCGTTATTATCCATCACTAGTTATAATATTGGCCTATTATCAAACCTAAAGGTCAGAATACCGTTTTTATTTGTACGTTTTTTTTCTCGATATTTTAATTTTTAAGCGAGTTATGTATTAGTGTGAATTATAACAATTTAAAACGTTGAATATGGCTTAGAAATTAAAATGTGAAAAAATCACTAAAACTAAACTAACAACACAAAATTAGTTAAAGTATAAATATAACGATATTAACCGATTTCACAACATTTACCATAACATATATTTATAACTTCGAACTAGACTTACCTTAAGTTTAGGGTAAAATTGAGGAAAATTAGTTGGTTTGATGCGTAATATTTCACATAGATGTCGAAAATGACCAAGAATCGTCTTCATTGTAGTAGCTGTACAGAAACGATCAAAAACATCAGATGCTAAAGCAGCATCAGCCGATGGAAGAGTTTTTCGATAATGTGATGCCATATTTCACGTTCAAAATTAACTATTTCAACAAAACCATAAAATCATACAAAATTAATATTTAAAAATAAATTGAAATCAAATTATTTTATTTAATATTATTGGTAAATATTTAATTGTATATTAATACAGTGAGTATAATAATGAGTGTAATAATGAGTATATCAATGAAAATCAAAAAAAATGACTTCCTGAAAGTACCTACCAAATAAAATTTCCTTTCAGAAAAGGTACTAAACTTGATACAAAATATTAAGATTTTTGGTAGAAAAGTTGTTTACAGAATAAAATAAAAATAATATATAAATCATTGTAAAACCAATAGATTCCATGCTCCGCTCTAAATCTAAATACTAACCACTGAAAATCGTTCTTAATTTGACTTGATGAATTAAAATCAGTTTTCAGAATTCTAGTTACTTCTCTAGAAAAATCGGTACTTGAGCTATACCCACATGTACACAGTCCAACTAATGGGTAATATAGCTAAATTTACCTTATGCAGACTGCGTAGAACTCGCTTAATTTTTTTTTTTAAAGTATAATCACTTATAATAAAATTAAAGTAGAGCTATATTCCGAGGGACAAAATAATGCGTTTCTTTTTTTAAATTTTACAGTCATTTAAAAACGATGAATTAGTTTTTATTTCTAAACGATGTATTGAACGGTATATCCGAAATCATAATTAGAATAGGAAAAACGCATCGTCTTGCCCTCCGGAATATTGTCCTCTTTTAATTTTATAACAGGTGATTTTATTCTAAAACCAAATTTAAGAGAGTTCTATCGTTCTACGCAGTTTGCGTAAGGTAGGTTTTGTTATATTGCCCGTTAGTTTGATTGAGACATCACATGTGGGTATAATCCACTTAATATAGATTAGCTATTTTTATAAATTCGTAATAGGCATAATTCAAAAACAATTGAATGCAACAAATAGGACTATGTAGAACTGTAGAAAACTGTACATGAATTCCTCAGAGTTCAATCTAAAGATACAATGTTAAATACCTAAAATTCGTTAATATTTACAGCGCAATGATTTCATGATTTAACATTTTAAGTGTAGCGAAGAATGTATTGGTTTTACAATGATGTTTATTTTTTTTTTACCGTGACAAAAATGTCTACTAGAAATCTTGCTTCGATGTGTAAGTGTAGCGCTTCTTTTGAAAAGAAATTTTATCTAGATAGTACTTAAAGAGGTCATTTCTAGATTTTCCAAGCTGTTTTCATTATAATTAAGAAAAACATGAAAAATAGGAAAATTTACGAAAATAATTCTTTTGTTTTCAATTTAGTTTTCTTTTGTAATTCAGTTTAAAATATTTGTAGCGACTTGACATTTAAAAATTTTAGTTATTTTTGAGCTAATCAATTTTTATTTTGCGGGTTTCGTAGGTAATTTTTATTTGGTAGACAATTCATGGATAAAATTGTAAAAACTGTGCTTAACAGAAATGCTTGAAAATTTGATAGGTTAATTATTATAAGTTGTTCTTGGTGGTAAAAAAAAATTGAGTGCAATATATAGTATAATATTTTTGTTTAAAAAAATTAATAGACGAGTTTAAATAAAAATTATGTAATTTAAATAACAATTATTCAATTATTTTTGTCTTTTGTTTTGAAAATATGTATTTTGCCAATTTTACGATTAAAGTCAGAATTGAGAAATGATCTCAGGATTAGGCCTGAACCGATGTATCGATTAATCGATATAATTAAGAAATAAATATGTATCGATTAATCGGATATATCGATATATTTTGAAAATATATCGATAGTATTAATTATTTCAATCCAATTGACTATCGTACATGACGAACAAATATTGTGAGTGAATAAATTGCTTCTTCAAAATATATCGATTTATAGCAATAATCAATTATTTTGACACAATCGACTATCGAGTCCAACGATCATTATGGGCGTGTGAAGAAAGTGCAATCGCACTGGGTCACGCACAAAAATTTAAAAATATTATACTTTGCACAGGACCACGCAAATCAAAACTCCGCCACTGCTAACGATTAACGAATAAATATTGCGCAGGTCTATTTAGAATATACCATTATTTTAATTTAAATATTTTTTAAACAATCATTGTTGTCATAGAAACGCACATTGTTGTAATAATTTTACTGTAATATGACATATATACAAAGCAACACTATCAAATGAAGTCCGTTCAGAATCGTTTTTTTGTTAGCAATGGTTTATCGTTGTTTACATATATACATTAAATTCCCGCCTGTACCTACCTTCCCAACTTCTCATCTACAACAGTAGTCTACCCATCGTGCGAAGTATGTCCGTCTTTTTTTTATAAACATATTTTAGGCCAGAAATGTTGTTTCAATCAAAAATGACAAAAATTACTTTTTAATTACAATTTGGATCTAGTTGCTTAAGAAGAAAGATATTTATTTGATTTTTCAAGTAGTTTTTATAATAATCGAGAAAAATTAAAAAAAACGACTAAAAATAAAAATTGAGAAATTTACAGCGTTATGATTTCATTATTTTTAATTTTTACACTTGATGTTTCTGCAAAAAAAATTGCTCCAACACAAAAACAACAAAAGTTCAAGAATAAGCATCACTAACCTTTAACAAAATATACTCTCGCAATTCGCAAAAAAAGAGAACAGATACATGGCGTCTCTTAAAATATTCATAATTTAATACATTTGTAGTTTATTACAAGTTAAATATATTAAACATAAATTTTAAATAATAATAACGTGGTGATTAAATCAATCATTTAAATATATCTGATCCAAAAAAAGAATCAGAAAATACGTGGGCGTACAAACCCACACGATGAAAATAGCAGGCAAATATACAATATTTACTTGATCAACATATTTATCCTGGTGAAACTCGTTAAATGAAATACTGAATGAGGATAGCTAAACTAATGACGCCAAGAACCAAATTAGAATATTACAACAGACACGACCTAAATCCCATTAGTAATAGTTCTAATAATTTATGTAACCACCAAACAGATAATACACCAAACAAATTTAATAAAACTATGATTTACTATAATTTACTCACAAATTCTTTATTTAAAAACATACCAACGTACCTAATTTTTATTTAGAATGTGAAATTCAAAAAATTCTCAAATTTCCAGTTTTAGAAGTAAAAAAAACCAGAATAGTGTCCGGAAAAATGTCATCTGGCCTTATGCCACACGCACAGAAATCAATGGATGCCAAACTAACTAGGACATAACTGATTGTGTTATTTTAACAAGAGCTGTTTAGGACTTTAGTATGGTGAATTATTTTCTTTTAGATGGTATGATAATATAATGAAAATATTCATTAGTTAATGCTTGTACTAAATTTTGAATAAAACAATTAAGCAAACAACAACATTTATACATAATTTTTTTTTAAATAACTAAAGATAGATAAAAAAAAAAAATAGCAAAAATAACCTTAAATCCAAAGTTGTAAAAGATCTTATATAATTTCGAAAAAAAAAATAAAAAAAATAAAAAGGTTATAGATATCTGAATGGTCTAAAAGATAATATAAAACAAATTACTAAATTAAGAAAAATGCAGTATCTCTGATTATCTACACTACGCTGGTAATCGGTCAAAAAGTCCGGGGAAAAAAATTCCGGATTCAGTTTTTATTGTCCGACAAAATTCCGAGCAAATTTTTAGTGTCGAAAAAATGTTTGAAAATACAAATTATTCTATTAAATTTTTATTTATTATACGGGTATATCATACTATATATATCTATATATATATAGGTAAAAAATCATTTAAAAATAATAATACTATCATCATAATATTAATTATCGCTTGTAGGTATAATCTTATATGATAGATAAACTGCAGACATACAGCCGCAGTAAAAATCAAATATACGAGGGCTAATCAAAAAGTATCAAGACTGGTAGTATCATTCGGAAAAGGAGCATCGAAGAGCAGTAGGATTGGTATCACTTGTTTCTATGACTTTTTCTGAGTACATTTGTTTTTATTGCTTCTCTATAAAATTCTTCGGTTTGATTTCACTGATATTTTTGTAAAATATATTTTTCGAGTTTGGCGATTTTGTAATAAACCCAAAAGAAGAGTAACTTGACAGATTTGGAGATTTTAGAAAATTTTTCTACATTTTTTTTCCAGTTTCAGAGGGATGCAACATTTCATGGTTTTTGCCATTAAATGTCAATTGAAAAACTGAAAATGTGCCCTCGAGTGGCAGCAAGTTCCGCTTCTTTTGGATTCATTACGAAATCGCCAAACGTGAAAAACAAATTTTAGAAAAATATCGTCAAATCAAAACGAAGAAGTTTATAGAGATTTTATACGAATAGATGTGCTCAGTATAAGTCATAGAAGCTAGGTTTACAAATCGTTTTGCTCTTCAACGCTCGGTTTCCGAGTAATATTATCAGTCTCGATACTTTTTGATTAGCCCTCGTATATAGGTGCCTATCTAACTATATTAAAACAATTCTAAGCAGAGTTTAGTTGATAGTGATGCTTTATCAACAATATGTTTGTCATATTGTGGTAAAATAATTAAATAGGCATTATATATTTTCTTTAATAATATTTGTTTAATATTGTACCGATTTTCCATACAATTTCCCCGATTTTTCACATTTGCTGGGAAAACTTTTGGGAAAATTGAAAAATTACCTCTTTAAAGTATCTTCCCAGTCAGATTTTCTTCCATAAGTCCTATAATTTTTAATCGGAGCAAAATTGCTGGTAGAAAAGTTATCCACAAAAAGAAATCATAATATTTCATACATTTTTCCTGTTTTTTCTCACCTTTTCCCTTTTATTGGGAAAACTGCAGGGAAAATCAAAAAATGACCTTCCTTAAGTACCACCCAATGAAAATTTTCTGACAGAAAAAGGTCTACATAATATACATCGGAGTAAGCTTTGTATTAGAAAGCTTGAATTTTTTTCGTACCCTGCTCCTGTATCTTAGTAATATTGAATACTTATATACCTAACAGATAAAACCTATTAACATATTTTTAACATTTCAAATGTCTCAACAAAATTATGTTACATAGATTATAGACATATTTTTAATTGTAATTTCATCATAATATGAATTGTTTGTCTTTTTTTTATATATAGCCAATTTAAGTAATCCAAAATAATATAAATCTATCACAGATTATATATATTTTAGTAGTATTATAAACAATTTAATATATTGATACACATTATTAATATAAATAAACTATATGGATTAAAGGTTTTGTTTTTTATAATATTTTCTAATGCGTAATAATTAATAAAATTAAAAATAGAAAATTTTAGGGCACACCAATTTTTTCTAATTCGTAATGGATTTCGATAATAATTTGCTATACATTATAAAAATGTATTTTATTATTAGAACTTATGGGAATAATACAACATATTTTATTTAAAAAATATGTATATAAAGAAAAGTTATCTAAAGAGGGATATTAATAAAGATAATAAAGAGAAATATTTTCTAATTATATACGTAATTTATGAACCAAATGATGAACTCATAATATATACCTTTATATACATTATACGTTATGTTTATAATTAGTCTAAAAACAGCTTGTTCTGAATTTGAAAAAAGAACGGTATATTTTAAAATAGATACTTAAATACAAAAATATTATATTATTTTAGTACTGATATCTAAAGTTTCTTTTTTAATATTTTCGATTATAACATGCATAATTTGAGACTAATACTAATTTTAAAAAAAAAATATTTCTGTTAAGTAAAATATTTCCAACTAACATATAAAATATCATTATAAATTAAAAATTTAGTTTAAAAATAATAATTAAACAGAATAACAGAGAAATTATTATTAAAAAGTGAACAATACTAGGCAAATCATATTATATTCAATCAGTAAATAAATGTCAAATACCTACATCATATTTAGTGAAATAACATAAAATATTAATAAAACGAATAACTTTTAGTAAATTCACTAAAGCAAGGAAATGTATATTATTAACCCCTTTTATAAACAGAAAAAGCATTAGTAATCAGACCATATAGTTCATTCATACTATAATACAAATTATAACTATAATCTATTTGAACCATAATTTTCTGTAATTAGTTCCATTAGAGTTATTATTTTTTATCTTTTTATTTTATAGTATAATTGAACTATTACAATCTGCTTCGGCTTGAAACACATAATTCGAAAATGCAACGAGAAAATGTAATTTAATTTAAATTTATCATTTTGTACGTAATTATAAAACTAGAATAAAGAGAGATCAACTAAGTATTCCAATTTAATGAGTCACTTTCTTTTTTAAGATAAGATATTATACAGATCCCGCGAATATGGTATCTATCTAATTTAAACTAATTATCAAAATTGGTAATGATAAATAAACAGAAAATAAAATATTTACAAATCACAACCTTGAAAAGTCATAAATATAAGTAATTCCATTACTGAAATGGAAATATCGGAACAATAATTTACTTTGACAGGTGTTCATCACAATGCCTTGTTTATTATGGGCGTGTCTGATTAAAACTTCTTTATTTTAAATTGGTTAAATGTCTTAAAACTAAAAATCTATTTTTATTTTTATATTTCTATTTAAAACACACATATATATATATATATCACAATTTCTGATTTGTATGATGCGAAATTGTAACTATCTCATTTTTCAAGCTTAATTATTTAAAAATATGATAGTAGTCTAAATACTAATACAGTATTAATTATATATTTAATTGCTTCATAATTAATTCTTTGACAAATTTGAAACAAAAAAAGGTTTGATAAAAATAAAAATACCAAAAAACGCATTATAAAATCTGTATTCAAAATATGTTAGATTAGTGAATAATTACACTAAACGTAATTTAATGGCTACTTCTAATTTATTTTAACCCTTTAAAAAGTAGAACAATAATTTGCGTCTCCTAAAAGTACCGTAACACTGAAACAGTAATAGTGCATGTCATTCCATGTAACAATAATACAACAAAAACAAAACTTTACACTACTTTTATTTGTATAAAAATAGCTGGTTTCTATTATTATATTTCACTCTTTCTTTTTATCCCAAATACAAATCATCTTAAAATATAATTTAAAGAAATAAATTAAGGACAATATCAAACTACATTTAAGGTAAAAATCTTTGTACTAAGAGTATACAAATATATTTCAAGGCTAAAGGACTTATCTGTATATTGATTATAAGACTTATCAATCTAATAAACTACCTATATTAATAAAATCATAATTTAAAATAAAAGGTAGGTACACATTTTATAAAAGTTTTTTTTTTCTAAATAATTATAATATGTAAATACATTTATTTTGCATGTACACTTCTATTATGGTATCTCAAGGTCTACAAGAAAAATACACAAAAACAATATTTTCTTTGTCCAGATCTTAGTCAGAATGGTTCTTAGGATATATCAGAATTGTAACAATAAAGTGCAAATTGTTGGCACAAAATCAAACAAGTTCAAATGTCCAATTCATGTATTTTTGTTAGTATAATACCAAAAATAACTGATCTATAAAACTAACATTTAAAATCTACTTGCATTGATTTCCTGTAATACACCTATAAAGGGATAATACAATACAACAATATAATAGAGGCCTATTTCTATTGTAATTTAAAATTGATTGAACTGGAACATTATGCAGGAAGGTCTAGGGCAATATATTATAATATGAGGGCAATTACATCTAAATGAATGGCGTAGTGATGTTGATGACCCCTGTGTAGTTGATGATGTCATACAAACCCTCCTACATAGCAAACGTTATTAAAGGACAAAAGGTTACCAACCTATTAAATATAACATATAAATTTATTATTATTAAAGAGTGTAAATTGTAAACAAATAGTTTGAAGCCTATGAATAGGTATCGAATAGTGTAATAATTAAAAATAAATAAAATTATTAGAAAAATTACAAAAATTATCTAATTTAAAAAATACTTTTTAGTTTTCATTCATTTTTAATTATTTTATAAAACTAAATTATTTGTATTGAAGCTGTGGCAATAAGCAACCTTTCTCACATGTTTCCAAGCCATTTTTTTTTTCAATTTTTTTATATTATAATTTAAAACTAAATTGCTCAAATCATATTAATTATTATATGCAATAAATTTCAAAATTTAGGTAATTTCAATTACCTAAGTTTTTTTTTTTTCTAAACAATTAAAATTTAAAAAATGTCTTTAAACACATCTGCTCATAACTATAAGGTGACAGTTTAGGTATCATTTATTTATTTGTTGTAAATTATAATAGATTCCACTAAATAAAAGTTTATGCGGGGGCAAAAAAACATACAAATTAGATATATTTATAAATATTATTATAGAATAAAAAATACCCTTTGTATACCGATAAGGACATCTTTAGTCTTCACCTTTATCGCAACTATACTTATAAATAATAAAATAAATAAATAAATTACATTTTTAATTATACTGAAGACAAATATTTTTTAGAAAAGTCACATGTAATACTCAAAATGATTTTAACGAGATTTTAATTACCAAACATGATCACTTGAACAGTATGTATAAATAATATTAATAATATCCAATTTTATCCAATATTATCTAAAATAATTTAAAGTATTGTTTCTATATAAACTGTTATTTAAGATTTTGCGAATTTTTCATAATACTTATAAAATACAAATTGTATACAAACAGGCTGGTATTTGTCTAAAGCACAATTTCTAGCTATAGACAGCTAATATCAAACCGAATTTAAATAATTTTACAATCCTAACTGTAATCAATAATAATTCATGTAGATACTCAATACATTAAAAAGCAACAATGATTACCTAACACCTAAAATTGTTTATAAACAATATCTAATTAAAAACCTGTTAGTATAGTTTTGTACTTATCATTTAATCTACATTATAATAAAATACTTGTAATTAAATCTGAATTAAAAACCCATATTTTGGTAGTTATTAATGTTTAAGAAGATGATACAAAAATAAATACCTAAAGGTCCTCAAGTTTTACAGATGATCAAATCTATTATTCCCATTTCAAACAAGTATAAAGATAACTATTTCCTTAATATTAATCATTTTTGAACTTTTGAAAGTTAAATCACTTTTTTGGTTCATATTAAAAGTGTAAACCATTATATTGGACTTACTTAAAATAAATAAATCAGTAATTTACTTAATTAAGATATAATAAAATTTAAATTATAATAGATGCATGATGACAAATTGTATACAGAGCTATAAAATACACACAATATCGTTATTATACCTAACACTTTAAATGACTATATTGTATCAATAAAAAAGTTTATTTTTATGTCATAAAACAAACATATTATTACAAATACAAATACGATTTACAAAAACACATTTTTTTTTTTTTTTTTTTTTAATTCTAAAATTAATAAATCTTGGTTAAATATAAAGATATTATTTAGATATATTAAATATTATTATTAAGAATGAATTGGGTTTAAATGAAAAATTTTTTTTATTTACAAAATTATTAACTTGCATAACAGTTTAATGTTGCATTTTCTATATACGATTGTACTATTTAAATAACGCACTATAGAAAAACTTACATACACAAAAAACAAGTAATACATTTTGTATTATAGTATTTATTTAAAATACAAGACTAATAAATATAATATTTTAAAAATAAACTAAACAAATTAAGAACAGATATATTTAAAAAATCCACATTTTTTTACCTATTTTATACAATATATTCTTTGTAAAACAATAAAAACTGAATACTAGAACAATAAAAAAAAAATGGTGTGATTTGAGCATAAAATCATGAGGTTAACATTTGAAACTCCCAAAAAGTATATTTTAGATACTAATACTAATACGATGCATTTACAAAATTTAATTTCCTTAGTTTCGAAACTAAAAGAACACCCCTCCTCTCTTTCAAAAATAAAGGGAAATTTGTATTGAATTTTAATGTAGCTTTTATTATTTCTATTTGTTTATAAAATAACTTTTATTCCCAAACTCATTTGGTCCAGAGGGAAACGCTAGAAATTTATAAAAGCAGCAGAAACAAAATATAAACACACTATAGGTACTGTTAAAGAGTCTATATTAAATATAATTAGACAAATATCATTAATTTATGTTAATCCATTAAGAATTATTATTATTGGCTTCCTTTAAATGGAACTGTATAGTACGTAAGGAGGAAATATGAAAGGAAAATATAACTTGAAAATAAAGCATATAAGTACAATATTGGTTATATTGAGGAGACAAACCAATTAACTAACCAAACTAAAAGTTAAAATGCACATTTCTATCATTCAATGGTAATAAATATGGTAGTTAAAGCACAAAAAAATAATAATGTAGTGCACAACTGCCAATTTATGATACATAATTGGTAAACCTATAATATAGTACTTGCTCAAGTTAAAAGCTTCCATTCAAAGTATGTTAGACTGATTTTTAGAGTAATTTTCAAATTCAATCACCAAATAGATAAATAAAAGATTTTTTGAAAATATCAAATTATAATTTTTAAAAAGAACCAATAAAATAAATAATGATCATCTAGGTCCTAAGGACAACTAATTTATCTTAATTTTTTTTTTTTATAAAATCAAAAACATATTGGACATTTAAATTACATACCTGTGTTTATTTACTTATTTAATAAAATTTACTGTGAATTAATAATAAAAACTACAAAGGGAAAGATATAGTTAGTTGTATCTTTAATTTTAATTCAAATTTATGTCTATTTGATTATGTATACATAATGTATAATATATTTTTGTAATTAATAAAATGAATTGATACAAAAAAAATTATCTATTTAGATACATACTTAAGAAATATTAGATTTTATTTTAAATATATTTATTCTTTAATCAAATTTATTATCGATTAATTATAATAGTCAATTATGTAAATACACTTAAAAGGAACATTTTAAATTCAACACCAACTAGGTATACTTATTTAATAAATTATATCTAAATAAACAAAAATGCATGTGTAAATAAGAACATTACCTAAGTAATTTTGAAAACTAAACTGAATCAGAGTTGTACAGTGAAATTTATAGTTAAACAACACTGTTTTTTTTTTTCTATAAAAGATTTTAATGAGTTAGTATATATATACAATGATGAATAATGTATACTGTATACATACTAATAATAAATATTAATTTTGTTATTTTTGTTTAACTTACGTGTTAATGACAGTAGGTAGCACTAATATAAGCAGAAGGATATTTAGATTAAATCCAAATATGAATTAACCCATTCTGGACATCGTCGCTATTATTGTATCCAATAAAAACCAGTTGATTGCATTTACTTTAAACATCACAAGGTAAGTATGAAACATTAATAATTTTTATGAGATTGATAAATTAATATTTAAATTTAAACATTAATGGTTACATTTAATAGGTATTAAAAACAAAATTGTGTATGTAAAAGTAGCAGTGTACTCGAAGAAAAGCACTAAAAAAGACAGGAACCTAAACAATTTTGTACTATGTAAAATAGAAACTATATTTTGATCGCAAATAATATTAAAAAGAAATTTGTAAATAATAGATGATTAAATCAAAAGACCGAATACAACGATAAGTTAGATCACTATAATATACCTACTATAAGTTATGATAAAATACAATAGTAAAAAGAGAAAACAACACGCTGGGGCGGCACGAGGAGCACTGCAGTGCAGCAGCAGCAATAACTATATAAACTTGGATCCATCAAGCTTGTCGTACTCCTCATAGTATTTATTATGGTCATGGGTTACACTGTACTCTAATCGAATGTAACTATCACAGGAAACAACGGATAACCCGATAACGGATCATGATAAATATTCAATAATTTTTTTTTTTTTCATAAAAAAAAAACATTATTTGAAAATTGAAAACATTAATGAATCATTATGGATGTAAAATTGGGAGACTAGATTCAAGGGACTGATGTGGTATTCGAATTTCCTATGCTCCAGATCACGATGTAAAGAAGATCTTTTCTAGATCGTGCCCCAGATATTAAAGAAGTAGTGTTGTGGAAACGGCAAGCTCCCAATAGCTGTAATTATAACGCTAGATGGCAGTAAAGTATTTTATAAAATTAATTCTAGTCCACAGATATAGTTAATAAACTTTATTATCTATATCTACGTTCTAAACCTTATTAGAACTATTCTATACAAATATAATTGTATAGCCAAACACAGAAATGTAAAATATAAAATATGAATACATTATTTGTCAAATGTAAAGGACATTGGTAAAGCATTACAAGTTTATATGACAATGACATGTACGGTATCACACTGTATACCAAACAAATCTACACGAGTCACTCGTCAAGCCCTTCAAGTGATTTATTTAAATGGGTACACTCATTATCTCGGAAAATATTAACTTTTTCCGGAATTTGTTTTTTAGAACATTTAAGAAACAAGCTGCTCTACAATTTTGTATTTATGTTATTTTTTGTCACCATTATTTTTGGGGGTAAAACCACTACCTACATTTGATTTTCAAATAACCACCTATATTAGATAGTCCATAAATAGATGGAGTATTAGTTGAATTCAATTTTAGTGTTGACATTTTTTATTGCCGTCGATCCGTTGACGTGATTATTCCACTTTTAAGTTTTGGCTGGAGGAGAGTAGTGGAGTATTATTAACACGCTGCGTGCCGTACCGCCACACTAATAATACTCCACTACTCTTTATTAATTAATACTGATTTATTAAAATTTGAAGATTATATTTGCAAACCAGTTACCTTCACGGTAAACCTCACAAAGTAGATAAGTAGGTACATTTTAAACACTATACCTATTGTATATTATATATTATGTAAGTTCAATACAAGTTTATATTTAATTTATGCATCTTTATTATCCATTTAACTAGAATAATAATTATGGTCATCCATAATATCAACAAATACAAATATATTTATGATTATTACAACGAAACGAGATGATTACAAAGAAATTCAGAATTCAGTAATCATTGAACTCTATACATGGTACGCGCATTAGGCCGCTAATCATGACCCCCAATCAGACAGCGACATATTGATTCCGTATATGGAATAAATAATAATAAATAATTCATGGAGAAATTTACCTGGTGTTGTTATATTTTATGATCATAATGTGCGTATTATAGTGTATTTTAGGAATGAGTGAATGTAATCAAACGTACATCTTCCTCGTTAGAACAGTTTTAAAAGTCTTTTGCTTTCAATCGTGAATACAATAAGATTGATTTCTATCACGATTTAAGTTATATCTTAAGCAGTCTTTACACGCGTAATCTTTCCTCCACTCCGGGATTATACAGACTACAGACTTGATCGAGGATTTTACCGCGTGCAATCCTCGGGCACGCAAAAACTGGTAACAAAATTGTTGTAAAATTCTTTCTCACGCGCTTTCCTTCTTTCCATTCATCCTTCGTTCAAAAACGTTCGTCTAAAGCAGTCATTCTCAAAATGGGCAATAGCGCCCCCTTGTGAATGGTGGTGGCCTTCAGGGGGAGCGGTGGAGGCCCAAAGAAATTTTGGGGGCATTGAGTAAGGTTTAGGGAGCCATAACTGATTAAAAAATATCTCATATATATATATTTATACATATATTAATATAATATAATATATAGTAAATCTATATATTATATTAAATTCCTTTGAGCAATAATTCTGTACAAAGACGAATTGATGAGATGGCTGAAAATATTGAAGAATCATTGTGCAATGATCTGAAGGCGTCAATTTTCAATTCAGTTGGACGAGTCCACATTATCAACTAATGACGCATTATTGTTGGCATACGTAAGGTTTATACAAAATGAGAAAGTATATCAAGAACTAGTACTTGCGAGGAATTTAGAGACAAATACTAAAAGAGAAACCATATTTAATACACTAGAAAATTTTTGTGATGAAAAGCAAATACCTCTGAAGAATATTATGTCAATTGCTACTGATGGTGCTCCAGCTATGATTGGGCATCACAAAAGCTTCATAGCGTATTTAAAAAATAATGTTCTAGATGTGATTGCTGTACATTGCGTCATTCATTGCTAGTATTTAATTGCGTAAAATCTGAATGAACCCCTGCATACATCACTACATTATGCCATTAGAGCAGTTAATAAAATCAGGAGCAACTCACTAAATGACAGATTATTTAGTCAACTTTGCGTTGCTAATGATGAAGATTTTAACCGATTGCTGTTTCACACATAAGTGCGCTGGCTATCAAAAGGTACTTGTCTGACTCGATTTTAGAATCTGATTGATTCTGTGATAGGGTTCCTGGAAAACAACGACACAGGACTTCGCGATAACCTCATCACATCAGAGAATGATATTGGGTATATGACAGACCAGATTTTTTTAAACTTTTTAAATTTATTTGTACCTGTTGTGCTCGTAAAGAATAAAATAGAAAAATGTGTATAAAATGTTTTTTTTTCGTTAAATGTTTATGTACGGCCCGTGTAGGAAACTATTCAATATTTGGCCCACTTTGAGTTTGACATGCCTGTACTAGAGTGTGCTTAAAATTAATGTAACTATGGCTCCATAAGTTTCTCTATAGGTTTTGGTAGCGTACTTGGCTTGGACATAGGACAATAATTGTCAATTTCAGATTTAATACCAGTTTTCCATGTAGAATTTATGAAAATCAATTTCCATTTATTAAGAAAAACACCAAAGTAAAGAGATAGAGAGAATATTAAAGAATTGGGGTGGTTATAGAATAGTCACATGTGTTGAAATAAGGTGGGACTAGGTCAGGATCTGGTGTAGGATCAAAATCTATATTGAATTTTATAAATAATAATTACAATAAAAATTTCATTCAAATCAACATTTTTTTTTTTATCTGTGAATAACTTTTTTACCAGAAATCTATCTAGCTCCAATTTTCAAGTAAATTACCTTTTTTGAAAGAAAATTTTTTCTGTGTGGTATTTTAGGAAGGTTATTTTTTTATTTTTTTAAGCCAAGCGGTTTTCATATTAATTGACAAAAAACTTGAGCTAAACAGAAAAATTTAGGTACATAATAAAAGATACTACTCTCTGAATCATTTTTCATTAACAATGGTTTATCTTTGCGTATAAATATAAATTAAATTCTCTCTATATCCTACTTTCTCAACTTATCTACAACAGCGGTCTACCCTACATGTTTATTATGTCTGTTTGTTTTTTATTGTATAATTCAATTTCCCTCCCCCCCTTCAAATAATTTTATTTAGAGATAAAGTTGTTATAATTGTGTTTAGAAATTGTAGTATTGTTAAATTGACCACAATATTTACCTGTGCATGATAACATTGACAATATTTACAAATTACGTAACTATATTTCTATTAACTACAATTAGATATTCTCAAAATCCATTTGAGCCATTTTTCAATTTTCACCTGTTACTTTGTAATAGACATTTACCACTATTTCATAGCAGGCTGCCTTTAAAAAATTCTAAAATTTATCAATTTTTTGTGATATCAAGGAGGTAACAAGTATCAATATCATTTATTTCAGATTAATATTCCAATAAAAATATGTTTAATATATTTCAAATTCAGAATTCAGTAAGGACACATTAAAATACAATTAAATTAGCAATTAACTATTATTTACATTTTACAGTAATTTTAGGTAAATTAATAAAAGTAATAAATACTTTATACAATTGTTTTCTTTTTTTTGAGAACCGGTATTCTAATTTTATATATATTAGTTATCAATAGACTTAAGAATATTTAACAAACGTGTTATTTGAAAATCCAAATAAGGAAAATCATTTTTTAAAGCTTCTGTAACACCTATTAGTTTAGAATTTTTTTTCCACTCAATTGTAAATTCTTCATCCATTTTCGATTCACTTTTGATCAATAGATGATATTTTCCTTTTTTAACTTCATCTAAGAATTGTGCATAACTTTGTTTGTAACTTAAATTATGAATGTTCTAAAAAGAAATAGTTCTTCAATAAGTGTAATTCATATGATATAATTCAAAATTAGTTTTCATAAAAACATTAAAATACAGTATGGTTATTATGAAAATATTTATTTAAATTATCTGACGTCTAATAATTACAACAAATTTAGTTATTGTTTTTCCTCTATTATTTACTAGCTAAGTTTTGCCACAGGGTGTTTTGTGGCTAAGAATTATTATGAAGTATGAATAACTATGTAATGAATTAGTTTTTATTTGTGTACTTAACATCAAGAGGATAGATTCAGTTCCAAACCTATCTGCATATATTTAAAATGTCAGATCTCTGGTCATTATATATTTAACTTTATTTATTTATAATTCCTAATCTATATCTTATAAGGAAATTGATAGATAATTTTGTAAACTTCTCTATAGAAAATGATTGATAAAACACTGAAAAACATTCAACAAGCATTTTTAATAAGTTAAAATTATGAAAAATTAATAATTAGTTCATCATAATTCATCATTCATAATTTTCTTCGGAATATGTACAGTAGATAATATATCCATGTCTCTTAATTCTTTGATCATCTGTCTAGAAACCATTTTATAACTATAAATTTAAATTTGTATACAAACTTTTATTTTTGTAGCACCAATATCTTCAATATTTTTAATTAAATCATTTATAATTCTGTGAGCTTCATTCAATTTATCATTTGCATAGGTTATTTTATTCACCAATGCCATTTTACCATGTTGTAAATCACTTATATTTCGATCTAATTTTTTACATTCCTGTCAAAAATATATACATTTCAGATTTACTATTCAAAATGTATACTAAAATGTGCCCAATTTGTCTGAAAATTGTTGACAATTGGATAAATAGGTGTTGTCTATTGAGTAACTTAATTGTAGAGCAATATTATTTGATTGTTTCATAAGCAAACAAATGAGACTCTATGGTTTGATTCTCAGGTAGAAAAAGTAGTTTTTAATTGTTTTTTAATAAAGCCAATTTTATGATTATTTGTATTCATACAATTTATAAACAAACCAGTGTTTTAAAATATATGTATGGGGTTTTCCAAATTTAATGTTGCAGTCAAATTTTCCACGAATCACTTATATTTTTAATAAAGGACTTATTCAAAAATATATATGAATACATATTATCATAAATTCTAAAATGTTAATTTTTTTTTTATTTTTAGGGTTGAAACGGTTATTTATTTTGATTATAAACATTTTTTAAACAAGTAAATCGTTTATGGAAAAAATAAGCAATTCATAGAAAATTTGACTGTAATATAAAATTTTAGACTGAATACACTTAAAATATGTTTGTCAATGATTACTATTTAAATAAGAATCAAATTTCAGTTGGTGTTCAGAGTTAAAATGGGTAAATATCTGCAACCAGGATTACAATAGGTAAAAAATATTAAGATCTTAGGGCATAGTACATAGTAGTTATCTACTATAGTGAAATATGAATTTTAATTAATATAGTAGTATTAAGAATTTATTATAGTCACCATTTTAATTTTTTTTATACTTAATCGCAAATCATCCAGTTTCTTCAAAAATTTTTGTTTGGCTTCACTTTTTCCTTTTAACCGGACATCATTGGCTGCAACTTTATTATATATCATTTCACGTCTTGATATACACGCTTCTAAATCTAGCATTATCTTTTCTAAATTTTTTTTCAATTGGCTTTCTCTTATCTGAAAAAAAAAATACAAACTCACTAATCTGTTTTCTTTGTTAACGTAAAAAGAAAATGTGTATTTTGACAAACTACTATAAATATTTTAAAAATATGTAGTACATATTTAAGAAAGTATGAGCATTACCCCTTATATTGAGTCTTTGCTTCTGATCAACTGTTGTCTATAAATTATCTCTGATATATACTACTGTCTATACTTCCCACAGTGTCATTAAGAATACAGAATCATTATGATTCTATGATTCATAATAATAACTCTGTCTATATATTAATTTTTTCAATCTAGTTTTGTGTGAGGAGAATACATATGTAGAAAAGAATTAAATTTTTATTTTTACCCGTTAACCAAACCTAATTTTTACCCACTTTTTCAAATTTTCAAAATACCCATATTGTAAAATATAATATATTAAAAATTTTAATGTATCATACATTTTAATCCAATTAATAGTTTTTTAGTTATAAGGGTTTTAATGTATAGAAAATAGTCATGAAAAAAAATAATATTCAATAGAAGATAAGGAATTACCTGACTGATTGTGATTCCTCATCGTGTAATGTGTTCTATTGAAAATTAATTGTTTTCACTACAATTTTTTTTAGAAATTAAATTGGTTATTAGTTATATCTAAGAAACTATTGAACTATTGATCACATATGAATATATGTTACATTAAAATTTTCAGAATAATATCTTTTACAAAATAACTATTTTAAAAATATTAAAAAGTGATACAATAAAGTTATTTTTTTTCAATAATTAAGGAATAAAAAGAAAAATGTAATTTTTTTCTGCATATGTCCCATCGCACAAAACCTAAATGAAAAAATAGTGCTTTCTGTATTACACAAATTCAGTGGTGCCAAACTTGGGGTACACATTTTTTGGTGATGGGTGTACACCACCCACCACCACAGCGGTGAGAAATATACATAGTATGAGTAGGTAGTATTTATAGAAAATAAAACTAGTAAATAGTACTATGCATTATGCGATACATAGAATGTCCCAATTGATTTTTCTAGCGCTATTAAATATTTAATTTTTATTTTCATCCCCTAAACACAAAACAAAAGTAATAACTTTATTCACTTTGGAAAATTTTTAAAATAACCATTTTGTAAAAAATATTATTCTAAAAAATTTAATATATCATACATTCATACCCAATTAAAAGTTTCTTAATTATAGCCATTTTATTTTCTAGAAAATAGACACAAAAACAATTAATATTTAATAGAAGGCAAAGAATTACCGTGATGATTGTAATTCCTTATCACGTAATTTTATTGAATGTTAATTGTTTTCATTCATAATTAAAACGGCTATAATTAAGAAATTATTCATCGGTTATAAATGTGTGATCATTCAAATTGTCTAAATATTTTTACAAAATTGGCTATTTTGAAAATTTTCTCAAGTGAATAAATAAAAAGTTATTTTTGTTTTGTCTTCAGGCGATGAAAATTAAAATTTAATATTTTTCCAAATCAATGGCCCCCCTCGAAGACAAACCAATTGAAAAAAAAGTCGAAAAAACTAAATATTAAAAACAGTGCAAGAAAAATCAGTCAAACACACGGTGGAACACAGTGTATTTCACTCAAAGAAGAACAATTTAATACAGTATTGCCTTGTTTGCCCAAGTATTTTTAAGTTACTTCAGCGCCACTACTCAAATTATATTATAATTATTTTGATTTAATAAAATAACAAATTTTATCATAAAACAATTGTTTTATATAGAGATATATTCATTCAAGGGTTAAATAATGTAATAAAATAATCAAGTATGTTATTTATTTATTTTACCTGCATTCTATGTATTTCATTTTTCATAGCATCAATATCTCCAGAATCACCTTCTTTTTTCTTAATTTCTTTTTTCATTTCAACAAGCATCTGAACTTTAGAATCCCACGATTTACTTTCTCGTTGTTTTTCAATATATACATTTTTGGTATCATTCAGTTCATTTTTTAATAGTTTTAATCGATCCATATATTCGAGACACTGTTTTTCATTTTCCTATTTACAATAAAAATAACATTGGGAGTATAATATTTTTCAATTATTTTTTTTAACCCCCCATTCTCTATAATAGATTTTGAGCAGGTAGAGGTAGTTTTTAACATATAAAAACTAGGTGTACCGCTGACAGTGAATAATTGGTGGTGCACATTTAAAAAATTGTATACCTATTGTACACAGTCAATTCAGAAAACAGGAACTAAAACAAATATTTTATTGAAATATGAATATATTTGTATTTGTTTTATATAGGAGATTCTTAGATAGAAATCAGCAATATATTAGGGAATTATGTTTGTTTTTGTTATATTATATATTTTTTAAATCAGGTTGGTCATTATTTTCTATAGTGTTTTTGGAAATAACGTCACCCACCAGACAAATTTAATATCATTCAAAAGAAATAATCAGTTCAGATTGCATGTTATTCTCTATCAGCGACAGCAGACAGCTGTACGGCAGCAGGCGGTTCAATATTCATTCTAACACACTACTATGTATAATGGCAGTTGTGCCAGTAGTAGGAATAAAATGGTCAAATGTGCATGTGCGACTGGTACAAAAATTGTATTTGGCCTTCTGTGCTCCATGACTTCTGCCACTGCATATTATGTACAATGGCACATAATATTAATATTTTTCAACTTTTAGCATTAAATACTTATTTAATTCTATAAAAATAATTTTTATTCTTGTCTATAAAATAAATATGAATGCATTTCTAGTTTATAACATATATATTACAATTAATAATACATTTTTTATAGTAGCAATATAATGAAATTTTCAAAATTATAAGTGGTGCACTGCTCCTGTGCACCATATTAAGAGCAACCACTGACTGCTGGCTAGAATAACTTTTTCATCAGCAGTCATCATCTAGCTATGGTTTGGTTGTTCAGAGATAAAATGTTAAATAGTAATGGGATGGTAACTGCTCCTTGATATATACCAGCATAATTTCTACTGGAAGTAATTATATTAATATTAAATAAGTTTTATATTTATACTAACCTTCAATTCAGCCAAATATGAATATTGTATCCACTCATTTTCATTCAACATTTGATTACTCTTCCCTTTATTATTACTACAATTTTCATTAAGTTTCAAAATTGTATTTCTCATGTTTATAAGTGTTCGTTTATACTGATCAGCTACTTTGTATAAAGAAACTATTTCTAATTCTATTTTTATATTTTTTGTGTCCATAACCGAAGCATCTAAATTTAATTAATTTTTTTTTTTAAATTACATAGAAAATTTGTATTTACTGTTGTCTATTTATATTATAAGTACATACATTTGCATACTTTATTGAACTCATTAAATTGTTTATTACGTTGATCTAATAATTGAACATTTTTATTTTGTTTTTGAACCCAAGATTGTTTTATGGAATCTATTTTTTTTTCTACTTCGTTGATTTTATATCTTACTTGATCAATTTGGATTTGAGGAGTTGTACTAGTTCCCTCCTAAAATAAAATAAAAACACATAATAAAATATTACAATGTATACAATTTTTCGTTTAAAGACTTGCCTCAAGTTTTTTTTTCATTGTTTCCAATTTTTTGTTTTCTAAATCAATTTGTCTCGATTTATTTTTAATCTCAGTGTATATTTTATTTAGTTCAGAATCTAATGCAGATAAAACAAATCCTTGATCATTTAGATATTTTGTGTTTTCTTTTATATCTTTTTCTAAATTAAAACTTGTGTTACGATATTGTTCCAGTTTTAATAAAACTTGTGATAAATTGTTCTCAGCTTCAACTAATACTAACTCCTAAATTCAATATTACATAAATCATAAAATAAATATTATTTTCATTAAAATAAATTATACATGCTCTTTATTTTGAATTTTCAGTTCTGATATTTTGTTATTTATTTGAGTAGAAAAGCTATTAGAAAACAATTGTTTTTTTAATTCATCCAATGAATCTTCTTCATATTTCAATTTCTCATTTGATTTTGTGTTTAGCGTAAGTAATAATGCATTTATTTTATTTTGAATAGATTTTTGATCCTGAAATAATTATATAACATAACTATGTCTGATAAGTATACTATGTCCCTATAAGAAACCTGTTGGACAGGCAGTCCAATTTGTTTATTTTTTAAAATAAAAGTTGTTCTCTTTTTCTCTAATTTCTTTTTAAGTTTAATATTGATTACTAAAATATTTAAAATACATACAAATAAAACTTGATCTAAATTCTGATGTTGAAATTCTGTCATTTGTATAAGCTTAGAATATTCATCTTTCAAATTATTAAATTTATCTAAACATATTTTAAGACTATTTTGTAAATTATTTTGTTCATATTTTAATTTATTTGAAACGTTTATAAGGTTATCATTTTTGTGAAATTCTTCTTGGACACTACGCTTATAACTATTTGCTTCCATTAATAAAGTATGGTATTTATTTCTCGCTTCTCTAAAAAAATATATAAATACAACTTATAAATAGAACATAAATTAATAGATTTATTTTACAATAAACCTATACAGTAGTTACTGGAAATCATTTTTTATCTTTCGAAAAGATTTATCACGCTGTTGAATATTAATTAAAACATCATTCCATAATAAAGTTATCTTAGTATTGTCTCCATTTATGGAATCAAGATCTGTTGAACTGTCCATAACTTTTTGTTTCAATAATTCTCTTTCGTTGTATTTCGTTTCTGCTTGTTCACCTAATTGTTTCATGCGATCTTCCAATCGAAGAATTTCTTGAGTTAAAGACAACAATAACAAATCCTAATCATACAATGATTTTCTTATTTCTTATTATTGTTAGTTTGGATGAATAAATAAAAAATTACCTGTTTTTGTTGTTCATTTAATAGCTTTTTCTTAAAATGTTTTGCTTGGGATTTTTTTTGATTGCATATATTAAATGTAGTTTCTTGTTCTTTTTCATATTTAGTGAGTTCTTTTACAAGTCCTTGGCTACAATCTAGTTGCCTTTTAAAAACTTCAACTAAATAATTACAATATATTAAAACAAATTAAATATAAATATATATATATATATATATATATATATATAAATTAAAGTAAGTAATGTATGAAGTAGGTAGCTACATTTTTTTGTTTCAACTGTAGTTTTTATGGAGATTTCAGTATAACGATGTTTTCCATGGTTGATATATGTTTCAACCTGTTCTTTTGCTGCTTCTAATTCTAATTTCATTCTATGAAATTCATTCAATAAAGTGTACTGAGTTTCAACTCTGCAAGCTATATTATTTATTTCATTTATTAATGATGTCTTTTCATTTTGTTTAAATCTAATAATTCCATCCTAATAAAATGTCTCTGAATTAATTTAAAATATCAATTCTATTTTAAATTATAACCGAATAAAATTACTTGTGTTAATAATTCATTTTGTAAGTTTTCCCTTTGTTTCAATAAGTGATGTTTCAATGTATTTTGAAATCTCATCATCACAGGATTATTTGGTTCAAGTACAATTATTTGGTTATTTATGGACGTAACCTCACTGTTTACACTATCAAAATCTTTAGAAATACTTTCTGAACCATTTAAACATGTTTCTGATTCTGTTTCTGTATCCAAAACAAGTAACTAATTATTAATTTTTAATGGGATTCACTAAATTGCTGATTTTGAAAAAACAGCCATAATAAAAACTATATTAATCTGATAGTGATGAAACTCAGAAAAAACATTCTGAATCTAAACCAACACAAACTCCACGAGCTCAAATTCACTGGCTAAATAATTTTCAACATATGTAAATTTTCTTTATTTGTAGTTAAATATCTATAACAGAGATTATGCCAATCTGATTTGTACAAAACTCACAACAGAGCTTCCTAATACCAACATAAATATAAATACAGTACCTTCAAATTTTAAAATACACCCTCTAAATATTTCATGACTCATGCCAATTTTAAATTGGGTTACCTGTCGCTCATTTATCTACTTACTACAAGATGTATATGGAAAATAGATTTTTTATGATATGTTACTTAACTTACAAAAACGGTCAGATCTATTTGATACTTGGCACACCTAATCTATAATATATTTAAAAAAAGATATGTTTGGAGTCTGTGTATTTAGTATACAAAAGAATTTTTCTGAGTTTCATCATGAATGGATAAGTATATTATTATGGCTATTTTTCCAAAAAATCAGCAAATCAGTATGTCCCCCTTTTTACTACCTAGGTATATTTTATAAGCTTTGAATGTAAACATTTTGAAATGTCAAGTAAAATATTTTACTTTCCATATTTATGTATAAACTAGATTATGATGAGGTACATATTAATTGTATTTTACTCACCTATTAAATTAGTATTTGAATTATTATATTCATTAGATTGATGTGGTATAAATTCATTAGGATCTTCAATAAAATCATTATTTTCATTATGAATATTCAATATTTTTTCTTCGGCGATTAACTTATAATTATCCTTCTCCATCTGAACTTTTTTAATTCCAGACATTTTACCATTAAATTAAATTAAATAGTATTACAATTTTTGGTATCATTAATACATGAGGTTAATTGTTGTGAGACTATTGCATACAAACATTATGAACACAAAAATTGGTTACTATGGAAAATTTATATTTTTAAAAAGGAGGGTAAATGTAATAATGCATGTGAACAAATTAGCTGACCCAGCAATGCTTTGCTAATGCTAGATAATGGTAATAATAATAACATTGATCACCAAGGTAACCCAAGAATAAACAAAAACAAATAAATAAAACGATAAAAACAATTAGATATTTGTAACAAAAATACTTAAAAACCACTAGTGATTGAATTTTTAAAAATCCTCTCTTAGCGGACCTTTATGTCATAAAAGCTATCTGAATGCCAAATTTCAACTCAATTTGACTAGTGACTTAGGCTGAGTGATAAATTATTCAGGGCCTGTTATTTTATATATATATAGATAATTTATCAATAACATAGATTAATATTGTACCAATAATTAAACCACAGGGATTTGGTAAATTTCAAAAAATTTACATTTTTCAGCATTTACATAACAGAAAAAATAAGGGATAAATTATAAATTAGGAAAACAATTAAAAAATAAAATTACAGGAAAATTTTCTCCACTTATTGATATTAGCTGTTTCGTCTTATCAACCTTTAGTCTAGTTCTCCAAATGTATACTCTATATACTTACTCTGTTTTCCTTATATTTAAAAATTAATAATAATAATAATAATAATGAGGAAATAAAAATACGGGAAAATATTACAAAGAAAAATACTTGCACAAGAGTCAGGGATTTAAATCAATAACAATATAATGCAGATCATTATAACGTACTATGAACTATAATTATTTGTACATAAGTAGCTTTCCCGCGCAAATTTACATGTTAAATACCAATTAAAATAGTAGTAGTAGACTTTCATTTAATTCTTGAAAATAGCTAATTTTTGTGTGAAATCTTCACTTAAAATTTCAAAAACCACTTTCGGAGTTCCTAAAAACGAATATGAAAAAAATAAAATCGAAAATGCATTGAAAACTGTTCTTCAAAAAAGTTATAAGGTGTGTGCTTAACATTTTAGGGAGAGTGACATAAAGTCTACTTGTTATTCAAAATATATTTAAGCCAAACAATTAAATAAAACGAAAAAAAATAAATAAAAATTGATCACTTCCTAAAACTAAATTTCTAATGAATATATACGAGGGCGTATCCAAAAGAAACCGAACTGATGTGTGGGACAGAGTTTTAGTATTACCGATTTTTTTCCCAGTAGGGGCGTATAAATATACTTCTCAACATTCAATATGCCAACGGCCGTCTTCGTGGAAGGTTCTGTTACGTTGGTGTGATATTTTTTTTAAAAGTTATTTTTCGTACTCAACGGTTTTCCCGTTTCAAAAGTGGTGAAATGTCGATAGACGACCAAGCTCGCTCTGGACGTCTTTCGACGGCGCGAACCAACAAAAATGTAGAAAAAATACATAAATAAAATAAAAATAATTAAGTACTACCTATTGATAATTATTAATTAATAAATAAAATTACTTGAGTGAGAACTGTACCTGACTATTTACTGCATACCTATTCGTATTCGTATACACAAACATAAATATTATTGCATTACTAATTAGTAAATTATAATTACTATGTAATATATTTTACTTCTTTAACTCAGTAGGTGTTTGAACATTAATATATTTATTAACGCAGTCATACTATTTATCACCTAGAGAGCGCTGTGTGCTGGTGTGAAAACCAATATACGTTTCGAGCTATACATTATCACGGTTCGTTCCGTAACCATATTATCTACAGCTGTGGTCACAATTCTCATGTTATATTTTTGTGGTTTTAAATGTTCAAGTACTATTTTCCTAAATAATATTTTTCAGATATATAACTTCCTTATTATTATTAGTATTAACTTTTTCCGGAATTTGTTTTCTAGAATATTTAATATATGAGCTGCCCTACAACTTTTGATTTCTATCAAGCTGTTGACGAGTATACCACTTTTAATTTTTGGTTGGAGAATAGTAGTTGAGTATCATTTGTGCGGCGGTACGGCGCGCAGCATGTTAATTACAATTAATTAAACATTTCAACACTCAAATTTATTTTAACCAATACTCCATCTTTTATGGAATTTTTAATATAGCTTATCCTTGAAAAACCAAAAGTAGGTAGTGATTTTACGCCCAAAAATAAGGGTGACAAAAAAAAAAAAAAAAAAAAAAATAAAAAATNTTTACCCCCAAAAAAAAGGGGGAAAAAAAAAAAAAAAAAAACATAAATATAAAATTGTAGAGCAACTCGTATATTAAATGTTCTAGAAAACAAATTGCGGATAAAGTTAATATTTTCCAAAATAATGAATGTACCCACTTAAATGAATCACTTGGTTTAATAATATGAACATACTTTCTTCAATTTCATATCTCTACTTATAAAATTCTTTGCCATTATTTACTTTACTGATTTTTATTTTTACCTACTGAAAATTATCCCACTATAAAATCATTTCACAGAAATCTACATTTTACGTTTCCTGACAAATGTGTTACTAATTTATAATTTTATATTCGTCCACATTTTAATAGTAATTGATAATAGTTGACTGTAATTTAAAATAGATGACACTACAAGACAATATTTCGCACTTAAATAGTGGTTTTTCATATTTTTGATAAGAACATTTATCCACTTTTTGGCAACTCTTATAACCATTGATTAATTTTATTACTTTGAATAAAACAATTTAGTTTCATTAAAATGATGAATCAATTTTAAATAATTAATTTCTTAAGCATTAATTAATAAACCATAGATTAATACGAACAGCTAACGATGTTAGAATGAGAAGAGAAGACAGCTAGTTATAGTTTATAGATGGAATATTGAAAGTATAACAGGTGACCATTGTGGGAATCTCTAAGTTGCTGATATTATATATAACTATTAAATAAATGTTACAACCTACACATGAGTCATAATAAGCAAATAACATAAAATATACCTTTAAGGCTTCAAATCATAATAACAAAAAGCTATATTTTACTAAATTCAAATATGAATGCTATTTAATGTGAATATTTTTCACTGATGAAAAATATTAAATAACAAAACAATCACCTATAAAGACAAAACCTGATATTAATGAAAAAAAAAACACATCATTTATAGGAAATTAAATAATCCAATATTTATTATTATTATTTAGTACACATTATACATTATTATTCAATCACATATTTTATTTATAATTGTATATTATATATTTAAATTGCTCACATATACACTGTGACAGATATATATACTCTTTAAACATTTGAATTGAATCATAAAATGATATGACACAGCATAGGTATATAAACAATATTGTAATTTATATTATGATATTATTATATAGCAAATAAATAACATTGGTTCTTATTTATTTTAACACCAATTATTATAAGTTTCAATTAATTTTTAAATAATCAAACTAAAAATGTATTTCAGTAAGAACAAATATAATACAATATATATAATGATTTTATTAAGATGTACACTAACAAAAGCAAGCGTTTAAACAAAGAAATGTAAGCAATAAAATACATACTAAGAATTAATTTTCAGTTCAATACAATTTATTATGTATTAAAAACATATATCAGCCATTCTCCAAGTTTTATGTAGTATTCATTTTTACTAAAATAGATTACAGGTATAAAATACAAACAGTTTCTACAATTTTCAAAAATAATTTTATAATATATTTCAAATAGTATTATTATAATAAAACTTTGTGATACTTACACAATAATTAGATAATTCTAAAAAATTCTAAACTAAAATTTACAATAATAGATCAAATGTATACAGTTTTTAATTTTGTTTCTGTTGTTCTAATACTTCATACATACAATTTAATTTAAGTAGCTGATTTGTTAAAACAAAATATATTTTTAATTTTAATTAAAATAATAGAAAAAATATATTTTACGTCATCGTTTAACAAGAACAAAAAATCTTAAATAAGTGGAAAAAACTATGATAATATATTACTTAATGTTATCATAATGAACATTTTCATTAATATTATTTTTAGATTTTTTCTTAAAATTGGTCAAAATTAATTTTGTTTAGCTCTGTGTTGATATTATAAGGAGATCAATAAATAATTAAAATACATAAAATCCAGAAAAACTAAAAACTGAATGATAAAAATTAATTTATTAGTATATAATATATATATTATATCATATATCTTAAAAATATTTAAATATAAATATATTAATAAAAAAAAAAAATTCAAGTATTGAAATAATAGAATATAGATTATTATTATTATTTTCTAAATATGATTTTTACAAAAATAATCAAAAGACATACTATTTTAACTTTTTTTTTTTGTAAAATTATAAGAAAATAATCAGTAATGTAATATAGTTTTAACTAAAATAGACTTATAATTTTAGATATTTGTGATGGAATTTATATAATCTTAACTGTCATTAGCATTAAAAAAATAAACATAAATTGATCTCCTTTATATTATTTATTGCAATATTGTTATACCCAAAATAAATTTTAGTTAACTTAAGTTATATTTTATAATGACCTAAACATTATTATTTTCTACTAGATGAAGATAGAGTATGATAAGTATCTAAACTAGATTGAATTTGCTGCATATGAATCTCAACACAATTTTCAAAAGATTTTTGATTAGATTGACTAAGCTTGAGTTTTATTTCAACCATAGTTCTTTTCAAAGCATCCAATTCATATGCAGTAGGTTCGTTTTCAGTCAATGTTTTTACCTGAAGCATTAAAGCTAACAAATCCTTAATTAAAGCTAACATTGGTTGATCTTCTACCATAAACCGCGAATCAGTAATTTCTTTGTTGTGCTCAATCATTTGTTCAGCTTCATCAAATGACTGATTCTGCAAATAATCTGTAATCAATGGCCATGTTTCAGCTTCTTCAGGTGCTAATACTTTAATTTCTTCACTAAGCACACACATTACTGATGTTAAATGAACGTTTAAATTATCCAAATCTAAAACAATCTTAGCATAACGACTCTGGAACTCAGGTGTAATGTCTTCATTGTATAAAATCATTCGCTCTGCTTCAGAATTCATATTACGTAATGTTTGCACATACTGTTTTTTTGCACTCAAAATTTTTCTAAATTTTACAGTAGATTCTAATAGTTTCATTGAATATTGTGTAGAAGTGTTTTGATCAGTTTTTATTGTATCTAGTTTAGTTTCAGGTGATATCGAACGGTTATGGTATGGTACACGTGGACGACACATTTGTAATAATACATTTTTTGAAATAGTTTCAGTAGGTTGATTAGAGCATACTTCATAGTCAGGAACAGAGTGTGTACCTAAACCAGATTTATCAAAATGTATTCTATAAGTATTATTAGAGACATCTAAAGCTTCAATAGTCCCATTAAATAGACCATCTTCAGTATTATTTCTTAACATTGCTGTTACTTTTGTACCAACAGTAAGTTGTAAAGGTATTTCATCTGGTATATCTTTAAACAATAATTCATCTCTAGCTTTTCGTTGCTGTAACAGTCTTATTTTTTTTCTTCTTCGGTCTAACTCTCGAATTTCTTCATCAAAGAAATTTTGAGAACACCTACGAGGTTTACCCATCATCCGTCGTAACATACACCATTCAGTTCTAGTCATTGTTTTTATTTTAAAAGAAGGAAAGAAATCCTGTACACACATCATAAAATCAGATTCACATAAAAGAGGTTTATCAATATTGCTATAAAACCACTCATAATATATCCAATTTTTAGCTTTTGGTAAATGAAAAATTTTTCTTAGTTTTAATCCAACCTTTTGACAACGTTTCCGATCAAGCGAATCTGATTTTGGTTTGGATGTAGATACTACAGTTTTAGGAGTTTCAAGTTTTGAAGGTTTTTGTTTTGTAATCCCATTTTCAGATGATTTTTTTGAAACGCTTTTAACTGGAGTTTTTAGTTTGATTGTAGGAGTTGTTTTAACACTAGTTTTTGGACTTTGTAATTTTTGATTTATAACTTTTTCTTGCTTAGGTGTTTTTGGTGTTTTAGGTTCAAGTTTAGAATCGATACTTTTTTTTGGTGTGTATTTTTTGGGAGAATTAACATACATCATACGTTCTTGTTTTACAGATGGATTTTTAGATGTGTTAAATACTTCTTCATCAAAAAATAATTTATTTTTTTTCCTTATACGAACAGGCATACCTCTTCTGTTTAATTTATCTTTTTCTGAATTGGATGAATCTATAATTTTAGGACTATTTCTTTTATTAACTGGTTGCAAACCTAGGACAGCTGGACATAATTTTGTTTGGCCGCATTCATCATCCATATCCATATCACTACTATCAGAATCCATTTTGTTGGTCAATATATGAACTATTAATAAATACCTTTAATTTGATGACAAAATATAATAAATGTAATTATAAAATTACAGTATTGTATTGTAGTCAACTGTTTTTAAATATACATGCATAGATAACTCTGTGAATTGTTGTATGACCAAAATATTCTGAAAAAAAAAAAAAGTTGATTACTGAATTGCAAAAATTAGTTTACATTACAGTACTGGTTTTTAAAATTGTCTTCAATTTTTAATATTTTAATAAATACATTAAAGATAAGATTTTTCAACTGATCTGTTACTCACTACCCATTTAGGAGATGGGGTGGGGTGGTTTTTACTGACAAAAATTACTTTTCGGTAATAAAGATAATTCATTGTTAACATAATATTTTTGGAACATTTAGTTTTTAATTGATAAAAACAATATTATACAGCTTGTATTGAACTTTGATTTTTCATTAGATTTGGTAATGTTATAAAAAAGGTAAAAATTGATCTTCTTTAACACATATTTTAGTTTGTAATTGAAAAAAGGAATTCAATGTGAGATGTAGGAAATTTTCATCTTTGAAACAGAAAAATAATCATCGAAATTTGAGTCATTCTATGAGGCATGAGAAATTTTCCCGTAAATCATGTTTTTATCAAAAACCCTCCTGGCACTGAGTCCCTTAAAACTCTTCTTAAAAATAAGTAAATGGAATAATTTTTTAAAGTTTACTAGAATAAGTCAGTAAACTGTATACTAAGTTTGGTTTTACATTAATAAAATATAAGTAGGAAACTATTAATCACATATTTTCGAAAATGACATTTATAACATTGTATTACTCCCATAATTGAGTTTAAATAGTTTGTAACTATATATTATTATTTAAATATTTAGTTTTTTATTAAATTAGATGACAATTTATTTACAATAAAACACTAATTTAAATAGGATAATTTGAATTAAAACTATATAATACTACCTAAGTACCTTTTTTAATAATTGTTAATTTTGTACAGTTTTAAAATTTATTAAACCGGTCAAAATAATATAGATAATTGTTTAAAAATACATCGAGGACAAACAATTTCAAAATATTAATTATTTCAATGTTAAAAATGTTTATTTTCTACTAAATATAATTTTGTTCAATTAGTTTATTGTATTATATACTAATGAATGTGAATCACAATAGTTATAGATTAATAAATAGAAAAGAAATAAATTTGCCACATCCTATAAATTCTAACATGGCAATAGTATTAACCAGGTCAAACTTTAGGTATAATTTGAGTCCAGTCCAAATAAATGAAACACAATTTTTAATTTTCATTGAATTAAAATATTAAAAATAGTACACTATTTATGTGTCATCAATTAACACTTGTAATAAAACTAATTGAAAATATATTATGAATTACACTCATATTTATGCCATATAAGTGTAATTTAGTATTATATATACTGCATATTAATATGAAATTGTTAAACTGTTAAAATTGGAACAAAGTGAACACATAAAGAAAACATTACGTTGATTACTCCACAAGATATTTAAAGAAATTAATATTTAAAAGGAAATGGCGCAAACAACTATATCAATTGTTGTTTGAATGAGTTCTTAAATGCTTAGAAATATTTATTACTTATGTACTGTAAACCTACTTACATAAATTTCATAATCTCATTGTGATGGTGGTGAAATAAATTACATGCAATAAACGAACACAGATTAAATTTAAATACCAAATCAAAAGAATTGTTAATTTATAAATTTTATAAAAATCGCGGAGGAAAACATTTCCCAGTTTAAATTCCACATTATCGCCAGGTTCACCAACGATATTTCATGGACGCTATACAGTGATGCAATACATTTAAAACAGGGTTTTAGATACGAACCACGATTATAATTTATTATACACAGTAGATTAATAGACCTATGGATGAACAACACCTTGATATAGTATATTCTTAATACCACGGTCTAGTTTATTGTATCTCAGATAAACATAATATTGAATTTATTATTTATTGACTTTATCTTTGGCATATATTTTATAATCGTGATAAGAATATTGTTGTCAATTATCATCATGTACATACTACATAGATCCATGATTAAAAATATACTTTATATCATGTATAAACTATTTGTACAAAAAATGTAATTTATTGGTTATGTTTAAAAAAAAAAACAAAATTAATATTTTCCTAATAATTACCTCAACAATCAATTTAATATTTAAATGTTTATGTAGGTGTAAAATAATAATTTTTTTTCTTTTTTCATTTATTTAAGTGATTGTAATAAAATAGCCAACTTGATCAAATTTTAGTAGTATAATGTGCAATTATTATACTTATTGAATCTAATTTTAAAATATTTCAATTTAAATTATAAAGGAGTTAAATCATTATATAACAGGTATAACTAATTATTTTTAGATATAATTTATGTACATAACTTTTAATTATAAAAAGTTAATAATAATATTAAATCATGACCACATTTAAAATTTCATTATATCTGCAGTTTTTTTAATAAAATATTTTTAACAAAATCAAAAAGAGATTTTAGAATCTAATGAATTAATTTAAAAGAATACTTTAGTCTATGAAATACAAAGTTTTTTTAAGTAGAATATATGTATGATAGTTAAGAAAAAAAAAAACAACTGAATGGTGTCCAATGAGAAAAAATGAAAATTAATACATTACTATTACATACGAGTGAATTTAGTACTTCTCGAAATATTTTAGGTTTTAGGAAATGTAGAAATCCAAAGCAGTAAGAATTGTTATGTATATGGACAGGAAGAATGAAGAATATAGGAAGATTGAAAAAGAATTGGTTAGATGCAATTGAAAATGATATAAGTATGCCAGGTATATTTAAGAATAATGTAGGCGTTCAAGTTAAATGGTTTTTTAGGATGACGGTGGCTGACCCTAAATAAGAATAGATGAGAAATTAGAATGAAGAATTTGTATTGTCGAGTTAATAGTGTTAGGATGAATATTTGGTTAGGTTACTATATTAAATAGAATATGAAATCAGTTGTTATATAAGAGTAACCTTAGGTTTTTACTATTATAATGTAAACTGAAAAATAAGTTCGGTTGGTTTGTGCATGATATAAAGTAAAGTGAGAAAGTAGCATAACTAATAAAATAACGATGTTTAGTGTTTTGAAAGAAATATAGATAGAGGATGAATAAACAGAGTGATATGATAATAATATATAGGTGGGTGAAGTAGACAAATTATAAAAATATATTAAGAATGAATATCATTTTTCTGATTAAATAAAATATGTTTAAACATTTTATGATTTTATAATATTGTCATTAAAAAGTTAATATTGAATAATTTATTATTAAGTATGTGTATATTTTCAGATATTCTAAAATGGCTTGTATCAATAAAGATGTATTATGTTTAAATGAGACAACTAACATTACAATTGACAATAACATTGTAAAAGAAGAAAATAAGGGAACTGCATGTATAAAAAAAGAATTCATCATTGAAAAACATGTACCTAGATTAGCATTAAACTGTATTTCTGAAGTTGATAAAAACCAATTAAATGAAGATGAACCACCATCTAAAAAACAAAAGTGTAGTAAAAGTGTTTTAAAAGGTCAAAACAAGTCTAGAAATTGTACGTACTATCAGATTGCTCATGAACATTTATGCTCAAATCTTGTGGAAGGTGCAGAGAAAGGTTCATGTCTATATGATAAATGTAAATTTTTACACAATGTTACAGAATATTTAGAGAAAAAACCAGATGATATTGATAAAACATGTTATGTATACTCTATTAAGGGTCGTTGTCCTAGAGGACTTACTTGTAGATATGGAAGTACTCATATTGAAAATGAGAAAAACATTATTGACCAAATCAAATATGACTCTTGGATTAAGAATGAAAATGTTTGTCTATCTTTAAGTAAAGAAAACATGTTGAAATTGCGAAAAAAATTGTATGACTTTACAAAAAGTGATGAAGCTGTGAAAAAAATTGATAACAATAAAAATATAGGACCTATAATCGAAGAAAGTACTAAACAAATTAACTGGAAGAATAAATTATACTTAGCACCTTTGACTACTGTTGGTAATTTACCTTTTCGTAGAATTTGTAAAGAATTTGGAGCTGATATAACTTGTAGTGAAATGGTTTTATCATCTAGTTTATTACAAGGACATAACCAAGAATGGGCCTTAACTAAGAGACATGAAACTGAAGACATATTTGGAATTCAAATATGTGGTAATAACCCTTATATGTTAACAAAAAGTGCACAAGTTTTACAAGAAAATGTAAGTATGGATTTCTTGGACTTAAATTTAGGATGCCCATTAGATCAAATTTATAAACAAGGAGCTGGCAGTGGCTTATTACTTCGAAGTAAAAAATTAGAAGTTTGTTTGAAAAGCATGAGAACAGTGCTTAATGTCCCTCTTACTGTAAAAACTCGTTCAGGTGTTAATAAAGATCAAAATATTGCACATGATTTAATACCTATGTTTAAAGAAAGTGGCGTTTCACTTATTACAGTTCATGGAAGATCAAGAGATCAGAGATATACAAAAATGGCTAATTGGAATTATGTAAATGATTGTGCAAAATTAGCAAGTCCAGTACCAGTGTTTAGCAGTGGAGATATAATGTCTTATGAAGATTATGAAAATTCCAAGTTAGAATTTCCTGATATTACGGGTGCTATGATTGGCCGCGGTGCTTTAATAAAACCTTGGATATTTAAAGAACTAAAAGAAAACCGGCGTTGGGATATAAGTAGTAATGAAAGATTAGACATTTTAAAAAAATTTGTAAATTATGGTCTTGACCATTGGGGCAGTGATACTCGCGGTGTGGAAACAACTAGAAGGTTTTTATTAGAATGGTTATCATTTTGTTACAGATACATACCTGTTGGTATTTTAGAACGTGTACCACAAAAAGTAAATGAAAGGCCACCACATTATAAAGGAAGGGATAATTTAGAGACATTAATGGCAAGTGAGAATTGTGCAGACTGGATTGAGATTAGTAAAATGTTACTGGGACCAATACCAAATGGCTTTCAGTTTTTACCTAAACATAAGGCTAATTCTTGGAAATAATTTGAATATTATTAAAATAATATAATTTGTTGAAAATTTTATATGTTTACACAACTAATAATGATTATTAATTATTTTAAGTGTGATATTATTATTGTACACAAATATTTAAATACAAAATATGATATATTACATTCACACATTTTGTTTGTTACAGTATGATAGTTGTTATTAATAAACATAACTCAATATACTATATTATTACTACTATTATTAATACTAATTATTTGAATTATTTATATATTTACATACAGGTCACCAAACTATTTAGAATTTATTATATTTTTAAATAGTAACTTAAATATGGTGTAATATTTATTTTCAATCAAAGTTTTAATTATTATTTTCATTTTTACGTCTTGAACAGTTTGTTATAACTTATAACTGTTGTAAACTTAACACAATGAATCGTCAATTATTTTATTTTAAAAAGTATATTATTATAGTTTATAATAATAACTATTAATAAGTGTTCGTGCTATTTCAATTAAAAATATTACTACGGGTTTTTATTAATAAGTTGATTATTGAATGATTATTGAATGATTATTATTTATTAGTTCATTATATCTCGATTATTATATTTCGAATACTAATCTCTTGATTATCGAAATCATTCGATTATTCCCAACACTACTTAATACCTTTTCTGTTGTAAATTAAGGTAGGGTAAATGTGATAAATTAAATAGTTAATATTTTGTGATATGTTGCGTGTGAAGTAGGCTTTTCGGCTACTGTTATCACAATACGAAATACAAAAATATTTGTGATTTGCAACAAATGTCTATGATTACTAAAATTGTAATTTACGTTTCTACTTAGGGAAGGTTAGGACGTATCAGGATAATATCAGGTTAATAAATCATGATATGAATTCACTAGGTTGGTATTAAAGATTAAACTGTAAAAATAAAATGGTCATCCTGTAAAAACAAACTCCTCTCCGAAGTTCGTTTATATGATTATTCCCTAAATTCCCTTGAATTTCCCTTATGCCTTATTCTGAAATCTGAACAATATAGGATAAGGGATAAGCGAATTCGTGGCCATACTATCATATCAAGTTAATAAATTATTTTATACTAATAAATCTTATTTATTATCGGCACATACAATTTTCATTTTTGTATAAAACAAATATAATAATTAAAATGTCTCTATTTAGGTAAGTTCAACCCAAGATTATTTACTGAATATTCATCATCATATTGATTTCATTTTTTACAGTGTATTACCTGCTCCAACTCAACTAATTCAAGATTTGGAAGAAGATGATGACTCAAGTGAAGTGCTTGCAGAAAAAACTAATGTTTATGAAGTGTATGCCGTTAAAATACCTCCCTATGGCAATAGAAACGGTTGGGTTCCACGTACTGTCGAGGTAAATTTATTTTATTATTTTATTATTTCGGTATTCAGTGTTGTAAGTGTATGCACCATAAGTAGAGTGTAAAAATAATGATAAGAAAACGTTTTAACAAAATATGGTTGAGGTAATGCAAAAAAGACCAGGAAGTAAGAATGCTGTTATTGGTGATGATATGATATAAATATGGCACTATTTCAGTAGTTGGAAAACATAATACGAGAGGGTAGAGAAGGATATAGTTTTGGGAAAGACATGAGGTTGGGAAAATAATTCTAGATTTTGTGTTAGCATTTGACCTTGCAATTATAATTGACATGTATTCTTATAAATTTTAAGAATGGAGAGAATACACCATAAATTGATTATTTTATGGGAAATGGAGTAAGTGTTAAGCAAATAAAGTATTGTAAAATAATCCCTGATGTAAAAGTACAGTATAGGGTAGAAGAAATAAAGAAATTCAGTGTACTGAGAAGAGTTCACTAAAATGAAGGTAACAATCTCAAAAGCAATCTACATGTAGTTTACTGACATCATAAGGTGTTTAAATATCACAATTTGTTGGTTTTATTGCAAAATTGTTTTCATTCAGCTGTCAGTTGTTCATTGACTATTGATACGTACTAATGTAATATCCACCTATTGTTTTGAGTGTGATTTGGTTTTTGTTGTTTTTGTGTAGAGTAATTAATTTTTTTCCTTTTTAATATTATTTCATGTAAAAATTATTTTTCTTAAATATTTAATAAAATTAGTTTTTTTATAAAACTACTATTTTTATGTATAATTTTGTTTACTATCAATACACATTGCTTACAAGATCAGTGAGCAACATATATATCGCAACAATTATTTTAGATCTCTTAAGATACTGTTAACTAAATAAAAATAATAGTAGAAGATCAGAATCAAGGATTTGGCTGCGGAAATTAATAAGAGACATAAAAAATGTGAAAGAAAGGGTCATGCAAAATGTTGAGAGAAGTATGAATGAGGTGTGAAATAGTAGTGCAATGGGATCGTTTATGAGAATAGGTAGTATTTCCTGGAAGCAAGAGAACATGGTTGTAGGATGTGGATGTTCAGAAAGTAAGAAAAAATATTTTTAACTATGATAAAGGATTGAGTAGAGCACAAAAGATTGTGTAAGGAAACAACTAGCGTGATAAGCAAGTGTAGTTAAAAAGATATGATGAGTTATCTAAAAGACTTGGTGTGATGGAAAATAAAACAAGAAAACCAAAAAAGAGGTATTTAGATGCAATTGAGAATGATTTGAGATATCAGATAATGTGAAAGTTTATTAATAACAAAACATATTAATAACATCAATAACTATATATTCTTCTTCCTCACTTCTCTATCAACCAAAATTTAGGGTCAACTATTTTAGTTATTATTCTTTATTTGTACCTCTACATTTATTCATAACTAAATATTATAGGTAATTACTGACTTTCAAAAACCTTTATTATTGTACCTTTCATTAAAACTCATTGAAGGTAACACTCCATTGAAGTATCCATTGAATAATAATTGAGTATTCAAATAGCAATAAAAAAAACTGCCTTAAAAAAATTATCAAAATAAGGGGAAGAAACATTTCCATATTTGAACTATTGAAAAAAGAATCTTTTTAAAATTGATTGCCCTATGCACGATAATGACCAATGCAACTAGTAGATAAGATAATAAAAACAAATAAATAAAAGTTGGATAAAATAATACAAAGTGATTTAATCATACAAAAAACATCTGCGTTGCTTAAACAATTACAAATTAAAAAATATCCCAAAAAAAGCAGAACAAACTAATAATGTTTTTGTTACCTACTAATTACTATTAATATAATCAATAAAGAATTTTTAAATTTCATATTTGAACTTATTGTAACTTGAGATAAGTTTTCATAGTACTCTGTTAAATTTCATAATAACCCAAACCAATTAGTAAATATAAGTTTCAAACCCTTAATATTATTACCAATTAATTAGTTCTACTATTTGGTGTATATTTATGGTATTCCATTGATTATATATAATACAGTATAATAGACGAGAACATATTAAACTCTCATCACGTAATTTATTTCCTTAGGATTTTGGAGATGGCGGTGCATTCCCAGAAATCCAAGTGGCCCAATATCCACTTAATATGGGGAAAGAAAATAAAGACGCCGTATCAAATGCTCTTGCACTGCAATTAACTTCAGATGGAAAAGTGAAATATGATGTGATTGCTCGCCAAGGTCACAGAAAAGACAAAGTGATTTATTCAAAACTTTCTGACATGCTTCCATCTGAGGTGGTTAATGAGGATGATCCTACAATACAAAAACCTGACATGGAAGAAGTTGCAGACATAACTGAAAAAACAAGAGCAGCATTGGAAAAGTTGACTAATTCTAAAGTATCTGCAGCATTACCAGTACGGGCTGCAGACAAACCCGTGAGTTATATATTATTAAAATGCGTTTTAAAATATTTATTTTTGTAAAACAAATATTTTTAGGCACCTGTTCAATGGTTTCGTTATACACCTACTGAACAAGGAAAAGAATATAATTCTGGATCAAAGCAACGTGTTGTAAGATTAGTGGAAGCTCAGAAAGATCCCATGGAACCACCCAAATTTAAAATTAATAAAAAAATTCCACGTGGTCCCCCTTCACCTCCAGCTCCTTTAATGCATTCTCCTACAAGAAAAACATCTGTTAAAGAACAAAAGGAATGGAAAATTCCTCCATGTATATCCAACTGGAAAAATGCTAAAGGATATACCATTCCACTAGATAAACGATTAGCAGCAGATGGACGTGGTTTACAACAGAACCATATAAATGAAAAGTTTGCAAAATTAGCAGAAGCTTTATACATTGCAGATCGTAAAGCTAGAGAAGCTGTTGAAATGAGGGCACAATTAGAAAAGAAAATGGCTCAAAAAGAAAAGGAAAAGAAAGAAGAACACCTCAGAGCAATGGCTCAAAAAGCTAGAGAAGAAAGAGCAGGTATATAAAGGTTTACTGATCATAAAAATAATTTAAATACTTTTTAAAAAACAATTTATGGTACTTGTTAGGGTCAACATTTTACAAAAACTTCTCTAGCTATTCATATAATATAGGATAACAAACATTGATAATAGTATAAGGTAATAAATTGATAATAATTCAAATTTCCTCAGGTATTCGTCTTCCTGGAACTAAAAATGATGAATCTCGTGAACGTGATCAATTACGTTTGGATCGTCAAAAAGAAAGAGCTCGTGACCGTAACTTAGCTAGAAATGCTGATAATCGCAAAAACAAGGTATTAAGAGATCGGGATATTAGTGAGCAAATTGCTCTTGGACTTCCAGCAATTACTCGAAAAACTGGCGATACTCAATACGATCAACGTTTGCTTAATACAACTTCGGGTATGGATACTGGATTTGGTGATGATGAAGAGTATAATGTTTACGATAAACCATGGCGTGGAAACAGTTCTTTGGCTCAACACATTTATCGTCCATCTGCTAATATTGATAAGGATGTATATGGCGGTGATCTGGATAAAATTGTTAAGACAAACAGGTGAGTTTATTTTGAAGAACTTATAAATTATAACAAATGATTATAAAAACTTGATTTTATTGTTGTTATAGATTTGTGCCGAATAAAGAATTTAGTGGTACAGACCGTGATCCTAAAGCTAGTGGCCGTGCTGGACCAGTGCAATTTGAAAAACATCAGCAAGAAGAAGATCCATTTGGTTTGGATCAGTTCTTAACACAGGCTAAACATGCATCAAAAAGATCTCAGCCACAACAACAAGATCGTGAAAAACGTCGTAGAAAAGAATAATTTTTTTTTTTGTGAACTTATTACATTCAATGACCTGGGTTTTTTTTTCCAATATTGGTATTTTCAATTTAATATTAGTATAAAAATATTAATAATCTTTTTTAATACAGTGTATAATAAAATGAATATACAGTCCAATTATAGTAATATTATGGTGAAAAAACTGTTTCTGTATTCAACAGATATAATATTTTAATTTAAGATATTGTAGGATTAATAATATGAAACTAAGCTAGACAGAAAAAATGTATTTCCAAATTATTCTTTCATAGAAACTGTCCATTCTATATAATAATTTATTTTATTTTATGTACACATTACTACATTAAACAACAAACTACAGATAATTTGTTATTAATAAATACAATAGATTAATGATAAGGTACCATGGAAATACAAAATAAAATATATTAAATAATATTATGAATAACATTATTAAAGAAACAAATCAATATATTTGATATTAGAGTTTAGGATTTAGTTTCTCTGCACCACTTAATAAATATAAGTTTTAAGACAATCAATTCTAGGTAAGTTCCTTGATATGAGCAGCTTATGTATTCGAAAATGAAATGTTTGATGGTCTGTTTCTGTGCACCACAATCACATCACATTCTGGTGAATTTCTTATGCCCTATTAGAGCAGGGAATTGGTACACCTACCATGTGAAGTACCGATTCATTTATATGACTGAGGTTTATTTTCTAGAACTCTTTAATCAAAGCATTTGTTTCTTGCGATGGGGGGGGGGGGGATTTCTGTTTATGTTAGAAGTCAATTTTATTATACCAGATAATTAGTCTCATGGTGATATTAAATTAGATATCTAATTTTAATACAAGAGCATTATTTAGTCAAATGGATGCACAATATTCATCTATTGAGTAGACTAAACAAAGGGCTGAACATAAAGTATGGGCAGAAGAGTAATCGGATAAAAAAAAGCCACAAAATAATCTATAAAGTTATTTTTTAATTTTAAAAAAAATGAACATACTTCACGCAATGGGTAGCCTACTGTTGTAGGTGAAAAATTGGGAAGTTAAAGGGGAAATTTAATGTAAATTAAATAACTCCATGTATCCAACTTTCCACTTACAACAGTCACACTCGTCCTAACTTGGATATTCTAAACAAAAGTCTCTGAGGGTAATATAAAATTGTACCATAAAAATAATACGAGCCAATTATGTCATTACCATATCATTTATCACAACAGTGTGGATATACTTTTTTAATAAATAAATAAAATAATACAATTTATACAAATATTCAAAATTAAAATATATTATAATCTTATAAATCTTTTAAATAACACGTACAGTTTTGTTAAAATTTTTATTGATTAATTCCTTTTCCATTTTCTTTTTTTGTTCTTTAAATGCTAAAGTATTAGCCTTTCTTTCCATTCTTCGTTCCTAAAAATACAGTTTTGTTAAGTATAATAATGAATGTATAAAAAATTTTTTAACTCAATAAGAACTAAAGAAACCTGTCTAAATTCTTTAAGTGCTTTTTTCCTCTTTAGTTTTTCTTCAGGTGTCTCATCCTTTGGTCTTATTGATAAAGATGACAGTGCAGATATTACTGATTTAGAACTGGATTTTAATGTATCATTATTGTCTAACGATTTTAATGCTTGAGCTGTAAGTCTTTGTTGTAATATTGGAATACCAGTTCTAGGATTTATTCTTATTTTTTGAATCTAAATAATGAGATGCACAAACTTATTAGACAAATGATTATACAAATTTTTCGTCATTATCCGCCTATATTCAGAAAACAGAATGTTCAAAATATCTATAGGTACTTAATCTTTTGAGTAATTGAGGTTTTCGCAAGGAGACAACATTTATTTTTACTTATTGAGACTCCACAGTGATTACTTTAGTGTAGGTTAATTCATTATCAGACAAACTGTTAGCAAATTAAAATGGTTTAGCATAGATGAATGGATTGAGTTACAATTTAACAATTTCATTTCTTTTTTTTAACCCTAATCAAACTATATAAACATATAATTATTAAACCATTTGTTAAATATTAGGATTATGCATATTCAAATTCTCAAATCTGAAACAATATTGAATTCAAAAACATATATTTACTTAAGATACATAGAGTAAAGGAAAATTCCTTAATTTACTAAAAAGGTCAAAATAAAATTTATATGAAACCAACTCAGAAGGAAAAAAATGACAGAAATATTTAACAACATTAGGTTTGGTAAAATATTTTGAAAATTATAGCTTGTATAAGTAGTGCTAATAAACAAAATTATAGTAAAACCAATTAATTTCTCACTAAGCTAAAAATAAAAGCTAAACTAATATGATTTTCATTTAATAGCCATACTGGTGAATCTTTGATGAGAGCAGGATGATTGTATATATTAGAATATGTGGAAATAATACTTTCGCAGTCCCATTTTTTTTCTTCTGGATTTTGAACTGGTAATTTATACGTAAATTCTTCATTGTCAGAATTACTATCAAAAATTAAAGCAGCTGTTTTATCTGTAGGTATTTGATCCTAGAAGTTAATAAGTATACAGTTACAATTTATTTTATTTAAATAACACATATTATTATGATTTTATTACTCTTTTCATGTTTGATTCAAATTCTTCAGCTGCTTGTTTTAATATATCAGATTCTATAGCTAGTGTGCCTTCTATTTCTTCATTGTCTAATGCTCCAATATCTGTATCATCATACGCAGAAAACAACTAACAAATATTATGGTTATTTAGTTTAAATTGGTTCAATTTAATAAATAATTTAAATATTAATCTACTTTTTCAAATTGATCATCCAATAATTTTAAATTTTCATTTCGCCTTATAACAGAACTAGACATGGAGTAATCTGTAAAACGGGACTTGGTATCATCCATGTTTAAACTACCAATATCATCACATGCTTCACTACTATAATCATCACTTTCTTCAATTAAATCTTCTAAATTATTACTTTCATCATCTGATCTAGAATCCATTTAATACATTATTCATAATTCAAAATATATATATTATAAGATAATTACTTTAGAAATGCTTATTGGAAATCTAGTAATGAGATTAAAATCTATTATCTTTAAACTCTTCAAAATGAGCAACTACAAAGTTGTGTGTACTGAATATAATGTACTATCCAAGTTAGTTTTCTAATATTGTTTATTAGTATGGAGTGGCTGTGCTGATAATGCAATAAACCCGCTCAAAATTCAACAAAACTATGTCATAAGAATTTGTTTAAATAAAATAGATTTATGTGGTTTATCTTCAACTAATTATAAACTAATTATAAAGAATTCAAAGTTTTTCTGATTAGGTTTCAAATTGGTATTATAAGTATTAAACAAATTAGTCAATAAATGGGAAAATAGGGCGTATGACATGCATGTTGATCACACAAGAGCATTGGGAATAAGTTCTAGGATTGCTTAGACCCAACAAATTTGAATGTTATGCTACTGTATCTACAAAAAAATTAATTTAAATAATGAAAATAAGAATAAGTATGTATCTAATAAATAAGCTTTTACTAACTGGTTGTTGTTTAAACAAAAATTTTTTATAACTAGGAGAGTAAGAATTTGTAATTTTTTTTTATAATATGTACTAAGATTTAAATTTAAATGCTCTAAAAACAAGAAAAATGCATTAAAAAAAGTTAAAAATTAACACACTTTTAATTATGTTTTATTTATTTTATTAACTAAACACAACAGTAAATAGTGCAAAACGACTACATTACAACTCGATAAATAGCTTAGCATTTTTTTTATTGCAACTGGTATCGTATTTATCTGGTAAAATTGATAAATCTATACCTAATACATTTTAAAACCCAAAAAATCATTGTAAATGTCAAAAAATGCAAAATAAAAATTTCATATTTTAATTGTTTGATATATGAAACTAATTTTTTGCTTGGAAAGCATAGCTTTACGACATTAAAAAAAAAATGCAATTAGTATTACAATTGCATCCTAATTAAAAGTAAGTTATATTGTATATTAATAAATCAATAACCTCACAACAAGCTCAGCTTATTAATGGGCAATTTCAAAAATAATACAGTCTAATTTAAGTTTTTGAATAAATTTTAATCTCATAAATTTAATTGTTATATTATAATGTGTATTGTTTTTTCATTAATAAAATAAAAAAAATATCAATTCAATTTTTTACCCAGTTTGATTTGCTATAATCACAAAATCATCTTCCAACTCATTATCAGGGTTTTCAAAGTCATAATCATCATCCATTGCAGCAACAATATCAGGATCCAAATCCAAACGCAAACCTACATAATTGATAAAATTTAATATTTTTTATTAAGAATCAAATTGTACGGATTTATTTATATTACCAGATTGGGGAGCTGCTTTGTTTAACATGCCAACTTTTTCTTCAATTTCAGACTCAAACATGGAAGAAGGTAACATAACTTTAGGTTTTTCTTTCTGTGCAGAAACCAATGTATTAATTTATTTGATAGTTAAATTTAAGATACCAATAATATTATTATTCACTTTTTCATTATTACTGTTAGATGGTGCAGGCAATAATATAAAATCATTAGATTGGCATTCTTTTAAATGTTGTAAATAATCATAGTCATCATCAAAATAGATTCCATACTTTGCTTCTTCTTCTTTGTTTTTCTAAGCATATATTTAATTTTATAATATAAGTTAGAACTATTTATTTAAAAATTACTATATTAACCTTTTTTGACTTAGATGGTTGTTGAGCTACCAAAACACGTTGAGGCGCTGTTTCATCAGCAATAAGTGGATCATGTTGACTTCTATGCACTACATGAAAAGTTACTGAATTTTTCTTTTCAATGAATTTCTTTTTTGATTTCGGCTTAAATAATTGAATAATAAAATTTATTATATTTAAAAATATTATTTTTTAACTTACACAAATTTATTTAAAAGTTTTATGATATTTCGTAAAAAAAATAGAAAATAATATTAGGCTAACTTAATTTAAAAATATAGGAATTTCAATTATAACAATTTTGTCAGCTATGTTTCTTTCTAACATTCAAACATGTCAATCTGAACAATACAATACTTATATTGAAACTTCTTTTGAAACCAGAATGATCATATAGTATACAACTCTAAGACTCTAATCCAAATAATTAATGTCCCTCCTTTTATATCACAATCGATACACTCCATGATGACCTGTCCATTTAAAAAGTACCAACATGTAACAAAAACTCTTTATAAATTCTTCTACTAAAATCTAGTGCAATCTTCTAATCTCAAACTAATCCATTCTTAACATCTAAGGTGATCTCAGAAACATAAATAGTGATGAGAATGGTGATGTTTCATCACTAGATGAATTCTTCCTTAAAATATACAGTCATTACTACTTATACTTGTAAAAAACGTATTTACAGATTGCATAATATTTGAAAAAAATATGTAAAATTTGATACAAATTAGTTATTGAATTAACATTTCAATTCATTTGATCACTTGTATTGAATAGTGTAACACATTAATTTTGTATGTGGACATGTTTGCATTTCGAAAATTGTACTGTTAGTCATATTTCTTTTCATCTTTTTAACAAAATTATATTAAGGACATATTTTAATGATTAACATTAATAATCAGTTTAAAATAATTTAATGTATTTACAAATACAGATTAAATGTAATACTAAGTATTTACTAATATATAACATAGTTTAATACTTTAATCCTTAATTGGTATTAAATATAAGTGAAATAATAGTAAATTATTAGTAATTAGTAAGGTATTTAAAAGATACATACCATTTTTTTAAAATCTGGTGAGTAATATAAACACTAGAAACGAAATGTTCAATATACAACTTAGGCAAGAAGAAAACGTGCTTATCATTAATTATTAACTATAAAAAAAATAATTACTAAGAAACAATCATAAAAGTACGTATGTTCCGCTAACAATATTTGATAAGAAAGCCCAGTAGTTCCTAAACTGTGTAAACATTCTTGTATACGCGTTAGTTCAGCAATAAATAAGCACAAATGCACGATAAAAATGAAATGCAAATACCAGTCAAAAAGATAAAATACGTTTCTATTAAAATATTTATCGGGTACTACATTTTCCACAGAGTATATAAAATTTTCGGACATTACAATATAGCCCCTCATTTCTACTTAACTCTATGGTTCTATCATTTTATGCAAGTATTACCAATATTTTTCCATACCAATCGACCAAGTAATGCGATAATACTTTTGAAAATTGATTATGTGTGATTTATGTCTATTTGAAATTGGTTAGTCTAATTTTCCTAATTTTACCCTTCCCAACTCCAATATATTTGGTTTGAATGTCTTAAAATCTGGGAATTTTCAAACGTTAATTATTTGGAATTAAAATCAGAAATCTTAGAATGTGGACTCACCGATCTCAAGTAAACCTAACCTAACGAATTCTGATTAGTTTTCTGAAATATTACCTATCGCATTATCAGATCAATCTACACATAATTTTAAATTTTAATTAAATAAAACAGGTTTTGAATCTTCGAAACTATTGGTTATCCTTATCGCATACCACCGTCCACGATAAATTGATTACATCATCACAGATATATAAAACAAAAACAATGGTTTTATGTATCTGTGGATTATATAAACATAATAAAAGGATCAGAGATGGTTATAGGCGTGGTCGAGATCAAGAAAAATAAATAGACTTATATAAAGCCTAGGTTTAGAGAGGGCAAATTTGCACTTTGAGGACAGCCAATTGAAACACTTCGTTTATTATCTCACGTATTTCTGTCCTCGAAATGAAACTCCACCCATCGGAACGCGTTTTCATGCTAAATGTTCCATCTAAATGTATAAGTTAATGTGCTACAACCATAAAATTAATATTACAACAGTAAAACAACCAACGAAAATAATCTTTGATGTATTTATATTTTACCGCCGAAGTCTTAAATATTATACATAGATACCTGTTTATTTTATATAATGCATCTAATCTGAATTTAAATAAAAATCTAATACCTATAATGGTTTTACGATCAATAATATAATAGAATCAAAAATAATATTATTATATTGGATTTTTAAATTTTTGTTCAAACATGATAACAATCACGATTTTTGGATGTTGTGAATTTGTGATAAAAAATGAATACGGTCCTAAACTATTGATTGTAGAAGTTACAACTTCAATTTAGTGATTTATTTTTTACGTGTAGGTTTATTTTATTATATTCTACCTAAATAATTTACATTTTTATTACAAATCTACATGTATCGTGTTTAAGTAACAGTATTAGTGTGTAGTTTTAACTATATTTGTCAATAGTGAGCAGAGTAAATATACAATTTTTATTTCTTCAAATTATAGGAAGTATATTACTTGAGATACTTATGGAAGTTTGTAACTTATACTTTTATTTTATTTTAAGTTTTAGTTAGACAATATGTACACCAATCAACAAGTACTAAAGAGATTGCGAGATGAATTTAATGACATAGAATCGAAAAACATGTGGAACATTACATTTCGAGTAAGAAAATTGTATTTTGTTGTACATTATACCTATCTCTAAAAATGTAACTTTCAATAATAAATAAGTTCTATATTGAGGTTTATTTAAGTATATGATATTAATATTTCTTTTTTTTCTTTTTAAAATATAACATTGAATGTGTGTACCTACCTACATTTATTATACTTTTGCATAAACATAATACAAAATATAGTATTTCCTCTTGTATTCCCCTAATATTCTATTATCAGGTATTATTAGATAGTTATCTATTTACCATTGCTATTTTTATAGTTACACAATTTATTTCATTAAATATGAAATTTAAATTGAAATAGTTATCTGCATAATTCAAATAATAATAATAATAATATATTTAAAATTAAATACATATTGATATTTTCATTTTATTGGCATGTATATTATAATGAAAATACTTACATGTGTTTTTGGAGATCATAATTTTCTTTTTTTTAATTCATATCTTATTTATGAAATCAAAACTGAGTGCATAATTTATTTATTCTATTTTTTTCATTTTAACCTAGTAAAAGCTATATATTATATTAAGTTTAAGTTATATTTACCAATTGGTTCTTCTACTTAACTGATGTAGAAAACTGGATTCTAATTTATTTTTTTATTCACTTTTAAATGAAAATTAATATTTTTATTTAAATATTTCAAAAATTGCAAACATATAATACTATTACTGTTATTATTATCATAATAATTACATATTAATTCAGATATTTTTAATTTAATATATTTTATATAGTTTGTTGAAGCAGAAAGTTTGAAAATTAAAAAACCATCAGATGAAGCAAAGAAACCTCAAAATAAAGCATTAAATAGATATCAAGATGTCTCTCCTTATGATGAAACTAGAATTATTCTTAAAAGAGGAAAAGTATCGTACATAAATGCAAATCTTGTACAAGTAATAGCAATATTATTTTAAATAAAAGTAGGCACAGGATACAGAAAATGAGGGTTGGGTAATGATTTCATATCATTCACCTTAGTTTAAGCTAGTTTTATATTATCCATTTTAATTTTAAAGCAATAGTAAAAAGTAGTAACAATAGCGGCATAAAACAAATTTAAATTGTTACAATTATTTTTTTTTCTTCGACCAGTTATAAACAGGACAGTTATTGATTTTATTTCAAAAATTACTAAGATTTATAAAAAGTCAAATCAATTTAGGTAAATGACCTAAAAAATATTTTGCTTTTAAATAAAATTATATTATTTAAATAGATACCTATAGGACCTATAGAGATCCATTATTTCATTAAAACTTAAATACCTACAATTGTTTTTGTTTATTTATCTATAATTTAAAAATAATTTTGTTTTATTTGATAATAGGTTGATGTTTTATATTTTACATTTTATGTAGGCATGCAACTGCGAAAGGCAGTATATCCTCACTCAAGGACCCTTAGAAAACAGCACTCCACATTTCTGGCTTATGGTTTGGGAGCAAAATACTAAAGCCATTGTTATGCTAAATAAAGTCATTGAAAAAAAGAAAGTAAGAAACTTAAGTCATATTTCAAGTAGTTAAAAACTTGTAATAAATAATTATTTTTTTTAGCTTAAATGTCATCAATATTGGCCAAAGAATAAAAAGGATAATGATAAATTTATATGGAATGATGTTGGTTTATCTGTTGAATTTGTATCTAAAATTAATCATGGATTTTATGTACATATTGTTTTGAAGTATGATATCTTATTTAAACATAATTATTTTTAAATTAATTTTTATTTTTTTGTAGACTTTGTGATTTAGATTCAGGAGATTCTCGTGAGATTTACCATTTCCATTATACTGATTGGCCAGATTTTGGTGTACCTAAAACTCCTACACCTTTCTTACGATTTCTTAGAGATATCAGACGTAGTGGTAGTCTTGATCCATCTCATGGACCAGCTGTTGTTCATTGTTCTGCTGGAATAGGACGTTCAGGAACATTTTGTTTAATAGATTCCTGTCTCATAAAGGTGAACAAATTAATTAAGAAATATAATTGAAATATAGTCCACTAATATTATAATGTATTATTTATAATATCATGACACATTCATTATTTATCTATTTAAGATGAATTCATCAGAAGGTTTAAATTATGTTCACATACGCACTTTATTAGTGGAAATGAGAAGATGCCGTTTAGGACTTGTTCAGGCACCTGAACAGTTAAGATTTGTTTACCAAAGTGTCATTGAAGCTTTAGATTCAAATTGGGAGGCTGAAAATGAGGTATAATTATTTATTTATGTTTTAAATTAATTAAAAAAAAAAATTTATTTTTAATTAAATTTGACTTTTAAAAACTCAATATTAAAATCTCTATTTTACAATATAATATTCTTTATAGTTTTCATATAATCATGTTACACATTTATTTTTAATATTAAAATTTTAATTATTATTACTATGGTAATTAAAAAATTTATACAGACTGATTATTTTTTTATCATGAATTAGCAATTATCTCAGGATTTTAAGTGAATTTGATTTCTGTTTTTTCTAATCATTATGGAATCGTTAAAAACTTCATTTTAAATTTTTTACCTCTACTCTATATACCTTAAATAAGTGCATATTTCTGATTTTCTAGTAGGACTACCCCCCCTCCCATTTGAACACAGATGCTTTGAATTGAGAATATTTTGTTAAAAATGTTAATATGCATAACACTAATGTCAGATTTACTGTTAATAAATTATAAAAGTTTAGACCGAAGGATTAGAGAAGAGTCAAAGATAGGCAATTTATAACCTTTGTTTAACTCCTCCAATCTAAACTTTAAACTGTTATAACTCATAAACGGTAAATCTGATATTAGTGTTATGCAAATCAAAATGTTTAGAAAAATATTCTCTATTCAAATCTATGTTCAAAAGGGGGGGGGAGGAGGGTTCCTATTTGAAAATCAAAAATATGCACTTATTTAAGATATATGGAGTAGGAGTAAATAATTAAAAATGGTTTTAAAATAAAGCCTAAACAATTCCATAATGATTAGAAAAAACAGAAATCAAATTCACTTGAAGTCCGCTGAGGTAATTGCTGGTTCATGATAAAAAAAATCGCCCTGTTTATAGAAATAAAAAATAAATAAATAAAAGATTGCGGCACCTGAAGTATTGTTACGTTTTACATTTTGACTGTGATACACTTGATGAAGAATTTTTTAACGCACTTATCGAACAACTACTTCATTAATTTATATATTTATAACCATTTTAATAATTTTGTTTTTATTTTATTATTTAGTTCTATATTAATTATTTTAAAATTTAGTCAAATGGTATTTTTGTTCTAGGATGATTTACCTAGTTTAGATGGAGCATTATTAAATAATGAAGGCGAGTCAGACTATGAAAGTAGTGATAGTGAAGTTAGCAGTGAAGCACCTCCATTACCACCTCCACGCATGGAGTCCTTAAGGCAACATAATGAAGACAATGAAGAAGATGAAGAATCTTTAGTGTCAGAATCTGATAGTGATGAAAATGAATCAACCCCTCCTCCATTACCACCTCCAAGAGACCTTGATCTATCTAAATCTAAAGAGTATGTATCTTACATTATTTTAGTGAAATGACTTATTATTGAATTGAAATTTGTATTTATTTGTTCTAGGCATATGGATATAAAAAGTACCAAAGATGAGCATAATAAGAGTAAAGTTGAAGAAGAAGCAGAAAAAACAAAAATCATGGCAGAAAAGTTAAAATTAATGAAAAGAAAACAAAAAGAACAAGAAAGATGGGAACAAATCAAAAGGTCATGGTTATATCAATTGAAAAATATAGGAATTGGAGTTTTAGCTCTAAGTGGTGGTGTTATGATTGTCGCCTATTTGATGAATTATAAAAAATAATTTTTTTTAAATTAAAATCTTTAAACTCAACTTTACAATTTACAATGACATTAAAATACATGAAAAATATTTGTTTACATTTAATTTTTAATAAAAATGATTTTATTCTAAATATAAAAAAATATTTATCAAAATGAATAGTTGAATACATATTACTATTACCTTTGTTTATACAATGTACAGCTCTTGCAATACTATGAATTATAAGAGTAGTTGAGATACAGTGATGGGAGTATTTCAGTCATAGATGAGTGACAGCAATGCACTTTTCACCTATCTATGATGGAGGTATCACCACCACTGCACCTCAACTATATCAGTATAAAGCATAATCAATGCTATACTATTTGAATATTTGAGACTGAAAGTAAACAATATACATTATTAAAAAATTAAACTAAATAAAACTAAACTTGTATTAATTGTAAGAATCAACTAAAGTTTTAATTTATTTTGTGTATTTAACAAAACTCAATTAAAACTATATTTGATTTTTTTTTTTCAAAAACATTAAAGGTATCATTGTAGATTGTAAATTTCAAGTTTTACAAACAATTGTAAATATGTTTAAATAGTATAAATCATACCATTTTAATTTAATTTAGTTATTAACTTCTGTAAGTAAATAAAACTATTTATATTTTCTTTATATTTCTTAGTGAAATGATCATAATGATAAAGTGTGTAAACTTAATAATATTGAGTTAAACTAATTTGAATTAAATTGAATACAGATAATATCTAACATCAAATTTAATTTACAAATTATCATTTGTAGGAATAAAAACAAAAAATATTTTAAAAAATAATGTGTATGTAATTTAACTTTTTAAATTCAAATTCGGACAGATAAAGACGAACTTATACATATATATAAGTTATATTTTCTCCTAATTAACTATTTATTTTCATTCAGTGTTGTTTTGGGATTATAAATTGAAATTGTGTTAAGTAATATTATTTATTTATAATTTGTTTTATTAAATTTTAATGTTCAAAATAAACTAATTGTATAATACTATAATTATTGATTATTAAGAATCGACTAATTATCTGAACATGTAAAAAACAATTTTAATGTGAATATAAAAAACGAGATTAATATTAATTTAATTCATAATAATAATTTTACATATTTTATAAAATGTAAAATTGTATAGTTCTTATTGCTTATATTTAAACAGTGTAAATAATAATAATTAGATATCGGAAATTTAGTATATTCATATTTTTATTAAGAATTATACAATTCCTTAATTATATTTTAAATAATATAAAATATAGATTATTAATTCAATAATTTTTATTCTGTTAGAATACAAAATTATTAAATGCTTCTATTTTTTTTATTATATTTTAATCACATTTATGTTCATTATTGTTATATTATAATTATTCTACTTATGTAGTGTTAATCTTTTTGTGGTAAATGTTTGCTCATACCATGACTGTTTTATTACATTCACATTCAAATAATTAAATTTTGACAGTACAGAATTATTTATTTAGAATTAATTTATGTTATTCATTTTTCTATTATTTAATTAATAATTAATAAATATATTTGAATACAATTTTAATATTAGAAAATGTTTTGTTTTACATTTCTAGGCATTGCAATGATGGAAAACAAAGTAAAAAAAAATGAAATGGAGTCATTTTCTTTATGTTTCGTGAATAATATTTTATTATAATTTGTTTAAATTATATATTTTTAAGAATAATAACAAAAAAAAATTGTTTTAAATTTTTTTATGGTCAAAGAAACAAGTTAATTTTGTTTTAATTTTGAATATGATTTACATAATAGAATAAAAATGTTAACAAATATAATGAATATAAGAGTTTATAATTCTTAAATAACTAATCTTGCTAAAGTTTAAATAATTTCAGAAAATATGTTGATGAGTTTTGTTGCCATAGTATTAATATAAATTGAACCTCGATTGGATTAAATAGTATTGTTTATTGCTAGACTAACCAACTAATTAAACTACTGTGGTAATGCTGTTTGTTATTATTACATTTTAAATTCTTTATTTATTTATTTGTTACTTATATTTAATATAATACAAATAGATCATGAAATATATAGAAAACATAGTAGCAATTAATATAATGTAAAAATCTAAAATCTAGATTTAGTACCAACGATTTTACAAACATTGAAAACTGAAGAGTAAAATGTTTTAATCTTAATGAAATTATAGTCATCTGACTATAATTGAATTCCCTATGACCTATGTGGAATTTTCAAAAATTGCTAATTAAAATTGAGGGTTCTGCCACAGTACCACCCGGATATACTTTGTTTGGGAGTTAAAGAAAAGAACTTCAAAAGGTTTGGCTTTTCTGTTATTCACATTTCATAGTTGAAACTAAAAGGTTTTTTTTCCATATATATGATTTTTAATATTTAATTCATTAATATAATCATACGTTTATACTTTTTCTACATAGATCTTGAAAAATGATATTTTAGGAATTGCTCAAAAATGTGGTGGAGAATTTACATTTTTTCACATCTTCTTCAAATGAACGTTGTATCCAATTGAATAAATTAATAAAATTAAAAATAATTTAAACATTAAACTAATATAAACAAAGTATAAATGTTTTTGTTAAATATTTCATGTTATTATTATTTTTAATACATAGTCTGGCAAAAATAACATAAATATTTACATATTTCAACTTTTATTACATAAAAATCCAAGCCATACATATCATTAAATAATTAAATACTTAAATCCTGAATATGAATACTATTATCCTTTCTCTCAAGCTATCTCTGATCAAAATCTCAAAAAGAATACAATAAATTTCTTTTTTAATTGAGTATTAACATTTGAATAAAAATAAAAAAGGAAAACATTAAAACAAATTCTGTATTTATTTCATGAATAGAAAAGTGTTTATTAGAATATAAGTATAATTATAATAAGCACACACAATTATTGAATATTGGTAAACTACAAACTTGAAAGAATATTGTTTAATATTATATATTCAATTAACTTATTATATTTTAAACATTTTTGGCTCCATTAAAATATATTAATTATATATTTTACAGTACCTAGATAAAGCATAGACATATTCTTGTTTTCCAATAAATAAAATAATATCATTTTATTGAAAAAAAAATATATTATATAAAATAAAAAAATAAAAATTAAGTTAATTAATTTATGGCTAAGTAAATAATAATTAAAAATTAAATGGATATAAGGCAAATGTACTCTTAGTAAATTGAGAGTAGCATAAATAACTGATAAAATTATACATAAAATATAAACACATGAGCACAACACATACATACATACAAAATATAGTAAAAGCAATAGATAAAGTAAAATAATTAATTAATATTAAGCACATTGAATAAACTGCAAAAATTGTATGCTCTGTTTAAACAATATACCTATTGTTCTTTGTTTACTTGAAAAATATAGGAAGACGAATAAGTTCATAAGCATAATTATAAAAAATATAATGATAAAAATAAGTTGATCGAATTTCCAGCCTGTTTTCTTATAAATTCCTGTTACAAGTTAAAATAAATATATATTTATACTCTATGTAGTATTTAAACAGTATTAAGAATATTTTTTTTCTTACATTCTTAAAGTTAAATAGTATTTGACAATTCCTGTTAATTAGGTTTACAATTTATAAAATTAATTGATGTGTTCTCATTTGATCTATTAATCAATTTGTTTAAAATTTAATTTAATTTTCTGAAATTAAGTAAGTAATTATTAGAAAAATTAACAAAAGTATAACATTGAAAGAAAAAAAATGAAATATGTTTGTAAGATTTAATAGTAGAAGTTTGAATGAGTTTATGAGCATAATTAATAAATATTAAATAAAGAAGAAGTATCTAATAGTGTTTATGGAATACATTGCAGGCATAATATGATAGAATCTGCAGATAAAAAAATCTAACTATATGCTAAATCTGATGAATATTATACACATTGGTACTTGATTCAGAATCAATATATTACTATTTTGAATAGTAAATAAAAGAAATTAAACTAAAAATGTTCTTTAAAAATCAAATATAATTAATACCTTTTTAAAAAAACTTACATGATATCATTTATTTTAACTCCAGTTAATGTAGTTACCATTTCAGGTACTTTATTAACAATTTGAATAACTTCATTTGTTAATCTAACAGCACCCACGTCACCATCACCACTGGCCACCATTGTAACCTTTTTAGTGTTCTCAAATGGAGCTGCAACTTCAGCAGCAAGCTAAACATATTTTATCAAGAGAAAAATTAAAATAATTTTTATAATCCAAAGGTGTAAACAATAAATTACTTTTGGTAATGTTTCAAGAACCATATCAATAATAGCAGCTTTTTTATATTCTTTCCACGCTTCTGCCTTTTTCATTGCTTGTTCTGCATCAGCTTTAGCTTTGGCTTGTATAGCAAATGATTCTGCTTCTCCTTTAAGCCTGATTGTTTCAGCTTCAGCTTCAGCTTCCAATATAATTCGAGTTTTATTTGCTTGGGCCAATTTCTCTAAACTGTTATCATGAATTAAATATAAAAACAATATTTAATTTATTTCAATTTGTAATTAAAAATAATGATAATAGTGTATAAACATTTCTAATATATTCTCTTTTAAATGTTAATTACAAATATATATAAATAAATACATGTATAATGTATATGTTAAATATATAACATATAAGCAAATTTAATTTACATACCACAAACTAAGATAAATAATATACTCTATGGCAAATAACTTGCAGTTTTAGGGAAGTGTACTTTAATGACAATATTAAACAAATATTGTACCTGTTTAAACAAACATTTAAGAAAATGCTTAATGCACATGTTATGATTTGACCATAATGACAAATATATTGTAAACAAAGCAATACTATCAACCAAACTTCGCCCAGAATTTTTTTTTCTTGAATAATGGTTAATCTTTCGGTACAGATATACATTAAATTTCCCACCTTCCTAACTTCTCACCTATAACAGTGGCCCATCCACGTTCGAAATATGTCCATCTTTTATATATTTGATTTTTGAATATTAACCTCTTGAACAATATTTTGTTAAATACTATCTTAATACACAAATTATAATTACTTTACTTTTTAAACAATTTGAATAGAAGTTACATTGTTTTTTGAAAAATGACGAGATACCTAAAACACTTGTCTATTTATGTTTATTTCTTAATCAGAAATGGTTAGAAAACTCTACTGTTTCTAAACAAAGATTTAAAATAATAAAAAAAAAAATCAAATCTGTAATATACACAGTTATTGATCTGCCAAATTAAAGTGGTCCAAAATAAGAAAACAATTTTTATTGTATTACCGAAACTTTTCAGCTTCTGCTGGTCTTCTAACAGTTGCTTCTAATTCTCGTTCTCTTCTTTGAATTTCTTGATCTTGGACAGCAATTTGTTGAGTTCTTTCTACAACATTAATTTGCATTTGTTCTTCTTTTATGCGCTGTTTTGTTTTAGCAGCTTGAAGTTCAAAAGCCAATTCTGCTTCAGCTTTCTATAAAATTTAAATATTATATTTTAAAAAATTAATATCAATGTTCAGTTAAACAGTCTACAATTATTTTTTAATGGATTACAAAAAAAAAAGTTGATACTGTTTACAAGACTGTCAAAGTTACAGTAGGTAAACGTTGGGGAGGTGATTTTGTTTAAGATTTTTGTCAAAATGTCAACTCTTAAAAAAAAAAAATAATATTACTTCTTTGATACCTTCAAAAAAGTATTAACTATATTGTTTAAAATTCATAATTTGACAAATTGTACTATATATACACAAAATTATCACTGAGCTATTTTACCTTTGTTTGAATTTCAACATCATATGCTGCTTTTTTAAGTTCAAAATCTCTTTGAGCTTTAGCTATTTCTGTATCATTGATTAATCTGAAAGAGAAATAGCATAAATTAAATTTTTATAAGTGATTCAAAATTATATTATTTTATTTTGTATATTGTTGTTTTAAATAGTATTAGGGAAGATATTTATGGGATAATAAATGTAAATAATTTTATTTTGCATTTTCAATATTTTGTAAATTTTAAGCACAAATAATAGTTTCCATATATGTTTAATAAATTTCGAACTCAACAAATCGATAATTTAAGAATAATTGTTTAGAATTAAAAAATAGGAGCAGGTGAGATTATCACTCATTACTTAAGTATCCATGTTTACTTAAAATATTATTAATTTGATTCATTCAAATAGATTGTTAAGGGTTTTCTAATTTATTTAAACAGTTTTATATTACTTTATACTTATATACTTTATGATACTTTTTAAAATTATTCAAGTACACACACCGAGATTTAATTTAAAAAGTATTTAAATACTTATTTAATACTTGTAGTCGTTGTTGGCAGTATATATTATATGTACTGCGTTTAATAACAAGTACTTTAAATTAAAAGTTTGATTTTTTTGGATAACCTTCTGAACATGTGAAACAATAAACAAATAAGAATAACATTTTTGGAGAATTTGTATAGTCACCTTACATTTTTATATTTTTAAATAGGTTTTATGTCCAGACTTAAATGAAAGTGATTGAATAAAAAATATATGTGGTAAAAATATAAAAGTATTCAACACTAGGGTTTGATTTTAAATATAAATACTTTAATAAAATAAAGTTATTTTAAAGGCATATATATTTAATAAGTTTTAGGACAAATATCTGACCTAATTATAATAGTCAATAGATAAAATGTATACTAAATTAAAAATTAAAATAATACATTTCTATAATCAATAATCAGGTAATGTATTACAATATATTTTCCTTCTTTTTAACACTTAGTAATTACTTTATCTGATGACTTTTTTTGAAAATTGCTATTGTTTTTAAAACATAAATATATTTTTATTTTTTATGAGCTTCCAAATATTCAAAGAACCTGTTTTATTTTACTTTTTAGTTTTGAATAATTAAATAAGATCATTCAATAATTAAACTAATTTGTCATTAAAAAATAAAAAAGTAATTACTTAGCTGCCATTCTTTCTTCTTCTGCCATTGCTTCTTTAATTGTTGTTTCTTTTTTTGCTTCAGCTTCTCCAATACGAGCATCTCGTTTTACTTCTGCTGTTCTAGCCAATCCCAGTGCTCTAAGATATCCCTAAATGTTGAAATTAATTAATAGAATGTGACTATAAATAATAAGTAGTAGGTAACACAGTTTTGGATATAAGTCAAATAGAAAAAATAGAAAAACAAATACCAACAAATTGTCTAACTGGCTAATAATTTACATCCTAAAAACAAGACTAAACATAATTAATATATATATATTAAATTATAAATACAGTATATAAAAGGTGGGGAAAAAATTATTCTGGATTATTATTGATTTAAAAAATAGAAATTATAGAAATTCAAGAAAAATATATTTTTGAAAGTATTTAAGTATATGTAAAATATAAACACTGATGACTGTTTAATATTCATTAAGCATAAATGAAGATTTAGCTCTAAAGAGATGGACATATTTCACACGACATGTGGGCCACTAATTTTGGTGAGAAGTTGGGAAGATAGGATATAGAGGGGAATTTTATTTACAATTTTATGAAACGATATACCAGAAGTTTCTTTTATATTTATATATAGATTTTCTCGGTTTTTCCCCATTTCTTATCAAAAACCCATGATAAATCAAAAAATAAGCACTCTAAAGTACCAACTAGATTAAATTTTCTTTCATTAAAGAAGTTACACTAGAATACTTGATACATTAGAGGAAGATTTCTGGTAGAAACGTTTACAGAATAATAATTTAACTTTATATTTTTAATAAATTTAAAAGCATTTTAATCACATCTTACCTCTTCATCTCTAATGTCTTTAATTGTGTATGACACGACAGTTATACCCATGTTGACCAAATCTGAAGAAGCAACTTCAAATACTTGTTTACTAAATTTTTTCCGATCTTTATAAATTTCCTAATAATAATATATAGTAAATTAGTTTATGTATACCAAGTTTTAAACTCAAAAATACCTCTACGGTCATAGAACCCATAATTGCTCGCTGATGGCCTTCGAGAGTATGTAATGCAATTTCATGTACCTCCTCTTTACGCTTACCTAAAAATTGCTCACATGCTGTTAAAAGCATTTCTTCATTTTGTCCTTGTATTTTAACCTATATATTAAGTGTATTATAATAAACATTAGACCATATTCACAAATTGGGAAGAATTGAGTAAAACAATAAAAACATACTTTTTAATAAGTAATTTATTTATTTTAATTACAATAATTTAATCATATAATATCTTATAGTTGTATTTTTATAACCAAAGGTTTTTTCACTTTTTTATAAAGTGCATAGGATTAATGTGGCCTCAGCGTTCAATTATCAATAGTTAAAAAAGTTGTACATAATTAATAAAGTAACTAACAAAAATATCAAAATCAAAATATTATGAAAAGTAATTCAAAATAAAATATAAAGGTTTGAATACGTTTGTCAGGTATAACATTATAAAATTATGGTTTTACTATTAAAACAAATTATATTAAGACTACAAAAAAAAAGAGCACCAATATAATGTTAAAAAAATTGTGTATCTTTACAAGACATTTTATGTATGATTAAGGAATGATTGAGAATGAAATTGATTTGCAATTTGAACAATTATAAATAATCATGAACTTGCAAACATTAAATTGTATTATTGTTCACTTAAATCCAAGAGCAGATTTTAAAATAATTGATCCCAATTAATGAAAACTATAAATTAAAGACCTACAAGCAATATCTGATTGTCAAAAATAAACTAAAACACATTTCAATATGATCTTCAATATTGATAACTATCCGAATAACTTGATCCGGATTATGGTTATGGTCTGAATTTATATTATCTTAAAACAACTAAAATATTATGCTAATATTTTTTTAAAAAAAACTACAAATGTTTTCCTATGTTCTCTTAAAAATTATAAAAATATGCAAAATTAATCAATATAACAGATGATTCTTTTATTATTAAACACTCATTATTTCGGAAAGTATTAACTTATTTCAAAATCTGCATATAGAAAATTTAAAAAATAAGCAACTACAATTAAACATTTACATTATTTTTTATCACTTTAATTTTTAGGGGTGAAACGACTACCTACTTTTGATTTTCAAATAGCAACCTATATAAAAAAATTCCATTAATATTTAAAATTTTCAATTTCTGTCAATCTATTGATGAGATATTCCACTTTTATGTTTTGGGTGAAGGGGAGTAGTGGTGCATTATTTAAACGCATTGTCATGCCTTCACACAAATGATGCTCCACTACTCACTCTGACTGAAACTTAAAAGTGGAATTTTACATCAACGGATAGAGAGAAATCAAAAATGTTAACACCAAAATTTATTTTAACAATGTCTCCATCTATTGAAAGCATTGTTACTATAAGTTGCAATTTTAAAATCAAAAGTATGTAAACGTTTCAACCTCAACAATAAGGGTGACAAAAAAAATGATTTATGTCACATTTAAGAAATAATTGTTTCTTATGTTTTTGAAAAAAAGTAAAATAATAATACTTAAAAAATAGACAATACTTTTCGAAATAATGGTTAACGATAAAACAAATTGCCCAGTATGCTTTATAATATGTATTTTTTTTACTTTTTACTTTATCTAAATGATAAAAAAAATATTTGTATATACGTAGTGGTTGTTGAATGTCAAAATCAACATCAAAATTAATAATAATTTAAAATAACAACATATTAGTAATTTTGTCTAGCAATTTATAAACTATTCCAAAATATGCTGATTATACTAAATATTTTCTAATCCCTGTAATATTATCAAGTATAAAAAAAAAATACTTTTTCCTGTGAACTCTGGAACCTGGGTTGAACAAATCATCTACATTCTTTACCTGCATAAGACTGCATATACTCAGTTACAATATATAAAAACCCAGACTATTGATAACTTATGCCATTGATTATAATGTTTTAATTAACACTAAACTAAAACATTTTAAATAAAATCAAAAGCTTTAAACATGATGGGTTTTATAATGAACAATATTAAACTAATGGTGACATCGCTAATGGGATACTTAAAATTGGCATTATTTTAAAATTTAGTTTTCAAGTTTTAACTTTTTTTTTTTGATAAAATTATTTATTTAATAAATTTTATAATGCTACTTTAATGTAAACACTTTACCTGAGCTATGCCAGTAACAGATAATGGCACACCTTGACTTGTATATACTTTGGGACTATCAACTTGAATTGTCATAGTGTTCAGACATATTCTACAAAAATGCAAAACAAATTAATTTAAATATTAAACATTAAACTTGTTTTAAATTAACTTCACAAAAATAATTTTATTTTTACAAAAATACACAAATATAATATAATATTTTATTTTAACGGGTAAGGTCCTATTTTACATTATGTGCAAATTAAATAACAGAGTAATATTATACCAGGTGATCCATTTAAGTTGAGTTGAAGGAAGTAATGGTGCATTATTAACACGTCTCGTGCCGTACAAACTCCACTACTCTCCCCCAACCTTAACTTAAAAGTGGAATATCTTATCAACTAATCAACGGAAATAAAAAAACGTAAACACTAAAATTGATTTTAACTAATACTCCATCTTTTTATGGAATTTTTAAAATAGGTTGCTATTTGAAAATCAAAAGTAGATAGTGGTTTTACCCCCAAAAATAAAGCTTTACTATGCACAATTTTTGCTAAACTTAATAATGATAATTTGATAACTTATACAGTGTGTCCCAACATGTTTGACAGATTTTTCTAGAGCTGTTAATATTAAATATTTTTCATTTTTTTTTTCAATCGGTTTATCTTCAAGGGGGAAATCAATTTGGAAAAAAAATTAAATACTTATTTTCATCCCCTAAAAACAAAAAAAATTACTTTAGTTATTCACTTTACAAAATTTTCAAAATAACAATATTGTAAAAGATATTATTCTAAAAATTTAATGTATCACACATTCATATTTGATGAATAATTTCTTAGTAATAGCCATTTTAATTTCTAGAAAAAAAGTGTGAAAACAATTAATATTCAATAATATCTTTTACAACATTTTGTAAAATGAATACATAAAGTTATTTTTTTTTTTCGTACTAAGAGGATGAAAATAAAAATGTAATGTTTTTCCAAATCTTTGTTCCCCTTCGAAGACAAACCATTTGAAAAGAAAAAAAATTGAAAACTATTTAATATTCACAGCTCTATATATAAACTGCCTCCTAAAAATAAATATTGTAAAATTAGTTATATACATCAAAAAAATCATAAAATTCAGACATTTTAGATTAATATGCCTAAAATATGCCAGTAATATTATTTGATAAAACGATTATTAAAACAATATTGGTTTTGACAAAGTGCCATAAATGGTTGAAAAATGCATATTTACTAGGTAAAAATGCTGTATATATTAATAAAGACATGGTATTTTTGATTAGTAGGTATATAATATAATAATAATTTGCAGCGTTTATACTTGGTACAGATTGTCATTTTACTTATCGTAATGTTGTTGTAACCAGTATTGAGCATTATCTAAATAAATTATCTAGATAAATAATTAATTATCTTTTATTTTATCTTGGTAATAAACAAAATTAGTTATTTGATGAATTATCTAAGATGAATAATTGAGTTATCTAACGTAATTCATCTAGATAAATAAATATAGAAACCTGTCTGAGAAATTTGAAAAATTGAACTTGAAAGTTAAAACCCATGTCTCATTAGTAAGCCAACCTTGTCAAAATAGAGAACAAAATTAAAAACATAAAATAATAGGTAATATTAATTGTTTTAATATTATCCAAGGCACTTATCTATGTTATTTCTAAATTCGAATAGAAATTGTAGCACAGCTCGGTAGTAAATAATTTGAAGTGCCGTTTTTTTATACGATTTTTATTAAAACTTCATTTCAAAAACAACGCTTATTAAAAAAAAAAGTTGTCCGATCATTTTAGAAATATTTCTATGTCTAGGTAAGTCCAATATAAATATTATTACCAAGTTTCAAGTATCTACGTGTATTTATAACTGAATTGCAGCAAAATAATCTCCCAAAAATTAAAATTCCTTAAAAGCTCAAAAGTTATGGTAATGATACCATAAGAAAGTAAATCAAAAACGCAACAAAAAAGGTGTCTTGTGATTTTTCGATTAAATCATTTTTTTTTGGTAGAAAACCTCCGTGTTTTTATAAAATAATGAAACTGTGAAACTGTACGTTTTTTCACACTTAAGTGCTTTTATTTATAAAAAAAATGACACTTAAAATCAAAAAATGATCTCTAAAATGCAATCTTAACAACTTGAGCTTTCTAAAAAAGTGCTACATGTAAAAATTGGAGCAAGTTTATTAGGAAAATATGTCCACAAACTAGAAGAAAGAAAAAACATCTAAGTAAAACCAATAGCTCCCACTCGTTATGCTTGATATCTAAAATTCTTAAGATGATCATAGAATCTTCATTCTTACAAGTTTGCATTTATTTGCTATAGATAGAAAATATAATATATTTACTTCTGGCAATATTGTAAAACAGGCCAAACAAATGCTCTTCCACCGGGTACTAAATTTGGTTTATTATAGCAAAATCCTGAAAAAAAAAGTAAATTTAAAAAATTAGGTATATGATTTTTTTTATCATGAAATAACAATTATCTCAGAGGATTTTAAGTGAATTTGATTTCTGTCTTTTTCTAATCATTATGGAATTGTTTAAGCTTTATTTTAAAACTATTTTTGATTTTTAACTCCTATTACATATACCTTAAATAAGTGCATACTTTTGATATTCAAATAGGAACCCCCCTTTTTGAACACAGATTTGAATAGAGAATATTTTTCTAGAAATTTTAATAGGCATAACACTAATATCAGATTTACTGTTTATGAATTAAACAATTTAAGTTTAGACCGGAGGAGTAGAGAAGGGTCATAGATAAACAATTTATTACCCTATTCTCTATTCAAATCTGTGTTCAAAAAGGGTGGTTTCTATTTGAAAATCGAAAGTATGCAAACAGTAAGCTAAACACGTTGACGGACAATTGTTATATAATTTTTACTGTCATATTAGTAGTGCTATACCTGCATCCAAAATCTATGTAATTTGTCAGTGTAGACTGCCATAATGTAGCAGTCCACTGTCTTCTATGATTCTATACCATTGAAAAGATTACTGCTTTCGCAATATTGGCGGGCGTAATATGACATTTCACATATTACTGCTTTAGCAGTTATGTCGGTCAATGTGTTAAACAATAACATAAAGATAAAAAAAAACAGAAATTAAATTCACTTAAAATCTATTGAAATAATTACTGGTTCGCGATAAAAAAATCACACTGTATAACTACTAAACTATTTTAGTATTTTAAAAATCATAATTTTATACTAATAGGTTTATTAATTAGTTATGATGATTGTATAATTAAGTTATCATTTAGAGAAAGAAAATGTATTATTTTTTAATATTAGTATTAGGTATATTCTTAATTAGACAAATTAATAAATATAAAATTATTTGTACTTTATAATAAAAATTAGAGATGTTTTAATTTACCTGATATAACAAGAGCCTCATTAGGACCGCAAGTAACAAAACCCCAAGTCATTTCAATGAAATAGTTATATTCAATGTACAAAAAATAAAAAATATGTTTAAATAAACTAAATAATCACGTCACAACATTATATTTTGTATTTAATACGCCAACTTCAAATAGTATTATTATAGGTAGAATATGTATCAATAGTTAGCTAATTGTATTGACATAAAACGTGAGAAATACTTATATATTAAAATACTAAAATGTTCAATAAAATGAAATAAACATTAAATTAATAATTGTTTATCTCGAATTCTGTACTATGAAATAATATAAATAGTGACGTAAGTTCTACCACTGATATATTTTATTATATATGCATGTTCCGCTAGTAATATTTGATAAGGAAACTCAATGATTCCCAAAATGCGTAAATGTCGTAAACATTCCTACATAGGCGTTAGGCAGGTAATATATAGGCTCAAATGCACGAAGTATACTAAAGAACGCTAAAAAGGAAATAAAAGATAGTAGTGACATATGGTGCAATAAAGTGGCAAGAACTTTGACGGTTTTAGAAAAATAAAAATAAATCCCCTTGACAAAATTTTCTTTCACATAGAAGTAAGTTAAAGAAATGCTCTTTCAGGCGGTGTAATAAAAAAAAACAAAAAAACCGATCCCGAACACATTCAAAAAGACCTGACAATAAACGGAAGGTAGATCGTATACATTTATATTTATACAATTACGCATCAACAGGCAACATTACATAGAAATAATGTAGGGAGTACTGTTACATTGATAATTGCTTAACGTTAAGTTAGAATACTTAAACAGTAATTATAATACTATGAGCATAAGGGTTTAGAATGGTAATATAAAAAAAGCTGATACTGGATATGGGAGCGGCCACTGTTGTAGGTGAAAAGTTAGGAAGGTAGGCTACATAAGGTTATTTTATTTATATCTGTAAGTAACGATTAACCAATCTTTGATGAAAGACGATTCCGAACGTAGTTCGGTAACATAATTTGAAGTGCAGTATTTTTTTTTTTTTTTGCGATTTTCGTTTAAATTTGATTTCAAAACGCTTGTTACAAAAAAATTGTTTATGATTTTTGACATTTTTACCACGTCTAGGTAAGCCCAATATAAGTATTATTAACAAGCTTCAAGTCTACGTGTATTTATAACCGAATTACAGCAAAAGAACTCCCAAAAATTAAAATTCCTTAGAAACTCAAAAGTGGTTCAAAAGTTTCAGCGATAATACAGTAAGAAAGTAAATCAAAAAAACAACGAAATAGGTATCTTGTGATTTTTCGATTAAATCATTTTTTTTTTTTGGTAGAAAACTTCGTCAATGTTTTTGTAAAATAATGAAATCGTGAAATTGTATACTTTCCTACGTTTTTTCCCACTTATGTGCTTTTCTTTAAAAAATGACTTGTTTAAAGTACAATCTAGACAACAAAAGTTGCCACACGTAAAAGTTGGAGCAAGTTTACTAGAAAAAAACATGTCCACAGACTAAAATAAAGAAGAAATAAACAGCATTGTAAAACAAATAGCTCCTTCGCTACGCTCGGAATCTAAAAGAACACTGATTAAATACATGCAGATTTTCAAATTTAAAAAGGAGGGATTTTCGTTAGTCAACCGCAGCATACGATGTAAGGGATGGTTTATAACCAGAATTTCTAGAATGCATAATGACACAAGAGGGAGCGTGAAAATTCAAGGAGTGAGGAAACCTGGGAAAAAAGAGAAGGGGAGTCAATGGAGCCATCAATTAGCTTGTTCAAGGATAGAATATAGCAGATATTCTTTAGTCCGCTAGTGAATCAAGAGAAAGGTAGCTAAGGAAGGTAGTAAGCGTGCTGGAAACAATTAATTTTAAAAACATAAGTCGGAAAGTCTAAAAAACGACGTTACACTCTCAATGTCACAAGACCCAGAAGCAGTGTACGGGTCCCAAAGCACTGAAAAGAACTCTAAAATAGAGCTAACATAGAAGCAGTAAATAGGTTTTATATTAGGAGCGACAAGTTTAAAATTACTCATAACACGTTTTATGAAGCTTAAAACTTTGAGAGCTATACAGCACGTGGACAATGTCTATTTATGGACTGGGATGACGGAGCTTATTTTCCACATTTAGGGAGAGCAGCTATCATCTAGTGAAGGAATGGAAGAAATAATGGGAAACAATTGACTTAATATTATATAAGAAAGACCCCGATAAAGTAGTGTAATAACATTATAAAATAGCGATATGCCGAGGTGTTCGACTATGATAATCTAGTAAAAATAGAAAGAAATCTTACGGATATTTTATTTTACATATAGGTAACTAAAGAAGTGCTATTTTAGACATTGTAATAAAAAAAAAATGGTTTCTATGTCAAAAAACATTGAAAAAAATGGTAATAAACGAGTTTATAGGCAATTAATACAACATTTTATTTCAATTATAAATAGAATCCTTTTATAGTGGTAACTAAAAACCATACCGCAGTCGAAATTCCAATTTTTCAGTATTTTCCATCCCCGGCACCAACGCGGTATACATATTGGGTCTAGAATAATTTTCACATTTGTAGCAAGGAAAATGGAAAAAAATGGAATTGATGTTACAAAAAAACAATGCTAGGCAAGTTAAACTATAATAACTGAGTAAATTACAGTTACATCCCTTAATTAAGTAACAAGATCCTAGATAAAATAAGTAACTAGTTTAGTTACTATTTTTTCTTATTTTAAATATTTCCACAGTTTTCTGTAATCATATCTAATTTTAAGTCAATTCTCTTGGTTTCTTTATCTTATATTCCATTTGCATTAAAAAATGTTTACCATTGTTTTTCCCTTGGTCAGTCAAATCATTAATCACGTTATTTCACATGATATTAGAATATAATATTATAAAGTAGTGATAATTTAATAGAACATGAGGTCTTGTGTTTATTATACCATATTAAATTTTGTTTCAGTGTAATATTGACTGTATTACATTTAACTTACTGAAATATTTGACATAATAAAATCGTATAGATTTATTTATTACAATTTTATTAATACAGGTACCTTGGTTATTAAAACTAAAAATATAGGTATGTATTTTTAGGTAAATAAAAATATCTATTTTATGCTTATTATACTTATTCAAATAAATTTAAAAATTGAATATTGCCTAATTATTCAATAAATGTGAAAAACTGAAAAAAAAAAAATAGAGGTAAAACTGAAAATGTACAATATGTAGGTATTAGTTAAAAATATTTGGGCCTTCTTTTTTTCTGTGTACTTTTTTACCATGTGGTTTTGCTCAGATTTAAAATGATAGCACTTTTTCTGAAAGGAAATTTAATTGGGAAGGTAATTTAGGGTGGTCATTTTTCAAATATTCTAAGAGTTTTCCCAGCAAATGTGAAAAACCGGGAAAATCGGTACAATATTATACAAATATTGTTAAAGAATATATATAATACCCATTTAATTATTTTACCATAATATAACATATATATTGTTAATAATACATCTTTATCAACTGAACTCTGCTCAGAATAATTTTTTTTCGTTAGCAATGATTCATCTTTGCTTACAGATATACATTAAATTCCGTTTTGTATTTTATCTACCCAGCTTCCCACTTACAAAAGTGGCTGTACCTCCATTATCCTAGGGCAGTTTTTTTTAATGTGGGTAACATACCCAAAAAAGAGTAAATGTTTGGGTCGTCATAACAAAAAGGTTGGGAACAGACATCACTATATGTCATACGTTGTAAAGAAAAAAAACATAAAATGGGTGAAAACATTTTCAATATTAGATATATAATATATATATATATATATATATATATATATATAATATTAATTCATAATACATTTAAATATAAGAATTGAATTCAATAGAATATTTTTTTTTATTTTTACAATATATGTTTATATTTTTTATAGATATTAGATAATATGACAATAATTAATTGCTATTCAATTTATGATTAAAATAATATTATAATGGTTGTATGAAAATGATTTAATAGAAACATTGTATTTTATGTATTGAAACCTATAATTTTAGTTAGCAATTATATAATTTTCTACTAATACCTATATAATGTAAGCATTCATAAATCTTAATACCTATTTAGATTTTTTATTTGAAAATTTAAAACGCTTTTTAGCCATAGTAGCACGAAATCCTTTACTAGGCTCAGATTTAACATCAATTGTTTGTTGATTGGATGGTTTTAATTTTCTATGGAGTACATTATACAATGTTTCTGCATCTGTTGAATTGCCGGCAATAATTTTTAACTCATTTAAAGACATTGTTAACATGTGTATCAGAGACTTCCCTTTGTTCAACAAATTAAATATATTTTGACTAGTTACACCGGGTAATTTACCTATGAAATCCTAAAAAAAAAAAAAAAAAATCTAAATTAAGTAATACAAATTATAATTTAAAAGTAGATATCACTATAAATTACTATTATTTATTCAAAACCCCTCCTAATATTTTTTATTATTCTCTAATCACCATTATAACCCACCCCATAATTAACATTTTTAACATTACTAATTAAAATATTCATTAAATTCAAATAGAATTGTGGAAATACCAAATTTACTTATAACTGTTAATTGTATGAACTGTAGATATTCTTAAATAAATAATAATAATGTTCAGTAGATCATTTTATTAAGTGATCAATGCAATCATTAAGTATTTCTATGCAATATACTTTATCTTATATGTATCATGAATCAGTGATTATTTCAAAGGATTTTAAGTGTATTTGATATCTAGTGTTCTTTTCTCAGTCATTATGGAACCGTTAGAGCTTTATTATAACATAATTTTAAATATCTACCACTATCTAATACCTAATCTATATCTTAAACGAATACGCGTGCACTTGATGTTCAAATAGGAACATCCCAATGCACATACTCCTTTTTTAAAAACTGTAATATAAATATTTGGAAGACATTGCATATTGTGTATATTATGTATGATTTTTAAATATTAAATAATTATTATGACTGAACACCTTAATAATTGCATTGAAATGCTCCTCGTCAAAATTTTGTCCCGATTCCAAACCAACATTAGCAGCTTCTGATGAAATTGGTTGATTTTTTCCTTCCTATATAATCACAAATACAATTATAAAAATAAATCTAAATTTTATTTGTTGTATGGCATAATACAAATTTACTACATACTTTAATATCAAACAAAAAATTAAAATTAATAATAACCATAAGTGATGAAAACTACATTTTTAAAGCTTGGATTTGACAATATTGTGATAAAATAATTAATATAATAAATAAATAAGTCAATAGAAATAGTTAATGATACCTTTTTCTCCTTTGCCTTCACTCCAACTATTTTAAATCGGCTACCATTGTCCTAAACTTCCACTTAATCCAATCCCCCACTAACACCAGTCATCCTCATATTCACAAATGCATGCAACCTTCTCTTATTTTGGTCTTATTCGCCTCCTATCCCTGCTACCTTTATTTTCATTAGAATTCTTATTGCTTTCATTCCTCTTTTCTCATGACATGCACATATCATCTAAGCCATTTTCTCTCACTTTGTCCACTATCAAAGCCATATAAAAGTTACATTTTATGTATTCAATCCTTATTTATTTTCTCTCATACTATAGTCAGTCTCACCACACTCTTGTAGAACTTACCTTTAAGTCCATTTGAAATTTCTTGTTAACTAAAATACCGGATTTTTCTTTCCGCTTTATCTTATGTTTCACATCCTCATCAAAACTACATTATTTTGAACAAATGAACCAAGGTTCGAACTGAAGCTCACAATCTCACCTGTTACGTCACAGCATATCGTCATTAGGAGTCTTGTCCTGTCAATCAAGGCTCAAGGCCGACCTCTGATGCAAACCTACTCTAACCCCAAAATCCTCTGTTATTACACTTCTTACACTAGTATTTGAACCTTAATATCAAATTAATATATAATCTCGGAACTTCTTTTTTCATTAGCGCCTACATCAGAACCTCTATTGTAGTGGTGTGCACTTTGTTGATCCACGGCCCCCAAATTTATTTATTTCGATGAGGCAATCGCCTTTCCTACAAATATTACATAAGTGTATAATATGGAAATATTTACTTAATTTAATGAGACCTGTGTGCTTGAATTATAGACATGATTGAATTTAAATTGAGTTTGATATTTTTTTTTTTATTATTGCTAATGTTAAAAATGATGCTTCATATAAATAAGTTGAAGTAAAAGAAAGTAATAATTTCTGATTAAATTTAAAAATAACCCATATACTGCGTGATTCAATGGAATTTATTATCGTTATATTAAAATAATAATATAACATACGACGATTGATAAGGCCACTTATAGTACAAGAAATATTACGTTATATAAAATAATATATACAGTCAAGTCGCAATAACTTGAAAAACTTAAAAACTCAATTTTTTTTTATTTTTTAAAAATTATCATAACACTTGAATATAAAATTGTGATAAATAGCTTCGTTGAAGTATATGACACATTATACAAATATAATATTCCCATATTCCTTCTAATTTTTTTTTGGGAGGAGGGAGGGGAGTTTCCACATTTGATGAAAAAACTTAAGAAAATCGAAAAATTACCTCCTTAAAGTACCCCTCACATCAATTTTGTTTTACTGTATCTAATAAATAATACATACATATTTATAATACCATTGTATCTATTTTAGTTTTTGTATTCATTTATTTATCATAACATATTTTATCGTAAAATTATTTCATTACATAACTCAAAGTTTTGATTTAATTTTGATAAATATGAGTTAAGTATCTCGAATAATACATATCTTGAATTGAATTTTTTTCCCCCTTCAACTTTGAGGTATTACGAATCAACTGTATATATAACTTTCATTTGGTGTATACATTTTGGGGACTTCCGGGTTGCACACTACTGCTTCTATCGGTAATCTGTCATATACCTTTTCTAAATTTATAAAAGTCATACATATGTTATTTTTCTTCTCTCTGTACTTTTTTACAATCTGTAGCTAAATTTGTAAGTCATTATGTTTAGGAAATGAAGTAGAGACAATCCCTCCTAGATAAGGTACCATAGGCAATGGTATACATAATATAAATATAAATTTATATGCCACCTAAAAGTCTTCACTGGCGATCAAATTGGTTCTTTTCCATAACACTATACAAATACCAAAAATACTTCATAGTAATGTTTTTACCTCAATAAATATTATGTCCTTATTCTTTTGAAGATTTACTTATTTCTAAAAGGTATAAGAATTAATAAGATTCATATATTATTAATTCATGATAATACATGTAATAATATGGGTAACCCTACCGATTTAAATTATTAGGTCATCACAAAAAATTAAAGTTCCTTAACTATTAACACATTGACTAAATCCATACCTTAAGTTCATGAAATAATTCTGCTGTTGCAAAAGGACTTGGAGACCACACTAATCGGAGTTTTGGAAAATGCAATGTTAATAATTGTAGTTTAGAAGTTATATCATTCCGATGACTAGTAGTCATATCCTTGCTAAGATAGAATCTTCCCTAAAAATAAAATGGTTTATTAAAATTATGCATTTATGTTATTAAACATAAATCACTGAAAACAATTATTTTATTTGCATATAAATAACATTATTTAAATTCTTAATAATTTATTTTTGTAGCACTGAAATCTGGTAGAATGTTATAACTAACTATTAAAACTCAAATTTTTTTTTAAATACAAACCATTTATATTTAAATTGTGAATATGCAAAGTTTTTTTTTCATATTTCTAAATAATTATATATTTTATAAATGTTGAATATAATAATACAAATTTATTTCAAATTTTAAAATTAAATATTAGTATTTTTCAACAATAATTTGTTTGAGGTCTTTTTTCTCATGTCTGGGACAGGTAAAAATAAAAACTATAGTTGACATACATTTTAGCAGTAATTCACACTTGCATAGTTCAGATGTATTTCAGTAAAACAAATTATAATTTGAGACAGTATTTTTTTGCTGGACCTAGATTGATTTTTGACTTAAATTTTAAATCTGGCTTCAGATTTTGATTTCCATATTGAAGTTTTAAACAGTTAATTCAAGGCCAGATTTGCCTGGAGGGATACCATAACACTTATCAGTGGGCTGCTTTGGTTTTATAGATAAGTGTATGTCAATATCATACTAGGATGTCTGAGAAAAAATGTAAGGGTGGTGTAAAAAGCACAAGAAAACACTCTAGATGATTAAAAAATGTGTGGAAACATACTAGATATGTTTTTAGATTCTGAGTGGAATGGAAGATAACAGGAGCAGGTGGACAACTTTAAATATCTAGGTGTAAATATAAACTCTGATAATAATATGCATAATGAAATAAATCTTAAAATAATTGAAAGCGAACTGAGGTTACTTTTGTCATGTATAGGAAATGATATCCTGTGTGGTTAGTAAGCATGGCTCAGAAAGTTGTAAATAACAGCATTTGTTATCATCGTTATAGACATTTATTTTTAACATAAAAACGACTATGTAATTCTGAGTTTTATTAACTATAAGTACCAATATACTTATTATATTTGTCTAAAATATTAATCACATTTAAAACAAACAAAACAATTAACTAATTTTAAAATATTCTAACACATATTTGATTTGTAAAATTTCTGAATATTTATTTTTAATTAGAAAATTGTATAACACATCTCTTTGTGTAAATCAATTATTTATAAAACTAGACATGCAATTAATTGCATACTAAGTGCATTAGATTAGGTACTAGAGATTGTATTAGTGATAAATCAAACAGAAATTGCAGTGTTTTAATTTAAGCAAAATAAAATATAATATAAATTTAATTAAACAATACAATTACTTGTAAATCGAAGGGTTTATTTTGATCAAATTCAATAAGTAGAATTGGTTTTGTATAATGCCGACACATCATTAAAGCTTGTTGATATAATCTGCCAGATTTTAAAGAACCAATTAAGTCATCAATACTTTTTCGTTCTACACACATTTCTGGAGTTAAAATGTAATCACCAATCTAAACATAATATTACATGCAATAAGCTTAGAATAATGACCTAAATAATAAAATGTTACTTGTAAAGTGACTGGCTCTATATCAATACCACGGCGATGAAGTAATACTGGTAAATCTGATCTAAATTCCCTCATATCAACAATAACTTTAGGTGTTTCTTTAATTTTATTAGTTTGTCCTGGATTAAATGATTTATCTTCATCATCATCTAACATGTCTGACGGATGAACACCTAAATCACGAGATAGCTCAGGGCAATCTTCATCTTTACCATCTTGACCTTTAGGTATAACCATAACCTAAATTATTTATAACAATATAAGCAATATTTATAACATACAAATGTTAATAGTTACACTAAAAAGATAATATTTACAGCTTTTTCTTTGATTAAGAAATCAAAAAGTAGTTTTTCTCTTTTAAGAGTGGTTAAATAAGCTTGTTCTTCAGTGGATCCAGCAAATATTAAAAAATAAACAGTCAACTTAAATTGAGCATCAGAATTTTGAAATACCTATAAATTAATGATTTTCGTAATGCATTTAAATTATTAACTAATATTATATCAATAATTATGAATATTACTTCTATTTGTCTAACTGCTGTCATATTTGCATCGTACATAACAATATATTTAGGTTGTAATTCTCTTAATGTGCGTGGAAAAGATAAAAAATCTCCATCTTTTTTATATTGTTGTATTACAATAATAGGTTCTTTTAATGTTTCATTCTAATTATAAAATGAATACAAATAATTATTATTCAAAAATAATTGTGGAATAAATTCAAATTAAATTTCTTTCAGAAAAGGTGCTACACTTTGGAGCAAGATTTCTGGTAGAAAAGTTATTCAGATGGAAAAAAAACATATATAAATAATGTTAATTAAAATGTATTATTCAGGTTAGATGAGCTTTAATAAAACACTTAAAATTATATTTAAAATAATGATGATAAAATGTACATATACCGCCAGTTTATTAGTATATTCAGTAAATGTAACTCCTTCTTTATTTTTAGTTTGAGTTAGAGTGAAACAACTTTTTAAATCATCTTCATTTAATTCCTCATTATTTATTTCATCATCTGAAATATCAACTTTAGTTTCTTCTTTAGGTGCATTCTTTTGTGTTAATATGATTGGTTTATCTTTAATATGTTTATTATATAAACTTAAGAGTAAATCATCAGCTCCCTTGACAAGTAACTATATAAACAAACAAATCATTTTAAACACTATAGATGTGTAATTATATTTAAATATGTACAAAGTATATTACATTTTTTAACTGACAACATGTTTTAGTAGATTCTACAAGTACTAATACAATTTCACCACTTTCTTTTGAATGTTGTTCTATTTCTTTTAAAATCTCTGTCAATCCTCCCCATTTGGGGTTAGGTTCTGGGCAAATTTCTGAAAAAAAAAAAATGAAATATTAATATTTCGATAATTTTATTTATGGGTAAGTTAATAGGGAATAGTTAAATACCTTTTTTTGAATTAAATAAACGATATTTAGCTGTGGTAAATAATGTTTCTGCAGAATCAAGTAACAACCATCCTGAACTACGATGTACGTATTCTTTAGAAGCATAATTTGACAACATGGAATGAAATCTAACACAATCTAAAGATGTAACAGATCTAAAAATTAAATAAATGTAGAATTAAATAAGAGAAAAATTCTATGATTATGTTTTATAAAGTAGTAATTATTTTTTATTCAATGTTTTTAGTGCATAAACATATGAGGGCCTTGATTACTAGACCTATTATAATATATATTGGGGTGGTCCATATTTTATAGATAAAGAAAAAAAAGTTATGATACTTTGAATCAAATACTTCCTCCTACATTATGTCCATCAATATAAGAAAATTGATAGTAAACATTTTCCTTCATCTATTAAATAAGAACTACCATAATATATATGTTGTAGGCATATAATCAAATAAGGCATTTTACTTAATGCCTAGGAACATTTAGTTAAATGCTTATTTTCAGTCAGGCAAATAATAATAATGAAATATTTTTATATTATTTTAAAAACTAAACTATATTTTCTTATTAATATTATTTAATCCAACAATAAAAAAATAAAAGTTTCACAGGTTTTTAACTTCAAAAAGTATAATATCTTAATAAATCTTTTCTGTATTGAACACCGGACAAATTATGATCCTATCAATAACGACACAATTAAAACATCCCTGAAAAAGATTCAGAACATGTTTGAATTTTATTATAATTTAGTTTAGGATGTGTATACATGTATACTGTGTATGTGATTGTAATAATATTTATAATTAAATACAAAATGAGGTGCTATTTGATGATTAATCAAATGAAATCAAGTTTTTAGAGTAAGATTAAAATTTAATTATACTTGCATCATTAAATTTCGTAAAAGTTTCAGGTCTGACACTATTTGTTTGGTCGTACTACTAAGTCTATGCCAAATCGGATTTAGTTGAGTTTGCAATATTTTGTGAAAACATTTTGATAAACTGTTTTCAACTGTAATTTCTTCTGTGTCAAGCTATAAAAAAAATTATAAATTACAAAAAACCCATTTAAATAATAACACTAAATTATACTTACAGAAGGATTGAGTCTCTTTAGCTCTTTAATTGAATAGTTTATAAGATCAAGTAAACAAGTTTGGATTTCCATCATTGCTGATGTTAATTCTACATGTAACTCTATAACTTGAGGCTAAAATTACAATTATATTTCGTTTTGATAATAATTAATTATAACAAAGTTCAATACCATTACCTTTATTTTGTCTAAACTATTTTTAACATCAATATGAAATCTGGGCCAAAGATATAATTTAGGAACGAACAAAGTTTTCATAATTCTTTCAATTTTTGTGAATCCATAAGTGAATGATTGTGAAGATGTTGAAAAAGCTTTAATAAAACCACTCTGAAAAAACGTTTAGTATTATTGAGTATGATTGATAGGAATAAAATTGGCAGAAACTATTTTCAAAAGATAGAATATATTTAATAAAATAATAAAATAAAAACAAAATTATTAAAATGGTTAAAACTCTTAAATAAATATAGTAAATATATAAACAAAAAATGTATATATAAAAATAAAAACAAAAATAAATAAATTAATAGATTTGCCGTCTGTTGTATTATGAGTGTATTATACGACCAGGTTTGAATTAAAAATTCATTATCAGGTATATCAAAAAGTAAAACATGAATCGCATTTCTCAGGTATTTTCATAATGAATGGAAAAAACTGTTAAAAAACTTAGGAAAAATGAAAAAATAAGAACAATATTAAACAAATATTATTAAAGGAAAAATATACAATGCGCATGTAATTATTCTACCAAAATATGACAAAGGTACATATTGTTGACAAAGCAACACGATTAACCGAACCAAACTTGTTTTTCATAAGCAATGGTTAACCATTGCATAGATGTATATTAAATTTCCCCCTACCTACCAACCTACAACAGTAGACCACCCATGTATGTCTGTCTTTTTTTAAAATTTATTTTGTTATTTTGTTAATAATTTAAAAAAACTGTAAAGTTTATAGCTATGATGAAGCAATAAATGATGATCATACCAGAAATGTTATACAATTTTACTCGATTATACCATAAGTTATATTTTGGGGTCAAATAAAAAATGTTGACATTTTAAATTTTTTATGAAAATTGTATTAATAATGTAATATTTTATGCATTCTTTTTTTTTTGAGTTATGTGAATATAATGAAGCCAAAATGCTTGAAAATTTAACATAAGTTTTTTTTAAAATTTTAATTTCCTTTTTATTAGAATTATCAATTAGTTAACAATCTGAAAATCTTTAATTCAAAATTATAAGCAAAGTAATTAAACATTACTTTATTTTCCATACGATATAATCTTAGGGCAAACGCTTCTTGACACGATTCTAAAATATTATAAGCTCTGCAAACCAAAAATCCAGTAATTTGAGCTGTAGGAATTCTTTGTTTTAAAAGATCCACAACTAATATTCTGGACGAGACAAATAATACTCCACCTTGAAGATAAATTTTTTCTCTATAATCAAATTAATAAAAATAATTATTTTTATATTATACTTTACAACAAATATGTTATTACCTTTCAGTTATTGAAGTGTCAGCCGAAAGTACTTTTGGTAATGGTTTGACACCATCTATTTTTAATTGAGAAATCCAATAATCTTCTTCAGCAGTTGATGAACCAATAACTAACACTAAATTACCAGGATCACAATAAACCTTAATAATGTTTAATAACACAATTTCTAATCCAAGACCCCTATAATTATACAATTATAAATAAAAATGATAGGTAAAACAAAGATGGTATAAATATGATTTACTTTGCACATATTACTAGGCCATCTTCATGTAAAACATCCAAAAACATTTGATTCTCATACGGAAGCATTTTGTACATTAATTAAATATTCATAAAAATAATACTTCAATAAATACACTAATCAAATTCCAAATTAATTGCATTGGTATTCCAAAGAAATCAAACAAATTTTCAGCATTTTCATTGATATCCTTAAACAATAATAAATTAATTGGATATAGTATAATATAATGTTTACTGTATATAATATTTACTAAAATAATATTGAACTAATACGTAATTTGATATATTTATCGGCTGTTAGCTATCTTTATTATTTAGATTATATATTACTTAATTATAAAATGTATTTATAAACATTTTGGCTCTTGATATTATTGTATTTATCCATGTGACTTTCATATACATGGACATTCATATTGGCCACCCCTGGTACATAAGTACTATTATATATATTATAATAAAGTATAGTATAACATTATGAAAGTTTATTTTCCCCTTTAATGTTACCTAAAAAAATGCATTTGATTAGATAGTTTCAAACTCTACATCTTGGTCCTACAAGAAAAAAAGTTATAGGAAGTTTTTTTTATTTCTCAATTATTTATTTACTATTTACTATTTATTTCTTGATTATTTTTCAATTAAGTATAAATTTAATCAATTCAAAATTGTTGATGAAAAAAAAAAATATATATTAATACAATAGGTTACTATTGTTAGTTGAAGTTATTAAATGTATTAAAATAGTATGGAACTTTATAAGTTGTGTAATTTCAATAAGTTAATATTTATTTATTTTCTTACGCGATGCTCATCAATTTTTATTTTAAGTGATTGTATTTCGACTTCAGATTCAAACAAATTCAAATTAAATTCTTCTCCAGGGTCTGAATTTTGAATAATGTTTAATGTAAATTTAGTAATTTCATTAGATGGGTGACCATAAATACCAACATATATAGGTCGTTTAAACCTGCAATACAAATATTTAATTATTATTATAAAGTATCTTTGAGTTCTTATATATATAGTAGGTGGTATGATAGTAGATATGGAATAAAAATTAAATATATTATTATTAATAGTAATTATAATCATATAGATCATTTAAATTTGGTTGATTATGATTAAAGGGTTATATCAATTGATTCAGTTATTTTTTTTTTTTTTTTATTATTATTATAATTCAATGAAACCTGTCTACTAAAAGGAAAAATAACTGAATTTAGAGTTTGGCTTTAAATTATAACTCAGTCAGGCTTGTTTTACTTCTTAATCTGATATTACCTTTGTATAAGAAATTTAATTTATTTAAATACAAAAAAGGATAATGTAATTCACTTCGAGTAAAATAACTAAAATTTAAAAAATAATTTCAATATATAAACTAAAGGAAAATGATTTAATAAGAGTAAAAAGTTTATAAATTCCAAATTCAGTTTACAAATTACAATATAATTTTTAGTGTTTTTAGTACACCAATTAAGTTGAATATTTTAAATTTAACTCTTATTAAAATCTTATGAAGTGTTAAAAATATCAAGTAATAGCTCTATTATAATATTAATAACATTACACAGTAGTAAATAATCATAATTAATTTTAAAACTACCATTGAGGTACGTGAATAATATCAATTCCACATGTAGCAGATTGAAGGCAATATTTATCTGGATCAAAAGTGGGTTGTTGCGATATATGTGGTTGTGATATGTACAAATCGGCGTCTCCTTCTCTAGATCAAAATAAATAAATATATTGTACTATATGACTACAACAAGTTATATTTGAAAATTACTTACTCTGAAATTAATGCAATAGAAATATATCCTGCATTATGTAGCGGATAGTATGTGTAGTTATATTTTTCAACAACACCACTGATTGATTGTAGAAGATTATGTTGGAAAGAACTTGCAGAAGACACTAATAACAATCCTAAAAGCTGAAAAATAAATAGTTTTCTTTTGTTTCCTAACTAAAAAGTAAACATGTAAGTATTCCAAAAATTCTTATACTGTATAATGTTTTAATAAAACAAATAAAACTATTTGAGTAAATTACTTTTTTTTTTATTATTTATAGAATAACACATATTATATAAGAAATTTATTTATATGGAAAATAAATTTATCTACCTAAATTAAATTTATTAAATTTAGAGTGTTTTTAAATAAAATCTTCATATCATAAAAAGTTAAATAAATATATTTACTTCTAATCATTTCTAACAGGCTATGTAAATACTTAAGTTACTTTTGTATGGGTCTGAAAATGTACTAATAATTACTGTGTTTGTTATACAGTACAAAACGCCAGTGTTATATTATATACTTACATCACCATTTAATTAAAGCTTGATATAGGTTAATATATAAGTTTGATGAATTTTTTTTTAAAATTTTTTTATAAAAAATAACCATAAAATGTTTTAAGTGGTAGAATTTAAAAACATTTAATATTGTAATATTTTAAAAATATTAAACTTATTTCATTTTATAATAAGTGTTTAATAATTTAATAATGACACATTTAATTATTATTATAGTATTTTTTATTTTTTTATTTTTTTTTTGTACACTTTTATTTGGTAGATCACATATTGCACAAAAGCCAAAATAAATATATATTAAATAATGATAATGTTTAATTAATTCTGACTTTTTAAATATTTGTAAAAATATATAACTTTTACATACAAAGTGATTCACTAAGCATTCTCACCCCATTTTGTTTGGTTAAATTTTGCATATATTCAAATTCTGATTTTTAGAAATCCATTGAATCCATTTTAACATCAAGGTTCTAATTTGAGAAACCTAGGTTGGTATCACCACAGGATATTCCTTAAATGTTGTGAAATATCTAAGTATTTGAAAATATAGTCTTTAACTACAATTATTGTAACTGTTAAAGCATACATGTTTTACTACATGTCTATTAAAAAAAAAAAACTAAGAAATTTCAAAAATCAGAATTTAAATATATGCAAAATTTAACCAAAAAAAAAATAAAAAAGGAATGAGCACGCTTAGTGAATCATTCTGTATAATTATTAAACTAAATGCAATTATAATGATATAACAATATATACTCATATATTTGTTTTGATTTGTATATAATACCAATTGTAAACCACACAAATGCATGTTTGATAAAGAAAACTTATTTTTATAAACAATTTTACTAATATAATAAACAATGCACAGACTATAGATGTACTTGCCAACCCAAAAAAGAATAAAAAAACAAAGTAGATTTATAAAATATATCACAAGAATGCTTTTTTGATGAAGAAACACAAATGTATTTTTCAAAAAAGTTTATATTTAATCAATATTCGTTACAATCAGTTTAAAAACATGAGTACTAAATCAAGCATACAGAATTGTAATGTTCACCTAAACCATACATATGTCTATGAAACACTAATATTAATGTTTTATTACAATTAGTATACTCTATTCCAATGGTGATATCAGATCCTTCGGCTTGAATTACTTTGATTGGTATTTTAAATATATGTGATAAAGCTCTAAGTTCAATTTCACCACCCCATTGAACTGAATTTGCTACTTGATAGCAATATTCATTAAACTGTAGATCAGTTAACATTTCTCCAGTATCTGGATGACTTAAATATGGAATAAAGTCATCTTTGTTACATTTAAGAAAATCAGAAGTCTTTATACGGATTTCTGGTACAGTAAATGTTTTTCCACAAACTTCTTTAAGTTGGTGAACAATAGCACTATATAAACAGTTACCATCTGAAGGAATATCAAAAATAATAAACCCAAGACTCTTAAGTTTTTTAACTAAAGTCTGAGTTTCAATATGTCGTGTTCCACCAATGTTTTTAATATCATGTTCTTCAATTAAAGCTTGTCTTTCTTTCATTTCAGTAATTTTTTTTGTTCGCCTTTTTTCAGCTCTACTAACTTTTGGAATGGCATCATTAATTTTGACTTCTTGTAAATTTTGAATTAGAGAAGATTCTTCATCCACTTCTATGAATTTATTGAGTTCTTCTACATGTTTCTGCTTTAATTTTGCTTCAATTTCTGCTGTGTGCTCAGCAACTTCTTTCTTCTTCTTTCGATCTCCTTTTGCTACAGACTTCTTCATTGATTGAATCTTACATTGCAAATCTTTTTTCTCATTTCTATGCCTTTGCAAAATTTCATCTTTAGTTTCGACGTTTACCGATTCCATTTAGCACTAGATATATATTATATAACTTTTATAATATAGCAATAATCACTAGACAATTTTAAATTTAATAATTTGATTGAACAAATATTTAAATTTTTAATCACATTTAATAATAAAAATGTAATATTTATAAAATCGAATGTAGGGTTTTGGCCATTATGTAAATATTTTATATACATATATAAAAGTTTGAGAAATGCTATATCAGGAAAAAGAAAAAAAAACGGGGAATGAAGAAATAGCAATTTTTAGACAATAAAAGTTATGGAACAAGTATTAGAATATATTTTTTTAAATTTTGAGAGATGTGGCAAAACAGAGTAATATAAATCCTGTATACTTTAAGCTAAGTTAATATTAATTCAACGGTTTATTAAATAAGTTTATTATAATATATAATTGTATTAATTTATGAAAATTGTACACTATTACACTGATTTAATTTCAACATGTATAATATATTAATTAATGTTATTTATCTGTCAAATTGTTGTAAAATAATTATTTTACCCTTTATTTTAAGTAATTAGTTGTGTGGGTATATAAATGGTATTAGAAGTACCTATTATTTTATAAACTACTTAAAAATAAAAACAATATAGACGATACTATTACAATATAAAACTAAAATATATATAATATATACACAGATACATAGATATACTTAGATATTAACCTTAGACAAATGAGTCAAGATTTTTAACTAGGTGGTTAAAATATTGAATTCAACAAAAAAAATCTAGTTACTTAAGTTACTTACAATCTCAATGAAAAATAGAAACTTAGTTGGATAAAAGTTACTGGGATACAAAAAAAAAAAATTATAAAAAAAGTAATTTTATAAGTAACTTTGATTTGTATTAATCTAACAATATTATGTTACTGAAACCTTAAAACGAATATGTATAAATATTTTTAAAAAAGATTAAAAGTAACTTCTAACTTAGTTTTTAACTTTAAGGTAATGTCCAGCATTTAAAGATATACCTATTCAGAATTTGACTACTATACAAAATCAACCGAAGAATTATTTATTCTACCAGTCTCAAAACATATAAAGTAATACTATTGCCAATACTTTTTCTTAAAATTGTCTTCACTGATAGCTCATTATTTATTATTGCCAACCAATAGCCTATACGTTACTGCTACCACACAAAGATTATTACAGGCACCTATACAACCTATTGCAGTCCCTGAAGGTTGATTAAAGGCCTTTTGATAGCAAACAGTAGCCCCTTATGGATTATTACCAGCCTCTTGTGCAATATTTTACAGCTTAAAATAACTACTAAATCAAATACTGTGTTGTATTAGATTCAATTAGTTACCTACTCTAATTTTTCACTACACTACTTGTCCGTAGATTTGCCTAACTCATTTTGATCATGACTTACAAGAATACTTTCCAATGTTTAATGGCCTAATCTACCTTTGAATTTATTTAAAAAGTTAAGAAACAACGTATGGGTTATGTAAGTGTAAAATGTAGAACTAATGAATTTAAGGAACATTTTCATTTTTTTTTAGATATTATATTTATTCTAGGATACACCAAATGTGATAAATACTAAATATTGAAGCTAATTATTTGTCAAGAATGAATCACATTATAAAAACATTGAACGAGTAGTTTATTAGATGAATTATGTTATTGTTAAAAAAATAATAAGCATTTACCATTAATTTTATCTCCCATTCAAAATTGTTAGTAACAATGACTAGCAATAATAAAACCCAGTGTATAGTTATATTAAATTATAATTTGGTATAATAAATACTTACATAAAAAAATGTGTAATTGAACAATGGAAACGTTGACATAATTTAAATTGGCTTGGTGATGAACATAGTACTATAAAACCAACATTTAACTATTTAAGTGCAATTTTAAAGGATTAAAATATACAAAAAGAGTTTAAATATAAAGAATGATTATCTACACAGTAATAGAGTACGAGGTACGTCCACAGACCTTATACTAAGTTTAAAGATATACTCATGATATAATTAACATGCTATGACAGCAACAAAATGGTGTCTACCACAGATATATAAAACAACATGACATATAACTTCGTTCCTTATCAATACTATAAAACAAAAACATTCACCACTTAGATAAGGATGGCGGCCATTTTGTTGGTGACAATAGTAATACCAAAGTCGGTTATCTATTTTTTATAGTTGTTTTATGAATCTGTGGTCCGCCCGGTTCTCACTGTTTGGCAAGACGGGAAACGGTCAATTGGTCCCCGGATAATTGTTCCCAGCGAAAAAACGTTGTATGTGGACAATCAACCCCCGTCATAATTTTATACACAGACAATTGGTTCAGGGAAAATTTTATTTTCATACTTTTGAATAGTTCACCAACTACATATCGGAACCGTTCAACAATAAATTACAACATAATATGTTGACAATATTACTGTTCAGATTATGCATCTAAGTATTTATTTGTTTATTGAATCTTATATCTGTAGATATCGTTTTTCCGAAATAGGTGCTTATCAATTTTTCGAACAAGATACAAGTGCCATTCTCAGTAATCCAATATTTGACTAACAAAACTGTTAAATATTTGAGAAATTTTACATAGAATATGATCTTAGTCCGTTGGAGTAATATTATAGGTATTATCATACGTATTATAAAGATAATTATTATCTATATTTACTGTCATAACCATCATTACCATTAGTGAAAAACCAAAAGTTTTAACTTCAAAATTTAACCAGTTAATACCGTTAAAGTTAATTCAAGATACGTTATGGTTTATTATAAGTACTTAGATTATAAAACTTTTGACCTTTTTTCTCGCATTTTTTTTAAATTTTTTGTTTGACTAGCACTTTAATTGAATTCCATTGAGGTTCTCAAATTCATTGAGGTAATTCAATATATTACATCACTGAATATTTTACTGATTATTTTAAATCTTTAAAAATGTAGATTGCCTAATATGTTCTCTGTGTATTTATCAATTGTGTTTATAAAATACAATTTTAATTAATTTATTATAGCCATATGACAAATTCGTTTTACTTTTTATTTTGGATCATGTATTTAGCTTTTGTTGTGTACACTTTTTGTTAAAACTAACAAAGCGATTAATTGTCTGAGTTGTTACTCGTATTTTGACGTTCCCCTTATGTGTTTTATCGGTACTGGATCTGAATGTTCCCTCCCTTGGGCTGAGACATTTCCGTACTGAATCTATGTAACATATAATTTGATTTATAATGTATTATTTTATTATTTTATATTTGTATATTATATAATATAATTATTTTTAATTAGACACTTGGGTTTATAGTTACATAAATGAAAATAGGTACCTAAGTATTTTGTTTTTATCCAAAGTAAAAGTAATAATTTTTATTTGTTATAGTAAATTTTATATTTTTGTAACCCGATTTTGAATTATATTTATATATTTTTAATATTAATAATGATACATAAAAACAACGATTGTATATTTATTTATTAAAAAGTCATGTATTTATTTCTATTTGTATACTAATAATTTTTTGACAGGTGGGGGTCCCAGTCGGAGAAAGTGTACTAGATTCATAGATTAATAGATGATTCGTCAGACGTTTTTTTTTTATATATTTTGATATTTTTTCATTATTCAAAAGCCAGAGTTAAACCCTAATTTTAACCAATATAATCTCATGAAAGATCAATTTTCTAATTTAAAATTATGTAGTGTAAAGATGTAAGTTTTTTAATGTTTAATTTGTTGATGAACTTTAATGTACATGTTATTACTTGCCTAACAAATAGTATACATGATAGTTAATTATAATTCATTATGATTCCAATTTCCAAATGTCCATTTACCTGGGATACTTATTTCACACTAGACTCATAAGTTGTTACTTGTTATTTTAAATTATTTTCAATGGTTTCTTATTAATGTTAAAGTAATACCTATAAATACCTAATTATACCTATTTTGTTATTTTTATTACAGATGGAAGAACATAGAAAAAAAAAAAAAAAACTCGAATTACAATTAAGAGCTAAGAGTCCAATAATTATGTCAAATAAATATAAAATGACTTCACTTAATAGTAATTCAAAATCTGTACTAAACATGAATAGTATAGACGAAAATTCAAAAGTAATTATTAAATATTACACTTTTTGTAATTATAATAAAATGCGTGTTTAGGAATTAGCAAAACTTATTTTATATTGTGGACTGTATAATAGCTATTTAATAAGTTTAGAAAAAAATATAGTGTACAAGCCTAAATTAACGGATAGGGGGAACACAACCTCTTAATCCATTATGTTATTTACTTATAAAAAATGAGATATTATTCATCATATGGCTAGCACACAGATTGTATAGAAAAAACTTTAATATCTAGTAAGAGAAAACAATTGAGAAACGTGCATTAGCAGGTTTGTATTAAGAATGTTGAGTGCAAACATCTAATGACACTGCAAAAATAGTAAATGGGTTGGGTAAGATGCAGACAATATGGTTTCTAATTTAGTTTATATACTAAAAGTAATGGCAAATCATTGTAAACAAAATAAAATATTAGTCAAATTTTATGTATTATACAATTTTTTCATTGGTCATAAATGTGATTTTATACTAATTTGTTCTATAACAAAAGAATATTAATGTTGTTTCAAATTAAATTTTATTAATATATATTTTTTTAGGATAATGAAATATTTAGAGAAAATTTATCCTGTTTAATGTACTGAAATTTTATTTTTATGTTCAAACAATTATATCATATTAAAATAAATATTTTTTAGAAAAGCCAAGAAAATAAAGAATGGGCAGTAGACACTTCAATTATTCAACTACCAAAAACTCTAAAACATTTGAATTTATGTAGTAACTTACAATCAACACCTAATGCTAGAAATTACAAATCGGAAGTAGATTCAAGAATAATTATGAAGTAAGATTGTTTTGTTTTAATTAAATAAATCACCTGTTCTTTAATTGTTATTAAATTTAACTTAATGCAGATTAGTCAAGCTTTAAAGTTAGTTTCTAAGAAGTTTATTTTTATTGTTTTTATTAAGAATATACCTATGATCTGTAAAAGAAGCATAATAAGTATATGTGAGGAAAGGTAATTAAAAAAACATTAGTGTTACGTGAATTAAGGCGCCACCCATTAAATACAATTGACAGGATTTTTATTATGAGAGGATAAAGTTAAAAAAGTTCTACAACATTTTTTTTTTTTTTGTCTGCAACAGATTCCCTGGAAGTAGTGGAATATGTAAGCCTTTCATTAGTTCTTTTTCATGTGTTTTAATCTAGTATCAAAACGTTTATAGAAAATGGTTGCTTCTTTTATTATTTTAATTTCAAGGTCTTTTTGAAGGGTCTGGTTAGAAATAAAGTGTAGAGAATTTGTAATTTTGTGAAGTGTGATGTTTTGATATATTTGTATTTTATTTAAATTTGATCTTTAAGTCAATCCCCATTACTAAATCACTTGTGTCCATATAGACTTTTAGAGAAATTTATATATTAATAGTTTATTTTTTAATGTAGTCTATTTTTTTTTTTTTTTTTTTTTTTTTTGAGATAGTAATATTTCTATCTATCTAAAACTAACATTGAGTATTAATATATTAATTAACATTAAGAAAAGTATTTCTCATTATGTCTTTGCATAGTTAATCTTTTATCAAGGTTTAAACCTATGTATTTAACTGTGTTGTGAGAAGAGATATATAGATTATTAATGGTAATATTGACACAAAGTTCATGTCTTAAACTAAATGCTGTTTGCACAGATTTATTGTGGTTTAATTTAATTTGTCAATTTGCGACCATTCAGACAGTACATTTTAATGATATTGTAAATTTGATGACACAATTAAAGAATCCTAGTGAATAGATAAATGACTGTCATCAGTATAGTCTGTCACTATGACTAAGTATTTCAAGTAGAGAGTTGATCAGAAACACTACTTAATAGTATAGAATTGTCAGCATTTATCAATGGAGGAGAAAGGGTTTTATATTTTAGCAATTGCTAAGTTTCTCCATAGACTATATTATATGGTGGAATGAATATGTTTGGGTAAAAAACATTTAGAAACTTCAATTGCAGCTGTAAATGATTATGATGTAAAACAGTGGTTTTCATAAAAAATATTTTATGTATTACTTATAACAGAGATGGCAAATATATGGAATTTGAACAAATCTTGAGAGCACACGAAAAATTTAAATATTTAATTATATTTTTATTTTTAACAATTAATAACAACTTCACAATTTAACATTTTTTTTTTATTATTATAATATATATATTTTATGGGCAAAACCGTAGCTACCTGTATTGTAAGATTTATTTAATATATTTATTTATTAGATTTAACTATTTATATATTTATAAAATAAATGTATGATGATTACAAATTTACCCGAATGAACTTGGCCATAACTTCATGAACACCATGAATAAGGTTTGTCCAGGTAAAACCCGAAATATGATGTTTTTCCCAAGTATCGAGGACACTTCCCGTTTTGTCCATAACATATACGTATAACATTTTTTATAATATAATGGCACACTTAAAAAAACAAAAAGGTTATTTTTAACACGTAACATCAAAATAATTTGCCACTTTTCTTATAATAATAGTAATTGTTTGTTAGCCTCAGTCCAATCACACCTACAACATCTCTACAAACGAATTCAAATACGCATCAAAATATTTTTCGACAGAAATTATTTGCAAATGAAAATATTTTATTGGTAAAAATTTATTCAAATATTTTTAAATATTAAAAAGCATTAGGAATTAAAAAACTAATGATAATTTGTATTTGTTTTCCAATCAGGATGAATTAAATACAAACCAAAGTTCTCTAAGTACTCATAATGAAGATAAATTCTTAAAAAAATTGAAAACTAATAATGAAACTGTAAAAAATCTTACTTATAAAAATAAAATGATTCATTCATCAATTGATAGCAAAACTAATGAAGATAATAATGTGGCTGAAAATACAAAAAGATGTTTATTTGAAAAAGAAAAGACTAACAGTACATTTAATTTAGATACAGATCAAGATTCACTCAATATTTCTTTAGATATCTTGGAACAAGTTTGTCAAATGTCAGAAATTATAGATGGTTCAACTGAAGAAATTCAAGTTGAGAACAATACTGATAAAAAGAAAAATAAATTATCATTTTTTCTTTATGGGAATAATTCCACAATACTTGAAGAAACAGAAGAGGAAAATGAATTATTACAATTTGCTTTAAGTATGGAAGATAATATATTGACTGAAACTAAACCAAAAAATAATATATGTTCTGATGGAGGATTTACATCTTTAACTCAACTAAAAAATATGGAATACAATCTATTCAAAACTGATAGTAAAAGACCCAAAAATAATATCAATAATGCTGATCATACATTTCTAGGTCCTGTAGAAATTAATGATATTGGTAATACACAAATGTGTGAAATAGCTGACATTACAGAAACACTAGAGCAGTCATTTGATGATCAATGGACACAACAATATACAACAGATGAATCTAATATAAATCAAAAAAAAATGTTGAATGGTTCTTTTCCTAATTCTAGTCAAATAACATTCATAACCGATCAAATATTAAAATTATCAAAAAATAATATTAATCACGAGGTTGATAAATTTAATGATATGCCTGAAAAAATAATAACTGAAGTACATCCCAAGTTAAATGGTGAACCAAATAAATCCATGACCATTAAAGATAAACCTATAACCAATCCTAATAAGTGCCAAGGTTTTTCAACAGCTGGAGGTAAATCTATTAAAATATCAGATCAAGCATTAAAAAAAGTTCACTCAGTGTTGAATGATGAACTAAATGAATCACCAACCATTATTAAAGATAAACATATGATTAGTTCTAATATATGCCTAGGTTTTTCAACAGCTGGAGGTAAATCTATTAAAATATCAGATCAAGCATTGAAAAAAGTCCACTTAGTGTTGAGAGATGAACTAAATGAATCACCAACCATTATTAAAGATAAACCTATAACCAATCCTAATATGTGCCAAGGTTTTTCAACAGCTGGAGGTAAATCTATTAAAATATCAGATCAAGCATTAAAAAAAAGTCATTCGGTGTTGAATGATGAACTAAATGAATCACCAACCATTATTAAAGATAAACCTATAACCAATCCGAATATGTGCCAAGGTTTTTCAACAGCTGGAGGTAAATCTATTAAAATATCAGATCAAGCATTAAAAAAAAGTCACTCAGTGTTGAATGATGAACCAAATGAATCACCAACCATTATTAAAGATAAACCTATAACCAATCCGAATATATGCCAAGGTTTTTCAACAGCTGGAGGTAAATCTATTAAAATATCAGATCAAGCATTGAAAAAAGTTCACTCAGTGTTGAGAGATGAACTAAATGACTCATCAACTCTGGATAAAACTATCAACAATTCCAGTATTTCTCAAAATATTTCAATTGCTAAAGATAAATCTATTAATATATCAGACAAAGCTTTTCAAAAATGTCAATCACAATCGGGGTCAAATAAAGATATTAATGTATTAAAATTGTTGGATAATTCACCAGAATCTATGGCGGCTGTTTCTACTGATAATTGTAGTTACTTAGAAAAGATTTTAAAAAACTCAATTGTTGAAAACAAAAAAAAAGATAATTACTTTGAAAATTCAAAAAATGAAGACTGTACTCTTGAAGATTTGTCTTTAGTTGATATGGTTGACAAGTTTGAAAGAGAACAAAGTGTTTGTGAGTCAGTGTTGAGTAATAAACGTCCTGGAAGTCCAATATTTGAACTTCATCATAAAATTAAAAAAAATATATTATATGATAATGGATGGGAAATTGGTGTACTAAAATTGTCATTTGATGAATATTTGATGAAAAAATTAAGGGGACCAAAAGTATCTTTACCAGAAGCTATAAATTGGATTCTACCTAAAGTATGTACCTAATACAAAACAGGTGATTTTTTTCTTCAAATATATATTTTAGGCATAATATTAAATTACCCTAATCTCTGTATTTAATTTTTGTTATCTTTGTTTTTAGCATGCATGCCATAGCAAAATTTGTTTAGACTCTGAGTGGAGTAAAGAACCTTATGGTTTTACAAAGATGTTAATTTTTTTTTCCTGTGGACAACTTTTCTAACAGCAGTTTTGCTTTAACTGTGCAATTTTTTTAAAAGTTAATTTCTCTGGGGAGGTACTTTAAAGAGGTCATTTTTTAATTTTCTCCAGTTTTCTTGGAAAATGTGAAAACTAGGAAAAAACATAGGAAAACCTGGTAAATTGGTACAACATTAAATAGATATTGTTAAAGAAAATATATAGAGGCCGTTTAATTATTTTACTATAAAATTTCATATATATTGTTGACAAAGCATGACTATTAACTGAACTCCGCTCAGAATGGTTTATCGCTGCTTACGGGTATACATTAAATTAAGAGTAGCTGCACCTGTCATTATTCAATTACTTCTTTTTTGTATTACACATATTAATAATAGGTTACATTAGATAAAATACTTAATGTCAATATTGACGATTATTAAATACATTTATATTGATTAATATAGTAATGTGGAATAATTGGAACGGGAAGTGCTTCTAAAAATATACTTTAATCATTCATTTTACTACCAATATATAAAGTCTTGTATCTGCCTTAATAATTACATCTTAAATGGATCTACTAAAGGTTGGTCTACTAATGAATCTATTATTAAAAAAAAAATTATATACTATTTTATAAACAAGAACTTCCTCTATCAATGTATTTATCATTTATTGTAGTCTAATGTAAACTAAGAACTCATAGTATATTGACATACATTTTGCTAAGATATTCGTGTGTAAAACAAAGACAACCAAAATGGTAAAGACTAAAGAGTAAATCATATGACAACATAGTATAGTGAATGGATATAATATAGAATATACATGAAAATATTTTCTTAAAAACAATATTATTAACTTTTAAACTTTTTTTTTTTCTAGCATTCATTCCCTGAGAATGATTTGAAGGAGGAATTAAATAAATTGAATTATGATGATAATTTTTTAAATTTTATGTTACACTGGGAAAAGTATATTTATTAATGTTCTTAATTTTGTACTTATTAAATGCTAACATAAATACTAAATGCAATGTATTTTTCAGGAATTTTAAACTTTCTGATGGCAGTATAAACAAAAAGTATAGTTTTAGAGATATTAAAAACCTTTTCTTATCACACGATTTTGTTGACAACAAAATCATTCCAAAAAGATGGATTGAAAATCATTTTCGTTTAATTATATGGAAATTGAGTGCTACAGAGATTAGTTTCCCTGATCACTTTAGAAACACGTAAATATATTTAACTCGAATAAATAAAATATAAAAAATATACATATCAGGGTATTATAATAAAATTAACTGGTTTTATTTTTTAATTATGTTTACCTTATTACTTTATTATTAAGTTCCCTAAATATAAGACAATTTTTGTCCAATTATAACAATGCTCTAAAAGTTTGTTTTAGTAATTTTTGTATTAATCAAACATTTTTTTATTGTTTTAGTATTCTTTATTTTAATTCCATAAATGATTGTTTACATAATAATTATTTTTGATTATTCATGTAGAAATTTTTTTTAAAACTAATATTAACTAAATATATTCCTATGAGTATTATTTTTAATTTGATACTTTAAAATGGTTTTGGTATTTATAGATTATTGACTGCAAAGAATGTAATACATCAACTATTATATAGATATTATAGAGAAATTGAAAAATGTCAAAGATCTGCATTAAAAAAGATACTTGAAAAAGATGAAACAGCATCAAAACGGATAATTGTATGCGTTTCAAAAATTATCAAAGCAAGTATTTAATTGTATATCACTGGCTACCCAGCAAACTCTTGTAAGTTGAACTGTTGAACTTTTTTTTTCAGTAATTTTTTAAATCTTCCAGTTGTACGTATCTCCTATAAAATTTGCTAAAATCAACTTACGAGGTTTTGATGGATAGCTAACGTTTTACAATGTTTGTAATATTCATATTGTGCTACTTATACTAGTGTTAACAAATTATTCAAATTATAGTTAAAAACTATTTTAACTAATTTTTTATATTTTAATGTCTACTTAAACACACATTACTGTTGAATTATATCTACTATTTTGTATTTTTATATGCAATTTCAAACCGTATATTACGTTAATTATTGGTTTATACTCAGTGCCAAGAGGGAACGCATATGGCTCACGCATCCAAACGACAACCAAAGTGCTCCAACAGCGCCATAGTGTTTCGTAGTGAGAGTCAGTTGATCATGTTTCGTAATGGGCATGCACAAAAATATACGAGTTTTGTTCTACCGCTGTATACATTCTCTCATTGCACGGAGTATAAACTAAAAGTATATACAGCAAATTCCACTTAATGTTGGCAGTGACGTAATATAAGCATAATGATCTGGTCTCGATTCTAATGTATAACGATACTCATTTCGGTTGAAATGGGCAAGCATAACTGGATTCCACATTAAAGGGTATCCATTGTATTTATATTATTTAATTGTATTCACAGAAAATAAACTTAAAATGTTAGTTTAGGCAGGTAGTAAAAAGCACATCAAATTATGTTTTAATAACTAAACATAAAACATGTATATATCTAATACTCAAATTTAATGAACATTTAATGAAGATTTTTTTATAAATATTTTAGACAAATTTATCAGAAACATATGATATTGAACTTACTGATGGGTGGTATAGTGTTCATGGATTGATTGATTATGAAATGAATACGCTTTTACATAAAGGAATAGTAAAAGTTGGTACTAAACTAATTATACATAATGCAGAACTTATTGGTGCTGGAGAAGGAATCGATCCATTAGAAGTAAATTTTTTAAAATTAAACATTATTCATACAATTTTGAATTAAAGCATTTCATGCTGGGGAAAAAAATGCAAAATATTTTAAAGATAATATTGCAAATATTTTTATTATTATTAGTTCTAATTTATTTTTAGTTACAATATACATGTATATTGATATTATATTTTTATTTTTTTTTGTATGTGTAAGGTTCATGATGGTATTAAGCTCAAGTTTTCTACAAATAGTACAAGAAGAGTACGCTGGCATACTAAATTGGGCTTTTATAAAAATTCTTTATTACCTATAACTGTTAGTTTAGAATCAGTTCTACCACGAGGAGGAATAATAGGATCCCTTTCACTTGTGATACTAAGAAAATATCCTATAATGTATCTTGAAAAAAAAAAAAATTCAAAATCTAGTATGTATAATGTTTATGTTAATATTATTCATGTATAGTATATATAACGGTGGTCCTTATTTTTTCAATTTCAAATTTTCCTTCGGGAAATCTGCTTATCATGTGCTGTATAATAATAAAAAAAAAAAAATGGCCTGAAACTTAGAGGACCATCCTAGTATATATATATTTATATTACCAATGTCGTAAATTTAGGAAATCAATTTGCATAATTAAGACCTAGGTTATTATATTTCTAGGCTTATTAATGCCTAGGTAAGTTAGTGTATAATGAACATATATGTTAGAATTTGACATGATAAAAGTATTAGTCATTATAACATGTCTAATTATCATACAGTCATTATTTATTATTTATCTGTTATAAATTTGCTCATTACAATTTCGTTCAAAAGTTGAGATACTGTTTTTTATCTAATGTCCATTTTTCTCACAAAAAAAAAAAAAAAAATATAATCTAAACCAGTGTTTCCTAAACTGTGGTCCGCAGATCCTTAGAGACATGTATACCATAAACGTAAATTGAAAATACTATATAGTATATATAAAAATTAAAATACTGATGTATAAAAGGGTTTAAGGGAGCTGGAGGTCCGCGATCGCTTTTACTATCTGTAAGGGGCTCGACGAAGAAAAAGTTTAGAGAATGCTGATCTAGGCAAGATAAGAAATTGCCACCTTTCTAATTTGTGTACTTTGTATATAATTTGTATACTACCTTTTCTGACCAAGAATATTTTCCTGAACATTTTTATATCTAAACTCAAACACAAAACTTAATATTAATGAAACATAATTTATTTGCTAATGATACAGAAATTTACTAATTTCAAAAACCAATTTGAAATTATTTTGTAATCATTTATCAGCACGTATTTGGATTTGAACCTTAAGTGTGGGCGAGGTATCTGAACTTGGTCCATCTAAATTAAAATTAAGTATATAAAATAGGGAAATGATTTCATTGATAAATAATGCCAATGATTGGCTGTCATTCTTAAAAATTATTGATTTTTATTAAATATTTTATATCATTGTCTTAGTTATTTTCTAAAATTGTTTATCAGTAATGTATGTATACCTATGAAAAATGGTCTTACCCAATATAGACTAGCCATTTTAAATAATGCCTTAATACCATTAAACATCATTAATTTTAACATTTATATATATTTATAAATTTACTATTTTAGTTATAAGAAATGAAAAAATGGAAACTATTGAAGCAGAAAAATATAAAGCATACCAACAAAAATCATTAGAAATTATTTCAAACAAAATAGAAACTGAGATGATTGTTGAAATGGAAACAACTAAAAAATCTAAACAATATCTTTTAAGTTTTAAAAAAGACAATTTAGATAAATTAAGCATAGAAGAATTAAGCAATATTATAGATAATTCTCCAGATCCTTTAGACATTCAAGTAGTTTATTTTTTAACTTATTAACTTTATTATTATTTGAGAAGATATAAAATATAAATGCATAAAACAATTGTTTTTTTTTTTTAGTTATTACTTAAAGAAGATAAATTAAAAGCTCTTGAGAATTTTAAAAAATCTGAACATGAAAGATTCAATTCTGAACTTCAAAATAGAGTAAATAAAATGTTCATTGATCAATTTAAAGATGCTCGTAAAGTTATACCTTTATTTAAGGTAATTCAAATTATTTTATTTTAACTAAGGTTTTATTAATTCATTGTGGTTAGTTTATAATGTGTTTTAACTACTAATGTATTATTACTGTAAAAATGTATCTATATATATTATTGTCATTTAATGACATTTTAAACAATATACATTTAATTTAGTTACGAGTTGTTGATAAAAAATATGCTTCTACTGGTTGTAAATCTGCTATGCTTACAATATGGAACCCACTAGAGGATGTCTCTGCAATTTTAAACAAATCTTGTGAAGGTCAATTTTGTACAATTAACTATCTTACTACTAATGGATTTATGTAATACAATTATAAGTAAATCTATACTTTATACATTTAACATGAATTTACTTAAAGTACTTTGTTATTTAGAAATGATGAATTACAAATATCAACGACTAAAAATACTCGTTTAGATTTTAAAGGATTTATAAACGATTATGCAAAACGTGAAGTTGTACAATGTTTTAAAAGTATTTGGTCTGGTACATTTGTACCTTTATTTGGTGAACTGGATTTTGTTGGCATTGTAGTTTCAAGTGTTTATAAAATTAATAATATTTATAGTGAAATTTATGTATCTGATAAAGAAATGAATATAGTCAATATACTGTTTAGAGGAAATATAAAGGTGATTTACTAAAACGAAAAATTATATCTTAAATTTAAATAATATTTTTTTTTTCTTTCTAGAATTATGGATGTGATGATTTAATTCAAATAGGTAATATAATATCAGGAATGAATGTTCAATTTAGAGGCTTCAAAAAATCATCTAATGAATTAACTATGCCTAAATTATATAACACTGAATTGTCTTCATTTACGACTATTCCTAAGACTGAACTTCTTTTAGATATTTTTAATGGTTATAAAATGTTTATGAATAAATCTGAAGTAAGTAGTTTAAGAATGATTACTTATTAGGGTTGGAACAATATTTCTTTTTATATTGATATCACAATATTTTAGTTTTTTATAAACAAATATAAAAAACAGTAATTCAGATACTGAATCAGAATAGAGAATACCAAATAAGAAACAACATTAACAACATAAATGTGATATTTCAACCCAATATCAATGTGGGGGTCTGCAATGCCTCTATTATTCATTATTAAAAACTTTATGATATGCATATATTTTGAATTATAGATTAATTAATATAATGTACATCACTAAATAACTATGTTAGCTTAGTCTTCATGAATATTTAAATTATTCTTTAGATTTAACCTTAATTTAATAATAAATAATTTTCTAGTCATCAAGTTTCTATTTTCTGGTAGTGAATAAGCTATTTGTTTAAAATGTTTGTAGTAATAGCTAATAAGAAGTTGTAAGTGCCTAAGAGCACTTAAGTAGTATCATCTTTTAAATCTAAGTATAATATGTTATCTTTAAAAATTTGTATAGAAAAATTCTCTATTTGGTCATTTGATTTTGAAAACATTTTTATATTTTAATTCTAAATATTAAATATAAAATAAAAATAAATTACTTAGACATAATCATAATCCTCACATGAATAATATTTATTTTTTTTAACCATTTTCCAACAGAATCAAAATTTTCTCATTTGCTGTCAAAGTAGACTTAATAAAATTCATAGTAAAAATGTAGAAAAGCTGGTAACAAACAATGACAGCACAAGAAAGCAATGTTTAAATACATCAAAAAATTCATTTCATAAGTCTTATGGAGAAATACCTGTAACTGTAGTAAAGACGTCTAATACATCTCAATCAGAATTTTCTCCAGTTCAAAAACGAATTAAAATGTTGAATAGTTATGGGAAGACACCACCATTAAATATTGTTCACACAAAACCACCAGACAAAATATTAATGAGTCAGTTTAAAACACCGACCAGATTGTAGCTTTTCAGAAAAATAGATTATCATAAGTTTATTAATTATGTTTTATTTCTATTAAAATGTCTAGTTTACTTAATTAAAAAGTAAAATATATTGTTTCTAAATTAATAAATTATACTGTATTAGACTTAAAACTAATTGTTTTATTTTATTTTTATTGTATTATATTTTATCTAAATTTGAAGAAATTATTATTCATCATTAGCACCTAATCCTCAAAAAGCCAATTAATTAATAAGCTCAGTATACTATTTTGTATTTTCAAAGCAAATTATTTTTTTAGGGATAAACTGGCAGACAATGTTATATTTTATACCATTCAAAAAACAATAAACTTTTTTCATTAAACTTGTTTATATTGTGTTTCATTTATTCAATGTGAATAATGTAAACATTGTTTGTACAATTCTGTTTACTTTTTAATAGGCTACCTCTCTTATTACTTATATAAAATCATAATGATTTTTGTTCTCCTTCACATTCATCTCAACTATTTGAGGTCTGCCATCCTCATTCTAAACATCCATCTGACCTTTTTATGATAATGACTACATTTTTATTTTTATTATATTTCATAATGCTTCAAATTCTTCTCTACCCATGATATGCCCAAACCATATTTTTTAAACAATCAAAAAGCTTAAGAAATGACTTTCGTGGTCTCAAAAGAGAACTATTGTTAAAGGTTTCAGTACCCACCAAATAAAGAAATCAAATTTGTAGTTTAGCAAACTTCAAATTTTAAAATTATACATAAATACATACTTATCAAAAATATCTGTATTTGTGATTTATATTTTAAATGGATACTTTCAAAAAGTATCTTTTACAAAACTACTAATTATAATAATATCAGTATAATATAATATTTGTACATATATTGTACATATTTGTACAAAAATGCTTATCAATTAAAGATAGTCTTATGAAATCTATTGAAATAAGAATTCAATTTTTTAAATTTATTACTATACTTCATCATCATCATCATCTTCTTGAATATAACGATATGGTATTGAACGGTTTATGCACTGACGTGTTGGACGAGATCCAACACCTCCAGTTCCAATAGTGTCTGACCAATTTGTTTCATCAGAATGTGACTCCAAGCGACTACTATCTTGAAATTTTATTGATCTTAATGATAAATAAAAAATACATAGTTTAAATTAAAAAATAATTAAGACAATAGGTTTATTAAATTTTACTTGATAATCCTTGATCTTCTTTTTTTTATGGGTGCTTCATTCTGAATAATTGGAGTCCTATAGGTAGAAAAAAAAAATTACACTGACAGAAAAATCTAAAAACTACTTATGGTTTATCCACCACCTATTATCATTTGAGATTACTTTACTCCGATATTTCAAGTATTTTTTTTTATTTTGTCATTTTAGGTGTATCAAATTAAAAAAAAAAAAAAAACATTTTGTTTATATAGGTCAATTCTTTAGAGTTCCCATGAGCTTATTATGACATAAAAATTAATTTATCCCAATTAATTTTTTTTTTTGTTTTTTAAAAAATGTAGCAGTTACCCATAGAGTCTGCACACTTTGCCCAACATCGAGAAAAGTTTTATAAAACTGTTAAATTTTGTGACTGAGGCAATGTAAACAGGTCTAAAAAAACAGTACTATTACGAACTAGAATTACACTTAGAACAAATTATTTCTACCCAAACATGTATTTTATTTGAGAGAATAGGTCCAAAGAAGAATGATAAAAAAAAAAAAAAACATTAAATCCTGTTAAAATGATTTTATTATTATTTAAATAATATTGAAATTAATTTATAATTAATACAGAATAACATCCAGGAATATTATTAAGAAAAACCAACTATTATTTAATCTAGGATGGAAAATAATAAGTGATGGGGAAACTTTGCGCAAAAACGCAATAATAAATTACTGGCGCAAAGAGACCGCTTTTAATGGTGCTGTTACCCCAATCATGAAATTTGCTTTTAAATTATTCAAATACTGTTTAACCACAAATCTTCATACATCATCGTTTTTACTACTAAATTTCTCCCGTGAATGAGTAATAACTAACATTCAAATTAACAAGCTTCACGTTCCACAAGGAAAAGTTTGACAGCCCAAATTTACGCGGATTTAATGGTGTCACACTTGATAACGCACTGATAGCAGATAAAACTTCCACTATGTATGGTGATAAGATATAAAAATAGCTATAACCATAAAATATGATAAATAGAATTGGACACGAGATAATTATTATGTTTACGAAACTTATAGGTCGGTTATTTATTTATTTTAAAACATAGGTTCTCTTGGGAACGGGGGTCCGTAGATGGTTTTTCGGGTGTCCACAGGGTGGATGTGAGTTTTTTTTTAAATAACCCAAAAATAAATTGGTTTCGATAGCGCTTTTAAGATAGCAATTATAATGATCAAAATAAATGGCACGCCATGATTTTTAAACAAAAATATAATCGAATTTTAGTGTTCGTGGACGAAGGCCTATCCGTGAGCTGTATCTAGAGCAATGACATTTTTGATTTCATTCACTACTACTTATCTGATTCTGAGTCTGGATTTTCTACAATGGTCACAAAAAAACTAAAGCAAGAAATCGATTGGACATTAAACGATATGCCCGTGAAGTCGTTGTGCTATAATTTAAAAAATATTGGATATTTCATTTTTGATTTTTCCAAATTATGAAAAATACTTTAAATAACAAAACGGTCACCTTTCTCTGTCATTGGCGTAATATTAAAAAGAACTTAAAAACGAATTCGATCTCTTGTAATATTTCTGGTAGAAACCATAAGCATAACATAATAAAATTATCTTGAAAACTCCTTGGATAATAAAAAAAATGACTTCTCTAATACACCAACAAAAGAAAATTACCTTTCAAAAAAGTTACTGTAGATTATACTTCTAACATAAGATATAGATATACTTACATAGATTATACTTCACTTCTCAAAGAAAAAAATACACACACAATAAAACCATGGATATATCTGTGGGTAAAACCAATTGATATCAAATCTAAAATCTACTACTTGATATAATAAATTCTGAACAGTGATTAACACTTTAAGCCGGGTCCACACTAATCGTGCGCAATGTTGATATTAGAATTTTAAATTTTGTGGAGTATTTATATTTATATGTGCATCTTTAGGAAGAAATGGCATAGGAATACCTTTATATGGTTTATTTTTTTATACTGTGTACAAAAATTCTTTCCAAAAGGGTGTTTTATCTATTTGATGACTTAGGTATGTCAGTTTTTGACTTTCCAAGCAGTTTTCATAATTGCGGGAATATTTATGAAAATAATGATTTTATTTTTTTGTAATTCAGTGCAAAATGTTCATAAAACCTTGAAATTTACACAGAAAACTTATATTGGCCATTTCTGGACGTGGTAAAATGTTCATAACATTTAAGCTATTTTAATTTTGCTAGTTTTTTATGTAATTTTTATTTGTTAGGTAGGTACTCTGTGGATAAAATTCTAAGACCCAACAGACATTTAAAAAGAGGTTAATTATAAATTGTATTAAAGTGGTCAACAAGAAAAAGTTGAGTGTAATGTATTTTTTTTTGTTACAAGTATTTTAATGAAAATCATAAATATTACAGCCTTTCAAAACATATATAACCAAACTCTGCTTAGTATCGTTTTTTCGTTAGCAAAGTTCAATCATTGTATACAGACATACATTAAATTCCTCTCTCATCCTACCTTCCCAACTTCTCACCTACAGCAGTAGCCCAGCCATTATGCCAAATATGTAAGTTTTTTTAACTGGTATCTTTTGAATATAATAATAAAAATATACTATATGTATATATATTATACATAGATTATAACATAGATATTTTCTACAGCTACCGATGGTTGTGTGTATGTGGGTGTCTAGTATATCTCATTGATAATAAGAAAATTTAGGAGAGTTAGGTTTAGGTAGTAGGGTGCTATATTGTGTTGAGGGTACGGTCAAATCTATTTTCTTCTCCTTTGCTTTCATCCTAACTATTTTGTTTCAGCCATCCTCAATTAACACTTATACTTAACACTAACCTCACATACACAAACTGTTTCCAAATCATTCTAATTGCATTTAGCTACCTCTTTTCCCAATATTTGTTTTCATTACAATTCATATGCTTTATATTTCTTTCTCCCCGTGATATACCCAAACTATCTGTTATTTTCTTTCATTTTTTCTAGTATTGAAGCCATGCCTAAGGTACCTCTTATGAACTCATTTCTTATCCTATCTTCTCGTAACCCCTCATTCACCTAGAGGTTTTTGATAATTTATTTTATTTTAAATATTTAATAAATAAAAATGCACATATTATAGCTACACAAATATTATTTTGCTAGGTACTTACCATATTACATATGAAATGTGAATATTAAAAACATATATAATTATTTTAAATCTAAAATAAAATTCCATGCTTAACTATTTTAATGAAAATAATTTGTTTAAACTATTTTATTTCAATATACAAATAAAATTAGCAATATTGCCAAAAAAAAAAAAAAATGCATGCAATTATTTTCTTTTTGCCATGTGCAACAAATAAATAGTAATTCATATTATGTTTTTTGGTGGTCACAGAAAAACACATTATTAAAAATATTTATTTTTTTTCGTATGTGATATACTATGTTATTTGTAACAAATGGCAATCATTCATTTAAAAAAATATTACAATAAATTAAAAGGTAAAATCAACTAATCAAATAATTCAATAAACCAAATGTATATATTGGACAAAGTTATCTTATTACATGATAGGAACACACAATGGTGCATAAAATTACTTCGAGATGACTTTGGTGATAAACAGCTAAAATTTAATAACTGAAAAAAAAAAATACAGCTATTGAAAATTTAATAAAATAAAAATTATAAAAGCATATGTATATAAAAATAACAAAACTATTTTCTGCATAACCATTAAAGCAATAAATACATGTAATCTATAATTTAAAACACATTTAATGGTCAATGGTTTTAATTACCCAAAATCTTGATCAGACCCTTCATCATCATCATCATCATCTATAAATATATTAAATAAATAACAAAAATTAGTTTTAAATATTTTATGGGTAATTGCATTAGTTTATGAACTAAAATATAATTAAGAAATGTACATGTTTCTTTTTTGTTTCTACGAGTGTATGCCCGTCGCGAAGTTACTGGTCCAGGTTCAGCATCACCATGCATTAAACTATTTCTATAAATCACCCAGGGTTGCCAATCTTCACTGCGACTTGAGGGAACTGCAGATGTAATATGCTTATCCAAATAATTAAGACTAAAAAAAATACATAACAGTTTAATACAATTGTATAAATAACAATACAATGTTATGAACTTAAAACGTATGACATACACAATGCGTTTATCTTGTTTAAGTAGTTTGTTGGTGAATTCGGCTAATATTTCCAAAAATGCTACATGTGGAGGTGGTACTGATGGATCATCTTGAATAATTCCTTCATCTGTACCAACTGCAAATAATACACCTTCACGATGTAAAGCTGCCATTGCTTCACGATTTTTTAATGCATCCAAACCAAATGATAAAGCAAATCTTTTTGCTAATTCCTTAAGATTAAATAAAAATACAATCATATAGTAAATTTTAGTTAAATTAACTCTAGTTGAATTATACCTTCAAACTACTGAATTCCTGTGAAGTTCTTGATACACGGAATGTACCACAGTTAATTTGTAATTCTCTAAATGATGTGATTAAACTGACTACCATTGTTCTAGCACAAATTACTTTATTAATTTCACGAGCTTTTCCAATAGTTGTTTTAATAATATCTCCATACTCATTATATGACTAAAAATGAGCAATAACAGCATTAATTATTTAAATATAATCAATATTAAAAGTATACCTTGACATAATGCTTAAATATATCTGCGGCACAAGTAACAGGAATCATTCCATATACAATTAGTTTACAATAAGAGGCTAAAAAATTTCGTCTTTTATGTAATTCTTCAATTTTTGAATGTTCATCTTGAACACCTATTTATAACCAAATAAAAAATTAAACAAAAAATTTCTTGATTTAAAAAAAATTAAAAATATACTACATAAGATAATTTATTTATTACCTTCCTCTTCATAAACAAACACATTTTTTTGTATAAAATTATTTAACAGATCTTGAAGTTCTTTATCTGAATCATATACCAGATTTTCTAAAACTGGATCATGTTTAATACCCAATTGATTACAAAATACAACTAGTAAATCACATATTGATATGTAAGCCTATAAAAAAAAAATTAAATGTGTTAAAAATAAATGTTCTATTATTTAATGACTGACAAGTAAAACATTACCTCTTCTTTGAATAAAGGATTTGTAGAATGTGCTAAAATCCCACGGAGAACATCCATAAAATCAAAAAGTTTATTTTTAACTTGCAGCACCTGTTCTTCAATATTTTCATTACGTCCATTTTCCAAAATAGTTTCAATGCTGTGTAATTCCCACATTGTAGCAAACATACATGCAGAAATACTATATTTAATAGCCTTATGGAACATAAAAATTTATTAAATAAATTATAAAGGTACATTATAAAATAATATTACTTCTTCTGGTAATGGTTTTGAACCTTCATGGGCCATTTTTAAGTCTTTGAACAATATATCCCATAAATTCCATGGTCCCAAATTATGACATGCATAAAATATAGATATTTTTTTCATACTATTAACCACATTGTAGATTTCATCATCATCGGGTTTTTCATTCTAAATAATGTGTACAAAATTACATTAATGAATGAAAGTAAATTAGTAATTTTGTGTTAAAAAAATTTGCTTACTCCTTCAATAAGATTGTTCCAGTCATCCATAGCTTCTCTATGTTTATTTGTAATGGTATCCATTAGAGTACTTTTTTGAACACTACATCTGGTTGCTAATGTAGAATTGTTTTTCGAACAAAGTATTTCCAATGTTTTAGCACAAGTTTCAAGAACTTCATCATGCTGATGTTTATCAGTAACCAAATGTATTTTTTTAAGTAATAAATCTAAATTCTGTAAAAATAAAAAAATAAATAATACTTATAACTTATAAATAATAATCAATCTATTTACAGATTCTTGTCTTGATGTTGTATAAATATCCAAGTCAAAGTATTGAGGTATGGATAACAAATTAATTAGCTTGTCAGCATCTGCTCTATATTTATCAATTAATGGTGGTAATACTTTTATAAAATGTTCAGTAAGTCGCTGTTTGTCATCTTGCACTTGTTTAATTTCTTTTACAGACATCATCTAATTAATTATACAATTTTATTAGATTTTGGTATTTTTGTACACCTAATGATTATTATTATGGCACTATACAATTCATTATTTTAAATATTATAAATATATATGCAATTATTCTACTCATGAAATGTTAAATTTAATTAATATAAGATGATCTTGATTATTACTTTTCGATTCGGTCCTCGTCCAACAGGTGCTTCCCCAGTTGCGGCTTGTTTAATACAACATACCATTAACTCAATCAAACTAGTTTCTTGTCTATCGTCCATTCTCTCTTCACTTAGACCAGGTTCTTCTAATAATAAATCAGTCATGCATTCCCAATCTTTCATCATTTCATTAGAATCAATAAGAGAATCAACTAAATAAGCTCCATGTTCATGTAACTAAAGTCATTTAAAAATTAAAATTATATCTATATAATTAATAATTATTATATCTAATGACAAAATTTTACTTCAGATTCAATGAAAAACTGAACTAAATCTCTTATTAATGGTGTATTAAGTAAACGTTTTTTTCCTCGTTTTGTTCTCACAGTTTTTGTATCATCTTCAGGCTTAAATAAACGTTCATTTAAAAACTCCCCAGCAGCTTGAGCAACAGCACGATGTGAAGAATAAACAAGTTCATATACATGTTCACAGTCTTTATCAGATAAGATATCACGATGATGTCTAATTATATTAAATAAAATATTATTAATATTATGATAATTAGACTTAAACAATTTTTTAACATAAGTTATGTATATATGTACTTTAAAATACTGATGACCAATCTAACGGCTTGGACTGCTACATCATATTCTTTATCCAAAGTCATTGCAACAATTCTATCCTTAAATTTACTAGTGAAAAGTTCTAATTTACTTTTCAATTCTTCAGATGCATATAAAGGTTGCAATGCCTACAAACAATTATCAATTTTAAAAAGTTTATTAGTACTGTTTTTAAAAAAAAATAAATAGTTTAAAAGTTAAAAAAAGCCAAGCACAGTACAATTCGACTTAAACCATGCCTTAATTGTTCAATAATATTTATAGTATAATATTATAAATTATAAGTTCGAAAATTTGTTATGCATATACAAAAATAGAACATTCATATTTTATGTATTTTATAAATCTAGTTGTTTTAGATGCTGAATAGAGCGAGGAATGTATTGGTTTTATAAAAATCTATGTTTTTTCTTTGGAGAACAACTTTTCTACCTGGTATTTTGTTTCATTTTTCAAGTGTATCACTTTTTCTGAAACTGAGATTGGTACTTAAGAAAGGAAATTTTTTTTATTCTCCCAGGAGTTTTCATAATAAATAGGAAAAACTAAGATAATGTACCAAATTTATTATTTTCTAATGGTAAATATTACAGACTTTCAAAACATATATAACTCTGCACAACGTTTTTTGTAATCAAAGATTAATTTTTGCGTATAGATGTACATTAAATTTCCCTCTACATTCAACTTCTCACCTACAATGGCCCATTCATCATGAAAAGAATGTCAGTTTTTTTGTTTTAATTATGTTACATTTGTTATTTAATATGCAATATTATTCATTGTATTTTGAATAAAACAAAAATAAATTCATTACCTGCAAACATTTTAATCGCACTTCACCAACTTTATCATGCAAAGTCCAACCAATATACTTTAAATAAGAATCATCCAAAAAATTTTGATGGAACTTTTTCATCCAAACTCCAATTTCAGCCATACATATAGCTCTAATTTCAGGTAAAGTATCCCTATGGTTTTGAATTTAAAATAAAAATTATTATTTTTTAATTCATATTTCTTTTCTCATTACTTAGATTACCTGTATCTATGAACAAATACAGATTTAAACATATATGTTAACATATTTTTAATTTCATCCATATTTTCTTCAAGTTCTTGTCTTTTAGACATTAAAGTTTCTAAACGATCACTTGCTCTTTTGTCTCGAGCTTTCTGACGCTCAGCTTCATACTGACGTTGAGTGTTATCCAAATTTACAGAAACAATTAATGCAACATCTACCAGAGCAGTCATTAATTTCATAGCTGAAAATGATGGAGAATTATATTGTAAATATACTATTTACATTAATAGTAAGCAAATATAAAGTACCAGCAAGTGTAGCTGTATGTCTGAATGCTCGAACTTGAGAGTCTGATAATCCAGTTAAAAGAGATATCATGTTGTCCATTAAATATTGATCATATATAATAGAATATTGACATTGTTTAACAAGTTGAGCAACAAAATCACAAAAATTGGATCGAAATTTTTTCCATTGAATACCACTCATAATAAGAGGGTATTCTCCACTTTCCTAAAAGTAAAAATGGAAAAACACTTAATAAATACAAATATTAAAAAAAAATAACAGTAATAATTTTACTTCATCAAATTCTTCTGTCATTTTCCTAATAATAGCTGCATGTTCCATATTTTCAGACATAGCTGGTGTAATAACTCCTTTACAACCAGCAGCATTAATAAAGAATTGCATCAATACCAAAAGTGCATCATCTCTGTTTATTTTATATTGTTCAATCCAATCATCAACAGTAACCTAACTCCAAATAAAAATATTGCATCAATATTAAAAAAAAAAAAAAAATGCTTACAGTTACTATTACAACTACTATGACCATTTCACTCTTAAATCTAGCTTATATAAACACATTAACTAAGCAAAGATATATAGTGACTAACAGGAATACAATGAGTTTTGAAGAATTTAGTATTTAAGTCACTGAATTAAATTATCTTAAAATAAGGTAATGCTTAAATAACGATTCAGATATGTCATTATGTTGCATAATTTTTTGTTGTTTTTTCAATAACATTAATAAAACCCTACTTTGTATAGAGAAAAAAAATAATGATTTTATCAATAATAATATTTGGTTTGATTTTTTTTTTATGATTACGTCTGAATTTATATCTATAATATTTAAATAATAATAAAAACTAAATTATTTTACCTGTAAAGAAACACGGCCATTTCTTAATGAGCCATACAGAGTCAAATCATTTTCTAGTTGCAAATCTACAGGTTGTACTTGAACAGGCTGTTTTTTTGACCCTGGTGGTCTGCCAGGCGGTCTTCCTGGTTTTCTTTTTTCAGGTTTCTTTTCTGGAGGTGGTGATGGCGACAGAGTAGATTGCTGAGCAGGATATTGGGCTCCTACATTAGTAAGAACATAAGATAATTAAAGAATTATATTATTAGCGTATCATATGACATATATACCTCTGGTTCTTGCTCTAGTCATCCGACCACTGCTCGGTGAATCAACAATACCACCACTTGTAGATGGAATTTGATTTTCCAAATTTAAATTAGACATTGCATCATGAACTGGTATTTTAGGAGACTGGTGTCCCTGTACATTTACTTCTTCATTAATAGATGGAGATACATGAGGAGGGGCAATTTCATATGACATAGATTGTGATTGTTGAATAACTGGCATTTGTTCATAATGATTGTCTGATGTCGCAGGTTCTTGATAATGATCAATAAACGCATCAGATCTAGAAAAATAATGTTTTATAAATCAATATTAATTTTTATTTAGTAGATTATTTTTTTACCTTGGTGTTTGGACATTATGATAATTTGCATAAGGGTTGTAATGTTCCTGATAATCTGACCGACTAGGAGTCATGGGACTTGGATGAATAGAACTACCTGGGGTGGATGGAATATCATATTCCATTGGAGGAGGATCATCCATACGAATTCTTTTACCTATACTCCGATGCATGTTTGCTTTTTATCTGTACCTGGGTAACAACAAAACAAATATAAATTGTAATCAATTTTTTTATAGAATAAGAGACCTAATTTATGTACTGTGTTTCAAATTTGAGTTAAATTAATACAATACAATGTAATACTTTTAGTTTAAATTAAAATTCCCTTATCATATACAAAAATATCTATTGAACGTGTAGGTATCCAACATTTAAATGAGCATATTAAGTTATATTGACAGAAATATAAGTGCAAACAATTTACTAATTAACAATTTAATAGTTTATATAAAGATAAAAATTAATGATTATTTGTTATACTTTTACACTATTATAGGAACAACTAAACATGATTACTATCTAATATAAATAATATAACATAAGTAACATCACTTGATAATTTGATCAGAATACTACCACAGTACCTCTAAGTGACATAAGAGGTAACAAATGGGTTGTCAGGTGGACAAACGGTGTACAGTTTTGTCGAGATTATGAGATTATGAGTCAAAACAAGACTGGTGGATCATAGATGTGGGTGAGGACAACATGAGAGGAGGAATCATGGTACATGATCTTTGCAAATGATTTAGCTTTTATAGGAGAAAATCTAGAATAAGTTAACAATTGGCTTGATCAATGGAGAATACCACTTGAAGGAAAGAGACTAAGGATAAGTAAAAAAACCAGAGTAGAAATTTGGAGAAGCAGGACAAGACAGTTAGCATAATTTGATAATTTGGATTTTCAATAAATAGAAGATTCAAGTCATTATGGGAATTAATTATAACGGAGTTGATACATTATTAATTTAAATTATAGTATGGTGTTAATTTTGTTGTAGTAAATACAAAATATTAAATTAAAAATTATTGTTGATACATTATTTAAAAGTTAATCTTGTAAAATTATGTAAATTAAAGTAATAAAAAAATACAAATTGAATAATTAATATAAAGACAAATTTCGCGCTAAAACGCCTAAAACTACTATGGTAAGATATTACACATATTTACTTCTCTGATCGATTCAAAATGTTAGTTAAACGCAAAGAAACATGCTTTGTTAAATACACTAATACTTTATGCCGTTTACACCATTAGATATAAAAATAACAAATTACAGTAAACTATATTTGTAAATTGTAACTGTTGTCATATAACACGACGATAATATTATATTATAATAAATAATACTATCAGCGTCATATTATGCTGCCACCTTTTTAATTTTGATCGCGGTTTTGATAGAAATATGTAATTATCTTTGTTTACGAAGCAACAGCACTTGTACTATGATATAATTAACATGATATAATCATAAACATGTTTATGGGTATGACAGCAACTTCAACGAAACTATGATACTACCATAGACTTAAGGTTTATGGATACTACCGTGTTAATGGAATAAACAATATTTTATCAACTATGCCATGAAATATGACGTCACTTGGTCCAGTCTAAATTCTATTTAAAATCGAAAAAAGCGGCAATATTATAATTTATTAAGATAAGACTATTTTCGTATCTTAGAATAAATTGTCTAATATCATGATATATATGCATATTGTATATGTATACAGAGTGATTTTCGCAATTGAGCAAGACATGCTAAAAATACAACAAAAAAAAAATACATATAATCATGTACATCCATAATCCATAATCCATAATTTGTGTTTAAAAATTGACAAACTGTGTTATTTTGTTAAAAATATCAGTGTTTATAATTATATTATGTTTATACCAACTCGTGCTAAAATGTTAAAATTTTTATAATTGTATTGTTCTCAACAACATTTACTTTTTATTTTTCTCTCATACTTAGAGTTTTGAAAGTTGAAATGCGTTAATTTATTTATTAGTTATTATTAATTGTATTTAACTATGGTTAAAATCAGTAAAATTTGGTGTCATTTTGATAAAGTAGACAAATAATCAGCCAATTATAGAATGTGTGGTAAAATTTGCCCTAGTACAGGAAATAAAACTAATTTTTATGCTCATCTAAAATATCTCTACATAAAATTTGCTGGAACCCTAGACATGTGTCTCAAAATATCATAGATGATGTTGATGAAATTGATCTCCATGGAACCAAGAGCAAGAAAAACACATATATACCGGAGTCCACAGATATCTAAACGTCGAAAAAAATTTTAATATTTGGTATAGATATATTATAATCGACGGATGTAAGCTTGAATATAGATAATTTGATATATCGAAGTAATGACGATTTTTGCCATCCCTAATACTATAAAGTTAAGACCATGACTGGGTGGCTGACAAGTTTTCGTTCTTTTTCTTTTTCTTCCTTAACTTATCGACGTTCTTCAGTTAATTCAATAATTTGGAATTTGTGTAAAGATAATTTTAAAATTAATTAGGTATCTTAAAAATCACAAGACCAAAAATATTAAATTTAAAGCCTAGTATAAATACATTTATTATTTACCTTTATACATTATATTTTAAACTTTAATAACTAGTATTTATATAAGTTTTGAACATTTAATATGCATGAACTAATATACAATCTATAGTATTCTTTGCCTATTTATTTAATATTATTATTAAATAATTATTAATTATTAATTATTTTTAAATTAATTAATCCCGGAATATAATATTATGATAAAAGAAATTTTTTCTAAATAATTTATCATATTATAATTTTATATTAACAACATTGTGTATAATTATTAGAAAAATTAAGGGTTTTCAGCAATTACAATATAATATTAAGTTATCAACTAAAATTTGAAAGCTCAAAATAATTATTTTTTGTGCTTACATTTAATCCTTTTACTTCTAGAAGTACTATTACATTCTTTAAATATAACATAAAATAGTTCAAATATCATCAAGTTTATTATACTAAGAGATAAAGAAAAAAAACATAATATAGAACACATTTAAAATTATTATTATTATTTATACATAACATCTTTATTAAGCAGACTGCTCACCTTGTGAGTTGCCAAAAGACAGTGTACATATTCAATATCGATATTCATAGGACTGTTATTTTCTAAAGTTTAATATAATCTAAAATATAATTTTATAGTAAATAAATAAATTAAATAAATATATTTTCTTAATAATATTTGTTTAATATTGTACCGATTTTCCTAAGTTTTATCCCGGTTTTTTACATGTGCTGGGAAAACTCCTAAGAAAATCGAAAAACGACCTATTTAAAGTACTTCCCTAGTGAAATTTCCTTTTAGAAACATTTCTATCATTAAAAGTCTAAGCAAAATTGCTGGTAGAAAAGTTGTTAACAGAAAAAAAAACAACTTTGCTCCACTCAGAATCTGTTGCAGTGAAAAAGTCAACAAACACAGGTGAAATGTTTTTCAAATTAATAAACAATATATTGGATCAAAGTTTTTAGTTTTAATATTGAATATAAAAGAATAATAAATATCCAATTAATTATACCAGATCTTTCAGAAGTCCTTTTTCCGGGCTTTCACTTAAATTGTAGTCTTTTTTTGTTGTTTTAAGTGATGTTGATGTCATCAATGATGGTAATTTCTTGGTTAATTTACGTTGCTTACTTTTATTTGTTTCAATTAAGTCTTGTTCAGAACATTTTCGTTTTACTTTATTTTTTGGTTTCTTATCAAGATTTGATTTTACTTCATTTTGTCTTGCCATACTTGGGCTTGCAAGGGATTCCAAAGCAAAATTTAATGTTGCGGTTTTATTATCACTTTTATTTTTAGTCAATTCGTTAACAATATGTCTCCAAGTCCTCGGGATACCACCAACTTCTAAAAATACATGATATAATTCATTTGGAGATCCACCAATAATATTGCCAATTAAATTGTATATTCCATTTGTAGTTTTAATCAAATTATTTTCCATTCTTCCTTCTAAAAATCCAGCATCATGAAACCTTTCTTCTATTGTAATTTGATTATCACTTAATAAACTTCCTAAAAATTAAATACAACCAAATAATTATATTATAATTAAATACATATACATTATAATAACAAAAACAAATTGTATTACCTGTTATAGCCAAAAGAACTTTAGTTTTGTAAACTGACTTTATACGTTTCATATTTACAGACCACTTAGATAAGTATTTTTCCCCATTCCCCAAACAAGTTGGCTTATCACTGTTTTTAGACATGTTACTTTCGTCAGTCTTCCTACAAATATTTTTAAAACCTACATTATCTAGAAGACATTCTATGGAATTACTGTAATCATCTTTTTGTGAACCTTCTAATTTATTCTCAATTACAGGTACATCAGGATAAAAATTACGTTTAGGTGGTATGTTTTGGACTGAAACATGAGTAGACTGATTATTTGTAGAATTTGTTAAAGTAACTGAAGTACTAGGTAGGCTTTCTTCTTGGACTTTTTCATTTATAGTGGGACATAAAACATGAGGCTGAAAAGAACTTGTCGAACATGTATTATCATTATGAGATAACTGCATTATTGGTTGCATGTTACCTTTTCGGTTTTGAGGCAGATTATTAGACTGTACATTAGGTTCTGGTACTTTAAATGCTCTTCTGCTGTTAGAACCAATCACAGACATATTTGTTTGTGGAATGTACAGACTTGATGATGACCTAATGATTCGTGAGATATTTGAACCATTGCGATGACCTTCTTGTATGATACGTTTTGTACGTTTTAAAAATTTGGAAAATTCAGCATTAAATTTTTGGTGAGGTTGTACTTTTAAAAATTCAGTTAATATATTCTGCAAAGCAGCTGTTTTTTCTTCTAAAATGTCTTTAAAAAGTAAAACCTCAATTTGCATTGGTAGTGGTTTAAGTACTAAAGGCAATCTAAATGTTGAATCCATTATGGTTCTTTATGGTTCCTATAAAAAATAAAATTATAGATTACATTTATTTTTTTTCTTTGTATCATAAAGAACTACTTAAAATTAACTATAAATAGCTTAAAAATGGCTAAAAATATTTTTAACTGATATACAACAAAAAAACAAAATTGAAAATAATTAATTTGTAAATTTTCCTACATTTTGTCAAATTAATAAGAAAACCTCTTGAAAAATCAAAAAACGACCTCATTAAAGTACCACCCAGATAAAATTTCCTTTCACAAAAGGTGTTACACTTGAAAATCGAATCAAGTTTTAAGATAGAAAAGTTGTTCCCAGAAAAAAAAAACACTATAAAACCCATACATACATTTCTTGATTCTCAGAATCTAAAATACAAAACTTCCATCCAAATTTCTAAATTTTCCAGTAAATTTTTAAAAAATTTTCTTTCATTCCAATCTTGTTCTGACAATTACGAACACAACAGGAAAAAAAAAAAGAGTTGAAATTGGGGATGGGTGTGGCCACTGTTGTAGGTGAGAAGTTAGTAAGGTAGGATACATAAGGTTATTTCATTTATATTTGTAAGCAACACCAAACTTGACAAAAGACGATTCCGAGCGTAGTTCGGTAATACATAATTTGAAGTGCAGTAATTTGTTTTGCGATTTTCGTTTAAATTTGATTTCAAAACGCTTGTTAAAAAAAAAAGTCCGATAATTTTTATAAAATAATGAAACTGTCAGTCTTTAGATCGACTTAAGTCAATTTTAGGGGAAAGTTTAACTTGAATGTTTTATTAAATATTTTTCCCATTATCATAATGTTTTTTTTTCAAAAAGAAATTAAAATGCATGAATAGAGGATACATAAAGTTATTTCGGTTATACCTATACATAACGATAAACCACTACTAACGAAAAACGATACATAGCGTAGTTCGGTAAGACTTATTAATTTTAAATGCCATCATTATTACGATATTCATCAAAATTTGATCTTAAAACGCTTATGAAGAAAAAAACTAAAGTATTGGTCTCAAATTTGTTTTTTAGACCACTTTATAATGTCCATTGTATTAAATTTTAGAACATTTCTTATTTGTGATATAATTTTGATAACAGTAACCAGTTAACAGATAACCTAACATAACTTAACCTACCAAATGGAAAAACACGAAAATATCAAATACCAATAGCCTCAAAATAGTTGTTTTGAAAATTTTACCATATCTACAAAAGGCCGATATTCGTACTTTGTTGAAAACCATAGGTCACTATAAAAATTTTTAACCGAAAAACAACAAAATACCCAAATGCCACACATTTCGGCGTTTTTTTTCCAATTTCTCGTAATTATAAAGAAAATTATACGAAAAATCAAACAACGATTATTCATACTCACAAACTAGACAAAATTTACTGAAAATATACTATTTTTGAAATTTTGATAAAAATGTTTAGTAAAAAAATATAATCTTAAAAATGATTATTAATAATAAAACCATTGTGCAATAATTTGAAGAAATTTTATTATTCGTCTTTTTTGGTTTTTCCCAATTAATATGAAAACTACTTTAGACATCAAAAAAGACGTTCTAGGATAATGGAGACGGGTGCAACCACTGTTATAAATGATTTCATGTATACCTGTAAGCAACGATAATCCATTGAAAAAACAATTCTGAGCGAAATTCAGTTGATAGTGATACTTTGTTAACAACATATGTCATTTTATTTTAAAATAATTAAATAGGCTTTATATATTTACTTTAATAATAATTGTTTAATGTTGTACCGATTTTCCCAATTTCCCTACGTTTTTACCGGTTTTTCATATTTGCTGGGGAAACTCTTGAGAAAATTGAAAAACGACCTCTTCTAAGTATCTACCTGGTGACATTTTCTTTTAGAAAAATTGCTATCATTATAAGTTGTTAACAGGAAAAAAAAACAGTAATATATATCGTTTTTTTTTTCGTTTTTTCAATTTTATGAGAAAACTCCTGAGAAAATCGAAAAATAACCTCCATTAAGTACCTTCCCAACCGATTTCCTATATAAAAAGATGGTACACTTAGAAATCAGAGCAAGTCTTCAGGTAGAAAACTTGTTAACAGATAAAAATACAAAAAAAAAATCTTTGTAAAACCATAAGCTTTTTCGCACCACTCGGAAACTAAAATTACTGTCTTTGACAATGACTATTAAGTGCGCTCGTAGAAATATAAACGGGGGGAGAGAGACAAAGTTAAAAGTATACGATTTTTTTTTTTATAACTTACAACTTACAAGTAATCATGGCTGAATTATTTAAGCCATGCTAGTAATAAAACAATTAATATTTAATATTAACTAATATAGCGAGGGGGACATGGCTCCACCAGTACCCCCTGCGGGTACTCTGGATGGCTATATCATATTAAAGGAACAAAATCAATATCTCATCATTTTTCGATTGGAGCAAGATTTTTTGTAGAAAAGATCTCTTGCTACGCTCCGAATCTAAAATCGGCCAAATCGGTTTATCAATTTTCAAGATATCTATATGCTTACCAACGAAAATAAGCTTTCATTTATAGATAAATTTTATATACATATAAATATTAAATTTGAATAATAAAACAACGAATATGTGAAACATAGGATTAACCCTTAAAAGTAACATTAAATGGGTATTTTAATAATGTACAAATGAGTAATTTCACGGTGGAGGAGAGATGTTTTAAAAAAATATCTTTAGATTATTGCATACCTCTCTTCAAAATTCTAACACAATTTTTCTTTATAATATATAGTTAGGTACTTTATAATGTAGTCATTATTGATAATAGCTTTTAATCCATACACTATGTCAAACATTTTGATAAGTGATAGCAATAATCGTTATTGTTATTGTCATAACAAGACAGCTCTTTATTTTGCGTCTTTTGGGATACCTAGTGTTTATGTTTACCTGCACTCACTAATTTCTAGAATATATTGATAACAATTTCTGTTCCCCAATCGTATCTGTTTATTGGTATCTACTTAGGAGTAAAAAAAAATATGGTCATATTATCATTGTCATCAAAAATCGTACATAAATAATTTAAAATATGTTAGTCGGCTATAAAAATAAAACTAGAGTATAAAGACACGGTCGAGCCGGGGTGTTTGATCCTAAACCACCCACCGCCCTTTCTCAATTCGTCTATATAAGTACCAATATTAAATTGCCTAAATACTTTACTACTACGTTGTTTTTTAGTAAAACAATTATTATACTTGGGCTATCTATATTTAATTATAATAATATACTGACCTTTGTCCTAGGGTGTGCTATAAAATATATTGAATTTATTGAGTTGTTTTTCATAAGCCTGTGGATTCACAGTTGTCTACCTCTAGACTTGTGAGTGAGATATTATATTATTAATTTGTGTGAGAAGTAAGGGACACAGCTATTGAGTTATTGGTGAGTGACTACCACGGCCCACGAAAATAAAATTTGTGTTTCCTATGATGAAATAATGACGTCATTCAATCGATATGTCCACCTCCACACACTACTTCTTTTATACACAAGCGCGCTCTATCCACACGAAATTTTTATCTCGATTATCCTTACAGATATTGTATAACATATCTGTGTTGAACTCTTGTACGAATACATGTCCGTAATCTCATATAATATACATAATATTATATATTATATTTGTGATTATTATTTATTAAAGGGGCGTTATTCCAAGTAAAATGAGGGAATATAAGGTTGACATTTTTTTGTTTTAGATTCGGAGCGTAGCGAGGAATCTATTAGATTTACTAAATGTTTTTTTTTTTTATAACATCTACTCTAAAAGGTAATTTTCTCTTGTTGGTACATTGGGAAAGTTATTTTTTGATTTTCCAAGGGGTTTTCGAAATAATTGGGAAAAATCGAAAGAAAAGTATATGTAAAACGGCAAATATTTACGGTGCGCTGCGGCGTTATCGTTTTTTATTATGTTAACACGATGTTTTCTACCAGAAATATTGATCCAATACAAAAATGAAAATGGATTGATTTTGTTCCTTATAGTATTTCGCTGCTGACAGAGAAATTCATTTTTCGATATCTAAAGTAGTTTTTCTTATAAATGGGACACACCAAAAAATCACAAATTTGCAAGTTTTATACGTACCTAATTTTTATTCGGTGGGTAAGTGCTTTGTGGATAAAATTTGTTAGACTAAACAGAAATGTTTGAAAATTTAATAGATGGTTCCTTAAATGTAGTAATTTGTGGTAAAAAAGAAAATTAAGCTTTATGTATTTTTTTTTATAAAGAAATTTTAATATAAAATTTTGACGAAAATCGTTTAAGTAAACAATTATGTGGGACAAATCTATAGCACTGGTCTGTGCATATTCTAAAATTTTTTTTTGTTTTGATCATATAAGCTTTATGAACATATATTGCCGGCGTATTTATGGGGGGGAAGCTAAGTGGGCTGCAGCCCCCCCTCCAGTGACTGCACCCGTCACCAATATCGATTCTTATTTATTTTTTTTATATTAACATGTCGATATGCACCGTTCACGTAGGTTGTATCAAAATAAACCACTAGATTTTGCTATTAAATTCAATTTAAAATTCGGCTAAATGTTTGCTTAATTGTTCAAAACTCTACAAACTTTCCATATCTTTCTTTTCTGGTAAAAATGTTAAAGAATCAAGTTTGGCACAATAAAATCAAAATCCATTAATCAACTGAAATTCGAAGTTTACAAAAAGTTAAAATTATATTCTAGAAATTCGATGAACATTTTACCAAATCGGAAATGCTAACAAATCATCGCCATGTTTATTGTTATTTGTGTTTACTTGTTTTTACTGCTGTTCACTTCAAAATAATTTTAATTAAAGAGTTAGGTAGATACTAAATATTTTATCATTTTTAAAAATCTTTATTTAGTTGAGTTCTCTTTTTTTGTAAGGAAAAACCATTTGAGTGACATAATCGTTAATCTTATTTAAATAATTTAATTTTAAAATTTAAATCCATAAAATGGATAAATTATATAAATTTGTATCTTTCGTAAGGCGAAATGTGCGAGTATGCGTCTATGACGTAGAATTGTAATTGAATGAAAAAAAAAAAAACGGCGGATACCGAAAAAATATTAACAATAAAGCAACACAGAAAAACATTTACAGATTACGTTTATTTCAGTTCATATTTTGTAGATTGTTAACTACTGGCATTAGGATGAGTCGAGTAGGTATTCCTAAGTACGATTATCGCACGGAATTTCTCGTTGAACTGATATCATAAAATCCAAATTGGTATCACAAACCGCGTACTGGTATGACATGTCGGCTTCAACATCATACCGATTTTTTTTTTACATATCGGTATGTACTGTATCGATCAGTTTTAGTATACCGGTATGTATAAATCGGAATCAACAAGGTCTATGCCAGTTTGGTTTTACCGAATTTCTATATTAATTCCTTGTACGTAGATTTCAGGGGCGCTCACGAATTGCCTCAGATCTGACCCTCGAATCGGCTCCCGTGAATTTTTTTAAAAGGTTACTCAAATTGCTTCCCGATTTCAAAAATATCAATATAAATACAATATGATGAAATATTCTAAAAAATATTTTAATATTCTCAAAATATTCCTAATATTATTAAAATATTTTTATTTTTTTATAAAATATTAATAAAAAAATCACTGATTGTTATTAAATTCTTAAATCGCAGATAACAGATTCTATTTTTTTTTTTCATCGGTGTATCGTAGGTTCGTTATCAGTATAAAAATATATTTGCTCATGAGTTTACAAACAATACAATTTATCACGGTAAATGACTGAATCGGTGACTAAATATAAACTAAACTAAAAGCTTGACGATATTTCAGACTTCAGTACGGTTATGGTCTTTGCTGGGAAACGACACGCTTTAATTGTTCGCTTACTTATCTTCTACTCTCATTGCCGTCGGTTGTCTTTGACCCGTTTCCATTGTCAATCTTATCGTTTTCGTTGCTATAATATATTGTTTTAATAGTTATGTAACAATTTTGTTTTAAAACACTATACGCCGCGACGTTACCGATTTCATTATTTCAAATTTTTATCATTTATGTTTTCGACCAGAAATCTTGCTCTAATTTAAAAATGTCAAGAGACCTTTTTTTTGTTTTATTTCAGATGTGGTTGACCAGTAGGTTATTTTTATTTTCTAAGCGGTTTTCAGATATATTCTATATAGTTAACAAAATTATTTGGTAAATGTCGAAATAAAAATCTGTGTAAAAATTAGAACATTTAAAATATATTTTATAATTACTTAACAAATTGCCATACATAAAAAGACGGACATACTTTGCACGATGGGTCACTGTTGTAGATGAGAAGTTAGAAAGGTCCTACCTTTCCACGAGAGAAATGTAATGTACTTATATCATCTTTACGCAAAAATTAATCATTGCTAACTAAAAATTGAAAACTAGGCAAAATTTCCTTACAGAAAAGGTAATTCACTCTATAAATCAGGGCAAGATGTCTTTTCGAAAAATTGTTTACAGACAGAAAAAAAAAGTGCACATCATAATATATGACTAAATTATTAAAGCAAAACCAATAGATCCTTCGTTACGCTCTAAAACAATAATAATGAACTGATTTTTTTCTTTAAAGGGAAAATTCTTAAGAGGTAAAGGAATATTTTCATAATATAATTCCTCTTTCCCGTAAACGTTCCGTGGAGAAGTCACTATTTCCTAGTGACACACACACACACATTCTTCAGCACGCCAAGGTTTGGATTGAACTGGCGAGCTACCGAGAAAATTTCGGTGGACCACGTAAAACCATATTTATTTTTAATAATTTGATTTAGGTAAATTTTTGATCTATTTTGAATAATTCTGCCAGTTTCGGGCCAGTGAAAATCCTAAAAACTCGGTAGACCGATACATTCCCTATCCAACGCTGAACACGCTATCTTAATTAGTCTAAGTGTACCTATATTAGGTATAATAATGAAAGACATTTACTGTAACTTAAATAACAAAACCTATTACATCTAAATTTGTAAGCTCAAAAATATTTTAACTTTTTGGTATAGTAAAATAACTAATTAGGGATTATTAATAGGTCAACAAATTATTAATAATTGTGTTAGAGAACATTGCACACTAATGGTTCTTTGTCTTACATACGCGATACGAAACTGAGCTATAATACTACCTTCGTACTACAACCTATTTGTATACTGTTTATCTATAAGTAAAAGTATAATATCAGAACAAATTAACTGATGATCAAATTTGTAGAGTAGAATTCACCTGCTCGTAGTTTTTTCATATTTTTATTTTAATATGAATTGGGTATTCTGTGATTGAAATTGCGTGTGTTAGAGACAATAAATGGGTATCATGTCAAATACTGTGTACACAAATTCGACCAATAATTTTAATCAGATAAAAACAGCATTATTTCTGAAAGAGAATATTACCCAGATGGTACTTTTGGGAGGTTTTTTTTTGATTATCCAAGCAGGTTTCATAATGTCTGGGAAAAACCAGGATAAAACGTAAGAAAAACGGAAAATTTCCGATGAAAATAATGCTTTTATTAATTGTTTAATTTTGTTATTTTTTGTAGTTCACTTAAAAATATTCGTAGAGACTTGAAATTTGAACAGAAAACTTATGTTTGCATTTTCTAGACGTAGTAAAATGTTCAAAAAAATTAAGCCATTTTCGAGCTATTTATAGACATTTTAATTTTGAGAGTTTTGTATCTAATATTTATTCAGTAGGTACTCTGTAGTAAAATTGTTAGACTTGAACAGAAATGCTTCAAAATTTAACAGAAGTTCATTGAGACCCTAAAAAAAAATTGAATTTAATGTAGTATATTTTTAATAAGGAATTTTTATATCAAATTTTGACGAAAAACTTAAGTGGAATAAATCTAATTTTCCAATTTTTTTTTTTTACATATGTATATTGCCGATTTAAGAACGATAGTGAAGTCAAAATTAAGCGGACTGTCTAAGTTTCGAAATTATAGCTTTTTGAAGTTCTGATATTATGCGGATATTATATGTTATGTTAAATAACTCTATATTGTCCTTGTTAAAGCGTATTTATCGTGATCTAATAGTTATTTATGCCTATTATTATCCTAGGGGTATCAAGTTCAAAAACCAGTGAGAAGAAAAAAAATATTTCGCATTCTTTTGCCCTTTTAACTAAACAAGGAAAAAATCAAATACATTTTAGATGTACCTAGAGACCCAAGCTATCACTCCCTCATACTATTTTAATCGCAAAATACCTCTCGATTAGTTGTGCAAAATTTTTACCAGAAATCTTGCTCCGATGTATGAAGTGTAGCTTATTTTCAGAAAGGAAATTTTATCTCCATGGTAATTTAAAGAAGTCGTTTTTTGATTTTTCAAGCGGTTTTCATAATATCTAGGAAAAACCGGGATAAAATGTCAGAAAAATGGAAAATGTACAAAATGTAGGATTAGTAAAAATTATTATTCTTTTTTCTGTGTACAACTTTTTTACCAGTAATTTCACTCCGATTTAAAATGATAGCACTTTTTCTGAAAGGAAATCTGACTGAGAAGGTATTTAAAGCAAGTAAATTTTCGATTTTCCTAGGAGTATTCCTAATAAATGGAAAACATTGTGAAGAAACATGAGAAAATTGGTACAATATTAAACAAATATTATTAAAGAAAATAAATAATGCCTCTTTTATTATTTTACTATAATATGACATATATATTGTTGACAAAGAATCAACTGAACTGCGCTCAGAATCATTTTTTTGTTAGCAATGATTAATTGTTGCTTACAGATATAGGTACATTAAAAATTACCTTTAACAGTGGCTGTACCCGTCTCCATTATCCTAGGATGTCTTTTTAATTATTATATTTAATTTTTAGATTTTAATAACCGATGTATTACTAAACGCGTATAATAATAGTAATTTTAAAATAATATAGTTTAGCTGTTTTAAACATTTGCTATTATATCTTTTTGTTATTTTGGTTTCGCGGTCATGATGGTGACTCCAACAATTGAGTGTGCTAGTTGTAGTTAGTATACTCTAAATATTGTTTTTCAAACATTTCCTCCTTATTTATTCTTATAGTTTCAAAGACCACTAAATTGTCGAAATGAATAGTAAATGAGTAGGAGAAATATGAATGGATAAATTATAAACAAATATCAAACATTTCATTTAATACATATCAATGAAGACTAATATGTTATGGAATGGTTTTTTTTACACTGCAAAAATCAAGAGTTGATTTTATTGTTCATCGATTCTAATAATAATTAATTTCAATTAAAAGACTATACCGTTAATTGTGTCTGATTAAAATGAGATCGTTGACTGTGCGCAGAGGGGAGATTTATTTGAAGTGTCTAATTAAGTCACTGCGTGTGCCGTTGCGTTTCACTAATATTGGGGGACCTAGCTTTTAAATATAATAACCACGGCTGTGTTACTGACAACATTTAACTTTAACCATGCAGTACATACCAAATGTGTGTTTAGCTACGGTCATAATAGTACAATACATTCTGCTCTATGGGCTGTACGAGTATATACGCGAAGTGGATATTAAGTGTTCGGCATTGGAGACAACTAGCCATCGGACGCGTAGGGATGTAAACATCGCTGAAAATTCAGTGTCTTCCAAAACTTCAGGAGAAGGAGAAAAAGTGGAGTTTATCAATCCAAATTTCCGGCCTATTGTGGAAAAAGAAACCATCGCCAAAAGTGAACAATCAAACGGTACCAAAGAGGAATGGTATTGGCTAAACGCTTATTCAAGAATACCAGTAAGCATTTTTTTTAAATAATATGTAGTTTTTTTTAGTAAAAATTTTACTAAAAACATATTTTTAGATAGCTGCTCTACAAGGATTTTGTGCGTCTACTAGAGACTATTGTCCTCCAGGGAAAGAAGGACCTATTGGTCCTCAAGGAGAACCTGGTCCGAAAGGAATACCAGGTGCCAAAGGTAAACTATTTACAAAAAAAAAAATTAACTGTAAATTAACTGTAGTACCTAGATAGAGAAATATAATATAAAAACGAAAAGTTTACACTATAATGTTTATACAAAAAGTACTTGCTGCGCAAGTACTTTATAAGAAGATAGTTTCTTAATTTTAAAAACGTTTGATTCTATTATATATTTTATTAGATACTTTTTCAAATCAACTAATCAATTAAAGGGTAAACATAAAAGTAAATATATATCTTTCTTTAAGCCATAATTTATAATTATCTACTAATTAGTGCCTAGTTTTGTATCATAGAAACATAAATACATTTTCTTCTATTAATTAGAAGATGATTTATTTAATTGTAATGTAATACAAATGATTTCTTTGATTATTTGTATTTTAGGAGATGAAGGACGTAAAGGTCCTATAGGTGTTGAAGGTCCGAAAGGTCCAACAGGATTACCAGGACCGGTTCGTAGGTGTCATGATATTTAAATCAGCATCAAACCATACATATCTACACAGTATGTACATAATATAATAAAATGTAACATTTTAAATTATAGGTGGGCCCAAAAGGACAAAAAGGTGATACTGGTAAAACAGGGAATTCCGGTAAGCATAATCAATACTATATATTATAATTATGATTAGTAATACATTATTTTGATAACTAGTTGTTTGTGATAAAAACTTAAGTACCAGGTGATTCGTTAAAGTGGGTACACTCATTATCTCCGAAAATATTAACATTTTTCGGAATTTATTTGCTAGAATATTAAGGAAACAAGCTGCTCTATAATTTTATATTTATGTTATTTTTGTTACCCTCACTTTTGGGGGTAAAACAGCTACCTACTTTTGACTTTCAAATGGCACCCTATATTAAAAAGGCTATAAATAAGATGGAGTATTAATTAAAATAAATTTCAGTTTTGGTTTCTGTCAAGCCGTTAACGAGATATTCCACTTTAAAGTTTGGGTTGGAGGAGAGAAGTGGAGCAATATTAATACACCACGCGCCGTACCGCCACACAAATGATACTTCATTACTCTTATGCAACTCAAACTTAAAAGACAGTGGAATATTTCGTCAACGAATTGACGGAAATAAAAAATGTCAACACTAAAATTTATTTTAACTAGTACTTCATCTATTTATGGACTTTTATAGGTTGCCATTTGGAATTCAAAAGTAGGTAGAGGTTTTGCCCCCAAAAATGAGGGTGCCAAAAATAAAATAAATATAAAATTATAGAGCAGGTTGTTTCCTTAATGTTCTAGAAAACAAATTCCAGAAAAAGTTAATACTCTCCGAGATGATGAGAGTATGTCTACTTAAATGAATTACCTAATATGTCACTATTTAATTCATGCCATGTTGTGACATAACTTATACATGCCTAATTTAGTTTTAAATTTGAATTGTACGTTTCTAAATAGTCAACTTGTACTTTCATAATATGGTTGATACTTTACAGTTTTCTGTATCTATTAAGTTGGTGCTAAGTAAATTAAATATTATAAAAAAAATAGTACAATGTATGTATATAATTTCCATTTAAAGTTAGATTATTTTATTAGCAATAACAATAAATTAATATACCTAAACCTATGCCTAGGTATTTTAATATCATACAATTATCTTTAATTGTTTGATTTGGTATCGTTTTAGTATGTAGGACGTAGGTACTCTACTACTATAACTTACATACCTACCTGAATTATTCAAAGAATACAATTATATTAATTTTGTTTATTAGTTATCACAGTCAAGTAATTTAAATATTTAATATTTTGTATTTTAATTTCGCTTAAGCTTTATTGTTAGTTTATTATTTGTTACAATTCAATTGAATTTAGTTAAATGTTATAAAATCAATAAAACTTATACGTAATATTTTTAATATTTTTGTTGATATATTTAGGTTTAGATGGGCGCGATGGCATTCCAGGTTCTCCTGGTTTAGACGGAGTACCCGGAAAAAATGGTTTTGATGGTTTGTAAATATATTAGTATAATTATACTTGTATATATATTTCAGATTAATTATCAGTAAAAGTAGTAGTTACCAAATTAGTAGTTAAACTTTATACTTAACTTTAACTTTTAACTGACCAACAATATTTAATTTTTAATTTTTTTTTTAACTACCTACTTACCTATATATACTAGGTAAGTAAACTATATTATACAATTACGATATACTAATTATAACTAGGTAATGAACTTGAAAAAAAAATAGCTAATCAAGGATGTATCCCCCATTACTTATTTTTCTTAAATATTTATAATAATACATTATCTTATATTATATCTCTATAGTTATAAAACAAAATTATATAAATAAGAATAGCTCTTCAAAATTATCCGTTTCCCCATCATTATAAAATCATTCGAACGCAACTTTAGCTTATATTAAAAATTCTATAAGGAGATAGAGTATTACATAGTTATATTTTTGTGTTTTCAATTTCTGTCAACTCATTGACGAATTATAACACTTTTAAGTTTAATTAGTGAGAGAGTGGAGTAACATTATTAAAACGCCTTTCGCTGTGCCAGCGACAGACACAAATGATGCACCGCTACTTTTCCCTGAACATTGTCAATACTTAAAACTAGAATATCTTATCTTTTATTATAGATTGTTATTTGAAAATTAAAAATAAATAGTGGTTTCACACCTTGAAGTAAGTAACAAAATAATTTTAATGTAACATTTTAAAGCTACTTCTTTCTTAAATGTTCTGAAGGACAAATTTCGAAAAAAGTTAATATTTTCCGAGATGAACTTTTCGAGTGTCTTATGAGTATAAAATATTATTATAAATATCCAAAAGGAAACCGTTATGCGGAGAGATATTTCTTCCCCCCCCCTTTGTTTGACTGTTCCTGTGGCAATACCTATTTATTTATTTATAGACTAGTTAAGTATGGGTAAATTTTGAAATAATGTTTGATAGATGTTGTTAAACAGTAATAGAGTATAATTAAAGATGAGGTTTGCATACAAAATTTGAAATAATTTTATTTAAACTTTTTTTTTTGTAATTTTTGTTGAAAAACATAATATGAAAATAGAATATCTATAAAATGATAGTAATGTAAAATCTAATCGCCGCCGATTGTTTCATAAAAATAACTTTCAAACAACTCTTAGGTTTAGTTAAACTAAATAAATATTCAAAAATAATAGATTCGTTCAAATAAAATATTTTCCAAAATAATATGATTGTATTACAATAAATATTATTGATTTTTAATAGTCTTACACGTATCCTTAATTTAACTAAAGAAATTCATTATTTCAAATACGCTGATGTATTCACTGTGGTGTGGTTGAATAGCTTTTTGGACTCTCAGGTTACATAGAATAATGAAAAAAGGTTTCCGGGCAGGGTTATTTAAAAATACTAATTTGAAAGTCTTATTTTATAAACATTTAATTAGTATATTAAATGTTACATAAAATTGTAAAAATTACAATTGCATATTGGTAAAATACCTAATGGCTAATGCAATTTTCTTTATTGGATATTGTTCACTATTTTTTCGATTTGCACAACAAAATTTCTTATACCCGCTCTAAACATATGACAAAACATAGTCGACATAAAATAAATACAATTACAGAATGTATACAATTTTAAGGAGATAAAATGTCAAATAATCAATTAAATTTTTCGTACTTATAGAGCGGGCAATATGAAATACACTCTCCGACAAGCCGGTTGCCAACCCCTGAAATACACTAGAGTGTATGATAATAAATAATAACGATATGTGCTTTTAATTATAATTAATCAAATTAATTTTGATACCTATTTCCGTGAATGTATTGTAAATTGTTTAATTAAATTATTGACATTAGGGATTCCTGGTGTTAATGGAGCACCCGGAAAGGATGCAACATGTTTTAATGGTACTGATGGAAAACCTGGTGAAACGGGACCAATTGGACCACCGGGTCCAATAGGCCCAAAAGGTTGGTTATTATTATTATAAATTAATAATTAAAATATTTATTATTTTATGAACTAGGATTAACTGGACCAAAAGGACGGCCAGGTAAACCAGGACTTGATGGTACTCCTGGAAAACCAGGATTAAGTGCTTATAATTATACAGTGAAAGGGATTCCTACTTCAGATTTTTTAACAGCGCCCACTATTATTGGGCAATCTGAATTAAAGAATATAACTGTAAAAGAAGGTGATAATTTAAGGTTACGGTGTGTAGCAACAGGGTCTCCCAAACCAACAATTGTATGGCAAAAACTAGACTCTACTACAGTTCCAATGGGTTCATGGAGAGGTAATCTTATTAAATAGATAAATGTAATTTTTTGTAATGAAACATCAATTACTGTTTTTTTTTCTACTTCAGAGGAAGCAGTTACTGGCAATGCAATAAACATTACTAAAGTTAACAGACTTCATATGGGTCGTTATAAATGTATTGCTGATAATGGTATAGCTCCATCTTCAATACAATATTATTCTATTGAAATACATTGTAAGTACATGAATTAGTTTTATTTTTATCATTAATTATTCTAGGGATTAGTTTTTCTATATTATATCTTACTTCAGTTTTAGCATAATATGTTTTTATATTATCTCTGAATGTATTTAAAATTCATTTTTTTTTTTTTCATATAGTCCCTCCACTCATTTCTGTACAGAATCAACATGTGGCTGCTGCAGTTAATCGTTCTACATCATTTGAATGTGAAGTGGAAGCTTATCCGTATGCAGTTCATTACTGGGAACGAGAAGGAGAAATTTTGGAAGACAGTGATAAATATAGTATAACTCGTACAGATATTTCTAATTATAATTATAAATTTATAATGCAATTAAATATATCATCTGTTAATGATTTTGATAATGGTACTTATTACTGTGTGAGTAAAAATGATGAAGGAACCGTCGCTGGAAATATCACTTTATATAGTAAATATTAAAAAAATAATAATAATAGTAATAATTTATTATATCATTCAATTACATATTTTAAATATTACAGTCGTTGATCCAACTTTAGTAACACCTCCACCTTATGTTGATCCTATGAACAAAATCAAATTTGGTAAAGGACCCCCACAGCTAATTGGAGAAGAGGATATCTGCCAACCCCCAGTTATCTGTCCAACTTGTCAAAAACCAAAAGAAACTAAGGAGTGTAAGGAAGAATTCACTATAGATGATCTGTTAGGTCATCAACCGTTAGATGTACAACAATTACAAAAAGTTACCATCAAAGGTCATGCTAATCGAAGTTTAGGTAAATTATAATAATAATTGTTTTCAATACTTTAAAAAATCTATAATGTGTGTTGTTTAGATTGTCAAGTGTATGCAGTAGGTAAGCCAGTTTATAATAGAGACTCAAATGCATCATATGGAAGTTGGATGAAAGATCCGATGCCACGTTTATCTAACGAAACAATTTGGATGACTACTAATGAAATATATACACTATTAGAATTTTCTAACAAATCTATTTTTAAATCAAAAAAAGCATCAAAAACACACACCTTAAGCTACCCGTTTCACGTGAGTGATACTTAAAAATATTTATTTACAGTATTAAAAACAGATATTTTTTGTATGATTGTGATATACGTATGAAAAATTATGGTTTAAAAAACTTCACATTAAAAATTAATTAGCAGTTGAAAATTGAATTGGGTTAAAAAAAAATTAAAATAAATTGTAGAAGAAAATAATAATATTTATACAAAGTTCAATGTACTAAGACATATCTGAGACAAATTAAAGAAATTTAAATTAAAATTAAAGAATTAAATAAACTAAGATTTAAATTTAAAAATAGTGTTTTCAAACAAATTTGTTTTTTATTTATATACTTTACTAATAAAGACAAAAAAACAAATATAATTTACAATTATGGTATTATATAAAGATAACAAAGATAACATAAGATAATATAAGTCGTACAATAATCATTATAGTTAAAAAAGAAATCACGGATAATCATTGATCAGCCTCCTCATCATACGATTCATATCGGTGATATGTTTGTTTCATAAAGAATTTTTCGTACAATGTCGAATAAAAAACATAGATGTATGCTAATGCATTTAATAGGAACTCTTCTATTAATAAGTGCAAGAAGGAAAAGAAAATCTATAAAATCATAAAAGAAAGATTATGAGACTGTTAGCTAGGCTATTAGTTAAAGATAAGTTAATGAAATGGAGAAAGGGATTATAGTAATGCAAAGGGTAATTTATATTAGAGGCGTATTAGTTTAGGAATTTACACTGCACTCGTTCAAGCTGTTAACAAGCATCAGCAGTCTCAGGATCCTATAAAACTGAGCCAAATTACGAGTGTACAATAGAGAGATTTCAGAAAATTAGCGAGTTTGAATTCACCAGAAATTCTTTCAATAAAGCGCAGTACTTTAAAAAACTTTGCAGGTAATTAAATCAATGTGATGAGCACAAGGACTGAGAGATGAAGTAAAAGTAAAGCCAACAAATAAAATAACATAGGTTAGTATCAACAGGGAGCAGGTAACTAGGTAAGAGTCATTTAAAATGTAAGAATAGGTAATAGAAAACGGTTTATGGTAAATATCATTGTTCTGAATTTTAGATTCTGAGTGAAGCAAGGAATGTATTGGTTTTACAATGATGTTTATATTTATCTGACCGGGGTGGTACTTTAGGGTGGTCATTTTTTGATTTTCCCAAGAGTTTTCTCAACAAATTGAAAAACTGAGAAAAAAAGGAAAAATAGGTACAATATTAAACAAATATTATTAAAGAAAATGTTTAATGCATGTGTAATTATTTTACCATAATATGACATATATATTGTTGACAAAGCAACACTATCAACCGAATTCCGCTCTGAATCATTTTTCGTTAGCAATGGTTAATCGTTGCGTACAGATTTACATTTAATTTCCCTTCTACTACTTTTCCAACTTCACATGTACAGCAGTGGCTCATCCACGTGGGAAATATGTCCGTTTTTTTTTTTAAATTTATACGATCATAACATACTTTGATTACTTATTTTAAATTTGATTAATCTTTTTAGGTAGTGAAAATAAACTTAGAAGAATATAATTGAAAGAGGAGGTTGAAGGTTATATGAGGATGGTCAGTGTATGTGAGGATAATGTAGGAGATTGGGTCAAGTGGAAGTTGATAACGTAGGTGACAGACATAAAATATTTAGTATGAAGGAAAATAAGATATAAGGCATAATTATGCATTATTTTATATTTTACAAAATAAGCCTGTACCTATTTTATTTTAGGGTAACAGTCATGCAATGTATAATGGCTGTTTTTATTTCCATGAAAAAGACAAACCATTAATTCGAAAATATGATATTCTACACGAAAAATATATAAATAAAACTATTCCATACTTGAATGCTACCAATCCCAAGAATCTTTTATACACGACCAAGTAACATACCCATATTAAATATAAATAATAGTTGTTCATATTATTATTTAACAAAGTCAATAGTTTTTTATACTAATTCGACCTATGTTTTATTTAGGAGGAATTATGTAGATTTCGCTGTGGAAGAAAATGGTTTATGGATAATATACGGTTTAGAAGATTCAAATAATACAGCAGTTTTACATTTAAATCCATCAAGTTTAGATATTGAATATGCATGGAATATAAGTATCAAACACGATAGAGCAGGAGATATGTTTATTGTTTGTGGTGTCTTATATGCGGTTCACAGTGTAACAGAAAGGAATACAACCATCAGGTGACACATACAAATAAAAAATAATAAATTTTACTCAATATAATATGCATAAGTAAATTAAATTTAAATTTAGATTTGCACTAGATTTGTACAAAAATGTTCGTTTAAACGATGTTGACTTATCATTCACTAATCCATTTGCAAATACAACACTAATTCAATATAATTCACAAAGTAAGGAATTATTTACTTGGGACCAAGGCAACTTATTAACATATCCTATTAGATATAATGATATGGGTAGCAATAGTACTAAAGGTGAACAGGATTCTAGTTTCAACGAATCGTCTGGTATACTCAAAACCTAGTAAAAAATATTTTTGTATGTATGTTTATCATTTTAGAAATAATTATTTAAATTGATTAACCTTTTTTTATAAGACAAGACTTATTTTTATTATATTAATTGCTTTAATGTATTTGAAAATATTATGTAAATTAATCTAATTTTTTTAGATTTTTATATGTTGATATAAATGATTGATAGCTATGATATTTTAAATATAACCTTACTAGTTATTTAATCTAATTAATAGTATTATAGTATATTATAAGAACAGATCTAATAAAGACAAATATTGTACATGTATATGAATTAATTCATTTCAGATCAAAATAATATAGAATACAACAAATCATAACAAAGTAAAATGATGATTGTTAATATTTTTAAAAGATAGTTATTTTATCAGAGGATCTAAACAACACTCATTTTTTTTTTTTAAATTAATCTTTATTTATCCACTTTGATTACAAATATTTATTATTATATTACAAATGTCAAATGATGTTAAATGTGTAGAGATTCTACCATCCCCCCACCTACAATTTTTTCATACATTTTGGTATATTATAACTTTTGTAGACCATAATGTATAGTAACAATTAATCTGGTAGATTAGGATCTTAATTAATTAGACATATAGTTCTTTGAATTTGAGTGTTTTGCCAACCAAGCCATGGAACTCAATGTGACCCTATCATATAGGTTGGATCAATCTTACCACAAACTAAATTAATTATAAAATGTGTGTAGTAATTTTCTTCTAATATCAAGGTTGGTTGAGTACAAAAATTTAGAAACTGGAGTGTAATTGTGAGGAAGGTAAGTAATTTTTAGAACATGGCCTGCATAAGAAAGAAAACGTTTCTGAACCCTTACAATTTTCTGAATCTTTTAGAGTATAAGAGGACCATGTCACAAACCTATATTCCAGGATCAACTGTATTAGAGATGTATATAACACCAAAATATACAAAGGAGAGAAAAAATGACAATGTATGTCACTATTAACTAGCAAAACAATTATTCTGTTATTTAAATATTTAACTATTTTAAAATATAGAAGAAATAAAAAAAAAGCTGTCCTAGGATAATGGAGATGGGTGTAGACACTGTTGTAGGTAACTCACAGTTTAATGTATACTTGTAAGTAACGATAAACCATTGCTAACGAAAAAATGATTCTGAGCGAAGTTCAGTTAATAGTGATGCTTTGTCAACAATATACATGATATATTATGGTAAAATAATTAAATAAGCTTTTTATATTTTCCATAATAATATTTGTTTAATACAACCGATTTTTAAGTTTTTCCATGATTTTTCACATTTGCTGGGAACACTCTTGAGAAAATCAAAAATTACCTCTGTAAGGTACCTTACCACTCAAATTTTCTTTCAGAAAAAGTGGTATTATTATCATGAGCAATAAATCAATAAATCAGAGCAAAATTGTTGGTAGAAAAGTTATCTATAGAGAAAAGAAATCATAATATTTTCTCAATATATTTCACACATTTTCCAGTTTTTTTTTTTCAAATATTCACATTTGATGAGAAAACTCGAAAAAATTACCTCCCCAATGTATATAAAATACTACCCCAAGAAAATTTCCTTTCAGAAAGAGTCTACATTGTATACATCGGAGTATGCTTTCCGGTAGAAAGTGTTCACTATTGTATTACCTAGTTATTATTGAGGTGACTATATATTTTTTTGGTAAAAACGGAATAAGAAAAAAAAAGAGTAATTTAAAATATGAATTGTAAAATTAATACACAATAGCTCGTAAACATTTAAATTTTAGGATTAATTTACAGTAAAAAAATAATGTCTAAATAAAAATTAAAATGTTATTATTCTGAATACCTATTACCAACCTTCCATTATATTATATAGTTAAAATGTGTCTGATATTTTCAAACAAAATTCCTTTACTAAATTTTGACATGGTTAACCGTATAACAAGGGAACGATAAAGCTTTATCGGTATGTAATAAATTTAATCATAACAAACACCCCCCAATAATTATAAATTATTATTTGTTATTACATATTAATAAAACAATTATTTTTTTTAAGATACAAATTTTCTAAAAAATCTAAAATTTAAAAAAAAATGATCCACATTGAATAAAAACTACAAAAAATGTCTTATAATATAAAAAAACACTGACATACTTCGCACTTGGGTGCAATCACTGTCGAAGTGAAAAGTAGTAGACGGGAAATTTAATGTATATATCAATGATAAACCATTGCTTTGTCATATATATATATGCCATGTTATGGTAAAATAATTAAATAGGTGTTCTTTATTTTTTTTAAATAATATTTGTTTAATATTGAATCGATTTTCCACATTTTATTGGAAAAACTCATAGAAAAATCAAAAAATGCTATAGTTTAAATTATTGTCCCAAAAAGTGCTGAAACACTAGTTTCTAAAAAAGTGAAATTGTTTTTCAATATTTCTTTGTCGACCTTCTCAAAATGATACAATTTAGTGCAGCGAAAATTTCCCAGATTTTTAATGAATAACTATGAAAATTATTTATTCAAATAAAGGAAGAGAAAGATTAACTTTCAATGGTTATATGTACATTTTGAATCACCCAAGAAAAAACTATGATACATGGATATGGAATAAAAAGAGTTCTTTGAACTGACCATACTACAATATATAAAACTGACCCAACACTCAAAGTGAAATATGAGCAAGCTGAACAAGCAAAAATTAAAATAGCAAAACCTATAAATACAATCAAAGAGAATGTTAAGTTTTCTAGAGCAAATCCGTATTAAATGTATGCTGATAAGATATCTCAACAACTAAATTACTAAAAAAAGGCAAAAATTCCAGTTAAAGAAACATTAAAAAGAACTATAATAAATTGTAGCAGTAAGACATGGTGGTAGTGATTATATTAATGTCATATTTTATAAAATTAAATTTTAGTTTTAATTTTTATTTATTTAATTTAAAACCATATTTTAATGAATAATTAGTTTTTTAAATTTATATTTAGAGAGGGTTTTTACAGGAGAACCACAAAATGAAGCAGTGTCACTTGATGATAACGGAAAAGAAGCTAATGAAAAAATAGTGATATTTGCAATACAGAAAGGGCTTACCCGTTTAACAAGTTTGTTTAATTGGTATATGGATAGAAACTTTATTTTAGCTCCAAAACTTTTTACTCAATTATAATATATTATAGGTACGTATACAAATAAATACCTAGTTGTTTTATAATAGCAGTATATATTTTCTAACAGAATAAAACATTAACAACTTGTGAACTAATGCTCAGTACACTTTTAAAAAATGTGAAAAACATACACAGATCCTGTAATAGTATGTTGATTTGAATGAGGTAAAGTTTTCCGTAATTCGTTATTGAGATGAAGATGTATAATTTTGGTGTAGAAACATTTAAAAGTAAAAGTATAATCTAATATCAACTACCTAGTATACAAGGGGTTTGTGTATAGTTAAATTTGACAAAATCTTTAAAGAAAAAACAATTATTCACTCAAAAATATTCAAACTAAGAGCTACCAAATACTATAGATTAGAATAGGGAAAGCTCTACAGAAACCTGCTGGCGTCATAGCGCTCTAAAATATATGTGATTCAACCCCTTTCTCCTTTGGTGTAACAGTTGTCATATATTTTTAAAATTGTTTTTTTTTTATAATTTACATATTTAAAAATATTTGTTTACCATGGATAGAAAACTTTGTTTTGTGCTTTCTTACAATCAAAAAATTAAAAAAATTGTCCATTTGTAAATCAGTATGTATTTATGTATATTAATCAAAGTATAAAATGTATATTCTTTAATTTTACCTATATTGTATTATATTATATACTTACATATTACATACGTATTCATTTAACATCTTAGATCATAAATAAAAAAATATTGTTCATACATATTTTTCAATGTTCTTATACACTTAAACCTACGTTTTTTATTTTATTATTTTGTATTTATACATTGTACATAATATTATGACTTGTATTATGATTATATACTAACTTCAAAATTATGGTATACACTATTGTAAAATATATAGTAGGTACCTACATTTTTTATACTGTTTTAAAAAAATTTTGTATTAATCTTTATGTTATACATATCTCACTGAACATATTTTTAAGTTAGTATAATCAATACTATATGATAATTATATAATTATTTTTCCGCAACTATCAACATCATTAAAATTTTTAAAATTTAATATCTATAGAACTGTATCAAATTATTGTAATTTGTAAAAACAATAAGGGAATCATCGAGTATTACTCTATGAAACAAACCTTTTTTTTAGTAATCCAGTTTCTATAATCCATAAGGTCATACAGCTCTATACTGGTAATGATGCATTGCACGTTTTATTATAAACGATGTACCTATATATTTACATATTTTAACAGTAATATTAAGTACGAATAAGCTAATAGACTTAATTTAAAAATTAGAAAATAATTAATAATTTGTTTAAAGGTAATATTAAGTATCAGTGTATTGTGTATTTGTGACTTGTGTATCAATTTAATATAATATCAGGTATAGTATCAGTGTCCAGAAAAAAATAATAATTAAGGGGTTTATATAGGCAACTTGGTATAATATGGAGCGTTACAATGTCCCCTAGAAAATTTACGAGCTTCCCGTATTCTTAGCTATAGTATTAGGACCTACTACCTAAACTTTTTATACACGGTGTTAAAAAGCAACTTATTACTTAAAGTACGTGGTAATAACCAATTTCTTACCAATTGTATAGAAGCTAACTACGACCAAGACTGCTATCTTCACAGACACTAAACCGAATAGGTAGTCCTTGACCGCGCTAAACAATTTTTATAAACAATTTTATTTACGTTCCATTGGCTAATAAAGAAAGAACGATTCAGTAGCGTATCCAAGATTTTTAACTATGTTGTAATCTCGTATGAAGGGTGACTTTCAATTGATCTTAAAATATTTAAAAATAATAAAATTATTATATTCTTTAAGATATTTAAAATTCCGTGATAAGACCAATAGTTCTTAGAAAACTTAAGTATTAAATGCTATTTTAATTATGTAGATGGAGTATAGAAACTAGGAAAAACAATATTCTAAATTCCATTTCGACATTTTCAACGTTTATTTAAATAATGGCGAAAAGTTATTTGAACAAATGTTGGCAGACCCTATATTATGATTAGATATTAGTATCAATAGAATGATAAGTGAGAAAAAATGATTGGGCGTCGTTTGTGTCGTTGAATAGCTATTGGACATCTGCTTTTGTCTGTTGAAAACTCGCGGTACGCCAATTTTGGTTGGATGCGCTAATTTGAGCGGCAAATTAATTTGTTTAGATTGTGAAAATACATAATTATGTCTGTGTACTTAGTGAATCCGTAAGTATAAATAATTTGAAATACCGTAATAGCGCTATAAATTAATCATATGAACTTTCAGAACCACAGAAGAAGAAGAAGAAGAAGAGGATAATCCGACCGAAGAGGTTTCTAACGCCATTACCATATCTGTAGAAGACAACAATCAATGTAATGTTGATAGTTTAAATCAATTTTGGCCAAAAGTGATTGAGGATATTAGAAAAATTGGAATAGTAATACAATCTACCATATGCACGTCTTTGTTATAAATAATGTATCATTTTTTTATTGTTTAGTTAGACTTAAAAACACAAGCACTACCATTAGCTAGAATAAAAAAAGTAATGAAATTAGATGACAATGTAAAAATGATAAGTGCTGAGGCTCCCATGTTGTTTTCAAAAGCTGCAGAAATATTCATTAATGAATTAACACTGCGTGCATGGATTCATACTGAAGACAATCGACGACGGACTTTACAGAGAAATGATATTGCTATGGCAATTACTAAATATGACCAGTTTGATTTTCTTATTGATATAGTGCCTCGAGAAGAGGCAAAAATTGTTACGAAAGGTGTATCTGAAATTAAGACAACACTGAATCCTGAACAAGTAATTGTATAATTTTATTAGATTCATAAGTTGTTAAAATTTTGAATACTTATTTTTTGGATTCCATTATGAAAATTAGTGTGTATATTATGATGCCAAACCATCTTTTTAAAGTAACCGTATCACATTTAAATAATTATTTATTAATTTGAGGTGTACTACGGTTGATTTTGTTAGTTACATTAGATAATTAAAAACTAGTTTACATATTGTCTCCTCTGTATTTATGAAAATTATTAAAGTTTAATAATGACAATTTGTTTCATGTAATCTCTCTCCCTCTTTCTCTTGGTATTCACCCCTTAAGGTTGGTTTTGTAGTTGGACATGCTCTCTCCATTCTTCCCTGTTCCCAGCTAACCTCTTCAGTTCGGCGTAGCTTAAAAGTCTAACATCAAAAAACATTTGTTTGACAAATGAAGTTCTTGGATGTACTTTGCCCCTTTTACCTTCCATTTTCCCTTCTATTATTCTGTAGATAAGCTCATTTTCGTGCCTCAATATATGACCAATCATGTTTCATCATCTTGTTCTGATGGTTTTGAGTATCTCTCTGCCTTCATCTATTTCACTGAGTATGCTTTCATTGATACGGTGTTTTATCCAACTGACTCTCAGCATTCTTCTCCAACACCACATTTCCAAGCTTTTGAGTGTTCGTTGTTTTGCATTATTGAATATCCATGTTTCACAACCATATAGTACCACACTGCATACATACACTTTAATGAAGTGTTTCCTCACTCTAATAATCATGCTATTGGAGCATAACAAATTTTTCTTATTTATAAATGCTGACTTCGCCTGTGCGACTCTAGATCTTATTTCCATGGCGCATCTTCCATCTTGATTGATTAAACTGCCTAGGTATTTAAAATGTTCCACTTGTTCGAGCAGCTAATTTCCTGTTTGGATATTAATTCTACGGATTCGGTCTGATTTTAGGTACATCAAACCTTTAGATTTTTGCTAGTTGATAATCAGATGATATTTTTGGAAGCATCTCACTTTCCATTTCTTCCAGTGCTCTTTCCAAATTATACTCATTGTTAGCTACAGGTGCAATATCGTGAACGAATCTTAAGAAAGATATTATTTCTCTACCTGATTTTATGTCTATTTTATTTCTGAGAAGTGTTCTTTAATAGGTTGTTCGACATAAATATTAAATAGGGTTGGCAAGAGTGGACATCATTGTCTTACACTCTTCCTAATTATTGCTGTCTCTGTTTTTTCTGTAACTTTTATTGTAGCTAATTGGTCTTTGTATAAATTATATATTATCCTTCTATCTCTGTTGACAGCCCCTATTCCTTCTAAAATATAGAATAGATCTTTCCATATGGTACCTTATCGAAAGCTTTTTCCAAATCTATAAACACTATAAATGTGTCTTTATTAAATTCTATTTGTTTTTCTCGTCTTGTAATTCTGTACTCACATTTTGAATAAGTTCCATTGCTATGTTGTTTATACCGGTTACTTTACCTATTTTCATCAAGTTTAAAGTTTTGTTGAATTTGTGTCTTAAGATTACTTCCCCTTGCATATCTGGATATTATTATTATTATTGAGACTAGCTGCTTCTTCTTCCTGGTATAGAACTTCAAGATATTGTTTCCATCTTGTTGCTATTTTGTTGTTGTCCAGTATCAAGTTTCCATCTATGTCTCTTATTCTGCTATTTAGTTTTGTTTCTCCTTGAAAGAATTTCTTAATTATGTTAAATGCTTGATCCATCCTGTTATTCCTAAGCAATTGTTTCACTTCTTGGCACTTTCCTTCTAACCATTTCTCTCTTGCAAATTTTGCCTCTCTATTAATTTTGTTCTTTAGCTCTTTATGTCTCCATATTCCATGATTATCCTTGTTTGTGTTAATGTTAATGTTTATTCATGTTAATATAATATACAAATAAAATGATATTCAAGGAACATATTATTTAATACTTATTTTTATTTTAATTTAAGGTTCAGTATTATTTTCAACTTGCTCAACAACAACAGCAACAGCAACAACAAACAAATAGTGCATCAGCTTCTAGTACGGGACAGACAATACAAATCTTACAACCAGTAGTACCCAATCATGTAGTCACTTTGGGAAATGGTACACAAGATCAAGTAAATATGGAAAATGTAAGTAGTATTAAAATCAACAGTATGGAAAATAAATCTTCTTTGCCAAACTTTCAAGTATAATTTCATATAATTCTTAATCTCAAACATTGGACTTGCATTTTTATAATTATTATTGGTAATATTGCCAGTTAATTGTATATTATTTACAATAAAATAATATTTTTACCAAAAATATATAATATTATTTGGTTTTCAATAAAAACATGAAACGCTCATTACAAAAGCAACAGCTATTTTCTTTTGAAAATGCATTGAGTATACACAATGTACGTATGGTTTTTTCATAAAAAATATTGGAATAAATTTTATGAAAAGACTATTAGGTGTATGCTGTATAACTGCATAATTGAAATAATATAAACTGAAACTGGAGTGTTATTAGGAGAAATTTTAATTCCATATTAAACTAGTATCAAGTTAACTAAATATCCATGTATAAAATCATTATTACATTTTGTTGAAAAATAATAAAAGATATGACTATTAGATAATTGAATAAATTACTACAATTACTAAAAATATTTGATTTGATGTTCTTAAAAAAATATATATATTATGTATTATATATTGTTTGTTAGATTTCAAATAACTCATCAAACATTACAACAAGTACTTCAACCACAGTAACTGGTAGTCAGCCACAAGTTATACAGATACAAAATAGTACTCAAACAATGAATACAAATACAAATGGTGTACTTCAACTAGTACAACAAATTCTTACTCCAACAGGAGAAATACAACATATACCTGTGAGTTTTCATTTCAAGTTAATATATTTAATATACTACTGTTTTTCACTACTGTGTATAATATTTATGAATAAAAAATAGTTATACAAACATAATTTATATATTAAGTATGATGTATTATCTACTAATAAAATGTATTTATTTGTTTAATTAAACCAATTTTTAAATATTTTTTAATTAGATACAGTTAAGCTCTAATCAAATGCAAATGCTTCGTATGCAAGTTCAAAATTCACCTCAAACTCAACAAGTTCAAGTAGTTCAAGCACAACCTCAAATTATACAGGTGATATAAATAAATTATAGTAAATTCATATTTTTATTGCTAGAAAATTAGTGAATTGGTTTTAAAGTGATTTTGTTTTTTCTCCAAGGTGGGTCCTCAAGCTAACGGACATACGCCAGTCTACATATCTCAACCAAATATTAATCCTTCTACAAGTACAGAGTAAATTTTTGTAAATAAAATGATAATATATGTTCAATAGATAATTAATTTTACCATTTTATTTCTAATTTATTTAAATAACTAATTTAAAAAACATTCTTAACTTTATTGTTGTATATATATATATACCAAATATTAATCCTTATACAAGTACAGAGTAAATTTTTGTAAATAAAATGATAATAAATAATAATATATGTTCAGCAATTAGTTAATTAATTAAGAAAACATGTTCTTAACTTTATTATTATAATTAATTTATAAATCTAATTATACATTTTATTTAATGTATATACAACACTGGGGCTTATAAAATAAAAGTAACTGCATTACCTAAAACTTTGACTGGAAACTAAGTCTTATTGATATGAGAAAATTTTTCACGGGAAAAATAATGTCCTTTATTCTAACCTCAAGTACTGGATAATATGATAAAAATAAGTAATTTTACCAGAGAAATAAATAAATCATAATTTACACTCAATTTATATCATTTTTAGAATTTTAAAGTTACAATAAAAAAAAAAAAAAAGAACTTATTAAAATATACTATTATATATTACTAAGTATTGTTTTTCCTTTCTTGTGTGATTTATGACCAAAGTTTAAGTGACTCACCTATATCAAATTTTAATTGAACACCCTTAAATGTTTTTTATATCTGAAAGTAGGTAGTATTACTGTTTAGTTTATAATAAATATAAATCAAAGACATTTCATAAGTCTATTCCACTAATTTGTGTTTGGAGTTATACATCGCTGATTATGTTAAAAACAATATGGTTTTCTTATGGTAATTACATAATTATATATAGGTAGAATTGTCCCTCTAATGTTGTTTTGAATGTGAGAGAAATAGTTATACAATTTGCTTGTATTAGCAGTCATATAATAATTAAATTATAATTGTAAACATTTTTATATTATGTATTTACTATTGATTTAATTATGATCATTGATAATAATTAATTTCAGACCAATAGTTGAATATAGCTCAATTCTTTAAGATCCATATAAATCCTTCGACTCATACCAACTTGAACGTATTCACTGTTCAGTGAATTTACCTTAATTTTGATTCTTTCTGTCATACAACATAACTTGAACCACATGATAATTTCGCCATCCTACGATACTTAAAGATTAGTAGTTTTTCCAAAAGAAGGTTATTAATTAACCTAAATTATCTCAACAAACTTGTAAATAGTTTCATTAATGCATCTGAACCTTTTTCTGGGGTTAATTTTAGGATTCCAAGTAGAATCTCTAGGTTATCTACTCCCTACTATATTTTTCTACATTTCACTATCTATGATTGTAACACTCCATTCACCGTATAATGCATCCAGCTAACAAGAACCTCTTCCTTCTAGTCTATAGTCTATAATACCTTTCTATTACTATAACTTAATTTAATTCTAAACTTTATACAACTTATCTTCATGTTATTGTACCTTGGACAACCGCTAGTATTGCCAACAGGTCAGTATTTCATTTCAATAGATTTAAACAGACAGTTACTTGCCTATAAAAAGCAGGTATTTCAATCCAATCAACAAGAGATCAATATAAATATATCATTTTCGGCACCATTAAAAATTATTAATGCATTTGTTGAACGCATTTTCAACAGTTTGAATAGTTTGGGAGTTGACACAGTTAGAGCCAAATTATACGTAAGAGATAACATAACACATACATGTACTGAGTTCTGTGAAATAATTAAAAATGTATTAAATGCTACAAAAAATACCTCTAAATATGTCTTAATATAACTTTAATAAAAAGGTTTAATTTGTTTTATTATTTAAAAATTGTCCACATGAATACTTCTTTAATGTACCTAGCTATTAGTAATAATGTAAATATTGAAATAAAATTTCATAAAAAAAAATGTTTTTAACAAGGGGAGCCAGTACTTTGTAAATAAAAAGTTGGCAACTCTAGAAACCGTTTGTATTGATGGTAATAAATGAATAAAAAATTGTTTTTCATAATGAATTTTTAGTATCAACAAATATCAATTAAAACCTGTTATATTAATATTTTATTTATTGTAACTGTACATTTTCTACTACATGCAAACAAACTTCAATCTCAATATTGAACTTAATATATAGAAAATATTAAATAGTTTAACTGATATGTTAAGAAATAGTATTTGTTCCCATTACAAAAATATAATTCAAATTAAACTATTATAATAATAATTGCATATTAATTCTTTATTACTAAACTTTATTAGTAATCTAGGGAAGAAGAAAACATGTTTATTTTAAAACCAAGTATTACATTATATAACTTTATTTAAAGAAACAATATAAGACAATGTACCATTTACCAAAAAAACAATAGCAAATACTACAATGTAAAAAAAAAATTAAGAATAATACTATAATCAAATTATTTTATTTTTATAATTGTGTAAAATATAAATTGAATAGTAAATAACAAACATATATAGAGACAAAATAATTAAACTGTTAATTGTGTTCATTGTTAAAGTATACATGCACATATTCAGACTTCCAGTTATAATATTAGCAAATAAAAAGAAAAGTAACAAATTATCATTAATACTATCTATTATTAACGAGATTTTATTGAATTCACTCATATAACCTTTTTTTTGCAAAATTATGGTAATGAAATGTTCAATAATTATCGACATGAATAACATATAGCAAGATATTGATAATGTCCAGTAAACATAACCAGCATTGGCTAATCTTCTAGAAACACCAAAAAAATAACTTAAAATTGTTGTCAAAAAAAATAAAGCTACAGACATAAAAGCAGTCGCTATTAAAATAGATATGTTGTTTATTAAATAATTTTTTTTAATAAAAACTGAAAAGTGCCATTTCATTGATAAGGAATATAAAAATAGTGCTTCATAACCTATTAAAGATAAAATACCTTCTCGGTTTGCTGAGAATAATGAATCTCTGGGAGCATCACTCATGATCCAATCTGCAAGACCAAAATTTAATGCTATTTCATAAATAAAAACCAAAACTGTAGCTAAGCCAGATAGACAACAAGTACTAATGAAGGGTAAAATAAATAGATTTAATATTTTAAGAAATGCTAAAGTCATGAAAAAATTCCAATGTACGCCATACTCAAACACATAATGATTATAATCTGCTTTTGTAACAAAATAAATACGACCAAATCCTAACAAAAGTAATGGTAAAATTTGTTTAAGAACCTTGAATGAATATTTTATAATATTATTCACTTTAGGAATTGTAAACAATAAGGCATTAGAACAAACATAACAACCAACACCAATATCCATTAAACCATGGCCAAACTTTTCAGTTTTTGCAAAACGTCTAGGAAATACATTAAAATCAACAGCAAGTATACAAAATACTGTATAAGTGTTAAGCATAAACCTGTAAAAAGTCATGTGAGGACTTTTTTTTGTTTTAATACTACTTGATGTTACGTAATTATGATTTAATAACAACCAAGAAAATTGAATTGTGAAAACAATAAAATAAAATTTAAACTGAGCATCAGAGTATTCTGAAAGTAAAGTAAAATTAAATACAGTTGGCAGAATCATAATTAGAAACTCTAATAAAAACATCCAAAAATTAGGAGAATTCATTTTTGTACTATAGTTTGTACCTACGGACATCCATATAAATATGATTAGATGAATTGGTAATGAAAATAGAGATGTGTATATTTCAATTAATGATGAACCTGTTTGATTTGACATTGCTTCTTTATGCAGTTCTTTATATTGGGTATCCATGGTATAAATTTTAGTATCACTAGACAAACAAACACAATTAAAATTATCACAAGTTAATATCAAAATTGATATTGCTCACCTCAATATAATTGGTATTTGATTTATTGCTTTTCATAAATCATAGAGAAATATTATAGAAAGTGCAACATAATATTGCTATGTCTGTTGACAATTGTGAATTATAAAATATATATTATCGACATTACAGTTCGTAATAAAATGTTAATTGTTTTAAGCCACATCTAATAATTTTATGACTAATAAACGTATACCACAATTTCTATGAATTTAACGTAATTAATTTATGAGTGTAGATATAGAATATAATTTTAACAAACATAGGTATTAGGTAGGTAACTAGGTATTTAAGGTAAAACCTATTAAAATTATCAGCGAAATATCCTTTCTATGATACTACCACAGATTATAAAACACACCTCAGTGTGTTTTTAGCTTTGTTTTCGAATTGTACATCACAATGGTGGAGTTGACTTAAGTTATTTACTATTCACTCTTCTTAATCTTGGTTATCTATGTTCAATTAATATTACAAAAATAACGGTGTAAACGTGATAAAAGAAACTAATATACTGATTGTATACTTACCAAAGGGGGCCATCAGCTGCAGTTGTCCGAAATGATAACAATCTGAAAACGAAAACGTAGTACCTTGTTATCATCACGATTTAAGATCACGTGGCTGCACTCTGTTATCTGGTATCCCGTCCATATAAAATTATGATTCGCTTATTGTCACCCATAGAGTAATTACGCTAGGAGCGCTATATATGCGTGTGACCAACAATAGGTATCCGAATAAACTATAATAATATTACAGAACATCCGAACATTCCAACAGAAATTTTATGAAAATTTAGTTTGTTTTTTAATTTTTTTTATAATAAACTAAACATGATGGGACATAGATGCATCTTACCAGGATGTAAATCTGGTTACGATTTCAGTGTAAATAAACAACATTTTTTCACTGTAAATGGCAACCTATATTAAAAGCCCATAAATAGATGGAGTACTAGTTCAAATAAATTTTATGTAGTGTTGAAATTTTTGACAAATAAGAAATAAAGAAATTAATGTTACCTATATTTTATTTGAATTAATTTATTATTAGTTTGTCCTCAACAGGCACCATATAAAATTTCTCGACTTAAGGAAAAAGCAGTGACATGTATTTTCCCAAAATATCTATCAAGGACATTAAAACATAATAAACCACCTTTATTGAGAATAAATCCTGATAATATTAAAAAAATTAATAATCATATTAATCAAGAAAATAAAATTACTGTTCAAAATAATATTTTTTGATTCAAAGTTGGAAATGATTAAATTAAATTTAAATTTAAAATTTGGAGTGTAGCAAATAATATAATAAATAAAATATTATCATGGTTTATTTTATGACACCAAATAAAAACACTGGTAGCGCTAAAGTAGTTGGTGGCTCAAGTTTAGTAGTTCAGACCCATTATTTAGGGATAATTTCGATAATAGTTTATTAATTTAATTAAAAACATGATAAATAATACTAATGATAATTTACTAGTTTTAACAAAAATAAATTGTTATGGGAATACCTATAAATGCGTGATTAAGATAGACCATTGAAAAATGTGATAATTACGAATTACCTACCTAATTCGAATATTTCGACAGTTTTAAGACAATGAAAAAAGATAATTTTAAAACGCTTAAGGTACGGTTTCCAAGGCGCGACCAGTCGCGGCAACCGGTCTCCGCGACCTGTCGTTGGTGCGTGGTGGTTTCCTATGCGCGACTAGTAGCCGAGACCAGTCTCTGGTGACGTAAAGAAGACCGTCAAATTCTGTATCTGTATTCAGTATCATTGTGGTTTTTGTGCAGTGAAGGTTACTGTTGTAAAGTTAAATTGTATATTTACTACTATGAGTATGAATACAATTATTAATAACAATAATAAAATAATATTACTTCTTCTTGAAGAAGAGCAAGAGGATGATGATTTATTAATTACAACACAATGCGATCAGAGAGAAAAAGTTGATGCACTTTTTCTTAATAGGAAAAGTGAAGGATACTTTGAAAATGCAATTCAGCCATTGCTGTACGGGACAGTCAAAATACACTACCCAAGAGCTGGTTTGTGAATGAAATAAATCAACGGTCGCGCGCGACAGTCGCAATACACTGCTCTCGGACCGGTAGTGTCGCCGGTCGCCACGATAAAGTTTAGTCGAGCGTTGGAAACCAGTTAATAGGAATTACATACCAACAGTCGGACGGCGACTGTCGCGCGTTGGAAACCGTACTTTTACAATAAAACTACATCACCCTACAACTTTTTTTACCACTTAAACTTACAATAAACCTTGTGTTTGATTTTCAACCATTTTTTTTCAGTTGAACAATTTTATCTACATATTAAAAACAAAACAATTTTAAATGCCGATAAATAGCCGGAATATTTTGAACATTTTATTACTTTTAGAAAAGGCTATTCTGTGAAATAAATTTTAAGTCCACAATTATTTTTGAACCGAATTGTAACAAAAAAAAATAAAATCGAAAATGATTGTTGCATATAGATATAAATTAAATAACTTTAATACTTTATGTAGGTATCCTACCTTCCCAACTTTCCACCTTTTACAGTAGGTTGGTATCTAGTACTATCATCAGCAGTATCAGCTCTTCTAGTCTGTTAGTTTCAGTATATTAGAATTACCATTAAATATGTATTTGACTAACACTTTAAACATTTTTTAAGTTTAAGCAGAGACTTACTAAAATACTTAATGACACAGGGAGTTCTATATAGGAAGCTCCTATTAGTATCAATATTTATTCAATATCAATGTATTCTATGTAAAAGTGACAAAATCCAATTTTCAAATGCATAAATAATTTTAATTTGATTTACTGTAAATTATAGCAGGTACCTATGTGAGACTATACATTGTGGTACACAAAATGGAACCAAATTTACCTATGCCAATTTTAAATTTGGTAATCAACTATTATACTCCTATTAGTACTTATTATTTATACCTACCTACTTAAGTACCTACCTACTTAACATTTTATTAAATATTATTTATAAGTACAAATAATATTTTAAGATTATAAATAACTTTTTTAATTCTACATACAGTGTAAAATTGTGTCTTACATTATAATATTCATACATATTATATATTAAATAGGTATGTATTTTAACTTTTGTGGATAAGTCATCAGTGAATTTTATTTTATATATTTGTAAATTGTATAGCAAGCAAATAAAACTTGGAAACAAAATAAGGTTATCAATAAGGTTGCTAATGTACACCATACCACCCCTTCTTCAAATGACACTTTTGTTTTCCAGTAAGTACATGTTCATTAAACATTAATTGTTATTTTGTTTGGCCATCACACACCTGAATATGCTGTAGACCTGCAGTTAGTAGTGCAGTTCTATTCAAGCATATAAATATTTCATAGATGCATTATATACAGGAAGTAGGCACAAAATCATATTTACAATGATCAATTGTTTTTTTGTATATACCTACCTAGGTATATATAATAATAGAATATTTTATATTTGTACACATTTTTTTATGTTAAGTTAAATGTATCCATTAATCATAAATGTTTTCTAATTTCAATAATGTATTTGCAGCTGGTGATGAATAGGTAGATGTTGTATAAAATAGGAATTGTACGACGACTCCATGGCAACAAACAGTACAACAATAACACCCAATGACATACGAACCAATATTTAGTTTTATATTTTTTTTTTTGTGATTGTTGTGCTTATGGTGCTTATGATGTTGGAAAATGTGATTATGTTTAAAAATTTAATCATGTATTAAGTTTAGATGTGTAAAAATCAAAAAATAATTTGTAGAAACGAGAAATATTATAAATTATGTAATTCTTAAATTTATTAAAGTATTAAATGGAATTCCAATTACTTTTTAAAAATATAGTAAACTCCTATGAGAGTTAATTTTAATATAAAATGACCTCTAACGTATCACCAAGTAGATCAAATATAATTTCTTCATCTCATCCAAGTAAAGGTTCTTTAACAGATCGACCAAGTAGTTGTTCAAATAAAAGTTTAGTGCACAATAAATCGTGTCCCATTCATTCAAGACCTTTATCATCGTATAAAACAATTGGACAATGTCATGACAAAATTGAAGAACTAGAAAAGCAAAATGTTCGCCTTAGTTCAAAGGTAGGTATATTAAAATGTATAAATATAATTATATTTTAAACCATATAAAAAAGGTATTTGAAAATATTTATTGAATATTGCTATCCTAGATTAAAGTTTTGAAATATCAATTGAAAACATCATCTAGTTTGTATAATAATATTCACCAGAGACCAGAAAAACCTTTATCAAGACATTCCCAGAGGTTTGTAAAATAATAAATAATGATTCTCAATAAATATCTAATTTATTTATGATAGGTCAACTCCAATAAAATTACAGAAAATTTCTAGATTATCAAGAGTAGATTTTGATGTGAATGATAAGGCTGTTAAACTTCCTGAAAGAGTGAATATTTTTTTGCCAGTGGAAATAAACTGATTAAAATATATTAATTATTTACAACATATTATGTATTTTAGAAATTTGAAAGCACTGAGTCATTTGACAGTGAGAGTAGCTTGGTGGAAAATAAAAGTAAATTTAAAGAGAATATCGAGTTAATTCAATCTCACAGAGTTATCAAAAGTATGGAAATTCAAATAGAAACTTTACAAGCACAGTGTCAAGCTTTTGAACAAAATTTAATTATTGTTAATGAATTGTTACAAAAAGAAAATAAAGAACAAGGTATGCTATTGTATTAAAATAAATAAATGTAATTTTTTTAAATATAAAAATTGTATAATCAGACAAGTTAAAAGAGGAATTAGTTAATGAAAGACATATATTAAGTGAATTGAAACCAAAATACAATGCTTTTAAAGAGACAAATAAAGCATTAGAGGAACAAATTCGTGATTTACAAGTAATTTAAATCCAAATAGAAAAAAAAATATTGTTTAATATAATTAAAATTAAATACATTTACTAAAACATTTAATATTTTTTTATTTAGAATGAAAAATTATCGCTTAGAGAACACAACCAGAAACTTCTTCAACTTACTTCCAAACCTCAACATCAAAATAATGGGCTAAAGGTGATTCATCAAATGAGTATACAACACAAGTTTACACAATATCACAAAAAGCACCTAACAATTTTTTTCTATAATAAGGGAATGGAAAATATTGTGATAAAATAATTAAAATATGTGTATATTTTTTTTTTATTGAAATATGTAAAACAAAAACAAAGAGCTGATATTGTTGTAGGTGGAAAGTTGGAAAGGTAGGATACATACAATTATTTCATTTATAATTGTAAGCAATGATAAACCATTGCTAACAAAATACAATTCTGAGTGAAGTTCGGTTATGCATCTTTTAAAATGCTGTAATATTTAAGGGGGCTCAACTTCTTCTGAAAGTTCTGGAATGTAAAAACCCAGAACATATACTTCCAGAAAGTAAATGCCTGGACCGTATAATTCCGGAATCATAATATTACAGAAAAAAGCATTGGTTTCCAAATTTAGTTTTAAATTTTATTTTTTGCTGTCTGTAAAGAAATTTTCAATCAAAAAACTTGCTCCACTCGAAAAAAGACGAGACATCTTTTTTTTTTTTATAGAGAATATTTAGTTCATGTATTGAAGATATAATTTTTTATTTTCTTAATTGTATAATTTATGTTATTTTGTTATTACACTGATTAGCATCCAATAATTTAACACTAATTATAATGTTACTATTGGCTATTCCTTAATACATATAAAGTCTGATATTACATACTACTTACTTCATAAAAGAAAAATTAAAATAATTCAATATGGAATAATAGTTAAAAATAAATGCTGAGAAAATTATTAAAATCCAATAAAATCTAGACATTTACAAGACTGTTTTTCAAAAATCTCTAAAGGTACATATTCAGTATATTTTACTCCATTGCTCCATAAACTTTCCCCGTTTCTCGAGTTTTTCTTCATTGTTTTGAAAACTTAAGAAAGTCGAACCTTATGCACCAACTAGATCTAAAATGCTACAAAAAAGCTCTTTTTTTTTTTGTTGAGTCGAAAGTAATTTTTGTTTACACAAGAAAAAAATAAATATTTTTTTTTTAAATTTTTTAATTAATTAATTAATAATAATTCTAATTTGAGATTCATTGTTTTTAAAAAATTTTCCGGAAATATACGTTCCGTAATATTACGATCTTAGTTTTTACTTACTGGATTATAATGGTTTCCGGGATTGTACATTCCAGATTATTATGGTACAAACATTTCAGATTTCAGAATTTTTACGTTCTGGATAATTACACATCACCATATTTAAGATTTCCGTAAGATTTGATTTAAAAAAGATTATAACAAAAACCTACCATATTAAGTTTAACTTTTATTTGACCACTAAGTAGGTATAGCTTAAAATTAATCTTCTGTTAATTGTTCAATCATATCTATTCGATAAAGAAATTTTGTTCACATACCCAGTACTTACCAAATAAAAACGAAACTCAAAAATATAAAATATTTGTAAATAGGTCAACATTTGTTCCACCTTATGAATAGGCCAATATAAGTGTTTTGTGAAAATTTTAGATATATATGATTATTTCAATTGAAGCAAGATTTCTGGTAGAAAATAGAAATCTCAACAATATAAAATAATGAAATTGGTAATGACACTATGTGCCATAAATATTTGTCCGTTTTTCTGTAATAAAGAAAGCCCTTTAAAAAATCAAAAGTTACCTCTAATGAACCAGCTAGATCCATAATGTAACAAATAAAATTTTTTGATTGGGATAATTTTCTGTTTAGATAAGTTATATACAGAGAGAAAAAAAAATACATCACAGTAAAACTATCACATTCCTCACTAAACTCAAAATCTAAAAATTAAAATGTCACAACATTGTAACATAAAAAAAAAATAACAGGAATATGAATTCTTGCCTATTCTCTGTTAACATTTATCAAATTTGTATTATAATGTATATTTATAATAATTTTAATTGAAGCTGCATAATTTATACCATAAATGATATCATAATCATAAAAAAGAATTTTAGAGTAATATACAAAATCATTTTTTTTTTATCATAAACTAGCAATTTTTTCAGAGGGTTTTATATGAATTTAATTTATAATTTTTGTAATCATTATGGAATCGTTTCAGCTTTATTTTAATACTATTTGTAAGTTTTTACCGCTTTTCCATATACATTAAAATTTAAATAAGTATATACTTTTGGTTTTCAAATAGTAACCCTAATATGAACACATATTTGATTAGAAAATAATTTTCCAGACATTTTTATATGCATAATACTTATATCAGATTTACCATTTAAGAGTTATAAAATTTAAAGTTTAGACCGGAGGAGTAAGGAAGGGATCAATTTATTGTTTAAAAATAGATACCTATGCAATTCATTACCCTTCCCTACTTCTTCAGTCTAAACTTTAAACTTGTATAACTCCTAAACGGTTAGGTTAAAAAATATTATTGTTATGCATATCAAAATTTTTAAAAAATACTCTATTTAAATCTGTGTTTACAAACGGAGGTTCTTTAAAAAAAACAAAAATGTATACTTAATCAAGATATTTGGAATAGGGGTAAAAATTAAAATTAGTTTTAAAATAAATCTAAATTAAAGAGTTTTACAATTTCTTATGTTTCTTCAATATTAGTTTTAAATAAAAGAATTGTGAAATATGAAGAAAGATACTTATTTCAATATATTATATTATATAATATTTCTTATGGAAACAATGTAACATACAATAACATTAGTACCCCTTTCAATTAAAATTATTCTAAACAAATAATTTGAGTGAATTGAACTAGGTATTCACTCAGTTGTTTTCTAACATAAATGAGTAATACTTTTCTATAAATCAATATTTACATTTATAGTTGAAAGAGTTAGAAGAAAATTTTGCTGATTCTCGTGCTGGTTTATTGAAACAAATGGAGGAAAATAGCAAATACATTGCTGAGTTAAAAGAGACTATTAATGAAAATGAAATAACAATATCTAATTATGCAGATGAAAATAAATGCCTAAAGGTTTAACTAAATATAAAATTTGTTTTAAATTTAAACTTAGCAAAAGATTTTATTACAGAATCAACAATTGGAACTATCTAAAATATTGGATTTAAAAGAGGATGAAATTAAAAATAAATGTAAGGCAATTGATAACCTTCACCAAGAAAATAAAGATTTAAAAGAAAATCTTAAAGTAATTATATACAATGCACATTATTAACACAATTGACTATTAAACATTATTTAGGTTTTAACTTAAATACTTAATTTGTATGTTTATATTTAATATTGAACAAAAAAGATAAATACTAACATTTCAAAAGTCAATACAATTGAAGATCTCACAATTCATCAAAATTTAGATTTGGAAGATAAAAGGTACAAAAATAAATCATTGTAATATTTGTATAATTTTATTTATGAATAATATTTATATTATTCTTTTTACAGACTTAAAAGTCAAATTCAAGAGCTTCAACAAGAACAAGTCAAAATCAATCAGACATTGAACTCTCAATCATATTTAAATTCAATGCTTAAGGAGAAAGTATGATTAACTATATATTATAACTAAAAAAAAAGTATTATTCATTAATGTGATGAAATATAATTAGGTAGATCAAGCAGAACGAGATATGAAAACTGCAATACAGTTTATTAAGATTTTTATGAATCTATTTTCAAATATTACAACATTGGATTTATCTGAACCACTTATGGCCACCTTAGAAATTATAGAAAAAACTTTATGTTCTATTAAGAAAAATAATGAAATTAATATGGAAAATAAAGAGTTTGAAAAAGTAGTAAATGATATCTTAGAAGTCCTTGTTTCATTTAGAGATCAAATAGTTAAAAAACAAACTATGTTTAATCAAGAACAGTGGTCTAAAAAACCAATGGTTGATTTAATTACAGAAACTAAAAATGAGGTGTGTATACAATTTTTTTTATGTTAAATAGTTTAAAGGTTTATTAATAATATGTGTTCTTTTTTTGATTTTATAAAAAAATTGTATTGATATCTAACTTCCGATTAATTTAATAATTAAACAAACGTTTTTATAGAATCATACCATTAAAATCAAATTAAATAATTTCCTTAAAAATTTTAGAACACATCTCAAATTCAAGAAAATGCTGCTCAACTCGAAATTAATATTAATGCTCTAAGCTTTTCTACAGAAAGCATTCAACATTTAAAGTATGTATATAATTTTTAATTTTTTGTTTTTGAAGTAATATTACAGTTATACTTTATCATGCAATTTTATTTCTTTATTTATTAGATCTTTACAGCCAGAGCCAAACATTTTTCTCACGTGGGGATTTAAAAATCAAGAAGATATTGCTTACTCACCTAGTCGATTAGCATGGGCTGCTGATTTTAACTGTAGTTGTTTTTACCGTAGCAATAGTAGCGCAGAACTTTTACATTTTGTTGGAAAAGTAATTAATAATTTTAATAAGTAAATTAAACATAGTTAACTAACCTAATTCAATATTCTTTTATTACAGCATGGTTTATTTATCAATGTACATTTAGTAACGGGCAAAGCATCACCAGTAGTGGCATCTGGCCTAGTGAACACCGTGGATTCTATACACAATCCTATGATTAAGTTTAATTTGATTGTGCCAATTACAGGACAAAATGTTGAGGCAAAATTGAAGTGTTCTATACAACTTATTTGCAATTATCATGAGTTACAAACTTATTCACAAAAGGTAAATCTATATTAAGATTAAAATTAAGTTAAGATATTAAATACGTATGAATAAAAAGTGCGTAACTTGATATAATTATTTGTGGGTGTTAAGAGATGGATATTTTTTTTTTTCATAAATACTCATGTTTAACTAATATCAAAGTAAAAGAGAAATTTTTTTGGTAGTAGTCATTATTAATTAAAGCAAAATATTCATCCTCAGGTTTAGAACTTACATAATAGTAACTGAAATATAAAAATATTTGATTATATTGATGATTATTTGAATAATAAACATTATAGGTATGTTAATATTTTTTGACATAAGTAATGACTTTCAGATAAGATAATAAAAGTTAAACAAAATTGTAACATTGTATATAATTATTTGAATTAAAGTATGATACAATGGGTGATTGCGGGGGGGGGAGCGCTTGAAAAGTGTGAATAAGTAAAACATAATTTCCACCCATCATTATATAGAACTATGACTAAAATGTTTAGTCTGTAATTGACTAAATTTATTTTTAAATAATTCCAATTAAAATTAATTTTGTGGCATTTTAGAATGTAATCATTGTTATGAGTAAATCAGAAAATGAGTACTTAAATTGAAAAGTAAAACTTTTATTATTCTAATAACTGAAAACAGATTAGGTATAGTAAAAATTGTTTAAATATAATATAGATTTACTTATGCAGTTATGTTATTGGATAAAATAATTCAAGTATTAGCTATAGTTCTTATAATTTGTTTTTTGTAAAATAACATTGAGAAAAATTTGTATAGAAATGATTTTAGTATTTTTAATAGGTAGACTCAAAAAAAAAAGTTTTTTTTATTAAATGTTTTCAATTGGTGCCTATGTTATAATTTTATACTTTTAAGTATAGTGAAGGAGTTATACGTTTTACAGGTTTTTATTTTATTTTTTCTTGGAAAACACTGGATTAATAAAAATAATTCTCCTATGTGTTCATACCATAAATATGCTGGTTTTTTGCATGGTTTTATGATGGTACTTTATTTGAAACATTTAAACACATTTTGAAATTTCAGTTCATCCATAGGTCAATTTTTGATTTTGATTTTCATTCATTTCTGTGTTAGCTTTGTTACTAGTGTAAAAAAAGACTATATAGTTTTACTTTCGGTGCTAATTAGGTATGTGCTCTATAGGTTTTGCCGCCGTTCTTCACTCGTTCTGCATTTTGAACGGGGATACTGGACAACGATTGGTCTATTTAGTTACGTTATCTACCTCGTTTTTATATATTATGATATGTTGGGTATTTCTTTATTATTATTATTTATTATCTTATTTTTGATAATTACTAATTCTATTAGTGTAGGTTTTGTACCAGTCGTCTTTTCGGTTTTCAGCTACGTATCTCATGGAGATTTTTCATTACAAGAATTTTATTTTTTTGTGTATTATTCATTAATTGTGATGGCTGTGATGACGTTTCGTGAGTTTTATTCTACAGTAGTGCCAAATGAGATCGTGTGTCATCGAGTTTTAGTAGAAAAAAGATTATTAAGAAGTGTTGAAAACAATGCTCCTTGTCATAAATACAGGTAAAACGAAAGAAATATCGTAATGGAGAGTGTTGGCCACGTTTCGGTGTCAACAAAGAGGCTGCCAGACAACAAGATCGACACGAGCTGGTTGCAGCTTTTTTAATTTTACTGACTTAAATTAATGTTACAACAGTGGATTAACACTTTGGGAAATTGTTGAATTTGTGTTTATGTTTGTATTGGAATTACCCACACAAATGGTAATGGATCGAACAGAAAGAAGCAATGAGTGTGTCACCGACTGGTTTAACATGTGTCGAGAAGTATGCATAGCTGTTTTGAAGACTAAAAGAAAAATGATTGGAAATGCACAAAATCCAATTTAGATTGACGAAGCTCGTTTCGCTGGTCGAAGGAAGTACAATAGGGGTAGATTATTAGGTGGAAACGTGTCTCCTTTGAAAGATATAAATGCTACGGTAATTAATAACCGAAATCACAATGCACTGTAGATGGCCCTTGGATATTTGGTTTAAAAAATGGAAACCATTGCCGTTATTTTTATGTTCATTGACGTGGTTGAGAAACACTTCTACCAATAATAGAACGTGAATGCGAGGCGAGATCAGAAATTCATTCTGATGAATGGGCCGCATACAGGTATCTCACAAGCAGAGATTTTGTACACAAGACGGTAAATTACCAAATCTCTTATGTCAATGAAAATACAGGAGCCCACACTCTAAACATTGAGAGGTCATAGTTGGAATTAAATTATTTAAGAAAATGGAGGGGTGTTCCTCTTAATCATTTGCAGTCCCATTTTTCTCGCCATGTTAGAAGACATTAAGAACGTGAATCAGCAGTAAAATAAAACGCAAATAGTACAACGTATGTAGGGTACATACCGACTGAGAAGCTTGACTGTAGAGCGCATACTGAATTAGCATCCTACTTTCCTCAGAATAGATTTTAGTTTGTAATTATTTATCATTGTATCTATAATAATAACGGAACAGTAGCGTAACTAGGATATTATTTTGGGAGGTGATATGAGTATTTGTCATTAATAACAAGAAGAACATACTTAATAAATGCTAGCACTTAAAAAAAAAGTTAATGATTATAATAAAATATTAAGTTTCCTTGGTTTTTATAAATTGTCAATTATTTCATCAACCTGTAAGTTAATGTGCCTATTTATGGACATAACAGCTAATCCATTAAGTCTTGCCTGAAAAAAAAATATAGTTATTTTCTTGTAAACTGGTAAACAATTAAACACGAATTAAAAATTAAAACCAGAGTACACACTATTCTGTAAATAAGTTTTTATACGTTTTAAACTAGAAAATGAACATTTTGGAGTAGTAGGGAGTGTATACAACATTTTAAAAATAAAACTAATACTTGGATATAATTCCTTATTGCAGACTAAAAGGGCATCCATAGTTGTCTTGAAATTTATATTATTTAATGTCATTTTTTCTCCACATTTTTAACTCTGTTTATACCACATGTTTGTTAATTTCTTGTGAATCAAACACCACAAGCTTATTAAATGCATCAGATTCTACCAACATGGTAGCATATCTATCAGTTATCAGAATACTAGCAATACAGAACAATTCTTTACAACCATGAATATCTTATCAAAATTCAAATTGATATACAAATTTAAAAATAATCAAATTTTATTAATAAACAATGCAATAATGACTGATTATTTAAAAAAATAGTTATATTGCATACCATACACATACAGCATACTTTAAAAAATTGTCATGTTGTATATTGTAATAAGAATATTTAATGTAGAAATAAAAAGGGCTGAAGTCTGCTTCTTGAGGTAGAAAAAGTCAAAATATAGTAATACACCAAATACATATATTTTCCGTGTGTCCCTATTGATCAGGGGCGATCTTATGAAGGGACAGTTAAATTTTGGTTTTAAATGGTCAAAAAAAGGGGTAAATTAAATTTGCACAGGGAACGCTGAATGGGACAACTAATACAGAAGGTAAGTATTGTATATTAACTAAATAACTATGTATCCACTATCCAGATATTTTAATTTTCCACCTATAGCAGTCTCCTAATCATGATAACAAGTATGCCTAGCTTTTAAAAATGTATACTATTAATTTATATTTTGTTTTCAGATTGATGATGAATATAGTCAAATTGAAATACCTATCCACAAATCATCAAAATCATCAACACCAAATCATTCATATTAAACAATATTACTAAAATTAAATACTTATCTAGAATTAAATGTAAACATTTTTGTTTATATTAATTGTGATATTAGTTTTAGTATTTATTTACAGGGTGGTCTGCGGAATATTTAATTATTTTTTAATTTTGTGGTTTTGGATACCTACTTATCTACTTAAGAGTCCCTTACACAATTACACACTAATAAGCTGCACATAGTCATTGAACATCTGGTTTTTTTACCATTATAATTAGATATTAACTTTATGAAGAATAATTCAATATATAAGTAATATATCTGTTTATTTCAAACTTGTAATTTTTAAGTGAACTAATCAGAATTGTGTGAGATAAAGTTGAAATAAAATTTTAAAAACTATAATTTTTCGCTTTTGCCTGTAATTTCCAAAATCTGTGATAAATTTTTAATTATATTTTGTTAATTTAATTAATTTAATATACTGCTACACATATTTTAATTTTGTTATTTAAAATCCGTTTTCACAACATTACAGTTATTATTGGTTCTAATAAGAAATAGGTAATCATAAAATTAAAAATATTTACCTTATTATTTACTTATTACTTATTATTATTATTAGGAGGCATATAATATTACTGGTTTAGCTAACCTGTAAAAAACCTGTGGAAAGCCTAAGTGCGCACACCATAAACTATAGAAGATGTCTATGGTAAACACTTTATAGTTGACAATACCTACCGATAATAAGCGGTCATAAACGGTGTTGAGAGTTTAAAGTACCTATGGACCTTTTGTAAAAAATTAATCTTGCCTTTCATAAGGATTTGAAACATAAGATTAACTATTAAGTGTGGTTAGATAAATGGAGAAAAATGTCAGGTGTTTTATATGATAAGTGAATTTCAGTGATACTTACAGGACCATCCAATTCAAACAATTTTCTTTGGCTCAAATTATGACGAAAGAAATGATACAGCTAAAATTCGTTTGTGACTATCTGTTAGATAATTACGATGATTTTTAATATTGCGCGTGACCTCACGGATTCAGTCGCCACGGTGATGACCATCGTAGACCTATAATCATATCAGGTCTATGGTAGCCATATATTATAATACACTACAATATTTCTGTATCTCAGAACCAGATGATCGTAAGTCACATTATTTTTTAGCCCAAAAACTAAAAATGAGCTGATACTGGGAATAGGAGATGAGAAGTTGGGAAGGTAGGATACATAAAGATTTTTCGCTTAAATCATTTTTTCTGGTAGAAAACGTCCATGTTTTTAGAAAATAATGAAATCGTGAAATTGTACGTTTTCCTACATTTTTTCTCACTTAAGTGCTTTTATTTAAAAAATGGCGTCGAAAATTAAAAAATAACTTCTCTAAAGTACAAGTAACTTGAGCTTTATGAATTGGTGTTACACGTAAAAGCCGGAATAAATTTACTAGGAAAAAATGTGTCCACAGACTAGAAGAAAAATAAAATAAACATCTTAGTAGAACTGATGGCTACCTCGCTACGCTCGGAATCTAAAATAATAATTGTATTGTAATACACCGCTGTCATAAATGTGATTGTTATTTTCTGTGGTGCTGCTTTGCGTTTATTTTTAATTTTATATCATCGATTTATATTTTCCATAACAATATTGTAGTCTTATCGTCATATTTAAGGTATACATATTTATAAATAATAATAATCTATAATAAAGTAAACATCTATAAATTTATCGGTACACGATGTCACGATCGTCAAAACAATATTAGTATACTACACACGTTCACAATGAATGTATGGTAAGTTAGTGTTTTTGTTTTCTAAAACATTAAATCAAAATGTGATATAATTTATTATAACGGATAAATTTGGCCGCCAGCGCGGCGAACGAAACCGTGACGTCACATGCAATGTTAATAATCACCGTAACTAGCAAACGGATAGTCAAACGAATTTTAGTAGTATTTTTATGCTATTTTTGTATAGTTAGGACAGTATGGTCCTTTAAAGGTAAGTTCTCATAAAAGTGTGATGAGAGTGACTATGTTGTATAGGCGCGTTACTAGAAAATTGTGTTGAGGGTTGTTCAACAAATTCAAAAGATCTAAAATGTGTGATTAAAAAAAAAAAGGTTATCAGCAAATTGATCCGCCGTTATAATAAAACGTGGTCGTGAACATTATTGATTTACCTAATTTAGGTATTTTTTCTATGCATTGTACAATCCTATAATGTACCTGCAATAGGTATATCAATTACATACTTAAAAGCAACTCGCTTGCTACTTAGTTATGTAGATACAAATTTTATTAATACCTAGGTACCTACCTAATTGATACATACGTAATAAGTATATTGAGATATTACCTATATATTATTATATTATATTTTATAGCAGCACATCAGTGTCACACATGTAAATTGTAACATATGATTTGTAACGTAATAATTATTATAAATCAATTTTTTCTATCTGATTAATATTCTGAATAGAAATTTAAAAGTTTTAAAGTAATATTTCCATTTAGGATGTTGACGAGTTGACTACGCAATATAAAAATTGTCTGGTAGGTAGTAAGTACTTTTACATTATTCGTTTTGCATATTAATGTAATAAATATGGTCAATATTCGTTATGGAAGGTTTAGATTTTAATATATTAAGTGTGTAATGTACTCAATCATCGTAATAATGCATTTTGACATACAGATACCTATATCAGTTTCGTCATGACATTTATACATCGATATTATCTACCTTAATTAAATTACGTAGACTAACTTAAAATATTCTTAATTTATCGCTGATTTCCTTAAACCATCGCAATTTTAATTGAGTATATTTTACTAATAAATACTGTATACTATATAGTAGTATACTATAATACTAATAGTTGCATTTAAGTACCTACCTATATTGTATTATCATATTATTATATCGTAAGTAGGTACTAAAAATGAAATTAAAGGCGAATTATTAAAAAGTTTAAAGTAAAGTTAACGTATCTTTTGACATATGTACCTTAATTTTTATTTGGAAAATTAAGAGTACCTACCTATCGTATATTGAAATTCACAAATAATTCTTCAAATCAATCGGTTCATAAGTACTTAACTCTGAAAGATTCATGTCCGAAAATAATATTAGTTTAGAAATAAAATTTGTTTGTTACCACGGTTATCTACTAGAGACAGTGTTTGTTACATACGTGGTATTGCATTAAAATAGGTACTCTGCTACCAGGATCCCATGAGATTGGTCGGTGGCGATATCTGCCGGCTGTAGACTATAGTCTTATACACACAAGGAAAAAAAATAAGAGCTAATACTAGTGATGGGTGTGCCACATAAAGTTGTTTCATTTATATTTGTTAGCAATGATCCTAACCATTGTTAACGAAAAACAATTCTGAGCAAAGTTCGTTTATACAATATGATTTATAAGGCCTTAATATTTACGATTTTCTTCAAAATTTAATCTTAAAACCATTATTAAAAAATAATTACTACATTAAACTACATTTTTTTTTACCAATAATTACAACTTATAATGAACCTCGTGTTAAATGTTCAAACATTTCTGTATGGTCAAACAATAATTGTATCTATATAATACCTACCGAATCAAGACTAAAAGCAGAAACATTGAATAAATATCCAAGAAATAGTATTAATTTTATAATTATATCGACAGATTTTCTTTAATAACTATCCTGTAAAACTTAATGTACTTTCCAGATATTATACAAATGTTTTATGATTCAAACTTTGTTTATCTGATAAGTATCAGAATAGAAATAACTAGTTTATATGAACAGTGAACTAGGTATAGATACTTATATCAACCAGATTTATTGTGAATATCTTTTAATATTCAACTGATATTCAAAGAAAATTATCTTATGGATTAAGAAACTCACATAATATCAACCATATATTTTTTGAATATTTTTTTGCATCAAATTAATATCTAATTTAATTATCTCTCACACCTCTATAAGATAATTACTCTATAAGATATATTAAAATACTAACTGACCCGGCAATGCTTTGCTATTGCTAGATAATAGTGTAAATAATAATAATAATTAAAATAATAACAATAATAATATTAGTTTAGAAATCTATTTCTAAATCCATATTTAATTTCTTTGTTACATACGTGACATTGCATAGACATAGGTACTTTGCAACCAGGGTCTCATAACATGGTTCGGTGGTGGCGGCGATAATATTTGTCACACGTAGAGTAGTATTACAAGTAATAAAAAGAGCTAATACCGGCGACAGGTGTGTCACTGTAGTAAGTGGGAATTGTGAAAAGTTAGATACCTATATAAATTTATATTATTTATAACTATTGTTTTTCCTCAAAGTTACCTAATATTTAAATTAAAAATATAAATTAAATAAGAAATAGAGTCACAAACAAACCAGTCAAAAAAAGCATCACAGAAACCGATTCTTTTTTTGAGAAAATACATTATTATAGTGTATTAGTCACTGTTTTAATATACGAGTATTAGGCAAGTGAGGAAATACGAAGTAAAAATCACAAATATATGTATAATAATTCTAACTCAACGAAATTATATATATAACGAATTTATAAATATAACTATTTCTAATTCAAATATAAGAAAAACAATTAGTGAACGAACCATACTATACTATAATGAAAATAAAAAAGACGTTTTAGGATAATAGGGACGGGTGAAGTCACTATAATAGATAATTTAATGTATACCTATAAGCAACAACGAACCATTGCTTACGAAAAAACTAATCTGAGCGGAGTTCAGTTGATAGTGATGCTTTGTCAACAATATATGTCATTTTATAGTAGAATAATTAAATAGGCTTTATATATTTTCTTTAATAATATTTGTTTAATGTTGTACCGATTTTTCCCAGTTTTTCTACGTTTATCACGGTTTTTTACACTTGTTGGAAAAACTCTTGGTAAAATCTAAAAATACCTCTTTACGGAACCTCCCCACGGCGATTTCCTTTCAAAAAAGGTGTTATACGTAGAAATCCGAACAAGTCTTCTGTTTGAAAAGTTGCGCACAGACAAAAAAATTAAAAAAATAAACATTTTTGTGAAACTATAAGCTTCTCACTCCACTCAGAATCCAAAATTGTTCAACAAATAAATAGGTTAAAAATTAGGAAAAAGTTAACAATTACAATGATATTGTTAACCACATTATTTATATGCATTTATTCTTACTCTAGCTTACTTTTTACTCCTTAGTTTAACAAATCATTTTTATCCGGTATTTTTGCAGAAAAATGAAAATACCCATTTAAAACCTTGATTTTCAAAAAGAGCAACAAATGTCTAATAAATAATTGTTGTCCTACATCTAAAATATTGATAACACATACTTAAATTGTTCTCAATACTATAGTATTTCTTTGAACAAATCCTTTTTACTTCTGTTGTTTTCGAAGGAAATTATTTGTTTCCTATATTAATTTGTCTAATAAATGATATACATGATATTATTTCTAATTCTAAAATTCTATTATTATCGATAATGCAAAAATTAAAACAAATATAAGTTGCTTAAATGATGCTATAGAACTACTGTTAGATTTGAAAATATATACAAATGGTGCCAACAAAACGCTATGAATTTAAATTTAAAAAAGATGGACATATTTCACACGATGAGAGTGAGCCACTATTATAGGTATGAAGTAGGGAAGGTAGGAATAGTTGGTTATTTAATGTACCTATATCTGTACGTGACCATTAAGCATTGCCAACAAAAAACGATTCTGAGCAGAGTTTGATTATATATATTTTGAAAGGCCGTAATATTTATAATTTTCGTTAAAATTCTTACAAAAAAAAAAAAATACGTTACACTCAACTTATTCTTATTGGCTACAAAGTACGACTAATAATTAACTTCCAGTTAAATTTTCAAATATTTCTGTTAAGGCTAACAATTTTATCCACTGAGTACCTAGTTAACAAAAAAAAAATCACTTAAAAAACTCGCAGAATTAAAATGTCTATAAATTGCTTAAAATTTGCTTAAATGTTTTGAAAATTTTACCACATTTAGAAAAGGCAAATATAAGTATTACGACCAAATTTCAAGTCTTTACAAATATTTTAAACTTAATCATATTAAAAATCACAGTTGAAAATAATAAATTTCGTAAATTTTCCCATTTTTCCTACGTTTTTTCCTATATATTATGAAAACCCCATTAAACAATAAAAAAATAACCTCCATAAAGTACCACTCAGATAAAATTTCCTTTCAGAAAAGATACTACACTTGAAAATTGGAGCAAGATTTCTGGTGGACAAGTTGTTCACAGATAAAAAAAAAAAAAAATTAAACATCATTGTAAAACTAATACGTTATTCTTCGTTCCGCTCAGAATCTTAAATGTTCCTATATTTCTTAAAAAGATTGCCTATATAATTTAATTATTCATCGGGTAATATAAATTTATTAAGATTTTCTACAGTACACGATCTTGGATTAAAATATTACTCCAAACTATCTTTCAATGATCAATGTTCATATACATTTTATTAGGAATAAAGCGTCCGTAACGCTAGGTTTTTTAAAACACACCTGTCAACATTTCCAAAAATTAATTAATCTGCTTTACAAATATTATTAATACCTTAATCCGTTCACACTTTGATTACGCTCTCCTAATCTGGCATCCATATTTATAGAAACACAAATTCAAAATTTAAACAAAATTCAAAACAATTTTATTAGATTTTTATGCTATTAGTATTTTATTTATAAAGCCCCTTATTCTGGTTATAATGTTACAATCCATTAATAGCGCCGAAATGTTTAGGTATTGAGACCGCAATACTTATTTGTTGAGTAGTGGTGGTCGACGCCACAATTAAAAAAAAAATAAATCAGTTTTCATAAATCTATAATAGTATGTATAATAACTTCAGGGACACTGCTGTCCTTTAATAAAAGGTTATATGGCGGTTTTTATTAATGTATAAGGGATTAAACCAAATAAAATATTTAAATTAAATTATTTAAATAGACTAATTTTTAAACTGCTCTGGTCATTGTTGTTGTCAAACAAATAAAACCACATCACGGCCTTATGGTTGATAACTATAATAGGTAATTTACGAGTATTATATACATGCAAGTACATATAAGTAAAAATATCACATTTAGTCACAGGCAAATGATCACGTTAATAGGTATACACACTTTATTAAATATTATATATAGATGTATAATACACAGGCATAGACATTATTAAAGTTTCACTCAGAGAATTAGTTTGTCAATATAAAATTTATGATGGAAATGTCACAAATATTTAACATGGTAAAAATATTTAATGTTAAATAGATTTTAAGGATAATGTTAAATGAAAAAGAAAAACTTAAAAGTCAAATTAATTTGTTTTAGTTTGTTTTGACTATATCGATGATCGTAATTTCTGATGGACAAATAAACCGTTACATAAATCCTGTTTGGTTAGAAATGGATGCTAACAGCGAATATTATCCTGGCGGTGAAGTAATAAGTCAAATTCTTCAAGCCTATGGTTTAACTGATAGTTATGGATCGTCACGGTATAGATCATCCGTTTCTAATCAAAATAGTTATGGAAAATCTAATACAAGGAATCGAGTTTTAAATAATTTGAATAATGCATATTATGATTCGGATCCTTCAACTCAGGAATACCTCGATCGAAATTATGACTACGTCGACAACGCAATCAGGTACTTAACACTATATTTTTCACATTAATTCTGTACACAATTATTGAATTATCACAAATATTGTCAAATCATTTGTGTTGTACAGGTGTCTTTACTTGAAGAGCGTTTAATTATATTTTTTTTAAATTTAATTTAAATTTGTTGACTATATAATAGACTAGAGCAATCACTTCCTGATTTGCTAACTTAACAAATTTTTACAACTCTCATCACAGTATGGGAGTAAGGAATGAAGTGTACATATTCAATATTCAGTTGTATGATAAACAAAATTGTCGGTTATATATTCTGGTTGGTAAACATCAAACTGTTACTGAATCACCAAAACATAAATTTGTAAATTCGGTTATTGAAATAGTTGATAATATTATTAGAATCAAGAATAAAATATAATTTAACTTTTTTTCTCCTCATGTTTTTCATATTAATATTATAATTAGTTATTAATTATTAGTAATAATTAATAACTTAGGTATAACATATTAATTATGAAGGACATAAATAAGACTTCTTATAATAAGTTTCAAATCTTAAGCCATTTAAGGTTAAAGGACTAAAGGTAATATTAGATTAGTGCAAAAAATATAATTTAAAATTCTCACAAAGTTCAAATACTATAAAGAAATTAAATTATTAGAAAACGTAGAAATTACCCAAAATAATGTTTATAAATTCAGTAATTTTGGGCCCCTATTACATACCCCTCCTGCATACCCCTTACGTACGCCTATAATTTTTTTGAAGTAGTTAGGTATACCGCCAAGGGCAACTTCTGAGACTTGGCTCTGAACTCTAAGACTGGCTGTGAAGTCATATTTTTTAGAAAACTGTATAACAAAACGTATATTTATATTTTATAGTTTATTTATACATCATAGTATAGATAGTAGATACCTCTAACTATACACTTGTACCTATGTGTTTGTCATATTATAATCGATAGTAAATTTTTTTTTTTGTTAAGTTATTCTTAACAAAAATATGGACTTGGGGCATCCGCAGCCCCTAGGGCTCCCCCTGGAGCCGCCTCTGTCTCTCTTATACTAGTATAATTCATAAATTACTCCAAAGATTTCTGTACTATTAATAATAAATTAAACATAAAATCGAACCCTGTCATTATCAACTAATATTTAAAATTAGATTTTCTTATGGAAATTGTATTTTGAGATTCAAACTAAAATATCGAGTTAGAAAGCTACACATCACCTAGTTTAAACTAGAAAATCATTGTAAATTTACAATGATTTTGTATTTTTTTTTTTTTAAAACATTTTATGGAGTAACACAATTGCTTCAAATGATTCACCTTTCATATAGTTTTACTGTCAATTGGATATTAGACATGGTTGTTATTTTATAATATAGGTTTTTCCTTAGATTTGGATAAATCATAATAGTTTTCAAGAAAAACTAATTTTGACATTCTCTTGAAAACTAAAGATAATTTACAAAACGCAATTATCTGAAGTAAGTAGCATTAATTGGTTTACAATTTAAAATTAACTAGACAGGTTATACTTTAATATTGTGTAAAATAATAAAACACGTATTTCCTATTTTTAAAAAGGGTTTTAAATTTAAATAAAACTGTAAATTTTATACAGAACTGTGCATTAGGGCAAGTACTGGTTTTAAGTATTCTTTTATACTTATTATTATATAAAATTAATTCAAACTATTATTAGTTACTAAATACCGATTTTATTAATTGTAATTTGGTCACTTATTATAATTCAATTTAATTAGTTCTTTTTTTTCTAATATAGTATTTTTCTTCTACAAACCTTTATTGGTTGTATCATCATTTTGTATACCTATATATATTATAAAACCATATTTTTGCAAATGTTTACAAACAGTTATAAAAATATTATTAATAATATTAGTAAAATATTAGCTATTTTAAATTTCGAGTTCTGCTTAAAATCGTTTTTCGATTGTCACCATACAAATATTGATACCTACCAGTAGCGTATCAAGGGGGGTGTTTTGTGTTCAAACACCTTTGACCATATTTATGCCGACAATTATAATTTATATTATATGCAGTTATATGCATTCGGTTTTTATAAAATTTGTTAAGTTACGTTTACGTACAGCTATAATTATTAAGTATAATGTATATTATATTTTATGTGCACAATAAAGTTACAAAGAAGTTACATCTAAACATAAAATAAAAACACCCCCCTAAAAAAATCCTGGCCACACCACTGATACCTACCACTACATATTTCCATCTTGCAGGGTGAATGACTATGAAACTGCATGAAAACATCACTGTCTTAATTTTAACGTCACAAACGTCGTGAATGGAAAAATTGAACATCTTAGTTTTTTAGAAGCTTTTAAAACTAATGCAAGATACTCGGTTACAGTGAAAGCATCCCCCAACTACATAAATTTCCCGACTTTAAATATTATAGTTATTTTATTAAGCTTGTTATTATAGCTATGAGTATAATATCAATTTGTATTTCCAATTTATTACGATTCATAGAATGTATTTTAAAAACCATTTAAATGTTTAAATCGAATAATTTTTATTTTTTACTATTTAAGTAATTTTATCAAAGCGGTGGTATGGTGATATATTTCTACAAATTTAATGCATTAATATATAAAGCATATAATATTATGTTTCAGAGGTTCTAGCAGATACCGAAATAATATGTTTGATATTCCTAGAAGTGCTAGAATTAATGTGGCTACCACAGTACCGAAGACTACTTATTATCAGCCAGAATATTTAGACCAACATTTACCATCAACACCATTACCATTATCTTACTCTAGGTTCAGATTATTACCTACTGCAGGCGATTCTACTGTGTCCCAGGATTTGGTATTACGGAGCAGAGAAACACCAAGACTTATTCCAAGATCCACTGTTACTCCAGATACTGCTAATGAAAATCGCAAAATATAATAGCAAGCCACGACTTCTTATTATAAGTATTTATTATTATAGTTAAATTATGAATTATATAATTGTATCTAGTTTGTAACGCTTGCATACCATACCATAATAATAATAATAATAATAATAATTATCAAATGTCAGTGGAGGATTTTTAATAATTTTCTGCGGGAACCCCTTCCAGAAAATAATAATAATAATAAAAATGAAATTTTACTTGTTTTATATTATTTTCTTATTATTATGCAATCTAAGTATAAATCACGATTCTTGACGACACGAGTAGTGAATTAATGCGTGATTTTTTGGTTATACCTTATGGTAATATAAAACAAGAATATACCTGTCAGACAAAATATAAAAGTGAACGTGTGAAAATAGTCTATGACAGCCAAAATGTAACTAACAAAATATATAATATAATAGTAACCATTATACCTACAGTTTAGGTATATTACATCGTGTAGGTCTTACACGATATTATGATATAGCTGGTCCAGTATAAAATTGAAAGTGTTTTTATCAAGGTCAAAGTGTCTCAATTACTGGGAAAATGTATTATATTTCCAGGCCACTTTAATATCTACCAATTCTTGATAGGTAAATATCGATAGTTATACCTATACCTACTATTTTGTTTAGAAAAGTATAATAATAAATTTTTGGATCACATATTTGTAGAAACATTCATCACCGAATATCGCTATTTTAATATTTATAAAAAAAATTTTTAATTTATATAAATAAATTTCACAACCCCAACCCCCCTGTATACGTGCCTGATTAAAACCATAAATATCTTCCTCAATGCACCAACAAGACAAAACTTACTACCAGAAACGACCTCTAAAGTTGATGATAGGAGCAAGATTTTTGGTTGAAAAGTTATTCACAGACAGAAAAACAAAATAAATGTAATTTTAAAAAACACACATCGTTGTAGTGACTGCAGAATTTCAATTTACCTACATTATGAAGTTAAAATAAACCAAAACACCATAGTGGAGTTTAAGGGAGATTAACTTATTTCCCTCCCTCAAAATCATCAACAGCTGCCCTTAAAATTATTAAAAAATAAATAAATTATTATTCTAACTTCCCAAAAATGATAACCCCGAAATTAGAATGACTTTGTATGAGTTATTACGTTTTTATGTATGACAACGAATGTGTATACAGGTATAGTACGAATGATAATATTTTTTCTTTTTTCACACACTTCTAAAAGAACCTCAAAAATTCAACTCCACCTATACAAAATACTCAACCAAAAATAATAATATTACAAAATAGGAAGGAAATACTCAAGATGAACAAAGTTTTTAGAAATAGGAAATATTACTAACGTCAATCATCGGTATCACCTGTATCAGATTTGATTACAAAAACATTTACCAATACTTACCTATGTATCGGAATTTCTTCTATACAATTATATGTAGAATGCAGATACATTGTAGGTACATTGTGCACTATAGTTTACACTTAATACAAATCTATACCTCAGTACTTTATGCTGTAACCGCATTAATTATTAAAATAATTTTGTTTAGTTAATTGACAAAATTAACATATTTAATTTTTATCGAGTTAGGCTACTCATATGCCACAGTGAATTTATTCAGCAGATCACTCCTCCTTGGTTTTTATCTATTTTTTAATTAAAAATCATCGTAAGTAAATATTATAACACACAATCAGTTGCGTAACAAGAACTTCTAAGTTCTAATGCCCGTGTAAAGGCCGATAATAAAAAAAAAAGTTATTCGAAAAATGCTTTGTACAATAATCCCACATAGATCCCCAATAGATCCTTATTTGGGGCCCCTGAATGGCATGTGCTCATTGTCTATCATGTCCCTAATGTGTATTAATAGTATTATAAGTAAATACGAATAGTGTTGTTGGTGTGTCGTACTTGGTGGCGTAGGTACCTGCGAGAGGCCAGGGGGGGTGCGATAAGGCGTTCATCCACCCTACCATAATCCGTAAAATAAATGTTCATTGTTACTGAATTAGTTATTAACGTTAAAAATTGTTTGTTTTATGAATTTAAATGTTATATCTTATATTAAAAACGAATTTAAACATTTATATTGCTAATTTTTATATGACACCAATTTTATTGGGCAGTGTATATAACAATATTAAATGACTTATTTTTAAGGAATTTTCAAATATTAAATTAATAAATTCCCCCTCCACCTCTGGTCGTATACGTTAAATACAAAATTTAAAATATAACAATAGGAGTATAGGACATAATTTAAGTCTATATTATATTGTATACTATAACAATATCTATGTACATAGGTATTTATTCAAGTCTTAGTGTATAAAAGTGTATCATTCTTATTTTTTATTATAAACGGTTTAGGGACATCAAATTACAAGCCCATTTAAACGTCCACACTATCATCAAGCATTTTAAACTCTATTATTTTCTGTTTGGAGGAGAAAAAAACTGATTTCACACAATACACAAAACGCGTTTAGTCCAATTATTTCGTTTGTATACACTCTCTCTCGTTCTCTGTCTGTACGTCCGTCCGTCCGATTTTGTTTGCTCTAGTTTCAGTTCATTGTTTGTTTTCATCATTTTCGCAACTATATTATTATAGGGTAAAAATATCGTGATCTGCATCTGCATTTAAATTGAACTCAGCATTACATTAATGTAGACTACCTACTAGCTACTACTATACTTTATATATTATAATACTCCCCGTGCAATAGTGTTAATACAACAATGAGACCCTAACAGGCTTGACTCTATAATATATGCATCGCATATTTTTTTTATTTTTTTTTATTATACCTACTTATATGTAATAACGCATTTTGCTACTGTAGGTATTGCGTACATAATATTATAATGTAATAAAGAATATAAGAATAAAAGTAAAAATACTTTGTACACTTGATCAACAAGTAATAGAATAAGACTGCATGCCGCGTCATTGCACCAACAATAACCTATTAAAACATATTATAATACATCTATGTATCAGTTAGGTATTTACATAATTATTATCGAAATGTTTTAACAAAATACTTATTATTATCGTTCATTTTTCATAGACATATCAACATTTTAAAATATTTCCAGTACATTAGCTAATTCATATAAATATATATTTCAATAAAATTCCATTTTATTATATATTATGTTTTATAGGTATGTTACCTGCCTAACTATAATAACTGCGTTTGGATAATATCATTGATTACATCGTTATCTACTTAGCGAAACTTCGTGAGTTGAATTTAAAATATTTTATGAAAACCGATAACTTGTGATGTACTTAAACATTTACCAAAATTTACCAAAATTAAAGTCAATATTTCGACGAGGTATTACTATGTAGCCAACGATATTAGTGTATATAACCAATGATAATATATATATAGTTTATATTATTCTCATTAAAAATATAAAATTTTTGTGAAAATTGTATGTACCCTACACACTTGTAAGCTATAGTGTCTGTAGTCCCATGTATTATGTGTATTATACAATAGTTATCATTGTGTGTAAACTTGTAAATAATAAACAACTATGTATATATACCCTGCAGTATGTGCTATGTACTACCTTTGTACATAAATGAATATGAATAGGTAGTACTGATGTATAAACTGTATAATATAAATATAATATTTAGGTAGGTAGGTACCAAACGAACCTCGCCCGCACACTATAAAATATAAAACTAACAACATAAAAATATTAAGCTCAAGGATACAATATTTAAATTCTTAGTGCCTATTTAAATATTATATCTTAAATAGGTACCTAACATATCCATCTTTAATCTTTATTATTATTTTTTTTAATTTTAGTTTTCATATAGATATGAATCAGTGTTTTTTTCGTTTAATATTTAGTGAATACCTAGCTTGAAGTTGCTACACTAAAATATAGTAAGTATAGGTACAATTTTAAAAACATAGTTTTACAAATTATGCCCATGTTCAGAAAACTGGGTCGGTGAGGTTTTTATCTTAGTATAAATCGTACCTAGGATAACTTTAGAACTACAGTCAAGCTGCAGATACCTACTAACAAGGTACAAAAAACAAGTATTTTAACTTTTAATTATAAAAATATAGATATTTCAAAAGCGGTCTATTATAATTTAAGCATTTAGCATTATTAAATGTATGTTATGTACACACTACGTTATAATATTTTGGTAGATATCTATTACTTATTAAAATAATATGAGATACCTAGCCGATAGCGGCATATTTAAGAGCCATTTTCTATCACGCCTACATGTTAAGGGATTTAAATACATTTCTTTAAAAATATAATGATTAAGTAATATAAATACTAAATTAAGATAAATCTTAAATTTAAAAATTCCGAAAATTATTATTTTTATTAGGTAGGTAATTAAAGTGTTCTTATATACAATTAATAATATAATATTTATGCGTATGTTTTTTTACACTGGAAATCTTATTTTTTTTTTTAATCAAAATTATTTTGAAAAGCCGTCCAGTATCTTTAAATAAGTTATATCATTAAACACGAAATAGGTAAGTACTTTAAAAATTAATTTCTTGAAATGTTTAGATCAATAACATGGTCAAAAGAATATCACAAAATAATGTATACAATAGATCTTACCAAACAATTGCTTGAAAATCCATCAAGTAAATATTAAGTTTAAACTTCTTTTTTGTGAGCTCCGATTTACAATGATGAAAAACCAGGAAAAAACACGAGAAAACTGAGAAAAACGGGCAAATGTAAGAAATGTATTATTAAAATATTACTATCTTTTTTTATTCTGTGGAAAACTTTTCTACCAGCAATTAGGGTCTAATTTGCAATGATAAAAAACTGAGAAAAACACGGGAAAAATATGGGAAAACGGGAAAATAGGTACAATATTAAACAAATATTATTAAAGAAAATTTATATTTCATATGTAATTATTTTACCATAATAGGATATGCATATTGTTGAAAAATAACAGTGACTGCGCCCGTTCCCATGATTCTAGGGCAGGTTTTTTATTGCAATTTATCAAAAGTACGTTTAAGATCTGAGTGAAGCGAGGAATGTATTGGTTTGACTATAATATTCATTTTTTTTTTTGTCTACCTTTTTTTACCAGAAATCTTACTCCGATTTTCAAGTATAGTACAATTTCTGAAAGGAAATGTTATCTAGCTGATAGTTTAATGAGATCAATTTTTGATTTTCTAAGTGGTTTTTATAATATTATAGTTGGGAAAATGTAGGAAAAATAGAATCATTTACGTGCATGTATAAAAAAAACTTCGCTCTGAATCGTTTTTTGTTAGCAATAGTTTATTGTTACGTGCTTTATAAACTAAATTCCCCTTTATATCATACCTTTAAGGTTCCAATAAATTGGTACACTGAGGTGGTTATTTTTTGATTTTCCTTGTAGTTTTTTAATAATTGTGAGAAAAACAAGAAACCTTACGTTTCTATACATAAATAATAGTATATATAATAATAGTACCTATCTGATATTTTAAATTTTGTTTTTTTGTTAAAATACAGTTGAAAATAAATAATAATTTTAAATATCAGAAATTTCCATTGAATACCTATTTATAATAGCTCTTTCTAGACGTAGTCAATACATCTGACGACCTTTGAGTTATTTATAGCCAGTTGAAATTTGGTTTTATCTTTTATGTGAAAAAAAATATTTTGGCCAACTCAAACTTTTAATATTGTTCAATATTCATCATGAATTATTCTTATGGAATTAAAAAGACGCAAATTTTGAAAATCAAGTCAGTAGTCAAAAAAACAAAAATTTGATCTTAATGTGTTATTTGTTTTATTAACTTTTTAAGTTCAAATTTGATTGAAAATCATAAAGGTCACTACGGTTTTCAAAATATGTTCAACCAAACAAAATTGTGTTTTATTTCAAAGTATGTATTCACTATATTATAATAATTAGAATAGGTACTATAATATAGTATAAACACATATATACCTTACCTATATAGAAATATAATAGATAATCGTGTTCATTGTTTGAAATTCATTACGGAGAAATATGTAAAATAATTATAATTGAAAGTCTTTGGTTTTATACATTGTAATAATAAGTATGAATATAAATATCAATTCTATAATCAAAAATGGAAAAATTATTGTTATATTATTTACAATACATTTACCTAAATACCTGTAGATACCGTTTGTATATAAAGCAAACGCAATATTATGTTGTAATAATATGTTAGGACCTTATATACTATAAATATATACGTACTATGTAATATAACCTTCAAAATACAATGAAATTCCTGCATCCTGTAATACGATTTTTGTAACAAAAATCAAATATCCGCACTTTTAGTTCACATTTGTCCTAATATATAAATAGGTACCTATACTTATTATGGGTAGGTACATACGTTATTGTCATAAATTAATAATTAATAGTTAAAAACTAACATAATAATAATGAAATAGTTTCAATAATGGGATTTGTTTTTTGTTACAATAAATTAAATTGTATCTAATTGCTATTGTTTTCATCCTAAATAACAACTGAACTATTATAATAATAATTTTTTTTTCCGGAATGTGAACAAATATATAAAATAAAGAGCTTATACTGGAGACGGGTGCGGCCACTCTTGTATGTGGTTAGTTGGGTAGGTGGGATATATAAAGATATTTAATTAATACTTGTAACCAACGATAAACTATTGCTAACGAAAATCGATTCGGAGCGAAGTTCGGTTATACATGTTTTGAAAGGCAACAATATTTATGATTTTCGTCAAATTTGATTTAAAACTCTTATAAGAAAAATAAAATAATACATTACACTAATTTTAGATTCCGAGCGTAGCGAGGAAGCTATTGGTTTTACAATGCTATTTATTTATTTTCTTCTTCTTTGTTCTAGTCTAGTGACACGGTTTTTCCTAGTAAACTTGCTTCAATATATAAATGTAAGACTGTGTTTTCTGAAAGCTCAAGTTGTCTAGATTGTATTTTAAAAATGTCATTTTTTGATTTTCGACGTCATTTTTTAAATAAAAGTACTTGAGTGAGAAAAAATGTAGGAAAATATATAATTTCACGATTTCATTATTTTATAAATACACGGACGACGTTTTCTACCAGAAAAAAAATGATTTAATCGAAAAATCACTAGATACCTTTTTTGATTTAATTTCTTACAGTATCATCGCCAAAACTTTTGGGCCACCTTTGATCTTTTAAGGAATTTTATTTTTTGGTAGTTTTTTTGTTATAATTCGATTATAACTATACGTGAAAACTTGAAACTTGGTAATAATACTTATATTGGACTTATCTAGACGTGATAAAATTTAAAAAATGATCGGATGACTTTTTTTTTTAATAAGCGTTTTAAAATCAAATTGAAACGAAAATCGCAAAAATAACGTGCACCCTGACTACACTCGGAATCGTCTTTTGTCAGTCAATGGTTTATTGTTGCTTACAAATATAAATGAAATAACCTTATGTATCCTACCTTCCCAACTTCCCATCTACAACAGTGGCTGCACCCGTCCCCAGTAACAGTTCTTTAAAAATTTGACAAAAAAATTATATTTACTTTTTCTAGACTTGGTTAAATTTATTAAAACATTTGAACCATTTTTCATATACTTAACCACCGACAATTTCGTGAACATCAGCTACTCCTTGAAAAAAAGGAATTTGACAAGACAAAAATGATTGAAAATTAAATATGAGGTTCAATAATAGTCGCACTTTGTGGTCAAAAAAAAAAAAAAATTGAGCTGAATGTAGTATTTATTTTTATGAAAAAATTTTAATGTTAATTTTTAACGGAAATAGTAAATACTATGGCCTTTCAAAACATATATAAATGAACTTCGATCTCAATTATTTTTCGTTAGCAATGGTTTATCGTTTCTTACAGATAAAAATTAAATATCCTTATGTAGCCGTTGTATATCTATATTTCTGACTTCCCGTCTTCAACAGTGACACAATTGTCCCCAGTATCAGTTTTTTTTTTGTGGAGAGGTGGGTAAAATCTTTTATCTTTAATTAAATATAAAACTTCTTATAATAAATACTACTAATAATGAACCTTCTGGCAAATGGTCAAGCATTCTGTTTAGTCTGACAATTTTATCCACAGTGTTCAATTATTAAGAAAACTACAAAGAAAATCAAAAAACGACTTTCTTAATCACCAAGAAGATTAAAAATTTAATGTAATGAAATCATTGTGCCGTAGTTTGAAAAAAAAAAATCATATTTTTCGTCTTGTTTGGTTTTTCCCAATTATTATGAAAACTTCTTAGTCAAAAAACGATATACATTGACAGTAGCTATACATTAAAAACAACAAAATTGATCTCTTAATATTTTTTGATTGAAGCAATATTTCTGGTAAAAAATATCATAAATATAAATAAAAAACAATGAAAACGGCAACGCCGCAACGTGCCGTAAATATATGCCTTTTTATCTATAAATTTTTATCGGGTTTTCCTTATTATTTTGAAAATCAAAAAAATGACCTCCCCAAAGCACCAACTAGAGCAAATTGCCTTTCAGAAAAGGTGTTACAGATACACAGAAAAAAAAAGATACGCATTATAGTAAAACCAATAGATCCCTCGCCACGCTCAGAATCTAAATAAATCGATGAATACTGCACTATAATGACATCAAAATAAACTCAATGATTAACGTTAACAATATACATATTATCTTTGAAAAATCTTGCAGTCTTTATCTGCCTAAGTGACAACCTATGTTTGTTACCGTTGTATTATATCGTATAAGTATACAATTTTAAATCAACACAAAAGGATATTTGTTGATTGTACCGTATTTAAATAATATACTGTATTTTGCATAGACTCTAATAGATATGTTTAAATAATTTGTTTGTTAAGTAATTCTTACACTTAATCTTTATAATACCTATATTTTTTTTTAAGACGTTTGAAAGCGATTCGGTTTTTATACATACCATAGTAGTCCGAATTTCTTTTTGAGAAACGATTCAACTTCATGTAAGTACTTTTTTTCTAAGTTTTGTAAAAAAATAAGGTTAACTCATCAGATATCATGTACTTTAACTAAATATACTAAAACCAAAACAAGGACAATAAATCAAAGAATTCAAATATTTTTTCAAAATTAAAATTAGGCAAACGGTAATTGGTGAATTGTATTCCAGCTTATTAGTCTAAAACGTCATATTCATCCGTAAAACAACGGTACCCCTTTCCCAAAAATGGGTAAGTGGCAGTTGATCGATAAAAAAAGTCTTATTATTAAGTTAAGTAGCCATTAAAAATTAAAAAAAAATAATGTTCAAATTCTACAAAATTAGGGACAATTTGGAAAAGTGTTTCCAACCTTCCTTAATATGTAAAATATAATCTAAATTTACTTAGATAGACATCTAGGTAAAGGTAATATATATCAAATGATATGGATAATATATAAACAGATAATTTGAAATTTGCGTCTATATATCTAATTCCCGAGTGCGGTTGTTTCATAAATAACATAATAATAAATAAATTGAAAAGAGAATGCGTGTTTTTGTTCAAATCATAGCCTATATAACAATATTATGTAGGTAAGTTTTAATGTTATTTTTTCAGCGTTTTAAAATACCGACTATAATAAATATTTATTATTATTATTTTTTTTACTGTTTTCGGATTAAACGCACGGCGCAAGTCAATTTTATAATATAGATATATATTATACAGGTATCTATACAATTATACATTATCTTAACCGATCTATATTTCAACGCGTTGAATTATATACTGCGAGTATAGGTACCTATAATATAATAACTGCCGGCTGGCATCGGTGGTGGCCAAAACGTGAACAATTATTGCCAACTCGTGATATACTTACATACTATATATATATTTTTTTATTAATACTACCTGGTGTATACATATTAAAAATAATAGGCACGGGGGAGTCGTATTATTTGCGAACTAGAGTAAAAGTAACACACCGTCTCTATAGGTAGGTATAGGTACCATTCGTGACCATGCTAACGTGAATCAGTCATGCTTTGAACGCTGTTCTCGACTAGACGTATATTTTCCTACACCAACTGCAGGTGTTTATAATATTATTAATAACTAGCACTTGATACCGACTCATAATAGTATTTTCTATGATATATTTGTTGCATTACAAAATATTTTACACAGTGTATAGCTATTAACTATCAAATCGAACTGAAAATATTATAAATATATTTATCGTGTCTAATAATAATAAATAAATAACAATATTACATCTATTTCAGTTATAATTAATATTATACCGATATCTAAGTATAGTGCTGCCTGAAGTATCCATCTATATACATGTCAGTTTAAATATTGAAATGTTTGGCTTCATTGTAAAATCTCAGGTATGTAACAGTTTTGATTATTTTATACCTATACTTAAGTATATCTTTAGTAAATACTAAAATAAAAATTATACAGTAAAATTCCATATAACGGTAGCCGAAGGAACCGAAAATAATAACCCTTATTTAGAGGTAACCGTCCTTTAGAGGTTTCCTATAAAGGCATAACACTTGACGGGACCAAAAATATGATCGTTTCACAGAAGTGACCACTGACCGTCTTTGGGAGGTGGCCGTTAACGGAAGTTTTACTGAAATTTATTTTGTTTATTTTTACAATAAATTATCTTATGGCTATAACACAGTTGAATAATTTTCAAATTTTATTTGGGAGAACTACATCAGTCTAACAATAACCAGCAACATATTAAATTTGAGTTTAAACACAATTAGCAACATTTGCGAGCAACTCAAATACTATTCACCAATTACCACGCCACTGAATATACTCTATCTAAAAACTCAATATACGTACATATACGGACTAATACAAATTTTTAATCAATAATAAAGTATAAATTAATAAATTTGAACCAATTATTTAACATATATTCTATCATCTATCAATCAATATAACATATATTACATCAGGTAGATACCTGATGTAAACCTACCTATGTATCTACCTATAAAACAAATTTGAATGTAATAACTAATGAGTCAATTGAAATTTTCAACCTTTTCATTTCTAGAACATTTAATTTCAGTATTATCTTAAAATTCTGTATATTATATAAGCTAGTAGCTATACATTTCAGTATTCCTATGATGAATTTTTACTTGATTGGATTTTATTATACCGACCTACTATTCAAGTTAATAGTTATATAATGTAGGTAGTAGATGCCTTTTTAAAATAAATTTTCTGTTAAATTATTTTGATATGTTGCGTTCATATTTATACAGTTATATAAATTTGTCATCAAATCTATCCTAATAATTAAATGATAGTTAGGTATACCATCTATACCTACATATTATTATAGTGCCTACATGACGCGATTATGTCTGCTGTATATTTATTAGTAAAACAGTTAGAAAGCGTAATTTTTAGGTTTGCACGAAAAATAAGTATGAATCTTATTTCTTATTTTAAAATTTTAATTGACTTCGATTTTTTTGAGTACAAATAAAAACGACATTATTTTCAAACATAATATTTTTATTGGTTACGTAACTCATTTTAAAGTATATATGTTAGATATAAAATTACAATCAGTATTCATACTAATAAAGTATTGATTAAATTGGTTCATTTAAAAACTAGTGGTCACGTTATTTTATCTCGGATATTTTAATCCAGATTCCAGTTTACCTATATGCTGTTCTAGTCACATTTACATCATGTAATCATGTCATCATATCATATAAACAGACATCTACAATGACTATAATTGTATCAAATATTTTAACATAAAAACTTTTAATTATTATTTAGTGGACATTGATAAGAATCAAAAACATAACATATTTGTTATTGATTATAAAAATAATAATGGTTTCTACTAATTTACTGTCAAACTTCCACAAGTTTTATAATTACCTATAAATATATTTTTGTAAATCCATAAGTAAATATTCGTACATACATAATATATTATATCCAAATTAATTTTCATTGCATTATATACTTTGAAAATGTTTCTTTATTCACAGATACTTAGAGGTGGGTAATTATTACTTACCTATCTATTTAGAATATTTATTAATTCCAATTTCAAGATTTGTATATTGTAGTTAATTTAAATATAAATATTGTTTAATTCATTTATTTGTACTTTTTTTCAAAGTATACAAATTATTTGTTGGGTTTTTTTGTTATAACGGAATAACTTATTGTCTAGCTAATTCAGAATTACCGACAAAAAATATACTATATAGGTAGTAAATACTAACCTAAATTAAGTATAGTGAAAACTTGCACCTAATTAAAAAAATAATTTTTTTTTCAACAGACTTGATTACTTATACATTTTGTTATGTATGATCATTTTTTCTCTTAACACTGTCATCAATTAATTAACATAATATAATAATTTATGAAAAATATTTTTTATACCTGATATCTAATGAATTTAACTACTTTTTTACTTTATAATGTCGTATTTATTTGTAAAGAAAATGTTCAACGGTATAGACAATCATGACAGGAATAAAATAGATTTTATTGATTTAAAATTTAAATATGTTTTTTTCAGTTGTAAACCTCTTAATAATTAATGAAACTATGTATGATAATGATACAGTAGATTTTTTAGAAGTTAACAGTGATGTATGCAAAATAATAGAAAGATAGTAATCAATAAATGTAATTGTCTACAAAATTGAAAATCCTCGTGGTATGATTACACATTATATAATAAAGTTATTATTATTTGCTATAATTTTAGGTAAATTTGTTAAGAAAAATAATACATAATAATAAATAATTTGTATTCACAATTTATCACACCCGTAAAATATTTTAATCGTCCGATGACTTCTGCTATTATTGATTCGATTAATCGATTTTCCGTAGCAACCAGTAATTCTAGAGGATAGAGAAATAGGTTGGTACAATAATAATATAAAACAAATTATACTCACAGACGACTGGTTCTGAACCATTGAACCGCTACATGTCACCTGAAATCTGACAAAATCGCAGGGGTAATTTTTTATAGGAAATTTTATCTTGAAATTCGTTATGGTGAATACATTTTTAGAACGCATAAATTCATCCATTATGACATTTTAAATATTTCTTTAAATTATATTAATAATAATTTTAATTTTAAACCAATTTAGTTATTAACATCTTATAGTACCTATACCTACAGGCTATAGCTAGGTATGTGTACTTTAATTTTAATTTCTCTTAACATATATTTTCATTTTTGCTATTTAAATTCTACTCAAGCTTAACAGTATTAATCTAGACTTAAATAATATTGTGTACATATTATACCAGATATATTATAGTATAATATGCCTATTACCTATATAAAGATGGTAAGGCCGTTCGAAATCAAAATATTGCTACTGTATACAACCATATACAGCTTACAGGCTATTATACAGAACAATATTACTTATATATTATAAATATTTTAATTTTTTTAAATATGTAGGTACTTAATACCTATGTTTATACTATACAAATAAACTAGCTGTCCCGCTTTGTATTATTATTATTTTACCTATATTCATTTTTGATTTTGGCCGTATCAGAATTGAATGAAAACTAGATGGAAAGTGGATAGTCCACCTTCGGCAGACTAAATGTATTTTATTGTGAAATTTTAATAGTGTAAATAATAATAACAATAATAATTGTAATAGTTTTCTTTTCCGTAACACCAAGGTAACCCTTGCAAAATAAATACAAAGAATTAAATAAACAATTGGATATTCATATCAAATATACCTAAAAACCACTATTTTACCCCCTTAGGGGTTGAATTTTCAAAAATCCTTTCTTAGCGGATGCCTACGTCTAGTGGTTTGGGCTAGGCGATGATGAAATCAGTCAGTCAGTCAGGACATGTTATTTTTTGTATATAAATAGAACGTAAGTGCCTATCTACAGTCACGTGTGTATAGGAATATGTGATCGTTTTTCTTTTATATATAATTTATTGTCAATGCTTAGCATTCAACGCATGAAAGGGAAATTCGGACGTCTTCGTTCAATTTACCTACACTAAATTATCGATTCGTTTTCACCAATTGTACGTGCGAGGATCAAATTAAAACGAAAGTGACAGTTTTTTTTTTCTACTTGGACATTATTATAATGCAGATACCTACACATAGGAGAGCATTATAGTGCGTTATATTGTGACTAATCAAATTGCTACCTAATCAAATTGTGTTCCAAAAACTTTCTTTTCGTATCAATAAAAACGTTTTTTTAAGTAACAATACAAAAATTGTTACCAACCTAGGTATCGTATTTTGAATTCATATTAAAATATAATTTCATTAAAAACCTACCTGTTAGTGGGTAGTTATTATTATTTATTTATATTTAGTTTATCTACATAAAACTATTTATTATTTTTTTTAATTTGATTACAAATTAGTGGTTTCAAAAAATGTTTGTTTTAAAGTCTATATTCATAATGAACAATTAAATAATTTATTTTTCTAACGGAAAAAATGTACAGTAAAAATCAAAATAGTGATAAAAGTGATATTTATAAATTATTTAAGAAACCAAGTAGGTAACTAACAAACTACAAAGTGCTTTGGAGTTTGGATGTAGGCGTATATTGTGATATTTTTATTACTTATACCTTTACCTACTTAGTATAGTATTGTGACAGGTATAGTAAAAAATGGTAAAAGAAGTAGAGGTGACTTCTACCATAATAAAATTATAACTGCTATTTGGTAACATGACTACTAGTCACTAGTAGCATTAAAGAATAAATAGCAGTCATCAATCAATATTTTCATATTAGAGTAGCAATGTGTGATTTTTACTTTGAAATCACCGTTACTGTTATTTCATACAATCATTAATTCCTACATAGGATTTGTCAAAAATCTTTTGCAAATTTTAATCCTTATTTGCCATAAATTTGATTTAAAAATTCTGAAATATATAGAAGATGAAGCCGATGAAGAAGCCGATCTCATGTAGGTATACCTACTGTTCACGCTGAATTAAAGTCTATCCATATCTAGTCCCCTTAAATTATATATTTGCATTACTATAAATACAACTTGTATGTTCCAAAATATAAAATAATAATTTATAGCTACCAATAATCAATATCGGATATATTATTATATTAATACTGCGATTTTGTATTATTATTCCTACTTACCTATTATTTAACTATTAACAGAACATACCTACCTTACAACAGTAGACAAAAAAAATCAATTTCACCATACAGAAATCGGTTTAATATCCGTTACTAATTGGTTTGTTAATTTTCTGTTTTCTTCGGTTTAGCCCGTTAAATTTGTATATAGATAGTACCTACCTATACAGTTGTATACCTATATAATTTGAGCTATAAAATAATATGATGTCACACGGGTTTCAATAATTAAAGTGTAAAATTATTTTACATTCTTGATAATGGAAATAGATCATTTACAATTATTATCAAAAAGAGTAGGTATATAATAATATAATTCTAAATTCTAACTCTCTGATATAAATAATAATGAAAAATAAAATAGTGTAATCAATTATTAATTTATTTTAAATAACCTGTATTATAGATAAAAATACAATTTATTTTAAAATATTATTTATACCTATTTCAATTTTCAATGATAATATGCATAGGTAGGTACATTTCAAAAAATATTCGCACCATCACATTGCTCGTGATTTCTGTAATTTCAAATTGATTTTATTATTACCTACCGTTTACATTTTTTTCATTTTTTTGTCTAGAATGCCAACAAAATGATGGCAGACTTTACGTTTACTTCTTCGGATCACGCTGGACGACTACGCATCATGTCTGTATACTTTTGGTTGACGTTGTTGGCTTTGTGCCAATGTTTATACGGAAAACCGACAATTGCCACTGCACATCGATGGAGTTTGGCCGAATTGTCGGTCACGTCCAGCGAACTGCCCAAACAGATACCGGCGCCACCTTATCCACAACAGCAGAGAATCCAATCGACACCGCATTACGACCAACAACTGAAATTGCCGTCAGCTGGTAACGAAATAGGTCCGCGGCACCAACACTATCCGTGGACCCGACCAACTGCGTCAATCATTTGAAAAAATATATTTATTATTTATTATAATATTTTATACATCTGGCAAACATCATCTGAGCCATGTTCAGAAAATATAATGGTTCCAGAAATCTCGTATCATAAAAATAAAGAAAATAAATTACAATTGTAATAAACACCATCGAATTTTGAAAACAACTGCTGATCATTTTAAGGTCAGAACCAAAAAACTACAAAGAATTGACAATTTTATCTTGAAAATATCAAAAGAACCAATTTATATTGTTATTATATTTATTTATTTATAATTTATAGTCCAAACCTTGAAGATTATAACGACTATATAGTTAACTAAAACCTCAGAGCAATTTAAAATAAAAGCTTCCAGAATGTAGTATAAACGTATACATATTAAAGTAATTTAATGACCATTTTTCTAAATTCATTATTGTGAACCTATTCCTATATTTAACTTTGTTTAATTGTTATAATTTATTATATTATTGATTATTATACATGTTGGTGACCAAAGTTACCCAATTTATACTTACTTCACGCTTTTATGTTATACCATATAAAAATTAACAAGGTATTTTTTTCCTTAACTTTTTCTATATATTATTTATTTATTTTTAGATATTTTAGGCCATAGGTATTTAAAAAATAATTGTAGTTTTTATGAAAATATATATTAGATAAAAATCTAATTTCTAAGTTAATTTCTAATATTTAAGTTCTAATATTAAGCGGATATTATATCTTATGTTAAATAATTCTATATTGTGTAATCTTTAATATGTTTGTTATAGCCAAATGGGGTTATACATACCTATTATTATTCTAGGGGTCGTGGTTTTAAACCAGTGTTTCAAAAAATGCTTTGCAGTTATTTTTCCCTTATACCCAAACAGAGGAAAACAAATGTAATTTAGGTATACCTAGAGACCCAGCTATTGCTCGCTCAGAATATTTTAATAGAAAAATACTTTTGATACAATTTGTTATGCAAACTTTTCTACCAGAAATCTTGTGTCAATGTATAAAGTAGCTTATTTTCTGAAAGGAAATTTTATATCCATGGTAACTTAAGGAGGTCACTTTTTGATTTTTTAACCGGTTTTCTTAATACCTGGGAAAAACCACAATAAAATGTTGGAAAAACGGAAAATGTACAAAATGTAGGTATAAGAAAAAAATATTATGGCCTTTTTTTTCTGTGTACAACTTTTCTACTAGCAATTTTACTCAGATTTCAAATGATAGTACTCTTTTTGAAAGTTAATTTGATTGGGGATGTACTTTAGAGAGGTGATTTTTCGATTTACCTAGGAGTTTTCTCAACAAATGTGAAAAACCGAAAAAAAATGTAGGAGAAACCGGGATAAACGATACAATATAAACAAATATTATTAAAGAAAATATATCATGCCTATTTAATTATTTTACCATAATATAACATATATATTGTTGACAAAGCACCACTATCAACTAATCTGTGCTCAGGATTGCTTTTCGTTAGCAATGGTTTATCGTTGTTTACAGATTTAATTAAATTACCTATAACAGTGGCTGCACCCGTCTCCATTATACTAGGATGTCTTTTTCTATTTTATTATACCAAATATTATAAAGATAATTGTACATAGAAATTTAAATTTTATTAAAGTTGGTTAGAAAAGTATTCTTGGCAATATTCAAAAATAGATGATGAAGCATGGTGTTGTTTAGATTTTGCCAGGTATAGAAATCCATAAAAAAAATTGTATTCAAACTTATTACTTTATTATGTAAATCATTACAGTTATTTTATATGACTGTGTTGTCTTTATGTAGAAAATAAAAATGATTCATTGTTATGAATATTAAGAACTTAAGTTTAATAAGATTGTACCAATTTATTACATTGTTGAATTTAAAGATAGTTAACATTTGTACTATAAAATTAAAACATTATATTTTAATCATATTATTATGTAGGTATACACAAATTAATATATTAAAAATGTAATTAGAATTATTTGTATTAATTTATATTAAGTTCATACTACCTATTCAAAATCATACAATTATCAATTGCTTATTGATTATTATTCTTAATTGTTTAAAAATGTACAACCTTTTTTTTGCAGTTTATGTTTAGTATTAATGCAGGTACAATTATTAATTATGAAATTAATTAATTATATACAATAAAAAAAGAGCTAATACTGCTGACATATGCTACTGTTTAAGTGGAAAGTTGTGAATGTAAGATTCATAGAGTTGTTTAATTTATATTTATACATAATGATGAATTATTGATAACCAAAAATGATTTCCAGAGAAATTTGGTTAAATTTGTTTTGAAATGTGTATAAATAAACTACTACATTACGCTCAATTTTTTTTTACCACTACAAACAACTTATGATAAGCCAATACAATTCTATCAACATAAAACCAAATAAAAACTTAAACACTTTACAAATTTCAAATACCTCAAAAGATGCCAAAATGCTTTAAAAGTTGACTATGTCTAAAAAAATCGAATTCAAGTATTCTGTGAAATTATACAGGACTTAATGGCTATTCCAACTAAATTACAATGAAAAACCAAAATATTTGAAACTGTTCTTATGTAAACATTTCCAAGTTTTCCCAATTATTAAGAAAACTGTTTCCTTTCCAAAATGATGCTACACTTGAAATCCGAGCAAGATTTCTGGTAGAAAAGTTATTTACAGACAGAAAAAAACACGTCATAGTAAATCCAAGACATTACTTGGTTCACTCAAAATCTAAAGAAAACTAAAATTACATAGATATCCATTTAATAAGTTAAAATAATATTAATTAGGTCTCAAAACATTAACAGTTGTTAACAAATATTAAAATGTTACCTAAAGGTATTAAATGAATTTGTACACATTTAACATCAATGTTAAGTTAAGAAATATTCCACTAGTGATTTTCTCGAATTTCTTGGTTAAATTTCTCAGTGACACCTTCTATGCATAATGATGTTTTATGTATAGTTACAGTTTTGCTTCTTGATCTTGATCCCTAAAATATACATACAAAAATCAAATTTTAAAGATTTTAAACTTAGCATAAATATATACAACTGATAGGGTAGGTACCTAACTTGCTTGCAAATAAATTATGTTAGACATATTTGATGTTTGAACATTTAAAGTATTTTAAATAAAATTAATATATAAAAAAAAAATTGTTCAAATTTTAAATTAAATAATGATAACTTTTTCAAAATAGATTTAATTGTGATACTTTAATCTAATAAACTTACCCGATCTAATGTTAAGTCACTTTTTCTCAGACCCAATACTTTTGAAAGATATTTTATTAATTCTGCATTAGCTTCACCATCAGTTGGGGGTGCATTTATTTGAACACCAACACCATCAGAACTTATATCTTTAAAATAATAATAAATTCAAATTTGAGAAATATCAATATTTGGAAACAAGTACATAATGTATATTTTTCCTGTTAATCTTAGACACTTCCAGCAGCTCCTTCAGGACCAAAAATATGTTCAAACTTGGTTATTTTATAGACGGACATAAGTCATAAAAGTTGGATTTAATTTTAACACAATATTGTGAGATAGATTGTTTTTAACATTCAAATAATCCCCACCTCAGTGGAGGTGATGCATGGAGGTTTAACAAACCCAAGATCTAGAACTCCTATTAGTGAAAAGCCCAAGTGTATGATTCCAGTAGACTTATGGTATTGTTTCTGTTGTTTAGAGGAATTGAGTTTTTAGCTCACAATATCATTCTAACTGCGAGAGTGGATGAGAATATTCCCACAATACACCTACTAGTTGTAATAAGTGACAAATGAGGTTGTATTAGGTTGATAACTGATGTAAAATTTTATCAAACAATATGAGTTCTAAACAAAACTTTGGTGTTTTTTTAGTCTTCTTGACTTAAAAAAATATAGTATACTTATATACATACAAATATAACCATTTTAGTTATAAAAAAACATGTTTTTATTTTATCAGGAGAAAATATTATGCAAAAAAAAATACTTCGATACCTAAATAATCATGTTTTTATTTTATTAATTTAAATTAATATTTACAATCTGTATTCTTAATAATACAATAAGTCATTTGTGATAACTAAGAGTAGAATGGACGACATGTATGCTTGAGAGAAGGGAATGTTCAATGACACCACTTCATAAAATAATAAAGTATTGGTAAATATTTTAGTCTTATTATTGTATTTTTGTATACTGTGATTAATTAAATATTATAGTACACTAAGATACACTAAGATATCTAGGTAAATAAAATAAAATGACACAAATTAAATGTAGTCAGACTGGGTTTTAGTATTCTAGCAGTGTTTAGTAGTTTATACCATATATCGGGTGAAAATAATATGTGTGATAAAGTGAATAGAAATTTGGTACAAATCGTTGATAATTAATTCTATTAATGAACTACCAACCTATTTATGAAATCCGATATAAAGACGACCACATTAGTCAATTCACAAATTAATAAAACTTTACAAAATATCAAAGTAATCCAAATATCTATCTTGTTAAGTGTGCTTATACCTTATACCATTATGTGTGTAACTAAATGGCAGTTTAGGTTCTTTAATTAAATTGATAATATTATACAATACTACATATATAGAGGCACCTTATCTGTAACATGAAGAAAAAAAAAATGCCAGACTGAGTTAGTGCCAATCACTAGTGTTGATGCCCTAATTACTTTTATAAAAACAGTTCCTTCAACAATATATTTTAAATTATTTTTTTTATACACCTATATTGTTTAATATGGATATTATAGGAATAAAAGTTTTATAAGACTTTACTTTAAAAAGGTTCCAACATGTTAAAATATGAAAATACATTCATTACTTGTACCTGTTATATTGTTATTTTTAGCTCCAGGTTTGGCATTTATTTTTATAACAATATCACCAAATTTATCGACTGTTATTGGTCCAACTTGATTTGTCTCATATTTTTCTTGAACATGTTTTGTATTTTTCTTAGGCATAATCTTTGGTAGTTTTAAGGAAAATAAAGTTGTATTAAAAATTCTCATTAATAAATAGAATATTATATCAGATGTAGGTAAACAATTGTAATAGAATTATTATTAGTAATACCTAATAATTTAAGATAAAAAAACTGTTTTTAAAAAGTCCAGAAGAAAAATTTAATTACAGATAAAATAAAAATATTTGAAATTATAAATTTAGTATTTACTACTACTTACTTTAATGATAACAGTTTTAATAAGTGATAAGGTGTTTTTGTTAGTCGAGTTTGTTATTATCTACCTCCTAAACACGGCTATAGATAATATTTATATCCGTGCTCCAAATTAAAAATTTCAATAAAACTTTAGGGTATTTCTAATAAATATGCATTGCCATTTGAAAAATCAATTGTTGGTACTATAGGCAGCGGTTGACTCAGAGTGGCTCAGAGACATGAGCCACTATGCCCCCTCCTAGATCCACTACTAAACATAAGAGTGAAAAAAAATGTTACATTTGAAATTAGGATGTAGTTTATAAATATCTTTAATTTTTGACAATTTTGATCAAAATGCAAAAAATTATCCTGTATATTGAAATATTTTTAATTAATATTTAACTAAGTTATAAATTACTGATAAAAATCATACCATGTGTTTATACATATTACATATTTTTTATTATATAATAATTATTAAAGTTATTACAAAAATGCATATTAGGATTTTTAAACTTTTTATTAATACTTCGGTACATCAAATGAATACATGTGTCTATATTTCAACAGCAGTTGTCTTTTCATTTGTAAGGATTGCCGAAGATCATCCATAGCTTTTAACTGTTGTTCACTATTATATTGAACGCCGGGTAGTTTATGAATCTAAAATAGAACATATTTTTAGATTGTAAAAATGAATAACAGAAGTTTTATATATTTTAGTTTATTTGAAATTTTCTAAGAATTTAAAAATAAAAAGTACCTAACATTGTTACATAATATGAATCAGTATATTAAAAATATTAAATGAATTATATATCAATGTAAATTGTAATATAATATGAATTAACCTGATTCTCCATCTGAACTACATTGATGGATTATGTCTGTATTAGCAGCATTAAGTCTTTCTATAATTGCTTTAGCTGGATCGAAGAATCCTCCAGTTTGTTTCTCACATACAAAGCATTTAGTACTTTTTTTGTAATGGGCAAGAGCACACTTTTCACAAAAATAATGTTTACACTTTGTCATTACAGGGTTGACATAAGAATCGCGACAAATCAAACATTTAAATGGTAGATAATCATCATCATCTTCTTTAATTTCATACTTTGAAGGATCATCACCATCAGAATCACATTCTTGATTATTTTCAGTTTCTAATTGCCAACCATATTTATAATCTGACCGATCGTGTAAGAATTTACAACTGTCACCAAAACCACAAAAACCAGTTTCATTATAATCTTTACATATGTCAGGTTGATAATCCCAACGAACAGTGGAACGTAAATTAGCAGGTGCTCGAATAGGTCCTTTACGGACCATTCCACTGGATGCATTACCTAAAGCTGTATCTTTTTTCTCATAGTATTGTGTATAATTTGCTAAACCTCTATACACCTTATCATCTTCTTTACCTTTAAGTTCTTTATTCACTTGTAATGATCGTTCATAAATAGCTTGAGCATCTTTGTCAAGTTCAGTATCAATTTCAACAGTTGCTGTTGCACCCATATCTTTGGGTCCACTCATATCTGTGTCCATTTTAGAACGATATGAAACACCAACACTTTCGTGATCACTTTCAGAAGAATCATTGATTGGTTCAGATGTTTTCAATTTATTACTAGATGTACTTTGTATTAATAAGTTTAATTTTTTATGGCGTTTATTATTGTGAACAACAACACTTTCTTCATCACTACTTTCACTCTCAGAAGAAACTCTTCTACGCCGATTTTGAATTACTTTACGTTTTTTAAATTCTGCAGACATATTTTGATATTTTAATTAGGTCTTACCTGACAACGGGCAAGGTCGATTTTTTTTTGAAGGTCTTGAATTTTCTGGGATATTTCTTGGGCTGATTTTTGTGGTTCGGTATTTTCTCTTTCACCGCTACAAAGTAGAAACAGAATAGATAACCGGTTAAAAACTTGATAAACACATTTGACGAAACCTTTATTACCTTTTTATAATGTCATGAATTAAAGGTAAAAAATCAGTATCCACATCATTTACGGTAATACTAGTTTCCATATTTATAATTTTCTACTTTTCATACTTTTCTATGTTTACTTAATAAGAAAGGCAAAATCGTGAGTGATTTTCTAGGGTCTAAAATTATAAGAAATGTAAACAAAATAGATAAAGAAAACAATATTAACGAACGTGAAGTTACGTACGGATTAATATATTCTTTAGTTTCTAAAAAAATTGATTATCCCATAGATGACGTTGTAAACATACAATTGTTGTCGACCTAGATTGATAATACGTGGATAATAATATGATATTTATTATATAAATTAAATAGTTAAATAGTTTTTAATTTTGTATATTTTGATGTAGATGAAAATAAATTAGTATTTTAATATAGTATTAGTATTTTGTTAGTTAATTTAAATTTATTTATTAGTAACATTATTAAGTTAACACTAATTAGTATATGATAAAATGGGTGCATTTGCCAGTCGACAAAATGCTAGAGTAGAAGAAGTAGACAACAACTCAAATAATGCTTACAAATATCCACCAAAATCTGGTTTGTTAGATGTACCTTTAAATTCATTAATATTTCAAATTTATTTTTCGGCTCCTACAACTCAGACAAATATATTAATTATAATCATAAATAGAATTAAAATTCAATAAATTAAAAATGATTAATACATGTTCTAAAAAATACCCATTTGTATGTCATGTCATATTTACTCAACACTTTACCAATGTATAAAAAAAAAAAAAAAAAGGAATTTAATGAATATAAATCTTACGAAATACTTCTATTCAGTAGCTCAACTAGGATTCTTTGATGGGGTCTCTGCCTAATTCAAATTTTAACCCATAACTTATTTCAGAATATACCATTGGTTTTCCATAATTTTTCAATTATCAAATGTAAAGGCATAATTGTTTTTGTACTTATTTAAATTAAAAAAATTATTTCGTAATATACTTATTTAAAATGTTTTTTTTTGCTTCTTCAACATAATTCAAATATTACTTAAATAAAAAATTATAATCAAAATAAACATCTTGCGGTTACTCAATTAAATAAACATTTCTTAGTAAAAAATCAAATTCTAATTTTATCCAATTTAACTTTTTTGTAACATTTCCAATAACTGCCATAATAATATTTTAAACAATGTATTCTGTTGAACCTTATAAATTATAATGGTAGTTGTACATTACTAACTTATGATAAATAGAATATGTTTTCCAATTGTCATTGAATAGAATTTCCATTAGGTAGTAATTAGAGTAGATACTCTTTTCATATTATTCTTAAACAAATATTAGGATAAATCTAGTTAAGCATTCCTCGAAATTTTGCATTTTTTTTTGAAAACTTATGTATTACAATGATTTAAAAATGATGATGTCAAAAGTTTTTTTTGGAAATCATTAGCTATGAAGTAAGCTTTTCTTTTATAGCCATTTGAAGTTCAGATATTATTGCAGTCTGAGCGAGCACAGCAATTGAATTACCCTGTCAGGTCTCTAGATGCACTCAAAATTAATTTGTTTTTCCCTGTTACTTACCCGACATGGTTTTGTACAACAAAATGAGAGTTATTTTCGATTAAAACAGTATGAACAAATGCAACTTAAATATCTATTAAAATTTTTATAACTGTCATTAGAAACTTAAAATTACTACTTAATCCATATTTTTTTTTAACCATCAATTACTAATTTAAAATTTGTATATAAACCACGAAACAAAACTAATTTTAATCATGATTGATTAAAAACACCATATAGTATCTATTAATTATATATTATTTGTATTTACAATTGTTACAGGAAATTATTTTAGCACCCATTTTATAATGGGAGGTGAAAAATTTGATACACCACAACCTGAAGCATATCTATTTGGTGAAAATATGGATCTAAATTTTTTTAGTAAATGCCCTACAACAGTAAGTAGGTTTATTATTATTTTTTATTTAAATGTTATGAACTAGTTTTGCTATGTTCTATATAAATTTTGTCAGTGGTGTCATTTAAAGGAATCTAACTGTATTTCATTTTTCTTAGATTAAATATTATAATAACTATAATATTTTAAAATTTTGAATTATAATGACCCATTTACCTGTACTTTTTGAACGGAATCACCTACTTTTTTAAATTATTACTTTTGGGTAGTATTTACTAATTTTAAAATTTGGACAATTATGAAACAACCTTCAATAAAATAAATAAAACATGTATTGTTTTATGTTTATTTAGTTTCCATATCCACCGCCTGAAGTGGGTGAACCTACTAAACCTTTAAAAAGTTTGGTAAATATTAGAAAAGAATCGTTACGTTTTGTGCGTACTGAGGAAGGTAAAACTATATTCAATATAGAATTTACTTTCGATTGTGATTCACCATGTTCAATTACAATTTATTATTTCTGCACAGAAGAATTTACACCTAGTGGAGTTACGTAAGTTAAATTCATAAGCGTTATTTAGGTTAACATGTAAATTAGTTTTTATATTTTTTAGAATATATTAAAATTAAAATTTTGTATTTATATAAGTAGAATATAGGTTGAAAAGGTCCAGAATAGAGCTTTACAGTGAAATTACAGTTTTATTTATTTATAAACAATATTTTAAATTCTGAGTAAAGCGAGTTTAATGTAGTATTTTTTTTTTTTTTCGTAAGAATTTTAATTGAATTCATAAATATTACAATGCATTAACCAAAATCTACTCAGAAACTTTGATTGTTAGCAATAGTTAATAGTTCCATACAGATATACCTTCAATTTCCCCACAATCTTCCAAAATTCTCACCTACAAAAAATTGGGTGGCCCACTTATCATGCAAATTATGTCCGTATCTTTTTTAAATATTTTCGTCCTAAATAATCTTAAATAATTGTTGATAATTAGAATGTATTTATTCATACTATGCATTTAATCTGTATAGATTTAATTGTCGTGATCCATCAATGACATCTGAAGTTTACCATTATAAACGAGGTTCAAATCAACAATTTATCCAACCAATGCACATATTTGATCCAAGTATTTATAGTACTGAAGACTTAAGTTACATATTCAATAAAGAAGTTATTCCAATTGCTATACATTGTGTAGCTCATGATACTTCTGAAGGTATATCAATTATAAATAAATAACTTGAATTTAATTTTTAATTAGTTTATATTTATTAGAAACACGACAGTCACATACTACAATTGCAGTGGTAGAACAGTATTCTGATGGATCTTACATTTTAAAAGCTTTAAAACAAAAGTTATTTGTTGATGGATTATGTTATTTGCTTCAAGAAATATATGGCATTGAAAACAAAATGACAGACCTAAAAGTTTGTATACTATTATTTTATTTTAGTCATTTAGGCATTATTTAATCATTTATTTTTAAAGGATTCTGGAGACGAAGATTTAGAAGACTGTAGTTCAGAGTGTGTAATTTGTATGAGTGATATGCGAGATACATTAATCTTACCATGTCGTCACTTATGTTTGTGTCAATCATGTGCAGACTCTTTAAGATATCAAGCTAATAATTGTCCAATATGCCGAGTGCCATTCCGTGCTCTTTTGCAAATTAAAGCCTTGCAAAAAACATTGGACAATAATCACAGAGTAATATTACCAAAGTTTAAAATAAGTTTAAAATAAAAATTTGTTTATATTCTATGTAAACTTATAGATAGATTTACGTACACCATACGGTTATGAAACTGTTCCTTTAATTGAAGCTCTTAATGGCCCAAATTTCCGACGTTATAGTAATGCTGCCAAAGTTCCAAGTGATCCGTTATTAGATTCTTCACCCGACAGCCAATGTGCTGGACTCACTATGTCCAAGTATGTTAAAATAATAATATAATATAATCATTTTTAATATCTTATAAAAGTACACACAATAGATCAAATTAGAAAATAAATATGTGTCTATTATGTTTAAAAAAATATAAGCTGATATTTTCCATTTGAAATACCTACTTGAATATTTAAAACACTGTTTATATAGTTTACTTTAATAATATATGATAATGTTATTTCATATCTTAAGTATTTTTACCGTAGAATATAAATTTAAAACTATGTTTTTCAGAATGAGTTTAGACAGACTTTCTAGAAAAAAATCATTCAGTCTAGATTCCCAAGGAGAATCATTAAGCCCAAGTGATAATTCCATAAGTTCTAATGTATATTTAACACTATAATTATTTTATCTTGTAATTTTGTACCTATTAAAAAATAATTTTGAAATGTTGATATTAGGGAGCTACATCTATCAGTGAAAAATCATCATTAAAAGAATCTATTAAAGAAGAAATCAGGCCTAAAATTGCAATTAAATGTAAAGATCAAGTGAGAGTATTTAGTGAAAAAACAAACGAGGACGAGGTACAAATATATAAAATAATAATTACTATTAATGTTTATATTAATATTTAAAAATAACTATTGATTATTGAATGTTCAGTTATGTACATAATTATTTTTTAGACTCAAGATGAAGATAGTGAAGCAGAAAAAATGTTTCCATTACTGGATTCTGAGAAAATTGTTGATAAGAAAGTTGATCATCCTCAATTGGCTGTTGTTGAAAGTGAGAGCTTTATTATTATATTTTTTAAAATATTAAAAACTAATTTGGTTTTATTTTCTAGAAAAGGAAATTAATGTTATACTAAATCATGGTGCAGAAGATGCAGAGTGTTATGGTGAATGTGCTGCACGAATGATGGTTACACATCAAAATGAAAAGCCTCAGTTGTCAATATCACAAGTAAACATTATTACACGTATTATGTATAAAAGTTGAAGTTTTTGACTTAGGTCAAAACAATGAAAACCTAGTTCATGGCTTTCATACATAACTTAAATGCTTCAATTTGATGGCTTAAAAATTCCAAGAAATCTTAACATTTCGTTTAAATTAATGTGTGAATCATCAATCGTTGACAGAAAATCTGATGATTACTGAAAGACATTTACCAGTTATGAATTTCAAAAATTTATCCTCTCTGAAAAACGAACAAAATTTTAGTTACTTAGAGTGTCCGCTAATAATATGATTTATCAATGTATATATGACACCAATAGTAGCAAAATGTAAGAAAATAAACAGATAGGTTGTGTTTGTCCTGAAGAGAGAGGAATCAGAAGCAGTAAAACTAGTAATGATAAAGAAGTTGTTGGATGTAATTTAAAGTTATAGGAAGACACTCATGGACAACCAGTGTATGCGAAGTAAGAGGTCCAATGAAGTAAAATTTTAGAATGATGGTGGCTGACCCTAAATAGCTGAGATGAAGGAAAAAATAATAAGATTGATTATTCTAAAACAACTTTTTTTTTGTTTTTGTTTTTAATAGTTAACTTTTTTGATTTTAGGAAAGAGTGTCATTACCCAGCACTCCAATGAGTACTGTTAGTCAGCGTTCAAGTGGTGAGAGTTATACATCAGTTGGTTCTTCTCGTTTGCTGTTAGCTGCTTATGAAAAAACTACACCGGTTTAAATTAAAAATAAAACCAATATTACTTGTCAAATTTAATTTTGTTCTAATTTATGTCTATATGTATCATAAATTATTTATTTTCATATGTTTTATTAAAATTAACTACCTATGTATTAATATTAATATTATATTAAACACATTTTAATATAAAATATTATTAAATTATAATTATTGGTAGATGAAGTTTTAAGTTGTAACAAAAATATTAAGATTATAATAATATTATGTAAATTGTATTTAAAGTATAAAAAGGTTTGCTTATATAAAGCTCCCAAAGAGAATTAAAATTGTTAAATTATTATTATAAATTAACTGAGTAGTATTCAGATTGCAAATTTTATATAATTGTACTTAAAAATAATATATGATTAAAACATGTTCAGGTTTACCTACTGAAGTAATAAAGTGTTCCTAGAATCATATAATAATTATTAATATAGTTGCTTATTTTGTCTAGCAATGTTTTAAGATTTTTTGTTTCAAGAAAACATGAATAATTAATATAATAATTGATGATTTTATTATTATTGTGGCATATGACATAATTTTGGATTTTACATACAAATTTTGAAAGTAAACTAATTGATAAATAGATAAATTACTGAATATTACTGGATAACACACAAAAATTGTTTTTCTATCATCAGAATTCTGTTTAATTAAAATAAATTATATGTGTAACAATAGAAAATTGTATACTAGTTTTGTAGTTTGAAATATTTGATTAACAAGTTAACGACATAGGATTACTATTCTTAAATCATAGTTTGTAAACATGTGCTTAGTCATAGTTTAAGATATATTTAAACCGAAAAATGGATTACCAAATAGATATGTATCTACTATAAATCATTTATCTAATAGATGACAGATCACCTAGAACAGGAGTCGGGAACCTGCGACTCCAGTGTTCTTTGGAAGAAACTTCAAAATTTAGAATGAATTATTGTTTTTAATGTCCACCAATTCCCAATGAAATTGTTTAATAAAGTATATTAGTCATTTTTTTATTTTAACCCCATTACTCGTTACTCTTTGAAAATTATGGTTTGCAATTTTTTTTAAAAATGTCTTATTTGTAAGAAATAGTTTCCGACCACTAATCTAGAATATCGCTACTTACAAACTAGTATGTAATTATGTAAACCATAATATAACTAGATATTATGTCTCATGGAAAGGAAAAAATTTGCCTCAGTTTCTTATCATTCAAGAGCCGAATATAGCTCATGACCAGCTACCCATATCATTATCTATGAGTGTTGTGGATGGAGTAATTAGATAAAAGGAAGCTATAATGAAATTCGCTTATTTACTTCATATTCTTTAAAAATATATTAATATAAGTTATAATTTAGCATAAGTCACGAATTAAGATATATTATAATCCATGATATAATTTTTATTTTATAAGTACCGTAAAATGAGACGAATAGGAACGATTTTGAATGTAATAAAATCTACAGTTTTTATGATATCTGTATTTTTAAAAGAGATTTGGATAGAATACAAATAGGTGGACAACCCATAATAAAGGCTTCTTCCTAGCCCCTATAGTCCCTTTTTACTAGTCTTATTGTCCCTGACCATGGATACCTAGCTGATTGCTTAGTAAACGCATATATTTTTCTGTGATAAGGCCAAATCATGGACATTGGACAGTGATAACTACTGATAAATTGAACATGAAATTAAAGTTCATTATAATCGTGTTGTTGATTGATTAGATAAAGCAATTTTCTAAATTCTTCTATAATTTGCACGTTACTAAAAATTGTAGTTTAATATAACAATATGATTTTATAGCTATTATATTCTAATTTCATGTATTAAATAAAAAAAATCAACAATATTTTCATTAAACATACGTTATTAATTTGACTTATATTGTGTATGCATACATGGATTAATTAGCTTTCTTAATTTATTTGCCGAAACTAACGTGATGTATACATTTAGGGTAAGTATTATTATATTTATAACTTGGATACTGTAACAAAAAGTCATACTTGATAATATCAATTATTCACATTATGATTCAAGATGTGACGCAGTTAGGGTTACCACTTATCCGGGAGTTTCACTTGGTACTCCGGTTTTAAATCTTTGGGCTACAGGTCTAGTGAATTATTTTCCGAATATCCGGGTCGTCGTAAAATTATTACTATGTCTTTTTATAATTATCGATAAGCAATGAGAACAATGATTTTTAAACGTCAAAAGATAAGATAAAATACGATTTATTTATTTTTTGTTGTAATTCAGTTCCAAAAGTTCGTAGAGACTTGAAATTTAAACAGAAAACTTATTTTCTAGATGATGTGAAATTTTCAAAACATTTCAGCTATTTTTGAGCTATTTATCAATATTTTAATTTTGCGAGTTTGTTTACGTAATTTGTAATTAGTAGGTACTTGTTAATCAAATTATTAGACCACACAAACATAATTAAAAATTTAACAGGAGGTTCATTATAATTTTTACTTAGTGGTAAACAAGCAAAAGTTGAGTTTAATGTAGTATTTTTTTTAAATTTTAATATCAAATTTCAACAACAATCATAAATATTATGGCCTTTTAAAACATGGATAACCTAATTCCTCTCAGAATCGTTTTTCATTAATAATAATTAATCATATTATTTTCTTGAGCTTTAAAAGTTTTCTTTTAATGATAAATAAATTGTATTATATGAGTCAGTAAACAAAATTAGTAAAAAGTGAATAAGTGATATTAATGAAAAACCAATCATATCTGCATATTTTAAATTTTAAATAAAATTACATTTGTTTTCAATTCAATTTGAAGTTCTTAAACATTTTACTAATAATTATACTATTTTACTATCCACTTTGATGCTAGAGAGTAGCTTTGATTTTCCACATTCAAAAACTAACCTAACCTAACCTCCATAAAATATAATAATGCTCAAAAGTTTATTAATTTACTTAATTTATTCTGTTAATAATTTAATATCTATTTATATTTTTTCAACTAAATAATATAAATGACGAAAGCCAATATACCTGGCTTAAGTATGATTCAGGATATCTTAGACTATCTTAAATTATGATTTGGAGATAGGTTTTTTTTCCCCTAGTATATTATTCTTGTTTTATTGTTAAGTAATTGAATACTTACAAAGTAAGTATCTGGATCAGTAGCTATTTTTTAAGGGTTTTCCATAGTATACCTACATGATATCTAAATTCATTTGAAATCGGTGATTATTTTTATTTTTTTTTAAGATTAATTAATAATTTGCTTCATATTTTTTAATTTTTTTTTAGTTCATGAACATCAAAGCCCAATTATTATAATCTCTGATACAATTATTTACCTTAATATTTTTAAAACATTACAGATATTTTTAATTGTGACTCTATGTCAAATATGTGTCTCCATTGATATCACATATCCTGTTTTTGGATATAATGTTCAAGGCCAACCTGCTGCATTTGGTGATTTTGATTCTGATGAACTCACAGATATGTTTATACTAAAAGAAAAGGGCCAGTTAATAGAAATTATGTTTGGTTCCAATGTTGAGCCTTTTTTAACAACTAGTTCACAAAAATGCAAATTTAATCGTCATCAAATTACATCAGTGGTACCGGGAGATTTCAATGGTGATGCTCTTATGGATCTATTAATTACTGTTAAAAACATAACAGAAAAACCAATAGGCTGGGCAGCCAGTTTGTTTACTGGAAATGAGAAACAGAACAATGATTTGGATGTGCATATACTGTGGGGATCGTTAAATTCATTAAAGTGTCCTGATAATGAAGATAATCCACTTTTCACTATAATTGACCAGCCTATAGTTATTAACTATGACAATAATATGATAGTGGATTTATTTGGTGTTAAAAAAATGCCAAATGGAACAGCACAAAGAATGTTTTGGTTATTTAATTCAAATAGTACCTTCACAGAATTGCCAATGGAAAATGACAAACCAGAAATGAGAATCCCTCAATCACATGGATTTGTAGACATAGGTGGAGGTTAGTAAAATAATTATTTTATTTTAAATTATATTTTTAGTTATGTGTAACAAGCAGATACTACTAAGGCTTTGAGATCAGGTTGTTATGTAGTTCAGAATGTTGAGCAGAGGAAAAATTAGAACAAAAAGATTATTATTTCAGAGATGAGAATGATTAAATAAATTTCCTTACCCATGACTATGTTAAATAAAATAAGAACTTTGTATCTTAAGTTTCTTGTCAATAAAACAGGAAACCAATTGTTTTACATTGATAAAATAAGAGAGAATAAATTGAAGTGATTTAGAAAAATTATGAGAAGAATCTTGAAAAATATAGTAATGATTATAGTAAAGGATACAAATGTAGAAGGAAATATAGAGATAGAAGGTAGTTATGAAAAAGATAAATGAACTTAATGAACTTAATTAATTTGAATGTGGTAGTTTGTTTCAATGTAATTAATCTCAGTATTTAGAAAGAAAATAAAAAATCTAATAGTACTTGAATCAGTAAAATTAAAATAATCATGTTGTTACATATTAGTTTCCTTATTTAAATGAAGCTCTAGCATAAAATATTTATATTTTATTTAAAAATTTAATTTTTAGATGTTGCACCTGACTTGTATTTAACTACTAAAGAAGGATATGAAGTATGGCTTTCGGATTCTACAAGTGAAACGTTTGTTTACAATCAAACAATCCCATTTCCCGATGGCTTACATTTTGAAAATGTTGGACAAACTGCATTTATGGATTTACAACTTAAAGGACGTATGGATCATATTGTTCCAGTTTGTTTTGATAAGAAATGTACCAACAGTACTATATATTTTTATGATTCAACTCGCTGGTATAATTTGGGTATTAACTTTCATAATGGTAACAGTATTTGGGGATTTGTACCACCAACACCTAATAAACCATATTTAGAAGCAATCACATTACGTCCTGGTGATTTCAATATGGATGGTTATCCAGATTTATTAGGCACATTGTGTCTTGCAGGCAACCCAAAAAAAACTAAAGTAATTTTGATGGAAAATGTTGCTTGCACAACAGGTTGTGAAGGATTTGATAGAACTTTTGTGGTTCGATGGGATTTACTTCATTCAATGAATAGTAACAATGATTATGTTATGGGCGCGTTTTATGATTTTTTTCAAAATGGTATACTAGATGTGTTGTTAGTAAGCGGAAGTAATGGAGAATATAATATGTCTGCATTTAAGAATAGTTTGGACTATGATGCAAATTTTTTAAAAGTGAGTATATATAGGTGTTCTATGAAAATATAATCATTATGTATTTATTATAGGTCGTGTGGAAAATTAGCCTTTTTAAAAAAAAAATTAAACTCTTTGAGATGAAATAGTCCGTTTGTGAACTACTTACTACTTTTCCAAACCGCCAGTTTTTCAGGCTTATTGTAGACAGACTTTAGACTTTTTAAAAACTACAATTATTATATAGCAATTTTATTGTAATTTATTACTTTACAAAAAAAAAGATCAAATGAATTATAATATATAAACTTTACCTATTATATTTATTTGGATTTTTTAGCATTTAAAAAAAAAATTAATATTTACTAATTATTACATTATTTTTTCAACAAGCGCATTTATTTGTTTTGCAAAAAAATTTTTGATAACTGCTCTCTAAATTGTGAATGTCTCTTCTGTTTCTCTTAATATTATTATTTTGTTTGGTATTTTGTTAATAAATTCTACATTGTTTGTTTGTAGAACATTTCTGCTTAACTACTTGTTTATAATGCCAAACCGAGTACCAATTTGCTAAACATTAATTTTTTTTGTCAATTATATTTTGAGTATCTAATGGTTCACAATCTGCATTTGGAATATTGACTGAAACATAACTTCCAACTTCAATTACAACTAATTTCCTATCTAAATTCTTAAAATATATATTTATATTTACTTATATTATAAATAATATACAACTAAATAAATATAATAGGAACAGTTAAAATATAATTAATTTGTTCTTTTTTTTAGTACAAGTAATAAATTACAATTAAGTTACCACTTGTTCTTAAAAAGCCTGTATCTTAAATTGTTAAACAATTGGCTGTTTGGAAAATTAATAAGTTGTTCGCAAACAAACTACTTTATCGCAAAGAGCCTACTCTTTTTTCAAAAAGACTAATTTTCCACATAGTCTATGACATAATATATATACAAATATATCTTAGTGAGACATCTCGTAAAGTAAAAAAATTACATTATTGTTATTATTATTATTTCTTTTTTTGTTATAGGTAATGGTTGTTACTGGTTTGACAAATAGCAAATTTGAAACTTTACCTAGTCGCTTAGGGAAAAAATCTCGTACATTTGGTACTAACTTACCTGGACCTAAAGTTAGCTATGTAACTACAACTCAAGATGGTTATCCTCGTCAGGGTATTGCCACACAATTACCTCAGTCTGCATACTATTCTCTTTACTTGCCATATACCATATTTGGACTAGGCCGCACTCCTAACTTTGTAGATGAACTTACTGTATCAATTTTGAATGAAACTCGTTCTTGGACACAAATTATTCCAAATTCACAAATGGTTGTAATTCCAAATCCAATAAATGATCCAAGCAGATGGAATGCTAAACTATTTGTGACCCCTAGTCGATTAATATTAGAAAGTGCTGCTGCACTAGCAGGAACATGCTTGTTAATTTTAGTTATAATTGGAGTACTATATTTTAAAGAACGGCAAGAAGATCGCATTGAAAAACGTATGGAAGCTCATAGATTTCATTTTGATGCTATGTAAGAAGATTCAAATTTGTGAAAATATTTTTATTTTATTACTGTGATTATTATTGTATTCCTATTTTAAACTCTAATTAATACAACATTTTTCTATATATCTAATTTAAGTTTTAAGTTATATTTAAAACTATTAAATTTTGGTAAATGATTAATAACTTCAACTAAATTTTATTAGTTAATTTTTAAAAATATTAAGATACTAGCATTTTTAATTTAGCAATTTAATACAGTTTCTGATGTTAATTTGTATTGAGTAGGAATTTACTCTATTTACAAACCGTGTTGTGTTTATAAATAGAAATATATACATAATATATATAATTTCTCTATTATAGAAATTAATCAAAATCTATACACGAGTAATATAGTTTTTTAAATGCATATTATTTTAAAATAACATAATTCAAAATGACAAAACTTAAATTTATTATGAATCATAAGTCACCTAATTATTTATGTATACTAAAAATAATTGGTTTTCAAAATGTATCAACTACTATATCAAATAGAAGTGTTCTCTGTTGAAAGATTATATAATTATTAATAATCAAAGATAAGTTTTAAAATTAATTTTAGTAGATTTATAAATATATATTAATTAAAGTTATACTTAAATAGGTAATAAAAATGTTTAGAATTTATAATTTTTTATGATAAATATAAATATTATTTGCATTGTAATATTAGATATCTAATAATATGTGATTATATTTTTAAGATATAATTAGGCATTTCTGATATTTTTATCAGATTATTATTAATGTTGTTTGTTATTTACTTTCATCATTTGCTTATTAATATTATTATACTTAGTATCCAACTATAAAATAAAAAACTGATTTAATTTATTAACCAATCTATAGATTACTGGTACCTATTTATGAAATAAATTGAAGTACCGTGTGATTCAATGTGTAGCAATTAATTATTTTATAGCACATATAAAAAAAATCAAGACTTTTTAGTCAAAATTGCAATAAATATACCTATTTAGAGAGGAAGCATTACACAATGTAAGAAAAGCTTAAATTTTGAAAAAATATATATTTTAATGTAAGGTAGGTTAGGTAATATACATAGTTATTTTAGTGAGTATATCTACAAAGATATACCCATTTGTAATACCTCTGGAGATAATAAAATTATTTTTTTTTATATATATATTACATGTTTATTATTTTTTTTTATTACAAATATTTATATTTCAACTCAATTTTTTATTTATTGGTAAACAAATTAAAAAAATAAGTATTTTGTTATTTTTGATAAATTTGAAGATAGCCATAGACTTTATTCTTCTGAAAATTTTGATTTAAAAGATTATTAAACATGAATTTAATTAAAATAAAAATTGAAATTTTAAAATCTTCTGAAAAATAAACTTATAAAATGGCTATTTTTATAACTTATATTTTATACATAATATTTGTATTACTTATAATATAAGTATAATCATATAATTTATCAAAACAAAAAAAATTAATTAAAATATAAATATTTGTAATCCTTACCCTGCGAGTAGTATAAGACAAATAAAATTTGATTATTTTTCTTATCTCAGGAAATATTGTAATGGTATATCTTCGTGAAACACTATATAAAATTTAGGTGTTTAAAAAAAAATAAATTATAATACATTTTTTTTTTTTATTTAACATGTCTTATTATTTAATCAATTTTAGATTGATTTAAGACAATAACTAATAATAAATAAGCCAAATCATTCTTAATAAATTTAGTATACATGACGTAGATTTGTATTGAGCATGTGTTATACCATATAGGTAGGTATAGAGTACTTATATCTATACTTATGGTCTGTGGACAAAAAGTAATTTAATAACAATAATTAATTTGAATTGATATAACGGATGCAGTCTAGTTAACAATATAACATAATATAATTTACTTTAAGAAATTGTGGTCAGTGTATGCAAGATGAGGAAGACAGATCATAATAACATTTAAAGTAAATATTACTAATAACATGTAAAAATCATGTTTTTTAAAATAAAATAAAAATGTATACAACGTTTATGTTGGTACAATAACTAATTTTGATGATACAGATAGGAAATTAGAATAATAGTATTGACAGATGAGTGGGTAAGTAGTTTAGTACCCCTTGGCAGAATTAAAGCAGTTCCCTAAACCAGCACATTATTAGCTGCCTATTAGTATTATTGGGGATAATGTAAAAATAAAGAAAATTGATAAGTAGATTTTGATGATTTTAAGTACTTTTGTGAGTACTTTTTTAATTTTAGCTGGATTTTAACTTAAGATTTATTTGGAAATTATTATTTATTATAATATGTATACGGTATACTATTGAGTGAAGAAAATTTGATCAAGACAGATGGACTGAAATGCCTAGAGCATTCTAAAAGATTTGAGAGTTTGGCTGAATCCTATAGGTAGTTACTTGGATATCATATACCTAGACGAATCAGGTAGAATCTAGAGTTAACTAATTCTTGTTTAGATTTAAGGCAAAGAGCCTAGGTCAGTGAATAAACACTTAAGGCAACTAAATTTTTAACATATTAATGATTTTTTTTAGTTATTTATATTAAAATAGGTATTTAAACTACTGTTATTAATTTAAATAGTTTTAGTCAATTTTCCTAGTGTATAAACATTATTTCTACTAAATTAACATTATTATCAACATTTTAAATATTATATAATAGGTATGTAATTAATTATTATTTAGAACAATTGTATAAGTTAAATTACAGATTTAATATATGAATTTTGAAATATTTAATCATTATTATAAATCAGTACAAATAATAGGGTAAATAGAATTAACTTTTATAATCTTAAAGGGGGGGAGGGTGATGACGAGGCTCTCAACACCTATGGAGGCTCAGACACAGAATAGATGAAATTTCTATTCTGTGGTTTAGACAACCTTTGAACCCGGGATGGTAGGTACATATTTGGTACATACGAGAATACGGCTATTATCGCGCCTACCACCAAAGGGCCAAGACTATTTCCGTTATCGCGAATATCATTTCTAACGTCGCAATTAATTTATCTACCATTAGGTACCTATTTTAACTATTACCATTGGTTATGAATAGTATTTATAGGCAATGGTATTAGTTTTTGTAGTGTGGTGTTTCCATTAAGGTTAATTCAAACTATGTTAGTAGTCAAGTACCGTCTAGCGAGTATTTTATTTAGTAACTGTACGTGTATGAAACGTATGTATGTAACGTGTATGAACAGACCGATTTAGTTGAGTAGTTTAGTAATGTAATTTAGTTATATAGTAATATAGTGGATCTATTTATTTCTATTTTTTTGGTCAGTCAATACTTGACTAAACTTCTAACATAGTGTATATTCAGTATTATAAAAGTAGACAGTTTCGCTGCAGTAATCACATCAATATTACGGATTTTGTGTATACTGTTTATTTTATTTTATTATTAATTAAATAATAATATTACGGACATTTGAAAGTGATATTTAAAACATTAAAAAAAAAAAATGCAAGAATATAAACTTCAGAAAATTCATATTTTGGAAGTTTAATATAAAAAATTGACAAAAAAAAGGAAGGTGTTCGGAATAACACTTAGTTTGAATACAGTTGAATTCCATTTTTGACTGTTATATACTTGTACTATTTATTTTTGCTCAGACTGAAAAATCAACTTCTATAAAATAGTGCGAAAAAAATTTGAAAAATGAACAAAAATACTGTCATAGACTGGAACTATATTTACGAGAAGTTTGTGTTTCAGTATTGAGACAAGAAACCTAGGTAAAATTGTTGAGACAGACGAAAACTAATTTTCTTAACATCGGAATACTTCCGCAAAAATGGATTTTTGGAGTACTATGTCGTGAAACTAAAGTATGTATTTTGGTCAATGTTCCTCGTCAAATTATCATGTCTACTCTCCTGAATGCAATATTATTATATACAAAAACGGGAAGAATAATTCAGATTGTTGGCGGGCATAGAACTCCAGGGAACTTGAAAAAGCTGATTATAAACATTTGACAATAAATCACAGCAAAAACTTTGTAGATCCTCTAAGTGAAGCACGTACTTACTCAAAATGTAGAATGTCTCTGGGGACCAGCCAAATGGCAGAAAGAAAAACATCGTGGTACAGCTAGCGCGTCACCATTTAAATCATGTCACCTAACCTTCACCAAACTTAAAAACAACAAAAATCCAATTTCTTCCAATAAATAATAACTAATGAATCGTGTTAAAAAACATTTTATTTTTGTATAAATTCCATTTTTTTATTATACTTACCTTACATTTAATATCTTATAGGTACTGTAGTGATAATTATTATTTTATTTGCAGATTTACCATTTTTGTTCGTGATGTCGACAACGACGATAATATTATACTTTGTATTATTATTTATTTACACTATTAAGTATTTTCAGTCTGCATTATCAAATAATTAAATAATAAATAATCCTGTGATTTGTTAATATAAATAATAAGAATAAGGTAATCTCTGATAATAGGAAAGTGGACAATTGTCGGTGGTCTAGTCGTAGCTTAAGGCTACGGTCAGATTAGATCCAGCATCTGCCAAATTATTCGACCGTTATTAAAGACAAAATTTGACTGAAGAAAATGGTCAGAATAAATCCAGATTTCGGTCATATTCACAAAATGATACAGTATACACACATTTATTTCTGTTATTTGCAGTTAATTTTTTACAGTACACCATATTGTAAATGTTATTTTATCAAGACTAATGACAATTAAAATGAAGTGACTAATATACTCCGCGTGTATGATAATGTGAAAATTAAATTCTACAAACGTTATATTTGTTTTTGTTTTTATTTTTGTAACAATAATATAGGTGCGTCGGTATAAATAGTGTAGTATTAAATATAAGTATAATAAGTAAGTATAGTGTAAACGACTCATTTGATCTATGCTATATACCTACTACTACGACTCAGAATAAATAACAAAAAATAATCTCTATACAGATGTTAAAATAGTACGGACTAAGATATCTTAATCTGTGTAAAATATTTAATAACACAGGCATTTAGTAAATTAATACCGCGCTATAAATATAGCAGAGTAGGCAATTATATTTACACACTCGACAATGATTTGGACCAACTATTAACGACGGTTGTGATTTTGAAACATGTATAGCTAAACACCAGTTGCAACAAAATATATTTGTTTTGTCTAGGTTCTTTTCCAAATTATGTTTACTCCGATGTCATTGTTTTTATTAAATATTTTTATCCAATGACCACTTTTTCTACAAAACGTTTGTTTCAATGGTTTTTGGAACACTTTTTTATGAAACGATAGCCCACGTTCGTTATTAATCGAATCAAATTATAAATAAAAACGCGTAAATTAATATTCATTGTCAAATTCATCGCATGTACAAGAGTAACAGATGGTGGTAATTCGTGACACTAAGAACTCTAGAGAGACTCTAGTATTTATGTTCATGATGGGATTGTTGACGTCTAGAACGGAGAAAAAAAAAAATCTAGTCAAAACGGCATAACAACGAGCTGGGGAATTTGGCGCACTGGCAAACGGCCACACTGGAGCCGGAACAAAAAACGACGTTACGAATTTCAACAACGAACTCGTGTATTCTAAATCTAATATCTATAATCTCCTCCAGTAGGAAAAAACAAAAAAAAAAAATCAACGAGAACGACCAACCAGCGAGCAGCGGTGGCAGCGGCAGCAGCAGCATCTAGCGTATACACGCGGCAGTTCGTATCGACAACAATAAAGCATAATAATAATAATATTTTTGTTTTCCGTCCGTTTTCGACTTTCGAATCTGCTGTTATCCGCCTGTACTCCTATAGCCGTTTGGCCGTGTCCGAGTCACGAACACGACTACTGTCGCCGTCGTGGAAACGTCCGTTAAACGCTATGCTCATTCGTCTAGCATTCGGAACGACGACGGCCGGAAGCGTTAAGCAGTTAACTATTCAAAATCAAATGGATTGTCGGTTGTCGGCCGTTGCGTCGTCATAACGGTTGTTTCCATTTTTGATCGATAAATGAATAGGTGAGCGCACGTTTACGTACTTGTCTTATTATTGGCTTTTTTTTTTTTTCTCGTCTCCGTGCTAATGAGTAATGCTTTATATGCATTTATCGTATCAAATGACGTTTGTTCCGTTTCATTTTTTATTTGCCTACAACGTATGTACGGTCGCTTTTCGCCCGTGCGACGGTGTAACGATTTGATATTTATTATCACGGGGATAACACCGATACGTGTTTGACAGTCCGGAGACGATTGCCATTGTATTGTTATAATTTGAGTAGACCACACGCAATTTGAATTTCTTATGACCTTGGCCCTTGTCAGTTGCGTATTTCAAATTTGTACGCGTATTGTGTCGAAAATCCGGAGATCTGTACACCCAATACCGTTTTCATGGTATTTTTTCGGTGTTGCACACATGTATTAAACGATAAGCAAATCCAATGTGTTTGACTTTGCAAGTACTGACGGATACGCGGATTAAATTGGATTTTCTGTCTACGAAATTCTATACAAATATACCTAATTAATATTATTTACCGCTTGCAATATTTAAATACGAATATTGTTCTTAAATTAAAAATACAAAAACAATTACCTATCTATTGTAGTTATTTGAAGCGTGTGGATCTTTTACTGCATCATTCACCATCTTCTGTTATCAAATATTGTGTGTTAAGCATTCGTATATTTATGTAAGTAGGTACTAATATGTTTAGTTTTTAAATTTTATTGTTATATGCAATTCAGTAAGGTGCTTTTTAACAGAACAAATTGTGTATTGTAAATATTCAATGAAATTCCATAAGGCTACATAATATTTGTATCCTATAATTTAAATGTTTTTCCCAAGTATTTTTGCTGATTATGGTATCTAATACAGGTAATTTTGACATTGGTGTTATTAAATCTGTGAAATTACTTTGGTATGAAATAAGTGGTAAATTGTCATAAATTTTAGTTATTTAATTATTATCAAGTTTTATAATGGATGTCATAATAGCATATAGTTAGGACAGTTAGGTACAACAATTTATAACTTGATTGATTTCATTTGTTTGTTATGCATTCCTTATTTTGTAATAACTAAGTACTTACTGTTTGTGAAGAAATTCTGGTCTGATTTGATTCAATGATGTTCTTTTATTTTTTAAATTTCAATGTATAGGTATTAAATAGAAATATATAATATCACCGCGATTATGACTAACCATTATGCTTGTATTTCAATAATTGTTTTATTTGAATATGGCATTATTTAAAATTAATTGTAGGACATAAAATTGTAGTGTACTTAATTTTAGAAGTACAAACAGTATTAGCAGGTGTCTATAATAATAAGCTATTAAAACTGACAAATTTGGTAATTGACAGTTTCAATATAATATGTTTAATAAAGTATGAAGGTATCTATATCTTTTAGGGTAAGTATATCGACATTTTTTTCTATATTAGTGTACTTCTACCTAATTACTGATTTAAATAAAGCCTGGTACATATTTAAAAAAAATAAAGTTATAGTTAATTGTAGTTCCCTAGTATTATTTTTTTCATTTATATTGACTTCAAAATAATTAGGATAAATATTAGTAGGTGGAAATAAATTTTTGAAGTACCACTACAGAGAATATTTAAATATTCATACTTAAATAGGTAATTAAGAACACTGAATATTTACACATTTCAAAATTTAAATTTGGGTTTATTTATTTCGTTTTTTATTAGTAGAAATTGCTTGCTGAGATTGTCTTTTTGCAGACTTTGTGTTTAATACTAATACTAAACTTTGATAGTTAAAATGAATACACAAATTCAACAACATTCTAATAAAGATTTAACTTAACTAATGACTCATATCTTTAGATATTACTACAGGGCTATGATGTTGTTATTCATTGATGAAACTAATTTAGAGAGTTAGAGTAATACTAAATTAACTTTTAAAGTTAGCCTCGTTAATTCTAATCGCATTAGTTCGTTTTTATATTTGGTAGGCACCTTTTATAAATATATATTGTTACTCATTTGTTTCATGTAAGTACTTGATTATTATAGCTGTATATATATATATATATATATACATAAAAGTAAAATAAATTAAATTGTTTTGATTTTTCTATATGTATAGTGGTATCTTAATTATCTAAGCTTCAACAATTTGAATCTAATAACACCTTAACTTATAGAAAAAAAAAATTCATTAATTTTACCTGGTCTAACATTGATAATTTCATTCTTCATCTATATATAATATGTAATATGCGTAATTCTTGTATGTTAAATTTAAAAAAAAAAAAATTGTGTACTTAATTTGATGTATGGAGTGGGTATTTATAATATGTTTCATTGGCCTTTATGAATGACAAATTCAACATTTTCGATTTAAACCATTCAAACATATTATATGATATCCAATTTACTTTATCAATAAATGTTTGAATATTATATCTTGTCTGATGTTTATAAAGTAGGTATCAAAATAAGTAATTGTGTTAACTACACATTTTTAAAATTATTATTTTCTAATATTTACATCTCAATGATAAATATGTATGCTCTATATATTTCATATATACATTTCTTTATTGAATTATTAAAAACTACAATTTCAGTTTGATCAAATTTTCTACTAAAAAGTAATAATGTATAAAATAAATAGTAAGAAAACTTAAGGTTTCAAATTTGTTATTTTGAATCCATGCATAGTAAACTAATGGACAAATTATTCAATATTTAATGATTCAGGGCTTTACTTTTGGGAGACTGAGTATCCCATCTAATTTGTCATATATTTCATTGTACTTTATGTCTCTTTTTTCAGTAGGGAAACACTGATTGGAAGTATGTTATTTTACTAGTAGACTAACTCAGTTTCCAAAAAATACATTTACTGTTTTTTTCGGTTAATAATTAATAAACTGTAAATGAGTACACCGTATAGGTGTACTCATTTTTAAGGAATGTATTTAATATTTTTATATTATTAGAAAATATTAACAGTACTTTATTACTTTTATTTTTAATTATTAACAGAACATATTATATTGTACTAAATATATTAAAATCTGTAGCCCAGGCCACCCTAAAGGTTGGACAACTTTGTATTAAAGTACTAGAACTATATTTTACTCATAAACTGGAATTGTTTTTTCAATCAAATTATGTGTTTGATTCTTTTGTAGCTGCTGGACATAGTCATGTTGAATTTATCACTTACTGATTATATGTTTTAGTCATAACTTTATTTATTTTGATTTAATAATTAGTTGTACAGACGTACTGTAACCGCATGCATATGGGATTGGGTCAGATTCGTAACCTTTCCTCTTTTACTTAAGATAAACACTAAATTGAATCAATAATATATTTGAAAAATATGTAATAATATATATCTATTTCATATTCCTTTTATTGGTTACTTCTTTAATTTCTTATTACTGAGTAATGATGCGAAAGTGGATATATATTCTATTCTCTTTAAATATAAAAATACTACAATTAAAACAATTTTGTTTTAGATATTGAGCAGTCATTTTTTAATAATTTTTAAAAATTGTAATACCATTTCCTTTTATAGTTTTATCATTTTTGTACAAACATTATCAAAAGTTTTATACCTAGTGGTATGTAGACTATCAACTGTTTGAAGAATGTGCTTTAGGTTGTTTTATTTTAATTAATTAAGAATATAATAATTATAGGTATTATAGAAACAAGACATTTCACCCAACATTGATTTTAGCATAACCCTTATAATATTAAAATGAATAAATAAATAAATTCAATTTTGAATATTTATATTCGCTAATTGTGCGAGTGTATTGCAGAATTTATTGTGATCACTATTATTTTAAAGATTGTTAAGTAAACTATGTGTCTATCGTACAAATATTGGTAGCTCTTTGGTTTATTGTGTTGAATATATTTTAAGAGTTTGAGATGTAAATAAGCCCCGAGGTTTGTTTTTGAAGGTAAATTATTTTTGTTTAGTACTTTAAAATTAATTTTAAATCAAAATATATAAAAACTGTTAAGTGATTCCATAAAAGTAGTAGATGGAACTAAATAATTTTAATACAAATTCTTAATCATAATTATTAATATAATGAATTAATAATATTTTATTAATTATAGAATCAAATCTTGAAAATTGTGTACCTATATATAATAATAATAATAATAAAAGTATGTAATCATATTATTGCCATTAATAAAATCTTTGGGAGTTGATAATTATTTTTATTTTCATTTAATACTAACTGTTGATAAAACAATGACCATCAGTTTTTATTTTGTAGGGTCAAAAATTACAAGTATTTAGATTCGGTAGTGTAAGGGGATGTAAACAAGATAAAAAATGTTAGATTGATACCTCATATTTTTTAATCAAATTTGTTTAACAAGATACATTTCAATTAACACGTATAATGGCCATCTAATAAAAATAACATTGATTTAAACAAACGTTGGTAACATCGTAAACGATATTTACACGTTTAGTACTACTAAGTTTTATGAAACAGTATATCGTATAATTAACATTAAAATTATTTTAATTAAATAAAAAAAAATACCAATTCAAGCTTGTATTTTCTATTTCATGTTAAATACTCAAAACTCAAATATGATAGAAATGTTTTGGATGAAACCAGATTTGAATAAGCAACAGTGGGTATCACTTTTAAACAAGACGTACATTTAGTTATTTTTCGAAAATGATAAGAATAATTAATGGGAGATAGACAATCGACTGATAATCATTTAATCGATAATATGGATAACTGATAACAATTTTATATCGGGGTTACGCCACTGATAATACCAACATTATTTAAAAGTAAATCGATTCGTCTGAGAATTTCGGCCCTAAGTGAATGGAGGAAATTAATCGAAAATAAATCACGTTTGTCATGCAAAATCACGTCGGGTAGGTTTTTATTTCGTGAACAATATCTTAATATGGGACCGGACCGCTTACCGAAAACGGTTCTTAAGAGGACGTTATACCCGCATCTACTGTCTTAGTCCAAGTACCGGGTAACATGCGTAAATAATCCTTACGCAGAACAAGTAGAACTGGCTGAATTTTGATTTTAGAGTAAAAGTATCTATTATGAAATTTATAAAGAACAATATTTTGTAGGGAATGTCATAGAGTTTTTGTATTATTCAAAATATACATCACGATATCAAAAGTACAAAAAACTTTATTTTTTTCTATTTTTTAAATAACTTTTTCAAAGTTCAAACACACCTTAACATTTCATATAACTGTATCACGCTATTTTCAAGTACCATTGATTAATAAAATCGTGACAAAATAGGTATGTACACAGTTTTTTGATACACACACCCCGCCAGTAATAACTACCTATTTCTTTATTTCATCTATTATCGTAATTGGCTAACATAATGTAGACATAATTATGTAGATACATTTTTTTCACTGTGGTCTAACATTAGTACTACTGATAGTAGTAGTAGGTTGGGTGCGGAGGTGATAAAACAGAAACATAACGTACCGATTATACTTGGGTATCTATTTTGTTACGATGAAAATAACGATTCACGAGATCATTTAAACTCTTTTGCTGGTCTTCTTGTACGGCTTGATAAAGTGAATGGTGTATAGCGACTGGTAGTCTTGTGCAATCAAAATTACCGATACAAGAGACATTTGAAAGAAAACACGTGTCGTTAAGTATTAGGTTGAACGAATGCAGTCCTCTAGTGGTATTCGAAAAACTGTGTACTAGGTAGGTAGTGAAATGTTAGAATGTTAAGTGCAAGCGTACCTATTTCTTCGGAAGTTGAAACTAATGGAGACGAGGCGGCTGAATGTTACGCACACACTGGAAGAGTGTTACCATATTATATTTTCTACGCCATGCGTTAATGCTATACATGATAAAAACCGTCAGATATTCAAAAAAATTCTATATTTATCTGTAGGTGAATTTTCTGAAAATGAAATGTCTATGTTGAAACATATGATTGTATCGTATTATAATGATTAAAAATCTTAAGTATCCAACATATATATATATATATACCTGTATATTTACAGATAGATACCTACATAGGTACCCGATAGAAGTATACGTTCTACAACATATTGTTCTAATCAGTTTTTCTCATAGTCGTTACATTCATTATTCGTAAATATTTATGTAATTTGTCATTACCTATCCGGAAAATTAATTTCATTCATTATTTTCTTTATACTGATTAGGTTACCTACTTCGAAAAAATAATATCGCTACACGCGTGTTTATTACTAAAGGTGTTTTGAACCTAACCTGACTACTACGTACTATTACAATGCAAGTGCTTTTGGTTATTTAATTTATTATACAATGTTGCATCACTTAATTTCTTTTTTTTTCCTGTGCCCCTTTCTTCTTGTGTTAGGAAATCAGCTTCCTATTTTTTTTTTTAACATACGCGATACACATCAAGTATTCATGTCTATAATGGCCAATGGGAGGGGTCGTATTGCTTTAGTTGATCCCCTAACCAATGTCCCAGCTGTCTTATACCACCTGGCCTCTGTTCTCCCGCCATACATCCTTAGTGTAGTATATAGTAGTCTCCCCACATGTACATTTAAAAATTTTTTTTTTTCATAACATGTCGTTTGCTTTGTTGTTACTTTGAACTTTTATACATTTTGGAATTGAATTTAAAAATAAAAAGTTTTCTATTTAATGTTTCCATGTCTAAGCGACCTTATAAGTGTGTTGGTGTTCAGGAAGAATATCATTATATTTGTAATAAACGAATGCTTTTAACACCGCAAAACGATGAGTAAGTCTTTAAAATACTTGTTTAAAATATTCATTTTGAATTATATTTGCTTTTTATTATTATTATTATTATTTTGTAGTTATTAATTAAATGGGTACCTACAATGACCTAATAATGACCTGATTATTTTAATTAAACATTATGAAAATAACAAAACCAAATTAATATCTTTATCTTTATTTTGTATGGATTTATCTTATTTAAATCACATTAGTTGGTAGGTATGTATTTTATAATTTCAACTTTTGTTTGAATAATGACTTATTCATAATAAATGGTAAAAATATAAACTATATTAACATTTTTTAAGTTTGAACTAGAAAATTTGAAATTTCTAAATGTATTTATTATAATATTGAAAGTACTTGTATGTTGAGTTTTTTTAGAATAACTTGTGTAATAAACTTGTTGCATTAAAACCAGTTAGTATAAAGTATTTTATTTTTTATTTTTTCTAATAATATTTATTTTAAATGGCGGAATTAAAATAGGTAAAAAATTGTTTAATGTTAGAATATACATTAATATTACTATTGTCTAATCATTTATATAAATATTTATAAATAATTAATTTATCTTAAATCCCACAGATATATCAGTTTTAAATTTTTGAAAAAAAGCCCAAGTTTAACACGTATAGGTACCTATTTTAAGTAGTATTTATTAATTTGTGCATGTAAGTTATGAATGAAGATAATAACAGAATAAGTATATTGCCTGAAAATTAAATTAAGAAAAAACAAACTTACCATTACATTTTTTTTTTATATAAGATTTAATCATTTTAATTAATTAGTTAATTGATCAATCTAAATTAATTTAGGAAATACAATTTGTATTCAATTTTTTTCAAGACATTTTGTATTATATTTATTATTTTGTTAACTTCTTTTTCCATCTGCATATTTTTATAATTAGTGTATAATTGTGTTCTTTTTTAAGAAGGGTCCAAGAAACAGGATTTACGGTCTATAGACCCCATAGGTTTTTGTTGTGTACAAAAATGATTTGGTCACATTTGTATGAGCACAAAAGAATTAACTCTCATTCTAATTATATATAACAACCACACTAAATAATAATAAATATTTTCTAAAAAAAGTCTTGAGTTATGTTTTTAATAGTATTTAAATTAGGTTTATCTAAAATTAAAAGTATATAAAAATGTATTGTTACGAATACATACTAAACATGTATATTAAAAATTATTATTTTTTTTATATTTATTAGGTCCAGATCAGGTTACGATAGCGAAACGGATGATGGAGAAGATTCAGATGATTATGCGGTGCCGCTTGGTATCCCGATATTGCCGGGTGAAGATGTGTCAGGCCGGCGGTTGGTTGATTATAAACCATCAAATAGCACCTCCATCAATAAGGGTCGCTGGACCAAAGAAGAAGTTAGTTATAAATATGTAGAAAATTACTCCAATATTATTTTGTTACAAAAAATTGAAGGGATGTAACAATTGTTTCAGATAATTATTCACTATTTTAGACAACATCTGAAATAGTGATAAATTATTGAAATGGTACTGTATTGAGTCCTCAAATAGTATACAGGCTATCTCACAAAGATATACTCCTTGAATATCTCTTGAGATAATAAAGATATTCAAATTCAGTTTATTTATATTCCTCACAGGGAGGACTACAATATTTATTTTTTAGTAAAACAATTTAAAAAAATTAACTTTTCATTTTATTTTTTTCAAAAAATTTTAAGATAACCTCTTTAAGATAGAGTTTATTTTTTTGAAAATTTTAATATATCTCACATCTATTCCGATGAATAGTATTTAAGTAACAGCCATTTTAAATTCTACTAATCCTTGTGAAAACCGATGTTATCTAGGGAATAACCTCACCGCGTTAAGTGATAACATTGTAACAATATTGTAATATTAATATATACTTAATAGTCTAAAATTTGATTGTTATTTTGCAGGATATGCGGTTGAAGCAACTTGTAGATGAATATCAGGAAAGGTGGGATATTATTACTCAACATTTTAATGACCGTTCAGATATTCAGTGTCAACAGCGATGGCACAAAGTTGTAAATCCCGATTTAGTCAAGGGACCCTGGACAAAAGAAGTATGTTAAGGTTATGTTGATTTATGAAATACCTACATACAATTATTTTATTGATATTTTTATTAATATTAGGAAGACGAAACTGTTTTGGAATTAGTAGAAAAATATGGGCCTAAAAAATGGACTCTAATTGCAAGACATTTAAAAGGCCGAATAGGTAAACAGTGTCGAGAGCGATGGCACAATCATTTAAATCCAAATATAAAGAAAAGTGCTTGGACAGATGAAGAGGATAGAATTATATTTAGGGCACATAGTCAATGGGGAAATCAATGGGCTAAAATTGCAAAGTTGTTACCAGGAAGGTAATTTAATAATCTGATTTTCCACTGTTAAACACACATTTACAAATTAGTTTGTTTATTATTTAAGCTATATTCTATATTGTATGTCTTTTTAGGACAGATAATGCGATAAAAAATCATTGGAATTCAACTATGCGGCGGAAATATGAAATTGATGAAAAAGGTGAAGTGTATGGTAAAAATTTATTAAAACCAAAAACAAAAAATATTAGAGCTCCTATGGAAAACCGAGAAGAATCTTCCAAAACTTGTGTATTACCGGCCAGTGAATTAGAGTACATTACCGTAGCTGATATGCCAACACAAGTAATTAAAAATTAAATTATGAATAATATATTATTATATTACTAAATACACTATGACTTTGTAGTATCTCGGTTGGGTACCTCCAAAATATATACCGGATAATCAGATTAAAGTAGATTCTGATCAAGATGTCCTAGATAAAGCTGAAGTGGTTGCAGCTGCAGAAGTTTTAAATTCTTTAATGACACCTCAGAAGAAAAATCAAAGTACAGTTAATAAAGATAATTTGTTCAAAATAAATTTAAAATATGAGTCACCACCCAGGCCGGCTTCTGTACCTTTGCAAACTAACTCGCCTTCTTGTTACTCACCATACAGGTATTATAAACAGTTATAATTCATTTTATAGTATGTATAATTATTTATTATATTTTAGATTATTTGAGACTGGAGGGTATATTGAAACTCAACAAAATAGTAGTAGTAGTGTTGTGGGTAGTTCTCCGGATGAAGGGTATGCAGAGCTTCACCTCGTCACCCCTACCAAAACGCCAAAAAAAAATTTCTGTCCAGAAATTTGTAAGTAATATCAGAAATGTAATTGTATATAATTGAATTTAAATTTGTTTGTTTGTAGTTTATCAATATGATGTTAATTCTCCAAATAAGACAAGTATATTTTCACCAAATAATAGAGTTAGTCGGAGACGTAGGAGTTTTTCAGAATATCCTGAAATTGGAATGAATTTACAATGCAGTGTAAGTTAAAAAAAAATGAGCTAATTTTGTTTACATTACCTTTTATGGGTAAAGTATTTAAAGTCAGTGTAGGTATTTCACTTAGTTTTGATTTTACATTTTTGGAAAAGCTTTTTGAGTTTGAAAAAATAAATACTACTGTGAGCACATTTATTATTTTATTGAAAGGTAAGAAAATTTGGTTTAATTATTTATTTTATGGGTGCTTTTTATGGTATTTATTTCTTAACATACTGTATTTGGCATAATTGGTACTACATTTATTTAATTTTACAGCCAAATTCAGTATTGTATTTATACTTTATCAATATTTAATAAATAAATCTAAAATTGCTGCATGTGATATTATTTTGTATTTACAATTAATCATCGGTGTTGAATTTATTAAAGTAAATACCGTAAAACATACATATCACCATACAGCATTATGGATTTCTGATTTTTAAATATTTCATTTCATTAGTTTTATTTTAAAAGGAATCTACTTCTTAATTACTCTTAAATTTTAGTGAACATTTTGAAATATTGCATTTTTATTGTGGTTTTTAGAAGTATAATCTTACAATATTGAATTGTCAAATAACAATTTTATCTAAAGTTATATTTAAGTTTTATTTAAAGTAAATTTCAGAAATTTAAGTTTTAAATATAATTTATAAAAATTAAACAAGATATACTATTCAATCTGTATTCAACTGACTTGACACTATTCAGAATAAGAATATACCGGGTGGTGGATAAAAAAAAACCCTGTTTGCGCAATTTTCACCTTTTTGGCAACTGGCACCATTATAATTTACAGCAACAATTTGGTGGTGGTAGGTTTACAGCCTCCACCCACATTCACCCAGCTTTGTCCTGTATATATGATACTGGTATACTATTCTGAATAGAGTTAGATATTTGCGAAATGTGGTGTTAAGCATGGGGGATTTTAGTTTAGTTTTTAAAGCATGTAATTTTAAAATTTGATTTGATTTTTTTTGTATATTCAATTTGAAAAAATGTTTTGAGATTTTTGTTGTAAATTTTGGTTATTAAAATTATTGTAATCTGTTTTCTATATAATTAATTTCATAGTTAATTATTTAATACTGGGGTTTTTAATAATATTTTTTTATTATTTATATAAAATTTATTGTATAATGCAATGTTTATTGATGAATAACTAACTTAATTAAAAAATAAATTTATTTTCTAATTAAGTCATTTATATTATAAAATCATAAGATCATAGATTCTTAACAATTAACAATAATTTGATTTATTGTGAAATTATGTTTTAATAGACAGAAAGGATACGGGTATATGACACTCTAAAATTAATAGCAATAATATGATTTAATAATAATAATATATGTAGTTACTTTTTTGCCAGATACTGTATACGACCATTATAGCAATTCATTTTAAGGGCGCAGTTATACATTATTTTTGGGTGAAGGTTATGGAACATTTATTTGAATCACGCTAGTATTTTATTCAAAGTTAAAGTAATTATATTTAATAGTTAAATTAACAACTAAATCATGATTTCTGTTTTAAATGTTCATTTCATAGTTATCTACTCTGGTTGGAAAAATTTCGTACCTCATTATACAGTTAAACATGTATAAGTGTCAAAAAAAATAGAATTAATGAATTAATAGTACTAATTATTTAATTGGTATTGATCAATAATTGATATTTTATACAGGAAATAAATATTTGATTGATCATCATACTAAGATCAAGTTGCATAAAAATTAGTCTATAAATATATCTTAAATTTTAAGGAAAAAGTTCTTAAATCAATTTCATAAAAAAAAAGATTGACATACTTCCCACAATGGGTGGGCCACTGTTGTAGGTGAGATGATAAGAAATTAGGATATAGAGGTTAATTTAGTGTATTTGTACACAAAAATTAATCATTGATTACTAAAAAAACAATTCTAAATGGAATTTGATTATAAATGTTTTGAAAGGCCTTAATATATTCGATTTTTTTCAAAATTTGATGTTAGAAATTCTTATAAAGAACCACAGTTAACAAATAAATTAAATCACATTTATTTGATAACTGACATAACAGTAGCTTCTTGCTAAAAATAAACCATTATATAATATTTTAACTAATAAATAGTGGTAATAAAACAATTTTGCATTTTTTCATATCACCTTTCATTGAAAATTCCTGGCTACTTGCCTGCATGTTCGTAAATGCGCTAATGATTCTGTAAATCGCCATAGAAAGTTAATGCAACTTATTTTTTAGGTTGTGTTCCATACCTTTAGCTTAAGTTGTTAACCATAGTTACTTTATTAAAATTTTAATCGTGCTAAAAGGATACCTGAAAAAACTTTTCTATAAACAATCAAATAATATTTTTGTAAATTTAGAAATTTGACCTCGAGAAATGAAACATTTTGATTTATCATAATTATGTTCTTCATTTTGAAATCAAGAAAAACTACTATCCATTATAATTCAGATTTATAGTATTAACATATTACGTGTTGCACCATTCTCTAACTCGAGTAGATAAATATAACTGGTATGAATACATGCCTGTAATACAATTAATTAAAAAAAATATTTACATATATGTAATCAACATCTAAAATTAAAATTTTTTCTCTGGGTATTTTTTTTTTTTTTTTTTGATTTTACTAAACATTTTTATTCAGATGAAACAGAAAATTGTTTAAAATCTGATAGATTAGTTACTTATCTAGATATCAGTTTAGTTAAGTGTAGATTAACTTCTAATATTAACTTCATGATGAATAATTATTAATAAATTAGTGATTTTTCAAAATAAATGGGGATTAGTTATGTATAACATTGTTATTTAAATAATCTTGTTTTACTTTAGAATAAATTATGTAGACAAAATTGGCATTTTTTTAAAACTGGGTTTGATTGTGTTTGCTTAAAAAAAAAATTGAGATGTGTGTGTCTTTGTGGTCTAGACTATTTTGTCAGGCTTGAGCATACCTGGAACGCCTGAGAAACGAACACCAATAAAACAACTTCCGTTCAGTCCCTCACAAGTATGTAAATAATATGTTATGATTTAATTTCCGTCGTATATTGTTTTATATTATTTTCATTAAATGTACAACTGCTAATACATATGCATGCAATTGACCCATATGTAAGCAATTAGTTATTTTGCCTATTCAGTAAACTCAGTCTTCGTAGTTTGTCTTCAAGGTATAATTTATGGTAATCATTCTTTTTTTTCTTATAATATTTTTTCATATAATAATTATATGTGTGTATCTTTTGGTATATTTGTATTGGATTTATATTGTGGTATTGTAAAGTATATTATTAATGATTTTAAATAATTATAAACTTTTATTTTCTTTAAATATTTTTATTTAACAACTAATTAAACCAACAGATTTTAATCAAAATGGATAAAAATCTAATGGTTTGTATCATTTGGCTTTGCTTTTAATTGTATATACTATTCATTGTTTTATTAATTATAATAGTTTTTTTGCATACGGTGGTTTGTTATATTTTATTTTGCATATTGTTTTTTGAAATATGATTGCACTTTTTATTTGTATAAATTAATGTATTTCGGGTTTAGATACACTCAAGTAACAACAAAGATGAAAAATCTACACAATTAATTTCTATATTAATGTATTAATTTACTCCTTGTTTTATATTTAAATTTTATTACCTGTAATGTATTTATAACTTAAATATTTTAAATTGTTGTTACATTAGAGTGTTTTCCTCAATGCATATTATATGATTACCATTTCTTTTTTTGCCAAAATGGTTTTATGTATATCTAATGCTCTTAAATGTTCTTAGTTTAAGTTAAATTAAAAGATTTTTAACATTTTATTTATTTTACTTTTTAGTTCCTTAATAGTCCATCGTTATCATTTGATGTTAATTCAGCATCAACGCCTGTCAGACGTCTATTAGTTAGCAGTAGTAGTAAGCCAAATGAGGAGATTAGTGATCAAGTTACTAAAGCAGAAACTTTGGTCACACCAAATTTAACTTATAAATTTTCCGGAAGGAGTCGGGACGATGTTAAAACTCCAGAAACAATTTGTAAAATTAACACTCCTCATACACCAACACCGTTCAAAATTGCTCTCGCAGAAGCTGGTCGTAAAATGGGTGTGAAACATTTGGTATGTAATATTTTACATTATTTGAGTGTACCATACTAAAATATTTGTGTATATCATTATCAGGCTCAATCCCCATCAGCTTTAATTGAAGACATAACTGATTATATTAAGCAAGAGGATCGAGTTAAAAAAGAATCAGAACTTTCTGATTCACAATATGAAACTGATAGTTCTAATATGTTCTGTGTAATAATTTTAATTATTTGTTATGTTTTAATTATCGTTGGTTTTATTACATTTTTTAAAATCATTATTAAATTGTCTAGGATACTAATGATACAGTGGCATGTGGAAAAGAGAATGCAGAACCTGTGTCACCTACACCTCAGAAAAAAGCAAGAAAATCTCTTGCTCCAGTTTGGGCTTCTCCCACTGCTTCTTGGAATCAGCCTATCGAGACTACTGTAAGTCATTTTTTTTTTTATTATATTATTTTTAGTATGGATTCATCAAATCAGCGGTTCCTACTAGGATTTTGGAAAATTATTTGTGGGCTTCATGGGATTAATGAGTTTTAATTTATGCAATATTGACCTAAAAAAAGTCTTTGTTGGATGTATTTTTATTTTTATTAAATTAACTTAACTTAACTCATGCTCACACTATATAACTTATTTAATCTGTTCAATTGTTAGTTCAATAAAAATTAGAAATTGACAAATAATATAAAAAAGAATAATAACATTAACTAAACAAACAATATTACATGTATTTTATTCTATTTATAATTTAAAATTGTAGAGTGCTTGATTTTAGTTTTAGTACAGGCTCTACAAAATTTGCCGCATGCCTCGTAGTGGGGAATGCTGATCTATTATATGAATATTTTAGTTTATGTTATTTATATGTTATTATAGCCTGTATATGAATAATAGAAGTACCTATTATAAATTAAATTTTTTAAACAAATTTATAAACATTTTATAGAATTTATTATAAACTAATACAGTTTAACATGACTAATCCTATACATTTGATATAATATTGTTCAGTCCAATTTACTGAGTTCTAAAAATATATTTTTTTAGTCTAAAACAATTAGAGATACTAACACTGGAGAAGTATACACAACAACAAATGTAGATGATGTTTCAAAACACATGTTTACATCTGATGAATATTCATCTTCAAAGGTAAAAAATAGTTTTTGTATAATCATCCACACTATAATTTGGTTTGAAGAGTGAATATAATATATCATACACCAAACCGGTCATCTTTTTTTTATTTTTTGTAAACGTCCGTGTTTAGATTTGACATTTTTATTCATTTTTTTTATTTCTCGTAACTTAGATTTTTTTGTTTTGTTTTGTTAATATTTTTCAGGTATTTGGGTGAGTAGGTCATTAAAAAAACCTAGTTTTTCTTTATCACTCTTTTAAAATTATTGCACCATTAGAATATTATGTTTTACTTCAAATTATTGTTTTGCACGACACTTTAAAATATTTAGTTTAAATTACTCTTAAACAAACAATAGTAATGGCAAACTACTTTTTTGAATGTATGAAAGGAGTATTTCAAAAATTCTAAAATAAACGTAAGAAATCAATTGTATAACAAGCAAGTATGTGTTTAAGTTGATAATTGTTACTTTTGTTGATTGTTTATTATTAGAGTAACAGTTTTGTAAGAAATCTGCATACATTTAGATTTTAATTATGATTTATTATATTCTTAAAAGTTATGAGAAAGATCGTTGAAAAAATGTATTATTTCAACATACCTACCCTTTTTTTAAGGTACTTATGTTAATGTTCCTCTATTTTATTGGATCCACATCCATAAAAACCTTAAATTAATTTTTGTCAAACATAAGATGGATCGTGGCTATTTGAGTAAACTGCATAATTTTTAAGCATGTTCACCAAAATATATGGCAAGTTGAATTATACTTAAACAATGAAACTATCTAAATTTTATTTCTATTATTTTTGCATACAAATTATAAATGTGATGAGTGTGCTTAAAATAAAAAAAAAAAATTTGTGTGTATGTACTTTCTTTTATGTATGTTGTTCTGTTTTCGAGTATAGAGTGTATTAAAATATAATTTATTCACTAAATTTTATTATTTACACAGTATTTTAGATTCACGGTAAAATAGAAATTATGTTTTTTGTATTTTTAATGTAATTTTTTTTTTTCTGGACTTACGGTATAAGGGTAAAAATGAACAGGAATTAGATTATTAATAAATAAATACAATTTATTTTACTATTTGTCAAGTAATATTTAAAAAAATTGTTCTTATTTACCCTTGTATATGTCTAATTATCCTTATGCATGCTTTTTTAAAATATTACAACTTTTTTAAATTAATAAATCACATATTTTAAAGAACAATAAACTAGCCATACAAATTTGTATTTCTTTAATTAAATATGATATGAATTTAAACATTTTTTTTACATTTGTAGTTTAAATTATGAAATATACACTAAAAAATATGAAAATAAATTTTATTGTATTTTTCATTATTTTTATTTCATAGATATATATTGTTTCTTTATTTAATTGTTAGCCAAAGATTTGATGAATTAAAATAAATATACTAAATATACTATAATATAAATTATAAAATCATAATTATTGTGGTTTATTGTCTTATACTAGGTTCTCATATTACATCGATTTAATGGTTCGTTATATGCATTTATATATTATACAAATATATCATGATTAGTGTTATCCCCTTAATTATTTGTATTATTCAAACCATTTGCAACTATTTTTTTTATTAACTAATAAATTGTTAACAAAGACTATATTTATAAACTTAAATCAATAATAAATATTTTAATTAATTCCGTTCACAAAAATACTGTTTATTTATTTTGGAATGACATTTAATTTATTTTTAGAAATTTCGATCCCAATAATATTTGCTGCAGGCATTTACATTATATTAGAAAAAATAAACTATTGTAACTGTATTATTTTTTAAATGCACAATTTATTCTTCTTTGGAAATGCTTCATATTTTTAATAACTTGAAATATTATATTATTATTTATTTTTTTAAGAAAAAGTAATAATAATTAGTAGTAGCTATTCTTTATTATTATGGTGATGGTGTAGTAAATGGTGGTTGTATGTATTGTTTTGTGATGACCAGAATGGCTCTAATGCCTCACCAGACGTCTCGCAAACTACAGTTATCCGGAGACAGTTACCACAATCGTCCGATGGCAGCAGTGTCCTCAAGCGTCTTCACATTGGGAGTCCACACGGACAAAAATGGTCAGGCCTCGTATCCAAGGTATGCAATAATTCCAATGGAATTATTTATAATTATCAAAGTAAATTTTTGCTGTCAATTTGATTAACCAATGGATTTGTTTGTTAAAAAAAAAAATACAAATTACTTTATACATAGGATGATGTAAGGTGGAAGATTACATGTGGCAAAACCACTGACCAACAAGAAATGACAGCTTTGGCTTACCAATGTTTACAAATGAAAATGCCGCACAAAAACCATAATGCAAAAGTGCCTGGATTTAAACCACGACAGTTAACATTTTAGTTACTTAATATTTATTTTCCTTTGTTGTTTTATAATAAGTACAAAAACTAAAAAGGTATGTGAATTAGCAATTATTTTATTGACAAAATGTTACTCAAATTTTATGAGTGAATTTTTTTTCAAGTTTTCATTTTTAATTATTTTATATGTTGTATCATTTTTTTTGTTTCCCATATTTTGTTATTTATTCTTCTTTTTTATTTAAATTTTTTTCATTTTGTAATTGAATATCTGTAATTATTTAGTGTGACCAACTGCAATTTTATAGTAACTTTCAATAATATGAATTATTAATTAATTTTATATATAAATATATTGTTCAATATTTTTATTTTGTGATTAATTACTTAATTATGATTTTATTTTAATGTTTTCTTTTATTTTGTATATATCTAGTTATGTATATTTGCACGTTTAAAATTTAACTTCGATTTATTTTTTGCTTTTCAGCACTACCATTAACATTTTCATATTTGATAAATATTAGTATTTGTGAGAATTAAATAATTCATTTGTATTATAAATGATTTTGTACCAAAAATAAATTAAGTTTGTTTGAAAAAAAAATATATGTTAAATGATAGTTTGTATATTTAAAATTTGTGTTTGATAGCATTTTGATTTTCATTCATGAAAAGTTGTTAGATAAAAAATATTAATTTTATAAGTTGGTATATAGTTCATTCAACATTGTAACAGGTAACTGACTTTGCTAATAGATTTATATTTAAATACTTATACAAATTAAATTAGTTCTTTAAGTTATTTTAGATAAATGTAGTAAAATTTCCATTATATGCATCAGGCACTACAGCTAGTATCTTGACGTAAGTATTGAACACATTGTTTTTGAGATTAATAAAATGGAATTTCAAAATCAAATGTGATTCTTTACTTAGAAAGTACTAAAGTAAATTACATATTTTAGAGTTTGTTTTTTATATCTATGTATAATACAATGATTAATAATAACATAAATTTATTTCATGTACAATCTGAACGAAGAAAATATTTTCGGCTTGTTAAAACTGTAACGACAAAATCATAATTGTTCAGAAAATAACGGCTTGTGAGTTTTTAGAGTTTTACCATAGTCAATTCTGTGATTTTACATTTTTACTTTTACCAATAGTGAATTTTGAATAGTTACCTGTAAGTATGTGGCAGGTTAGAAAAAGGAAATCCATCATTTAAGACATCTCTTGAAAATAATGTTTTTATAGTGCCATTATCACAAAATAGTAAAATTTTCCATTAAGTTTTGGCAAGAAACTGATGATAATTTGCTATAGCATTGTGGTATAGGGTTGAAATAGCATAGCCAGAATTTATCAATAAGGCGGGTTTAGGGGTTTACAACCTTTTTAATCTCACCCATAACTAAAAAAAGCAATTTGGAGGGGGCTACAATACCCAAAACCCCTTGTAGGCTACGTCATTATATGGTATGGTTGTATGGTTTGTGGTATACGGTGAAAGACCAAAAGAGAAGTGGTTGGATGAGATTGAGAATGATATGAGGAAAGCCAGTGTAGACAAGAATGGATATTTGTTCCAGTGAAAATTTAAGACAACGGTGCAATATTAATGAAACTGATCATGAACATGTTTATGCAACATTACATTATTAGTATAAATAAATATTGATAATATAAAAGGTATACACAAATTTATTTATATTTAAACACACATTTTATACAAGTCTTTTGAGCGACACAGTTTGGTGTTGCGGTTTTAAAAAAATATTTAGTCTTAAAAATACATGTCTTCAACAAAAATAAAATATTACAATATATGGTATACATTTATACATTTTACATAAACTTTGGGAGAGTTGACTTGAAATTTATATCTTTAGGAAAGTATACATTTGAAAAAAAAAACAATTATATACAAAATGAATTCAATAAATAACAATGATTGTTTATAGTAGTGTAAATATTTGTTCATAGTAAAAATATATATACATATATATTTTAATATAATTATATAGTAACATTATAGTAATTTATAAATGAAATATTAAAATTAGTCATGTAGAGCATACAAGTCATTTTAAAATTAAATACGAACATTTTTTTTGTCTATTTAATACACAAAAACAATTTTAAACTTGTACGTACAGTAGAAATTATAAAAAATGATTATCAAATTTAATTAGGAAACAATCACTTTGTTATTTACATAATTATAGGACACAGTGTTTATAATGTAAAGTAGTTAGAAAAAAGTTTAAAAAAATGTTGTTCGAAGTTATATTTTATTTCTATTGTCTCAAAAAATAAATTGTTTACTACGCTTCGATTACATTAATGGCACACATTTATTATGTAAATGTTAAGTAGAAAAAATGACAAGAAAATAATATTGATTATTTAAAATCAATAATAGTAATTTAATAATATTAAACTTAATTCTATCTACACAGTCTTGGGCATATATATCATTCAATATTTCAGTATTATTATCACTGTAACATTTACTGTGATATAAATTCAATTATAAACTATTATTATGCGAAATTGATCGAGCACTAGACATGATGAATACCGATATTTTCCAAGGTTTCACTATCTTCTAGCTTTCGCAGAGTCTTCATTACTCTCAATGCTGGCAATCTAACATTTGCATTTTGATGCCAGCATTCTTGAATAAGTTCTGATATTACTCTCAACCTCTAAAAAATAAAGTTTACAAATCAAATAATAGGTTCTTTATATTATGAAAACAAAACCTGAGAAAATTGTGTATATATTTTTCTTTAAACTCACATTATCACATTTCCATCGCATTGGTATATCTGGCCTCGCACCTTGTATTATCAATACTAAATGCATGTCTTCTAATGAAGGATCGGATCCAACTAGATTGGCATAAGGCAACATATATTCATCTGCTTGAAGCATAGGTGAACCACCTACAGGCCAATTTTGTCTGCTTCTTCTGTGAAATCACAATAGGTTACATTTAGTAATATGATCATATTATAATAATGATAATTTTTTAGCAAAATAAAAAAAACAATTAAAAATACTTGCCTACACAACTCCCAGAATACCAAACTTGCTGAGTACATATCAGCAGCTTTAAACGCACTAAATGAAGTTACATCAATGGTATCATTGACTACTTCTGGGGCCATATAGCGTCTTGTACCGACTCTTGAGTTTGGAGCAATGTCTATTTCGTTTCTTCGACTGAAATGAACACAAATAATAATAATATATATATATATATATATATTAATGATTGATTAGTTAAAAATATAGATATATTTTATTATATAGAAAATTACCTGTCATATCGGACAGCTAAGGCAAAATCAGCAATACAGCATTCACCATCAGTCTTAACTAAAATGTTTCTCGATTTAATGTCCCTGTGGGCAATACACGGCTTACCATGGGTACCGTTAATTGGCTCATGTAAATGAGCTATACCACTGGCGATGGAACGTGCCATTACAACCAACTGAGCGGTATCAATAGTATTCTCTTTCAAGAAATCATGTAAAGAACCACGTTTATGGTATTCTGTGATCAACATCATCTGAGCACCTCCAGCGCTAACCTTTAAGTCAGCCGCAATGAAACCTTAAATAATTATTTTAAAAATATATATTAGTCTAAAATCAAGTTAGATCAAATTTTTGTTTATGTAAATAATTACCCAGTATATTATCGTGTCTGAGTAAAACGGTTTGGTATATCTCGGTTTCTCGTAGCCAACTCTGATCGTTAATGGTAGTAAAAATTTTTACAGCTACGTGTTCACCTCTCCAATTGGCCAAACACACTTTACCAAACCTTCCTTCGCCTATTTGTCGTTCTATTCGTATTTGTTTTGCTATTGTTCTTTGTACCTAAATCAATATACATTTTTTTTTTAACATGAATTGTATTTTTATTAACACCTTGATGTATTCTTACAAGTAATGGTATCCCAGAACCAGAGCCAGAAGAATGTCCGATAAGTGTTTGCAATAGGTTATTGTTTCCAGATATGTAGCTGTCGGTGGACGTTAATGCGTATAGACGATTTTTTTCCTTTCTTCTGTACCTTAAGTATACCCAACCAATAATGATGGCGGCTACTAAGATACAAATGACCATTGACAACATGAATGCCATAAAGGGTACAGAATTTATTGGAGCTTTGGGCGGCATCGGCGAAGTAGTGTGCGGTATGTACAGGGGCGTTATGCCTTTATTGCACATATCTGAGTTGCAACATTGAATGGCTAGACCATACATACTATTGGCGCTTTTACACTGAGAAAAAATGAATAGAATGAAATAATTGCAACAATTGACAGTATCAACAAGTCCATTTATAAAAAATATATACAAGATAAATAAATAAATATATATATTTATTTATTTATTTATCTTGTATATATATTTTGTTGAACGTAAAAGAACATAGGTATTTATTCTGAGGAATTTCTTTAAAACTCTACTTGTAATTTATTCAAACAAGTTTTTAACTTCATGTCATTTCTATAGCTAACTGGCGGCAATTCCAAAATTAGTTGAACACATTTAAACTAATAAATAAATAATACTGATATGGTTTGTATTTTATAAATGTTGACAAATAATTAAATTAATTATCAAAAGAAATATACATCTTAAATCTTGGACATGAAATTTTTTATTTAAACGACTATAGGTGAACAAATATGAGTAGGTATCTAAATTGCATAGTATCTTTTTGAAAACACTGAACGTATTTAAAGGTACAAATCGATTTATTGACATTTATTTTCAAATATCTCGGTCAATTTAGCTTAGAAAAATGCAAGGTGATTTTAACTTACTTGCAAGAAGCCTTGCTCGCCGGCGGCCAGACACCCATAAGATACGATTCGTTCATATCCGCCATCGTCGTTCATTTCTTCTTGTATAGCGCTGAAACATTGTGAAAATCGAGAAGTTGTACACGTTCCGTTTAGTTGACCGTTTGGACACTGGTGTTCACAATAACATGTTAATCCATGCACTGAAAAAATGTGTTGTATAATTATTTTTTTGTAATTAAATAATTTAATTATTAGGTGGTTTGGTAAATTTCAATATTTCGAAAACGATGGGAGCGAAGCCAGTACCTGGTCACTAGGTCCTAGTGTATTTAGAATTTTTATATGGGTGGAAGATAACATTTTAAACACGTTCAAAAATGCATTATAACCCTCCAAGTCTTACCGTCAAATGCGGAAAATGTTTTTTTTTTTAAAAAAAATTCTTAAACATTGTGGTAACTAGAACCCGGAATTTAATAACCTAAATATACTGAAAAATACCAGTTTACAGTAAAAATTATAAAAATAAATTACAACTATCTAAGGAAACTGGGAAAGATCCAACAATGGAAAATCAGCGAAAAATACAAAAATAAAGGTTTTTTTGAAGTAAGCAAAATATTACGAAAAAAAAATGTTTCAAGATAATATTTGGAAATTCAAATTTTCATTTTTATTATCCAATGTCCCGTGGGGGATTTTCAAAACCCGTTATTTGCTACGCGTCATAATATACAAACAAATGCTTTTTAATTAACTAATAAAAAAAATGAAGACATTGAAAATCGCCAGTGTTATATTATTATTGTCTACAGTATTAGTTGATAGTTGTTCTTTATTTCCTTTTTAATTTTACCGTTATACATTTTAAATTACGGATTTATTTTAAAGCCATTCATTAGTATTAAACAATTTGCAAATAAAAAAAAAAAACCGTTTAGGCGTACACAATTTTACTTGACTGTGAGCATAATTAGGTAACAAAATTATATTATACGTCGTGGTAACAACTAACAGTAAAAATGTATACTGTCGAGACGATTAAAAGTGACGGCTGGAAATCTTTTTTGTATAATGTATTGGTATAGTATGGTGCCGACGCGCCATTAGCTTTGAGACAAAGCCTATTAAAAACCGGTAGCCCGAATATTCTACTCATTAAAATTCATCTTTCATAGACCTAATATCATTTGGTTACTGCAGTATAAATATAGATACATAATATATTATCGTTTAATTTTTTTTCCTTAGGTTTCCTGTTTTTCGTTTTCATTATTCCATGAATAATAAAATGCATTGATACATTCTAAAAATAAAGTTATAATCTTATAGTTGATCTTAAATAAAAGGTAAACAGAGATGTTTAATTTTATGTTATAAAATGTTTAATAATAATAACAACATAATAATCATTGGAAATTTCGTAGGTATACTGCCATTAAATGACCAATCATGTGATACAATCGTCACCAACTAAAACTATACATCAACATTATCTGATCTCTTATTGCGTTCAATCGGACTGTAAAATGATGATATTGAACAATATATTTTATTAGCAACAGTGATGCAGTATTTCGAAAACATATCCCTCACCAATACCGTATCCAAAAAAAAAAATGTAACAAAGTATGCATCTGGCCTTGTAATCGCTAATTGCAGAAAGGGGACAAGTCCCTAAAACCATATTTTACAGAAGACAAAAAAATTTTCTAGGAAAAACTGAGAAGGAGCTGGGCTAAAAAATCAATGAATCATGTCATTATTCACCTTTTCAAAAATATTATTACTTGTATAAATACATCAATTTTCCCGTGTTTCCCAATTATTATGATTCATGAAAACCGCTTGAAAAAAAAAAAAAAAAAACCTCACAATTCATAAACTACACATTCAAAATACAACAAAAAAGATCAATGCGAGTCTTGTAGTCTTGCAAAATATTTCCCCTCCAGAAAGCAATATTTTCTACGAAAATTGTATGTATTTGAACAGTGTTTACCAATTTAACCAATAAGAAAGCACAAATTATTTGAAATTTTTTCCAATTCATCTTTTTTGAGTTTCACGAAATTTTCTTTTCACTTTTAGCGATAATTTTCAACTTGTACCTAAATATTGATTTGTGATACTAAATACCTAATACAAAACTTCTATTTATTTTAATTTAGTTTATTATCTCTTAATATATTATAATCTCTACATTTTCTTTGTACTATCGGGCTTCTGCCCGTTTTATTCTTCTTTTGAATAAACTATTATTACTATTATTATTATTAACATATTATACTATTAGGCACCTACTAAAAACCCGTAAATACGCCACTGCTAAGACCAAAACTTGAAGTGCAAGAACAAGAACGTCTTAGACTGGGTTTGATCATCGCTAGATTCAACATTTAAACTGTAACGTTTATAACATATTATATACAAACGAAATGGTGCCTATATATAATCTGCTGCAAATTTATGTTTTTTCATATATAATTTCTAATAATATTATAATATACGAGTGATGTATCCGTGTAATTGAGGTGTAATAAAAAACTGCGTTTCATTAACGTGCAGCGCATAATAGTATCTAATAAAAATAATACCGTCCGTTTATGCCATTGGCGTATCTTGGTTTTATTTCCAAAGCTTTTAAACATTTTAAAATACCTTATTGTATTATATAGGTGTATATACCCGTAGCCACGATGACGACGAGAAATCGTTTTGAATAGAGATTAAATAAAATATCCTCCTCTATTCAAATCCTCCCCCGCTTAACCTATACAGAAAAGAAAAAAAAAATTAAAAAAGAAAAAACACCTGTTACTGCCAAAGCCCTATAAATATTAAACATCATAAAAGCAACGGAGGTATAAGGAGAGGAATTAATCCCGTATACATATATTTATATATATAACAACAGGTAAAAATACGTATAAAATTGTGCACAAAGAGCGCGGCGGTTGCCCGACGACTGCAGCAGCAGTTGTGCTGCTGTGTATACAAAAATTCAAAATGGATACGCTCGCGCGTCGTCGTTTGGGTCAAACCAACTAACCCCTTTTACATAAAAACGTTTTGAACAATAATAAAAACCCGACCCGCGTCTATATATATAATATTATACGCACGTCATTGCTATATAGGTATACATATATATATATAGCCACGGCTTCAGTACATATTATTATTATAGTCGATTTCAAATCTTACTGCGCATACGATGAGGTATTTTACAACAATGCGACCGAATCTGTCACACCTCAGGAAAAAAAAAAAAAAAAACCATTAAAAAACCCGCGTCATGATAAATATGAATACGGCGTGTTATGTCGGAATGAATATTTTATAATAATAATAATAATATATTATATTATATTATATATACGGTCGCGCATTTACATAATTTATGATTTATGTGTCAGTGGGCGGCATAATATGGTGTTACCGACGAGAGACATTTAATTATTAATCGGTTATAAATCGCGCGAGGGAGAGAAGAAAAAAAAAAAAACGTATATACCGGGAGACTTGAATGCCCGCATTGTCGCTCTTGCGCGTACGATATTATTATTGTATTAAACACGTAGGAGTTCGCCGCCGGACAGAGGTGGATATTTTTTTTTCTGTCTCTCTCTCTCTCTCTCTCTCCCTCTCTCTTATCATACCCAAAGATTAATTAAAACCGATGGGTTTTTCGTACCTGCCCCGTCGCCGTTTAGACGTTTACAGTTTTATTGCTTTTAAGGAACCGGGCAACAGCGCGCAGTATACATATATTATATTATACACGCGTTCATATTATAAATGGAAAAAAAATATAACAATTTCAAGCGTTCGTTTGGTCTGCGGGGCCCACCGGGTTTTTATTTTATTTCGTGTGTTATTATTATGATTATTATAATAGGTATTGTACACCTATGTACAAAATAATACGTTTCCGCCGCGTGCGACGTTTTATTTTAGTAAATGTTCGTATAATAGTATATGGGTGCTGCACAGGACCAAACTAAACGTCTTTTAAGTGTATAAAACACTTTTTTATAATACAATAATAATATTTACGTGTGTCATGATTATAAATTATTTAACCGTGTGGCGAAAAAATATTTCTGAAATTTATAACACGATGTGATACACATAATGGATGGCAATGAATTACCTTATGGCTTCTAAAATTCAATCAAACGATAGATCAGTTTGAAGGTTGTCGGATACCATCGATATATTTAGATTGTGTTGGATTATGGGTTTCGGTATTGTCAAATATAATAAAATGGGCACCTTATCCGTAGCATAAATTTAAATTACTGCAAATAAAAACTGATACGAATCAAAGAAATTAAAAATTTGTAAAATTGATCGCTGGTTACGATGGAAATTTAGTCGGCAGCGTTGAACTTTCAATAATATAAAATACTATCGAACTATTGAGTTTTGCGAAGTATAATGATATAATAAAATATTATTTTTTATCAAATCTAATACATCTAATAATAAGCTTATAATCGCGGGAAGAAAAATATTACAATGTTTTTCTTCCGATAAACATTCATATTAGAATATGTTTTTACACAATAATACAATAAGAAAAATGGTAAAAAGTGCGTAGTCGTGGTATATTATGTTTTTCACAAATAAAAAAAATGTGCAGCGGTAAATTACACCGGTTGTTACGCAATGAGAGTATAATATTATAGTACATTCTTTCTTCCTCTTTACCTTTATCCCACTCAAATGGGCTTATTCTCATTCTTCACGTCGCCTTTTTTTTCCACCTACCATGACGATAGATACGGGATTTCCCTTAAAAGAAACTCTATAGCCACTTTTTCTTTGGTTTTCCTCTTCCCCGGTTTATTTATCTATACACGTTCCGATCTTTTATTTAATTATACGTGTCCCTCAATCTATATTCTCTCTAATTTTCCCCTCTACTCCTAGAACATAATCTAAGTTTCTATTCCTACCCAACTTGGTTGCAGATCCTACAACTTAACATTCTCTGCTATTTCCATTTTTGTTCCATATTTGGCTTCAATGACGGCTTTATAAAATGTCCTTTTCATCCTTATAATACTTTTTTTTATCACACAACACGCACTCTTATTGTCGCTTTCCTCAAATCCGTTCAGCCACGCTTAACTTTGCTTAGCTACAACGCCCTCTTTAAATCTACCGTTCTCTCGTACCGCCGAACCTGTAAATATGTAAATGTATTGACTACATTTTGTCATGCCTTCCAAATCCGAACTTATCCGGTATAATATTCAAGTTGAAACATTTGCTGTGGCGTCGTATTTTCGAAACTAAAACGACGACTACGGGAGCGGCCGTTGTCGGCTGGATTCCGGGGGAGTCGGATTACCGTGGATACGGACAAAAAAAAAAAATAACCGTCGACCGTGGGAGGAGAGAGAGAGACTCGCCACGGAGGAGGATTATTGTGTTACAGTATTATAAAATATACAATTCTCTCGGGCTGCGCTCGTCTGCGTGCGGTTACGCTACAAGACGACAGGCTGGACACGTCGAGCGTGAACGTGTCGCGCCCGTCGCCCGAGATTAAAGGTGTCGGGTGTCGGGGCGGCGGAGAAACAATCGCGTTCTCTATAATAGTATGCGTACGGAGGCGGCAACGTATTCTCGTCCGCGTTGCGGTTTTCGGTTTCCCTCTCCGTCCCGCCAACGCCGACACTTAAGGTGTATAACGTATAAACGAGAGCGCGCGCGACTCACATACACGCACACGCGCGCGCACGACTCGCTACGATACGTGCAACAAGGCACGCCGCCGCCACGAGATTTGTTGCGTTGAGCTCCGTAGCCGCCCTTCCTTCCACTCGCTCGCCCTCTCGCTCGACCGCTCTCTCTCGCACGCACAGGCCGTGTAGCCGCCGTCAATGGGTGACAGCGGAGCGGCGGCGTTGGCAGCTGCATAATAATATGGACGCGACCGGTTTTCTTTCTTTCTCCGTCCCGAGACGCGCACACAATCTGTTCTCGCGCATCGGAATCACGTACCGCACGGCGAGCAGAGGGTACGACAAAGGGGGCGGGGGTGCCGCGCTCGCACCGTGCATACGGATTTTTCTTTTGACGACCCCTCGTACGAACGACCAACAACAGCAACAGCAACACATGTGCACCACCAATGCGCTATACACAATAGCACGGAGAACCCCATAATAATATTATTATTATTATTATAATATTCCGATGAGAATAATAATAATATAAAAAGTGAGTACCTGTTTAGAAACGTCATAAGACACCCCTCTCGTCGTCAGTGTAAACGCGTACAGCTGCACATGTTCACACCGCTCCGAGAAACTCTATACAACAACGTTCGTCACGTTTTATTAAAAATTTAACGAATATCCTTGAACCGTTTTTTTGTCGAAAACGTACATTTTAAACGGAGTTTGGAGACAGTCAACAAACAACATTTTAGATTCTGAACATCTGAATGTAGCGAACCGGGGTTCGTGTACTTTAAGCGTGTCGAGAAATACGTTGATTTTACTATGATGTGTGTTTTGAAAAAACACGCACATATTGAAAATCTACATAACCCATAAAAAAAAAAAAAACAACCAAATCCACATTTAAAATTTTAAAATCCAGTCAAATAATATTTTCTTCCATTAGTTAAAAACAGTTTTCTTTATTAGTTAAAAGATAAATAAATATTGTAACTATTAGAATAACGACGATAATACATACATATTGTATTATTTCTAACAACAAATTGTATTTTTCCCTTCAAACAGAATACGTTGAATGTATATGACCGTATACACGGTGTAAAAAATGCGTATTTTAAAATATTATTATATTCTTCCGGTTTTAAGATAAGGAAAGAAAATATCGTTATTTCGTGTTTTTGTTAATTATCGTTTTCAATTATTATACAATTGTTAATAATTTATCTGTAACGGTGGTGTAATTATATTATAATACTGTAGGGTCTACAGCATTGTAATATGGTCTACAGTGTAAAAAATCATACATAATAATATTATATAAGTACTTGTATATGAATATATGATCTATAGTTGATAAGGTAATTATAATATTATCTATTGAATTAGTATTAGAAAACAAAGCTGATACTGCTGACGGGTGTGCCACTGTTGTAGGTGGCACACCCTGTTGTAAGTTTTTAGATTCTGAACGAAACGTAGAATGTATTGTTTGTTCCCGGCTTTTACTTATGTGTTATTTATATACTTTTTAACCGGAAATCTTGCTCCAAACACGTGATAAGAACATTTTTATTGTACTTTTGGTTTAGTTGGGAGGTCGTTTTTTTAATAGATGGACAAAACTGACAATTATTTTGTATAATTTTTGGGTCATTTTGACAAAAAGGGAAAAAATACGACTAATAATACTCTGTTCAGAAATCTTATTCGTTATCAATAGTTTATCGTAGGTAGCGTAATTGTAAAATAAATTATTCTACGCATCGATCCTTCCTTATTTCCTTTTAAAATATTAGCACATTGTGTACTCACACCAATCAGCAGTATTAGCCCAGCCTTTATTTTAATTACCTATATATTTTCGTTATGCGCAACGATAAACTACTTTTATCAAAAAATGATTCTGAACGAAGTTCGCACAAATACGTTTTGAAATGTCGTGATTTAACAAAATTATTTTCGTTAATATTTGAACACTTATGAAAACAAGTTTTGGTTTTTACCATCAAATACAATTTATCATGAACCTCGCATACAATTTTAAAGTATTTATGCTCGACTAAAATTTAAAATTCCTGTAAATAGCTGCAAGAATGTTTTGAAAATTGTACTATGTCTAGAAAAGACTAATATCAGTACTCTGTGAATATTCTAGGTATTTACGATTAGGTTTAACCAGATTACAAAAAAAAAAAAAAAGTTTAAAAATTACAAAACCGTTGTTCTGTATATTTTTATATTTTTCCTCAAATGTAAAAAAAACAAGAAGGAAAATCAAAAACGAACTCATACCCAATGTATTGACTAGATAAAATTTACGAAACTATACAAGGAGTAATTTTAAAAATTTAAATTTTTACGATAAATACGAATGCCACCAAAAATGCATATCTTACAAATTGTAACATACATTACATAAATACTTCAGCTGAAAATTTCGCATGGAAGGCAAGCGCAGTAGGTAGTTATAATATAATAATATTGTATAGCGTTTGATGTAGTTTTATATTATACATTTAATAAATAATTGTACGTATATTTATACCGTGACATAAATTGTATTTAACGTTAATCGCCCGACCGGGAGGAAATTCCGATATATCGTGTGGCGATAAAAACCTTTAAAAAATGCCGAATGTGACATATTCAATGCTAGGCAGCGAGCCCGACAGAATCGCGACGGTATGTGTGTAAAACACGCAGCCAGTGTCAACGACACCTGTATATTTTATCAGACAATAGGGTACTGTGAATAAGACCAGGTGTGAGTATATAGATATACATTATCAAAAAAATACAATACCCGCCATCTTCGCTCGAGAAGCCTTGGCCTGTCCGTCCACCGTGTATCGGTATAATAATTTATTTCCATGGTTTTTTTTTTTTCCGATGGAAAAACGCTAGTTTACCGGTCACGCTTTTTGTCCGACAAACTACCGACGAATACGCTACGTTCACATCAATTTTCATCGTTTCATTGTCATTGAAATATCATTATAAAGGGTATTTTTCGTTAAAAAGACACGAAATTAGTGTATAGGTATAGAATATCAAAGAAAAATCCAATTACAACCAAAGGAGTACGTATACGCGTATTGTGTATTTGTGTGTATAATAGTAATACGTATATAAACTCAGTTTGCAGCAGGCTGATAGGTTTTCGTATTGCCGCGATAATTTCAAAAGCAAAAAATAACGATAGGTAGAGGTGTTTACTCCGAGAAAATTGTGTCAATTTACAGTACAAAAAACGCCATGATAAATGATGCAGACGACAAACCAAAAAATATTACATTAAACACTACAATACGGTACACATCATCGTATATAAATAATTTTAAAAATCTAGACATAGTCCGTACCACGGGCATATGCCACTGTTATAGGTGGAGAGTTTTAAAGGTATATATTGGATTTAGTTTATAGACTGAAAATAACGACAAAAAATTGCAATTAAAAAATTATTCTGAGTCGAGCTCGCTAAACTGTGGGTGAAGGTTATAATATTTACTATCAATAGTGTTTTCTCCTTGAAGCCAAGGTAACTCAGAAACCAAACCAAAGTATTATTATTAATAAATACAGGGTTTTTTAAAAAAAAAAAATTTAAACATTGAAAATTAATTGAAGAAGTTTGAAAAATGTTTACTAACCGAAAAATTGTTTTCCAAGGAAACAAACAGCTTATATACATTTTGCTATACTCAGAATTTAATGTGTAATTATGAATTAATTGTCTAAACTATAATACATGTATATTTATTATATAAAAGAAACTGCTGACATATTCACGCACTGTCCAAACCACTAAGCTTAGAAACTTGGAATTTCGCATTAACGTTTCTTATTATAATATACAATATAGACTTTTTAAAATCCAATCCCTAAGGGGCGTTTAAAAGGAATGTAGAAGTTTGCACGTGAAAAATTAAAAAACGTGTTCTATAACCTAAACCGAAAATCCAACAATCGTAACACTATACAGATTATACAATATAAGTACCAATACAGTATACACGATTCTGTGAGTTTTTTTTTCTGTTCCGTTTGTTTGTCGAGAACACGATCCGAAATTATTATTCCGAATATTTCGAAAAAGTCACGTATTCGGTTTACGACCATCACAACGGGAACAATAAACACAGTTTGTTTTCTTTTGTTCGAGAGGAAAAAAAATGGTAAACCTTCGACATAGGTTAATATTCGGGCCTACCCAGCTATATATAGGTACTTATATAAAAATATAATGTACACCACCACACGTCGGTTTAGCTGCGAGATGACCTTATAATAATAATATTATACATCACTACCGTCAAAAAACCTCTATAATCCAATTTCTTTCGAATAAGAGGCGTACGAACTAGTGAAAAAAAAAAAAATAAAAAAAAAAAAAAGGAATAATATCACGTAATTCTATCCTTCGGCAGACACCTCGGGTTTTTCAAAATTGTTTTCTTCATTTATGGGTCGTTTGCACCAATTGTCATAAACACGTTCGAATCAAACGCGTCGGCGTGTCCTGCGCAGGACGAAATACTCGTAATATGCACACATTTATATGCTTACAACATACATATTATACCTGCGTATAAATATTGTATAGAAACAGTATTTCCCCCTCCCTCTCCCGGAATGCAATTAAGATACGGGGAATCGTGTATGTACATTTTACATAAATACTACAGTAAGAAGAGGCTGCGATAAAAGAAAGAAAAAAAAAAACAAAACAAAGACGAAATAATAATAATTGTAACGTTTTACAAAAATACTGCAGTTTTTCAACGGTCCACAGACACAAGAAAACACACTGCACGGGTTTCCTTTGGTTTTTTTTTTTTTTATTGTTATTTTTTTTTATCATCAAATTTAAAACGCCCGGCAGCTATATATATATATATATAAAATATATACTCGTATTAATAATAATAATAAAAAAAAAGTACGAGCCGCCGCGAACACGGTTAGTTGACCATAACGAGACAAACGTGTGGCCGACCGGTTTTCTCCATCGGACCATCTGGCACCGAACCGTTCGCGTCTCGGTGACTTCTCTTTTCTCTCTCTCATCCGCTCTTCATCTCTCGCTCTTTCTCTCTTCTCGAGTCGTTATTATTATTCACCGGCCGGTCTAATCCCGCGTGATGTGCGTGCACACACGTACCGCCGCGCCGCCGCCGTCGTCGTACACGAAATTGTCGTTGTTGCGCGTGTGTCATTTGCAGGCGTTTTACTCCCATTATCCGGATGCCATCAGCTATCCCGCGCGTATAGTATCACGTCCGTAAAAGTCCTCCTCGTCAGCAGCTCTGTTATTACGGAGAAGTAGAGAGAGAGAGAGAGAAAAAAAAAAAAGATCCACGGCAAGAGTAAAAATAATAATGATAAAAAAATAAATAAAACCACTACTCGCGCGTACATTATTTATACATCGCATAATACACGCGTATATATATATATTATATTACGAAGAAAAAAAAATACCCGTTCGGAACAATTCTCACATTGTCACGCAACCAACTTTGTATGCACAAAAGGATTTGTACGTTTATTTTTATGGCAAAACCGATTTGATCTGGTCTGTGTGTGAATCCGGATTTCTCAAGGATCGTCTCGCGCCGCGGTCGTCTCGAAAAAAAAAAAAAAAAACCCCACAACAAAAAAACCTGACGCGATAATATCTCGCGAATAAATAATATCAATAATCATAAACAATAATAATATTGTCGACGAGAGAAAAGTTTCCAGAGTTAGTTCCATAAGAGGTTTTTTTTGTGCGAAAAATAACCTATATACTTGTTGGTCCGAACGGATGATACTGTTCCGAGGAAGGTACGCGTCCAAAGTGTTGGCGGTTTAACTTTGGATTTTAGGTAACGTGAAAAAATTCTCGAAATATTGCAACAGAGGTTTTCCATTCGTAAAGACAAAAATAGCCCGTAAGTTAGAATTTCTATTTTTACCACTTTGGTAATTATTTTTAGATACCTACTATTATATTACCTACTGCACTGTAGTTGTATAGAATCTTAAAAGTATTGCGACTAATGGTGAAAAGCGGTCAGAAAATGAAAAATCCATTCATGTACGAATTGTCCGGGTAAATACCAGAACAACTACTGTTATATAACGACACTTTTCAATATTTCGACATTATTTCCACTTAGCCAGAGTTCAACCGTGTAAACCTAACACCTACCTACAATACCTAGTCGATGAAAAACCACGACCGGTGGCGGGATATTTACGCCATACACTACCGTTTGGGCCTAACTCGGATAGGGTCTGTAAATACACTATCCGGACTGCACGCGGCACATGTGCAGTAGTTTCTCACATTCGCTCGCACAGTCTCCATATGGACTTCTAATAAATATCGTATACACAGAATAGGTATATTATCATATTATAACGCAGCCTTGTCGCTAACGAGACATATTATATTTTCGCGAGCAACGGTCGTCGTATTATATTTTAAGTGTGAAATATTTCAACGTACTCGCAGCACATGTCCGTATTTGGAACTCTGGTAATACGTGTCCTTATTTCACGCCACCGCCGCTGTATACTCAGTATTGTAGCAACGTGTTAAAATAGACAGAAAAAAAAAAAGAATTCTTTCAACTCGAAGAAGACGAATAAAATAATAATAATAATAATAATAATTTTACTGTTATTATATTATACCTACGTGTAAAAGGCGCGTGTTTGTGCACCAAACCCGATTTTTCATTCGCGATAGTATATCGCGAATTGTAACTTAATTCGTTCGAGTGTCTTTTACACACACGTAATTTATATCATTATAAGTACCTACTTAATGAGGGTTAACAATTATTTGTCACAATGGTCCGCCTGATATCCAGTATGCCGATAATTATATTATCAGAAGTAATAATAACTTACTACTCTCACACATCCGGAAATTATACCCTTTTATAGCACAATTAAAATAGTGTACATAGGCAGAGTAGAGTATTATACTTTAAACCACTGTAGTAGAGTACACTACTCCACTCCACTTTTCTAGTGTAAACAGATAAAGAGTAGAGTAGAGTTGAACACGCGCGAGCAACCGTGGTAATAATATTATTATGTTACCACAATATTATCATGTGGTTAACGTTTGTCGTCCGTGCAATTTCATATCAAAAAGCCTGTTTATTTTATTTTAGTGACGATTTTTTTTTAAATCAGTGCGGTCCAAATCTGACACTAATAAGCAGTTGAAGTTTATGAGATATTATATGAATGCATTTGGAAGATTTGTTGCACGGATTACTAAAATAAACAAATACGAAAAGACGACAGCGTCAATAACTGTCAACTGTACTATACTATATTAACAACTATAGCCTCATCCTCATGTAGACCAGCGGTACCCATATGCTGTCCATTAACAAATTGTATGCGGTTATTGCGGTTTCTAACAAAACAAATGATAAATTAATCACATATACCGATCACGACCGTTTAAAATATTTGTGTTGCTCTAAACGTTCTTTACCCATATCATAAGAATATTATTAGTATTATACGAACGGTACCTATATTATCAAACAGTCTATACAACAATGAGCATTTAATTAAGTATGTTTTATATTCGTAATTACGTTCGTTTGTTAAAAAATACCAGTATAAGGTTTTCTGATTATCTATTCTTTGCCGATTGATTTACGAGTGATGTATCATTACAATATTTTATTAAATATTACCTACCGGCTGACGGTTGTTATACGTCATAACGCACAACACAAAGAAGTATATTACGTTATAGTGATGTCTTCTACCATATTATGCCCATGCTTTCTGTAATTATATATATATATATAATACAATAATCTGTCACTATAAATACATGGGGTTTTGACACTTATTAAACCCATTGTAAATTAATCGTGTACGTTTGAAAAAAAAAATATAAAAATAAAACGTGATCCAAATCGTGTTGTACAACTCTCACACCTCCATATTGTTATAATTTATAGGTGTATACACTATACACTATATACAAAGAGTTTAATAGATATATATCGCGTATACCGTTGTGTACGAGGATGTATACAGGATGAACCACATAGCATTAAGACACCGATTATCTTTGAAGGTATATTTAATTTTGTTGAAATTACGATTTGTTTTTTTTTGTAAAATGTATAAACCGAGTAGCTCTAAAATGTTAAATTACACCGGGGGGCGAATCCATTATCTATTTTTGATTTTCGAATAACCTACATACATGAACCTATATTAAAAAATTCCATAAATTGATAGTTTTAGTTTAAATACATCATTTTGGAGTTAAAATGTTTAGTTTCCCCATCTAATCCGTTGACGAGATATAGTAGTGGAATACTATTCAAACACGTCATGCAAACTCACAAATATTGTTCCTCTTCTCTCATCCTACCCACAAAATTTTAAACTTAAAATTGGAATATCTTATCAATACCCAAATGTATTTAAACTCAAAATGTATAATACATTATAATATGTCATTTTTAATATCGGTTAGACCATTTGAAAATCAAAGGCGAGTAAGTGGTTTCGCTCTCAAAAATAACGTACGAGTATGTAATGTATAATTTCAGAGCCGTTTGTTTCTTAAATTGCCCAAATAAATAAACAAATTTCGAATAAAAGACAATACATCGATCGTTCTGTATAATGATGTGCATGCATCGCACAAAAGTCGTCGAATTAAAAAATTCCAAATGTATATTATACTAATAATATATTTTATAATATTATAATGTTAATGATGACGGCAGGCTATACATCGACTACTGCATAATATTATATACATCATCGTACACATATTATAATATATTATTATTATAACCGCTAATTGTTCTAATTACCATTTTGCTGATGGGAGTGCCAGCGTAACTTCGCGTTATTATTACTGTTTTTTTTTTTTTAGTTATTAATCATCTAGAGAGCGCGTAGTATTCATAAAACATATTATAAACTCTCACGTATAGATTTACATCGATATAAAATAATCATAACATTCAACGGTGACCAACTTTTAATATATTTCCTAGTATCCTATATTTTCCTCCTCCCGGTACTAGATTAATAATGAAATAATTATAGTCTATATTAAACTATATAGTATATATACTATACAATCGTATAATAAAAAAATTCGTATTTATGTATTTTTATAAACATAGTAAAAAAAGACTTATACATGCTGACGGGTGTGCCACTGTTTTAGGAGGGAACCATCGCTAACAGAAAATGGTTTTGAGTAAAATATTAGTAAGTTACATATTTTCCCTCATTAAGATAACTCAAAAACCAACAAAAATTGTCAGTTTTTCCCAATTATTCATATGATTAATAGGAAAATTAAAAAATGTCCTAATGCACCAAATAGATCAAAAATGTAACAAGAAAGTTACTATAAAGTATTTTATTGGAGTAAGATATCTGATAGAAAAGTTGTTTAGACACGACAAAACAAAAAAACAGTAAAAAAAAGAGCTGATACTGGGGAAGGGAGCGGCCATTTTTATAAGTGAGAAGTTGGGAAGGTAGGATACATAAGGTTATTTCATTTATATCTGTAAACAACGATAAACTATTGTTGACGAAAGACGATTCCGAGCACAGTTCGGTAATAAATAATTTGAAGTGCCATCACTTTTTTGCGATTTTCTTTAAAATTTGATTTCAAAACGCATATCAAAAAAAAAAAAAAAATTCGTCTGATGATTTTGGACATTTTATCACGCTATGCTCGGAATCTAAAACTCTAGTAAAAACCATACATTACGAAGCCAGAAGCATAATTTTAAATCATTTGCTGATTCCAACAGCCTATTTTTGAATAGACCATTCAGCTATGATACAATATTGTGGTGAAAAAATATCGCTAAAACACGCCTGTTTCATTAAATATTAATTTATAGCCACAAAATTGATTAGGTAAGTTACAATATTGGTTGTGTTTTTATAAGACTGCAAAGAGGAGGGTATGCCACGTTAATAACGAACTTTAATATTAATTTGGAATTTAAAAATGCCAATTAAAATAAATTACAAACATTCTTTTTAATCCGCACGCAATACAACCAAAAATACTCGCATTATATATCTATAAACAACTCGAAGAACGCCAGAATATTTTGAAAATTTTACCGCAAAGTCTATGATATTATAAAGTGCCAGCTACTATTATTTTATATTGAATTAAACGAACCGAAATCGAAATTAATAGAAACAGGGCAGTTGATATTCCGTAAATGTTTCCCTCTCTAATGCACCTCAATACAACCAGACAAAATGTTCTACCACAAATCACCCATACATTTCTCGTTTCATCCAGAATCTAACCACATTGCAAATCCTAAATAAATTAGAATAACATGATTTTTAACTCTAAAAGAAAAACATGTACAATTTGATTGTCTATGTTATAATATATAAATCGTAATGTTCTAGTACCGTTTTCGCATAAAATATTAAATATCTATACGATAACAGTAGTCCTTAGTATTATTTTTTTATTTAAAAGGACGTATACCCGTACGTGCTGTCTTCGTCTTACAAACGTATGACATATTGAATTTGCATTCAACAGGGACGACAAATATGTGCCGTTGGTTTTAATAATGTTAAAACGAACTGACCTATTATTAAAGATAAGAACATAATGTCATTGTCTGTGTGCGACATAAACATCATAAACATATTAAAATCGTAATATTCCGCTTACTCAAAACGTTCTTTAAAAAATAAAATACCAACAAAATAGAGCACCCAACGCGTATAATGTACTCTTATCTTTGAGTTTGATCACGGGTCAATTCATATTCGAATATCGAAACTAACAACTAACAATGTCGTTCCCGCTGAACGGAAATTTGTAATGTCGCACACGTTCGTAAGACGTGTCACGCGGCTCTTATTGTTACACGTTCCGATCGACATACGGGCATTTTATAATAATAACATCTCGTCGGACTCCTTTTTTTTTTTTTCTCCGCCGCAGGTCTTCACTTATGTTAATGAGCCCCGTTCGTAAAAGGGCGGACGGTTCCGCGGTGTCCGTTACCGGGAAAACACTCGTCGAACAGAACCGACAATATGATATGAGTTTCGAGAAAAAAAAAAAAAAAAGCATCAAAGCAAAAACAATTTTCGCGTTAGTCCGAACGGGGTCGGCCGAGGACCGGATTCAAACGCCCCGAGATACGATAGGCGGACGAGAAGCGATTTCGGAGCGCGGAAGTCGGAGGCGGCGGGTCGCCATCGATACAATAAAAATATAATACACGTATACGACACCGCATTGTTGTTGCAGTGGGACGGATGCAAATCGTTTCTCATAAATATAAATTCCGAGATCCGAATCTTTCATTTTTTTTTTCCTCGTCTCGTATTCGTTATTATTATTGTTGTTGTTTTTTTTCATCATCATCATTATTATTATTATACGTTCGCCCGGCGGAATCGTGACGGGCGCGCGGCGCGCGGTAGGCGTGAACCGCCCAACACCTCGGCGCGATTTACGTGTGCGTACAACACGCACCACCGTGCGTGCGTGCGCACGTAGTACGCGGGGCGATTACCACGACGTCCGAGACAACAAACGATGATTATCATTATCATTATGATTACTAGGTATTATTATTATTATTATTATAATATACGGAGCGACGAGAAACCACGTCCGGCCACCGACGGCCGTGTGCGCGTTGCCCGAGGGGAGGGTCAAGGACACCGTCGTCGACGGCTGCGGATGCGGCGGCGGCTGTGGTGCTCGTCTCGCGCGCATATGTGTGTGTGTGTGTGTGTGTGTAGTGTTGTGAGCTGCTCCACACTAAACACCGCAGACTCCGCCGGCGGCTCATTAAAAAAAAATATAATAATAATGAAAAAAAAAAATTTAAAAAAAAAAAAAAAAATACGACCGAGTCCGGCGCCACACGTTCCGATCGCGCGGACGTATTTAACGAAAAATCCTTCGCGCCCTTAATAGTTGCGGTCGCGCGGTACAAGTACAACCGGTATTTCGTTTCGTCTAGAGTAACGTTTTATTTTTTTATTTTCGAAATCGATTCGAGTACGCGAAAATCGCCGAGTAGTACTTTGCAATCGTAAGGGCATTTCTTACTGCCCCGTACACCGTGGAACAATAAGCCGTTCTATTAATCGACATATTATTATCCTCGTTTTAGAGTAAAGACTCCATATGAATAATTCTCGGCACGTCAAAATATGTCATCGTCATAACAATCTAATTTTACATTAACTCAAATCGTCGATATGGTATTCTTGTCGGAAATATTCGGATTTCGAGATGAGATTAAAATACGATTTGTACCTATATAGTTTTTACATTTTATATCTTTTGATGATAAATAAAATCGTTGATTACACGAGTAAACAAAGTGTGCAACGAGCGCAAATAAATTGCCGAATCAACCATTCTGCTCGGAATATTTCCAAATTTGAGTACACGCCCGACTCTCGTTTTATTTATAAATAGATATTTTATCTAGATAAATACAAGAATTAATTGGGAAGTTATCTGAGCCGTCGTCCGAGATAAATAATCGAATCATATCTGGATAAACAGTAATACCTATGTATTTGTAATTAATAAAAAACGAACGGATAAAAAATACAATTAATTATGAATTTTTTGATATCTACAGTAGATATGCATCAAATCTAATGCACACCGCTTTTAACACTTTTAACATTAGGTTTTATCATTTTATAGGTAGATAATGAACAGGTAGTTGATTTTATCTAGATATCTAGTAATTAAATGGTTATGTATTTTTTGTTTTTATGTTAGTAACAAAATGATCTCGATCAACTGGCATAAAATACGAGTAGTTAGGCGAAATATCGATTGAATAACTAATACTATTACACTTAGCTGATGTATATATTTTCGTAATAATGAATTAAAATGTTCTTTATTCACTTCTCTAATAAATCGTCACGGTTTTTTAGCAAAAAAATTATAGCAGCTGTATATTGTTTTTGGATCTTGAGCGAACCGAGGAATGTATTGGAATTACTATGTGCGTTTTTTTGTCTGTGAATAAATTTTCTTTTGATCTTCGACTACAGGGATGGTTTCCGGGAGAAAATATTATCTATTTGGTGGTTTCGGGAAGTAATACTAAGCTAAGTCTATACTGACAATGATGCTTATCATGCAAAATAAATCAATATTATATCTTTGCCCCTACGGAAGAAGAGCTTGGGTAATTTTTTTTTTATGAATTGACAAGTCTGATTTTTTCCTTGGGATTAAAGATTAATTTATACAATTATTTTCATTTTTTTCTAGCAAGGCCCGAAGTTCCTATCTCTTTCGTAATTTTGGGCGAAACATTTAAAGATGTGAAGAAACTGATTAAAATAAAAAATTATTATTCATTATAACTCTACTCTAATTTGAATTTTTAAACTCGGTCATGATGGCGTAATAACATTCGGGATTCAAATGCAGTGTATTATAATTCACACAGAGGTTATATCGAAGAAATAAAATATCTAATCCCGGCTTCCCGAGGAAACCCTATTATGGTACGCAGCATATTATTATAAGAAAACCACCGCTTATCTATAAACTGATCTGGTACGTTTAAACAGGTACTTACGCAGGAAAATATTTGTATTCCGAGTACGACGACGAAACAATAACGTGGTTCTCTCAAGTTTAGAATATCCATTCTCCCTCCCCTCCTCCCTCATAGGTATAAAATATTATAATATTATGTATTTTATGGTATACAAAATGTTAACATTGTAGATATATTTTATGAGTACAAAATATGTTACAGTGAGCAATACCTATAATATAATTTGCTTTTAAAAAAAAATAAAAGCGTATAATATTAAACTTAATAATGTACTTTAAATTTTCAAACATTTCTAATAGGCCAAATAATTTTATTTACATCAAACGAAAAAAAAAAAAAAAAAAAAAAAAAAAAACAAGAAAATGTCAAATACCTATAAATAGCTAAAAACTCTACAGAATGTTTTGAACATTTGAGCACGTCTAAAAGAAGCTAATATAAGTTATATTCAAAATTACAGGTCTCTACGATTATTTTTAATTGAAATACAAAAAAAAAAACCTCTAATAAATATTAAACACCAACATTCTTTTACACACTAACTAGATAAAATTGGCTGTCAAATTGTTGATTTCTGTTAGAAAACAAAGAACGAAAAAATTTAAAATAATGAAAATGCTTTACATATTTGGATCAAGATATCAGGTAGAAATGTTGTTGGAATAAAAATATGAACACATCAAAGTAAAACCAATATATTTTGGGTTTTGCTCAGAATCTAAAATAAGTTTAAAATAATATATATATAAATGTCTAGTAAGTACATACTTATAATGCAAGACGTCAAAAAATAAAACAAATTAATAAATAAACATTTTATATACCCATAAATATATAAAGTAGGTAAATGAAATTTAAGATGTTAGCTATTCATTAATTAATGAACTGGTTATCTTTAATAAATTGTTAAAATATAGAAAATTATTTTAATATTTGTAGTGCTTGTACTTTGGAAAATGTACAGGAAGTGTAGCTTACATATTAATTAAGTAACCAAACATAAACGTTTTTGCTGGATAAGTATTTTTGAATAATACCTATATAGTTTTTAAATTGGTAATAGGTAATTTAATCAGTCATGAAAAATTGCAAATTTGCATTAAGTATCATAAACAATTAATTATAATAGGTAGCTAAATACCTAGTTTATTTAAAAAAATATACCACATATATTTTTACTTATGCCCACTTAATGTTCTTTGTTTCAGAATATCTCAACTGGGACTTTTATCTTTATTCGTCATATATGAGTGTACAGCAACCAAACTCACAATCAATACATAAATTATTAAAAAAACTATTAATGTGAAGTGTGCTTAAAGATAAGTAAACTACTCGTTATAGAAATGATATTAAAAAAAAAATAACATATTCCATAAATGCGGCTTTTTACAAAATTCAAAAGAAGTTATAAATAATAAATGTTACTTTTAAAAAACTTAAGAATTAATACGAGATGACCTCAAAAATTTGGTTACTTTATTTTGTTTACTAGAAAATCATTTACTAAAATCATTTATGACCAATCTGCATGAAATTATTTATAGGTAATACACATACATGTGAACATAAAAGATACCAAACTTTGGTGTGGTAGTATTTTAATAAATTATATTGTATAGTTGATCAGTATCAATTATTTTTTGTATAATGATATATTATTAACAGTTTAACATTTTTACAATGCAAACTAAAGTAATATAAAGTATACTCAAATATTATATATGAATACATACACATTATATCCATACACTTACATTTATATTTTTTCAATACAACGATAAAATTATTCTAAGCATATTATATGTATATACCATGAAATTTAACAAATTTTATTGAAATTCTAATGTATTACTACCACCTACCTGTAACATCATATAAATTAATAGGCAATAGTAAAATATTTATATATAAGTACTAAAGCAAACATTAATTTAATTAATTACATCAGTAGTATCAAAAGAGATTATGTTTATGAAGTAATTAACTTAGTTTAATCTACCTATGTCCTATATATATATACAAAATATTCTGAACACCTATCGTGAACAAATTTGGTTTTTTGTTTTTTAAAATCATTATTAATTGGTTGATTATTTTTATTTTTATTAGAGTTAACACATAAGTACTTAAATTATTTTAATTTAGAAAAGAAAATACAAATGTATGAATTATTATGTACGTACTAACATACATTTTAAAAGTCAGAAAAATAAATATTATTACTTATTCATATTATAACAGATAGTTGAGAAAATTAACAAAGAAAGAGAAAAATATTATTTTTAGAAAATAAGATTATTTTAAATATTGCATTTTGTAACCTATGTATATGAATATTATATAATGAAAAATCACTTGAAGTGCAAATAAAAACCTATTTTAAATATTCAACAGTAGGTATATTATATTTTTCAATTATTACATATTATATGAATAAAAGACAATGTATTCTTCATTTGTACCCTGTATGCAATGAAAAAAAATGACTATATATAGGGAATTATGAGAATCTCTCTAAGGATAGCACGTAAGTACTGAGCACGTATGAAATACTCATACACTAAGGATTAGTCATTCTTAAGGGGGGAAAAACCTTGAATTGAAGTATATAAATTATTTATATATATTTATGTAATGTATATCCATTTAAGGGTCCTATTGATTCAGAGATTAACATATAGGGGGGAGGATTTTATAGTTCAGTTGGTATACAGTCGACAGCGCACAGCGTGTCCCCTACTTCCAAAACTAAATGACATTTCTTGGAGGGTGAGATCTCAATAGCTTCAAATAAAACATAATTTATGACTGTTGGGACAGTTAAGCAAGTTTAGAAGGGCAAAAGTTTAATGGATAAAAATGTTTAGGGTGGTTTCTATTTTCTTAACATTGTCAACTATGGAGGATTATAGCCTATTGTAGTAAAACCTTTTATATTGCATAAATAAAATAATTTACTTATGTATTATTATTATATTTACTATATTAATATAAACTTAACAAATTAAGTAAAAACTATACCTATCCAATATGTACTAAATAGGTAAGTACTAGTATCAACCAATGTTATTAAAAAAATATTTACATCAACCAAATATTTTATCATTATTTAAACTAAATAACCAAAATACCAATAACAAAATTAGATAACAAATAATCCAAAAAAATTAAACATTTTAAACTTAATTATTATTATTGATTATAGATCTAAAACACAAAAGAACTGGTTATAAAAATTGTATAAAAAGTTATTGTACAAATTTAGGAATCTTGTGGCGATTTCTTTTAAGGTTTGTTTTTTAGTAGTAGTCTGTAGGTAGGTCCTATTCAAGGATTATACACAAGAAAAAATTATGAACACCTAACTTCCAAAATTTAAAAATATTCAAACTATTATCAAGAGTTCCAACTAATTTCCAAGACCTCTACAAATTTGTACACTAAATTCCGGGTGTGAACAACTCCCTGATCCTATCTATAGCTTGTCTATTTGTTAAGTTTATGCTTTTGGTAAATTGAAATAATACAGATGTATAGATTTTACTGAGAAATCATAACATATAGATGTTCAAAATTAACTAAGATTTCATTAAATAAACCTCTAGTGAACAGGAATATTATAGGTACCTAGGTACATATCCAAAATGTAATTTAAAATTATTTATTTTATACATACCTAGCAATCTATAAATTATACATAAGTAATAAATAATAATGCATATAACTAGTAAAAATCAAAATTAAGTAAATATTATAGTACCTCACATAGTACTTAAACTAATATAAGATAAATGGATTTTGTATTTCTTACAATAATCTGCTACCTACCTACCTATCAAATAGTTATAAGAACTAAATTAATGTTTTATTTTATAATTTTGTTTGTATAATTACATTGAATTATACTGGTGAGTCTTGAGTAACTAGATAATTTGGTATGTTTTTCTAAGATTGTATAACTTGTTTTCTAAGTGTATCTAATTGCATTATTATATTTGGGATTATGGTAAATCATAAGTAAGTATTGGTACTTAAATCTGCAGACTCTGTATCGTAATGGATTAATTATACAAGTATACAACTAGGCATTTGGTGAATATTAATAAAATGAACATACCAATCATAAACTGAAACAATTTTTAATTCACTTAAGATACCAATCCATAATGTTAATATAATAGACAAAATTAAGATAAAAGTTGTCTTATGAATACTGTACAAGGAAATAGACTATTACACATGAGTAAGTACCTAATGTTGCAACAAAACGACTTAGATACAGTCAATTGTACTATTAATGAATAATGATAATAAATTAAGTACCTGATTTACTGGCAATGGCAGCTATTCCCAGTCCGATGGTTATTGCACCACCCAATTCTCGTTTTAACAACATTGTCGTGGTCGATGCCACAAAGGCTAAATGGAATCCAAATATATTTTTGTGTTCTCTTGTGGATTTTTCGTCATCAGATGGATAATATTGTTTTTGATGAACACCGCTGCATTTTGGTTGGGGGCACTCAATACATTTACTGAACAGAAATAAAACCACTCAACGGAGTAATAACGGTGATTCACGGCGAAGAAGATGAACTCACTTGAACGGATATTCTTGAATTTAAAAAATAGTGTTAAAAAACTAACAAAACAGACTAAAAAAAAAAAAAAAAATGATTACACACGATCAGTACAAACGTCGGAGATAATCACGGAACGGACGCAAAAACCAGAATGACTCAGGTGGGGCGCGGGTTAACGGAGATGGTAGCGGACTATAGTGCTGCGGCAGTGTGGCTGCTGGAGAAATGGTTATCGGCATTCGTTGTGTACTTCTGGTTTAGGATAAAAAAAAATAAAACAAAAAACAGCTGACGCTACATCATGGTAGAAAAACGATCAAAACATTGTATAATTTTATTTATCAAAATTACGTTTCTAAGGTTGGTGTAACTGATTCGGATTTTGTTATCTTTGGAATATACTTCTGAAGTATTCGATGCCCGTGTAGCACATATGTTATTTGATATTTATTCAATTTTAATTAAATGGAATAATAGATCTCGTTCGTGGTTTAAAGAGTTATTATTTATTTTAAAGGTTTACCCATAATTCTATCTACTCTGTGGTTAAATTATTCACCGTGTTCTCATAAAGGTGTCTTCTATTTAATCATGTCGTATGGAATACGGGGACCATAGGCATAGATAATAAATAATGGATATGCTATTCCTATAGTTTCAATAATCTAAGACCATGGTTTCAACGTAAACCGCCGCGTTCCTTGAGAGTAATACATCTGTCTCACACCACAATGGTTACTCCGGTTAATTGTTTGATTAATCATTTGTATTATCCACTAACGTGATAATATTATAATTACAGTCTAAGATATATTTTGTTTACATGTAGTATTATTTTAAAAATGACAATGGTTCATCGTTACGTTATTTTCAAGTTAATAACGGGCGACACGAGTTTGTCGTTGAATTTGTAAGTATCAAGGAATAATAAAAAAAAGAAAAAAGAGCATTTTCGGGAACGTGTGATAAGACAACATGGCCTATCTATTGGTTATTACCTTAGACCAAAGGTGGTAATAACCAAGGTGAAGTGATAATGTATTGTAATATGTGTTTATTATATATACCAGGGACGTGGTGGTGATAATAGTTGCAACGGTTATCACTATTCATGTATTCACAACATACATTAAACAATCCAATATTCTCTACTCGATTATTCGAATTATACTTTATGATGCAGATGATTTTATGTTAAAATATCCAAATTAAAAAATGTGGGTGAAAATATAATTAATAATTACACTCATTTCGACATCGAAATGTAGTTAAAATAAATTTATAAAAGTTAACATTTTTACAATAATAAAGTTCATACCTATATTTTACTTTTTTAATAAAATTAGCAATGGTATTTAGAAAACTCGAAATATATCTACTGCTATCATTGTAACTAATACACAAACGTTCAATTTTTAATCTGAGTGGTTCAACAGTATCTAGTTTACGTTGTACAATTTTCGTCTTGTAAGCTGCTGTTAAAATTAAGTTGAAGAAAATTAAATCTATCAATTTTAGGGTAGTTTAAACGCTCAAAACCATGTACGGATAAAAATTTAAAAAAATACAAATATTGTGACCAATAATAAATCTAAATATCCTATTTGTAATAAATATAAAAACGAAAATTAAAAATATTTCTAAGTATAGATGTGTATATTGTTGAATGGAAAATATTTAAAATAAATGTACTTTTGATTTGAAAATAGACTAACGTTGACACATAGTGTTTTCGTTAGGTTAGGTTGGTTTCAGAGGCTCAGCTTTTCAAGTATTATGCAAATTATTTGTACCTACTTATTATTCCAAAACATTAAGAATCATATCATTGATTATTTTTGTGTAATCTTGATCACAATTATCTTATGTGAAAAACAACGAAAAAAAAAATGTGCCCAATTTCAGAATTAATTAATAAGTAATTTAAGTTATTAAGGAGTATTTGTACAAAAAATCATAATTCCCTAGTTTAATTTGTAAAAAACATATATATTAAAACTTGCTTTTAAATTAATTCATTATCTGATTATCAGCAAGTATTTTATTCTTGCAAGTCAAATATATTAACAAATATGGACAAGTTAACAGTAATTGTAAACTGTAATGTCAAATTTAATGTAATATAAATCATATTATAGTTTGTTAAAAAGCTACTTATTGTTTTGATTTATAACCTTCGTAAACAACTTGGATAAAAATAAATATATTTTAACTAATTTATAAAGTTTCTTCTTATAACAAAATAAGTCTTCTAACTTGATGGGTATATTAAATAATTATAAATGACCCTACCCACTACATGATTTGATTGGGCTAACAGATAGCCTCACCAAATCAGTTGAAATGTAAAAAAATAACATATTTTGGATATAATATACTTTACTTATGTTAGGTCCATTAAGTTGGCCATCTTTATAGATATTTTCCGAATTTTTTCACTCCCTATAGTTAACTCATGCTTAATTCAATCAAAATAATACCTAATACAACCTTTGTTGTAACTTTTACTAAAGCAACTTTTTTCATTCAATATTAATGTTAGATATAGTGTTGTTAAAGTTCCTTTTAAAAAAAGAATTTTGTTACCATTTCTCGTTCCTCGTTCTTTAAAAAGTTGGTAGTTCCTATAAGCGTTCCTTTTTTTTCTCCTATGAATACCTAATATTCTGAATTTGAAAATAATTATATCACTATTGATCTTGCTTTAGAAGTATTCAAATATAATATATATCTTCAATTAATCTGACATTGAGTTTTCATTAATTACTTTTGTAGATATTTATTTTTCATAAAAAGTAAATGCAGGGTGAGTTGATAAAGTCAATAACAATTTTTGAAACTAGTTTTACTTCTTAGAATAAGCATGTTTAAAATCCTAATAAATTAAATTAAATTAATTTCCATGTTAAAAATTTTAAATCTTTAATCTATGTATTTACGATAAACATAACACCTAATGGGTAATTGAAATTTATACTTAAATATTCCATTGATAATAATTTCTTTAGAAGTTTAATTATTACCTATTATAAATATATATAATATACTAAAAGGACAATAAAAATATATTAATATAATTGTTTTATCACAAGTGTACTATTTAGATAATTGAATACAAAATTATTGTAAATCCATCAAAAAGAAATCAGAATATTTTAATCATTAAACAAATCTAATAGTAATATGTTTGGTTTCCTGTAATTATTATAAGTTATATTAATAAATAATAATATATAATAATTATCTATTATATATATATATAGGAGATTTATTTGATTTCTTAAACCATAATGTCTTGTTTGATTTATTGAAAAATGTACACAATTATAAATGATAGTATTTTGATAATGAATATAATTATGAAATTATTATTTTTTGTAAGTTACACAATTTTTTCATTATTCATTTTTTCGTAACAAAAAAAAAAAAAAAAAAAACATTTTTGAATATTGTAACTAAAATTCAATTCAATTTTAATCTTTATTATTTAAGTACTACATGGTCGTATGATTGATTTATTTGACATCAACTGTTACATTAGCTAATCAATGAATAATCATAAAATATATTCCATATTTTGCATAATTCATTTAAAGTTTGCTAAAATATTCTATGATCAATAAATTGCAATTTATAAATAAATAAATTACTTAGTTAATAATAATAATAGAAAAAAAAAAATATTACAATAATAATATATTAAATGATTGTTCAATTGACCATTTATTTACAATATTTTAAATTCAGTTCCTATATTATATACAATAACTTAAAACTTTCTTTATTTGAGGAAGACTTTGATTTTAAACATTTTAAATTTCAAATTAATGAAATTTATAGAATTCAATATTATATTATTTAAACAAGTCATATTAATTATATGACATTGTAATTTATATACATAAATTGATAAATATAAACACACACACATATATATATATACGAGGTCATTCAAATTTTACGCTGTTCCTAGATTGTTATTTAACATTTTAATGTTTCTTTAAATGTACAAAATTATTATGTATTTGAAAAGGTTGATAAAAATAACAATTAATTAAAATTAGGTGAATGGAAGGTGTATTATTATAGTATAAAAGATAAAGATTTGCGATAACTTACATTATATAAGAATTTTAAGAGTTTAAATGTTAAAAATAAATAAAATATTGTTCATAATGACTTATAAATTATAATCAATATTACAATTTTCTAACATAACTTGTGTTTGCACAAAATAATTTCTATCAGCATATTATGTAACAAAAGTTGTAATTAAAAATAGAGTATCAGTACATTTCAGCCAAATGAGCTGGACATTTTAATAAAGGTTATCTACAATATAATATAATGTATTGACCATTTAACAATTCATTCAATATTTGTTATTACAATAGTACATGTACAGATTAAAAAATATAAAACTGTTTTTTAAAAAACATCAGAATAATGTTCTCAATGTATAATTAATAATTATATACCCTAAGGAACATTGTTAGGACCATCACAACTTACTGTAAGAACATTGATACTAATTATAATAACAATCAAATATAATATCTCAGTTAATATTAAATGGCAAATTTGATTTGTCAGCTGCCATTACAGCTAATATATACAAAATTCCAAAAATACAATTTAATTTAGCAGTTCGCTTAGGCACAGATTGAATATTAACACCGTCTCTAAATTCTCTTTCTATCTTAAAAGCATAGCTCATAGTAATTAATGGTAATAGAAACCATTTAGAACATCTGACAGATAGGACAACAAACATAATATAAGGAGTAAATAACAAAAATCCATAAAAAATTATTGAAGCTGTTCGACCAATTAATATAGCCAGTGTAACAATACCAGCTTTTCGGTCACTTTCTAAATCTCTTGTATTGTTACTATGCAATATAGCTTCAGTGTTTAATGCTAATGGTATAGCATAATATATTGGTTCTAAATTAAGTTGTCCAGTATGAGATAAATAAGCGAATAGAACTGATGCAGGTCCAAACAGTATCAAAAATATAAGGTCTCCTAGAGCAATATATTTAAAACCAAATCCACCCGTGTATAAAAACGAGATGCTTAAACCCCATAAATAGGCGGCAGCTAGATGAGCCATTTTTGCCTGAGATATGATAGCGAGCCAAAAAAATGTAACAAAACTTAAAAAGTATAAAATAGCACCTAACCTTTCCACTTCATTTTCAGAAAGTATTCTGTCTACCAGTGTTCGATCATCACTATTGCGGCCATCTATACCACGGACATAATCATAATAGGTATTTACCACGTTGCCAGCTCCATGAACTAAAGCGACCGTTAGCAGAGTTAACAGCAGTGTCAGAAGACTAAATTCTATGTTGGAATTTAATTTCTGAGCTATGGTACAGCCTAATAAAGTCGGTATTATTGATGCGCTTAGAGACCACGGCCGAATGGCTAAAACGTGAGATGGAAGTTTGGTACGCAGGGACATAAATATTGAAGGTAGATGAGCAGCAACATTAGGTAGTGAATCAGCCGATGCAGTTCCGCTGTTTGACATCGTTTAAATGTTTGGTTGTTACCTGTGAATATAAAAGAAGGAAATTTAAAAAAAAAAAAAATGCAACAATTTCTCTAAGTACATATTGTTAAAAATGTTCTCACGAAATGAATATTTCCTGTAGGCGAGCCTAACAAGACTGGCACTACCAAGTCAGAGTTAAATAAAATTACAACTTTACAGTATCATGACGAAATTAGTTGAGTACGAATTGAATACACAATACTAGTGAGTACAGAACAGTTAGTACTGATTTATTCAATACTGAAAGTCTGAGAAGTGATTGAAAACCCCCATATCAATTATTTATTATCATATTACTATTATCAACAATAGTAACGTCATGTGTTTTTGTGCAGTTTAAACGTAGTGGGCAAAATAATAGACGTAATATATTGTTAAAATATTGTACGATTATTTTGTAAAAGAAATACCTTATCTCTACTACTTTTTAGTATATACTTATAACCATAAATTTCCTTATAATATATTACCTACGTATGTTTTAACCTATGCTATAATTAGGTAATTATAAATAGTTACATTCATTTTCAAATGTCTAAGATCACGGTTTTATACAAGACCGTCTTTCGCGATATTTTTTTTTTTATCGCGTTGGGTGTACCGTATAGAGTTAAGTATATTCTATGGTGTATCGTACGTATGCAAACATCTGCAATTGATTATTCGGTCCTCATTGTCTTATTTAAAATTGATTTATTTTGAGTTCTGATACAGGTATTTATATTTTTGTACGATTATTTAATTTTTTTTAAATTGATCTAGGACCTAAGTTAACCTACCATGACCCTGTTTTTATCAAGTTAATGTATTATAAATCATGAATTTTCTGGTCAGCTATCAAGTATTTTTGTACATTCTGTGAGATAATCATAAATTGAAAAGCCAATCCTATAACGATATTTTATTGTTTTTAAACGTTCATAAATCGTAAAATACAATTATTATTGCTATAATATGTGGATATCTATCATAGTGCGCTGTGTAAACCGCTAAGTGGGCTCTCTAGTATTTTAGATTCTGAGTGGAGTGAGGAATGTATTGGTTTTTTCAATGATGATTATTTATTCATTTATTTTTTTCTCTGTGGACAACTTTTCAATTAGCAATTTTGCTCCGATTTACAATTAAAGCATTTTTTTCAAAAGGAAATCTTACTGGGGTGGTACTTAAGGAAGGTCATTTTTTGATTTTCCCAAGAGTTTTCTAAATAAATGGGAAAGCCACGGGGAAAAAAGCAGGAAAATCGGGGAAATTTATACAATATTAAACAAACATTAATATTTAATAATAAAATGTATGTAAAAAAAATTATCCTAGGCCCCTGTTGTAGGTGAGTATTTGGGATGGTTGGATCAGAGACACATTTGGGGTGATACACGTTTAAGAGAATCACCTTTTTTTTCGTATAATAAAGACAGTGTATTTGGGCAAGTTCTTCATATGCGTTTGAGCGAGTATGATAAGCACAGAAAATTGTGGGTAAACACTAAATATTTATGGAGCGCCGTGGCATTACTGGTTTCATTGTTTTTAACTTTTGCAACTTATATTTTCTACCAAAAATATTACTTCAAAATGACAAAAGATTGATTTTGTTCCTTTTAACATATAGTCGCCAAAAAAAGAAAATCAATTTTGATGTTCGTAGTAGTTTTAATAATAATTAGGAATGGTGATGGAGTGAAAGATCTTTTTGATTTTTCACAGTCAACTTTTAACACGATTACTTTTGATATTGAATCTCTTGGCTTAGAAGTACAAAATATAACAGCATTTGCTGATGATAACGACTGTTAGTTATCAAAAAATTGTTCTGTTTATGAAAAAAAAAAAAAAAAGACGTCCTAGTATAATGGGGCCACTGTTATAGGTAATTTAATGTATACCTGTAAGCAACAATAAACCATTGCTTAAGAAAAAACGATTCTGAGCGGAGTTCAGTTGATAGTGATGCTTTGTCAACAATATGCCATATTATAGTAAAATAATTAAATAGGCTTTATATATTTTCTTTTATGATATTTGTTTAATGTTGTACCGATTTTCCTACGTTTTTCCCAGTTTTTCACATTTGTTGGGTAAACTCCTGATAAAATAAAACAATAACATCATTAAAGTACCTCTCCATACAGATTTTCTTTCAGAAAAAGTGCTACATTTAAAAATCTGAGCAAGTCTTCTGGTAGATAAGATGCGCATAGATAAAAAAAAACAAACATCTTTGTAAAACCATAAGCTTCTTCGCTCCACTCAGAATCTAAAATCCAGTATAATATAAGCTTATTGTAATTATCACGTGATTCATAACGTTGCAAAGCAATCTATGAAACTTTTAAATCATGATATAGAAACATTGGTATTAAAAGTATTTAATAAGTTTTCTATGAGTTCAAAAAAAGTAAACGAACTTAAAGAATGTATCGAGTTTGTACAACAGGACTTTCATAATGTACTAAGATATATTCCTGTGAGATAAATTAGTTTGAAACTGATTCATCTATCACTTTATTTCATGCTGTAGACTAATTAGTTTTAAATTGGATCACAATTAAAACATATTTTATAAAAAATAGAAAAAATAAATGTGATAGAGTCATAGAGGCATTTATTAAGGATTAGAAAAACGAACTTTCCGGATAGTTAACTTTAAGTAAATGTTACATTTGGTTTATTTATCACGTGTTATTTATTTTTAAAAACTACATTTCAATATTAGAAAAAAGTAATTTAAATGTTCTAGAAGTGTATGATGTAGTGTTAAGTTTTAAATCTCATATTTTAAATGGCCAAAATGATATTTTCTTTGGAATTAAAGAAACTCCCAAATTTATTATCAAAGAAAATGATATATTTAAATCTGATACTCTTAAAACTTACTAACGAGTATTAGAATACCTTCTCGAAAAATAGTTTAATTATGAAAATTCTCCAATTAAATTGTATTCGTGTTTGAAATTATATGAAATACTTAACATAAAAGATTTAATCAGCCTGGCAAAATTAATTGAAGTTTAGGTCAACGGAAATGAACTTTATGACTAAGTGAACTTGATAAAGTTATTACCGAATGATGTCTTAATTAACACAGAATTTTCTAGTTCGAGAAAATCGATAATATATTTCCGATCATCTTCGGCATTATTGAAAAACATTTCAAAAATTGTACAGTATGTATTTTTGGTGCTGTGCAACAATGTATTTTTGGAACGTGTTTTCAGCCATATGAATAACTTGTGGACGACAAGAGGAATCGTTTGGAAGTTGACATGATTAAAGCTGAATTAGTTATAAGAAATAACTTACCATACACAAGTACTGATTTTTTGAGGCAATTCAAAATGAATAAAAGTTTTAAATGCTTTAAAACAAAACTTCTAATTATAGTTTTCAAAATGTTGAATTTATAATTTCCTTCATTGTTAATTTTTTTTATCATTTTATACTATTATTAATAATCTTTTGAAATGTATAACTTATCTCACATTATAACCATTTTAATGTAATAAGTGATGTAGGTATAACGATGAGAAATAATGACCTTTTTTTTGCTTGGCAAGGAGACCATCTGATATTTTGGAAATGAAAAGTTGGCAACCCTAGTGTGAATTTATATGCGTTTATATTTGATATATTCTGTAAAGATATGATGCACTTACCCATACCCGTATACTTATACAATATATAAAACCATTTATTACATACCTAACTACCTACCTGTTACAAGTACCTATCTATATTTTGATTATTACAACCACTAAAACTGCTAGTGGCTAAAGTTCGGAGTTATGAAGTCTGAAAACTAAATTATAATTGTTACAAATGACTAAAGAGTTACAGAATTTTGGCATTGGTCTAGAATCGTAAGTCCATAATAAGGGGCTAATTTTATGTATGTACAGAAAAGTATATTAAGTTATCTGTTTTAAACGCCTTAATTTAAATTTACAATTTATCATAAATAAATAGAAAAAGCAACATTTTAATTGATCAACTAGCATTCTCTTATCAGTTAGGACATAAGAGGACAAACATTTGCTGTTTCTATCTATCTAACTGGCAATAGAGCAAAAATATGTTTTCATGTTTTCGACAGTACTCAGGACTTAAAACAAATAAAAACGACTACGTTTTTCTGTGTTTTCAAAGGGGTTTTTTTTTTGATTCATCTTGTTCTTTTTGTCTTCAATCGTTTGATTGGTTTTCTGTAGTTTGCCATGTTTCCCTTTTGCAATTTAATTTCTTTATTCTTTTATTCCTTGTAATTTTCTTTATTTATGTCCATCGTGATTTGTTTCACTCCATTATTGGTACTTCTCTTCCTATAATATGATCTTACGGCACTTTCTATGAAGTATTTCGTTAAGCTATCTATCACTTAGTAGTGATGCTTTATCATTTTGTCACTTTTGACTTTTATACTATGATAAGGTTTTCAATTGTCCGTTATTATGTTAAGTACCCCTTGGTTTATTATCAATAAATCGAAAAATCCACCTTTCAATTTATGGTAAGATTTATAATTTTTATCTGTAATTTGGTGACATAATTTTTGTTTTAGGTGTATTTGATTCTAAAGAGGTACTTTACTGGGAGTTCGAACTATAAAACATATTCTGAAATCTGAATTCATAATAATGTGTATTTTATTAACACAGGTATTATGTAATTTATAGTTGCACGAGTATCGAATTTTTCGAAATAGTATAATATTGTAGTATTAATACACTGATATAATCAAAACAGTAATATTACCGTTGTAGTTGATATTCGTAACAACATTCGTAGTAATATTGTAAGGTATATGTGATACTGTGGCAGTAATAATAAAATATCGTAGTAACATTATATATGGTGTATTATATGGTGGTAGTTGATATTCGTAGCAGTGGTATAAGCTCCAGCATCTTAATTTACCTTCAATCTAATTACAAGAGCATATTTTTATTTACAAGAGTGTATTTAGACGGAAGTATTTTAGGTTTTATAATATTCAAAGTAATTAACTCGACCAAACGGACTACTATTATTAAATATAAAATTAGAATTACGTTTTCGTGTACGCCGTGTTATCAAGTCTTGGGCACGATGACAAGTCGTCTTCCAGGGCACGCCCTTTTCTATAAGACAAAAATAAACACGGAGTCTTTAATTTAAAATACATCTTTTTTGTTCTGCTCGTTATAATATTTAATTATTTCGAGTGACTGTGTACGAATATGTGTTCGACCAATAGATAAAGCTGTCGGAGACA